AAATTCTCGAGATCCACGCTTGCCTATCTGCTTAAAGGCGAGATATATAAGGTATAGATAACTCCTTACGTTGATAGCTGTTGCTTCTTGCTTACGTCGACTAGTAATACTGTCCTCCTCATCCCTCTCAACATGCTCCTCCAACTTCCTATAATTCCTCGTCGAATTGCCATGATGGATACAATAAAAATAGAAACGAGGACGAGCCTGCTTCATACTCCCGCTTTGCTGCGTTATAGCAAAACCCTGAGCAAAAGCGAAGCCCTAGAGACGCTCTCTACAGAGCTCTACGTTATCAAAGACCTCTCCATTCAAGGGTTCATTCAGAAACGCAGGGGGGAAAGCCCTCACACGAGCTTCGACTTCGCCGCGGAGGTGCGTAGGGCAGTGAGGATGGGCAGTCCAAGAAGCAGTGGCCATGGCAACAAGCAGTAACAAAGCACAACACCAAGGATACCTATCTGGATACCTATTTCGGAAGCGACGAGAGGCTCAAATTATGAATGGCAGCAAATTGGCAGCGTGTGGGCTTAGGGCAGGAACTCTACATACAAATTTCTACTGTGGAGTCACGCCAAGACCCCAAGGAATTCCAAACGCCGAATGTACCTGTGCCGAATGTACCTGTGCGAATGTACCTGCCCCAAGACATTCCGATCTCCCACCCATCTTCAGAATTAAATTATTTCCAGTCGATCGACAACTTTTCTCTTGACAACTCACATTCTTAGTCAGGATTGACCCATCTGTTGGTGCTGTTAAGTATCGAAGGTAGGACCTTCGGACCGACTGGATGGGTGTTGTGGCATACCAATTCGTATTAGATTATAACGCACTGCAAAGGTGGCACTCTACTTTTTGACAGATGTTGACCTACTGCAGAGATGACGATCGATTCTGAGAGTAGATAAAATTGCGGGACTCAACTCTGGTATGTAGTGAAGTATCCTATACAACACCAGGCTTTACTATCAAGTATGGCCAGTTTCTGGCATGTCAAGCTCGCTATACCATTGGACTTTCCATGGCCTGTGAAAACCGTTTGTGTATCTACATTGATTGCGCTCTTAATAGCAGTGATTCTCTGGCAGTGGCCATTAAACGATCCTCGAGAGCCTCCGATGGTGCGTTATCGAATACCTATTGTCGGCAGTACCTTTGCTTATGGTGCAGATCCTGTCAAGTTCTTTGCAGAGTGTCACTCCAGAGTAAGCCAAGTCCATGCTCTACGAAGGGAGAAGGCTAGTCATGGCACATCACTCACTTTGCCATAGTATGGGGATTTATTCACATTCGTGCTCTTTGGGGAAACGATCACGGTTTGTTTGGGACCTACTGGGACTGAGACGGTTCTTCAAGGCAAAGCGACGGACGTGAGCACACGGGAGGTCATGTCAAGCCTTATTACCCCAATATTCGGAACTGACGTCGCATATGACTGCTCGGAGGAGAAGTTTCTGGCAAAAAAAGGGTGATGATCTTCTGTCCGTAGTGAACGCATCATGTGCTGTTACATCGCATTTCCGCTGTTGAGACCAGGGTTGGATCCGAACGCTTTGCAATCGTATGTGCCCTTGATCGAGGGTGCAAAATTACGATGCATCCAACGAGAAGATTACCTGAATAGCCTGGGCGCACGGGTTCGGGTGTTGGAAATGGTGCACGACATAGTCATGTTGAGCGCTGTTTCCTCTTTGCATGGCCATGAAGCTCGCGAAATGTTTAACGAAAAATTCCCAAAATTATTCTTTGAGTTGGAAGGAGGGATGACGGCTGTGAGTTTTGTCCTCCCAGCACTACCATTGCCATACAATATAAGACGGGATAGAGCCCAGAGGAGCCTAGCATCCATCTATACGAAAATCATCGAGGCCCGCCGCAGTGCAAACTTTGACGACAATATTTGCCCAGATGAGGGCAAAGACATAATCTCACATCTAATGCGGAGTACCTACAAAGATGGAATACCGCTCCCGGACAAAGAGATCGCACACCTCATGATCGCAGTGGTCATGGGCGGCCAGCACCTCGCATCCGCGATTGCCAGTTGGACCCTGCTGCGTCTTGCTTCTGAGCCCGCTATTGTTGATGAGCTTTATCGTGAGCAGTCTGCTGTCACTGGAAGTGCTCACGAACCGCTTTGCCTGAAAGACGTTCAGAAACCTACTTTATTATGGAAAGTGATCAAAGAAACCTTGCCTGTGCACCCACCGTTACAAAGTCTGTTGCGCAACTCATTGAGATCCATGGTTATCGGCAGTAGCAGATGGGTCATCCCAATTGGAAGAGTTCTGTTGGCGTCTCCGGCATATACCAATAGGAATAGCGACATATACCCCCAACCAGAGCGATGGGATCCGTATTGCTGGGAGCTTGGCAATGATGATAAGCGTACCGGAGATCACCCCTTGAGTCAAGGCAAAACGGTTTTGCCTTTCGGAGCAGGCAGCCACTATTGCATAGGAGAAGACTTCTCCAACGTTCAGTTGATGACGATCATTGTGACAATAATCTGGCTATTCTGCCTTGAGAATCCTCCAGGTAGAGAGGGAGTGCCAGGCATAGACTACACAGTGAGTTCTGAGGTGCAATTTGGTAGGTTACCCACTTGCTGATACAGTGTTCAGTCTCTCTCATCCTTTCCTATCGAGCCGGCCGAAATTATACTACGTCCTCGTGATGTGAATTAGCAGGCCAGATTGTCCCGGTAAGAACTGATGATCCCAATCTGCCGGGAAAAAACCTCCACAGGATATGATATCGGCACACAGTTTAACGCGCGGGTGCTTAGGTTTATTAAACACGGGCGCGATTTATCTTGGATTCCATAAAGAGGCGGCAAGTGGCCCGCGTTCACTTTTTTGGTGGCGCCTCACCAAACTTTTCAATAATAACTTACAAATGTCATATGTCGTATCTGATCTGCTTAACATCTATGTCATGACTTCTTGATGCTGCGTATATCTTCTACTGACGTAAAACTTGATGTAGCTCGTTTGTAGTATTTTTGCTCTGCGATTTGCATTGTTACTTTGCACCCAGGTGCTCCAGGGTCCTTCGGGCCGCATTGCCTAATCGGGCGGGGCTAAACCGGAGAGCAACGCACCTGCATCTACACTACTACTACGTGTGTACAGAAACAGTGGGCCGCTTGCACCCAAATGTGAAACACTTCATTTAGAATTGTGACTCGACAAACCTTGAGCAAAGATTTAGACTGTTTGCAGTCCACTATGGTGGTCAACTACAGCAAGTGGGACGCTCTCGAGCTGTCAGACGATTCTGATATCGAAGTTCATCCAAACGTGGACAAGAAGTCTTTCATCCGTGCCAAACAGAATCAGATTCACCAACAAAGATACCAGCGTAGGCACGAAATAGAGACGCTCAAGTATGAACAGATCATAAACGATGGCCTACTGGAACGAATTAACGCCTTGCTTGACGCCCTCAAGAAATATCAAGATGAGGCCCGCAATCCAGATGAGCTGGTGTTCCAAGCTCTGATTGAAAGTGCTGGTGACCCTGCCAAAGATGAACCTCCCAAACCTCCTGAGGGCGTCTATTCCCAGCAGAAAGAACCTACACCCAAGTTCTCTAAAATGATTGGCAACTTGGTAGACGAGGTCAAGAAGGATGTGGATGAAAAGAAAGAGGCCAATAGATATCAGGGTTTCATCAATGGGGTGACAGGACATCTCACGAAGGTTCAAAGTCTACAACAGGAATTACTGACCAAATTGGCATCCTTGGAGAAGGAAGAAAGCTCGAAAATCACAAGCGATAGCATACATACAGGCTTCAACACATCGCACGTCGCGAAGCCCACAGAGAAACCCAAGAGCACTCAAGCTTCCAAGGATAAGAAAGTAGAACTCCTCAACCCCGGCGCAGGCCCACGAGAAACCTTTAAAGGACAAGACAGTGCTGTCTCCTCTGGCGCTGAAGCCGACATCGAAGATGGCTCCCTTGTCAAATCCGGCGAAGACTCTGACTCCGACATCCAACCCACCCCACTCGGCAAAGAGTTCGCCAAAATCAAACTTGGCGACTACAAGTCCTGCCTCCAATTCATCTCGCAACACCCGTCCATTGTCTCCGAGCGCGAAACCGACGGCCTCCTTGTCGAAGCCTTCAATGCCGCAATGGACAACAAACACAACTACGCGCGTCAATGCGTACACCAGGGCCTCCTGCTCCAATACTGCAACAAGCTCGGCCGCGACGGGATCGGACTGTTCTTCAAACGCATCACCACCAAAGACCACCAGGCCGGGAAAGTCTTCATGGACGACGTCAACACCACGTACCAGCGCATCAAAACGCGCGCGGCCGAACTCCAAAAGGAGAAGGCCGAGAACCCAGCTTCCGAGGGTGTCGAGCAGATCCAACTCCACGCCGTCGATCCCAACACGAAGATCCACATCGTCGTGCCCGAGCCCGACTCCACCGACCCCACCGAGATGGAAGCCCGCAAGATCTTTGACTCCTTCCCGCCGAATCTGCAGAAGGCATTACAAGCTGCCAGCTTGGACAAGGTGAATGAGGTGCTAGGGAAAATGAGTGTGGAGGAGGCGGAGGAGGTGGTGCAGAAGCTGGGGGAGGGCGGCATGTTGAGTCTGGAGGAGGGGGTGGTGGATGCCACGACTGAGGAGGGTCGGAAGAGGTTGAAGGAGATCGAGGAGGAGAATCGCATCAATGCGGCTAAGGAGCAGGAGCAGGAGGGAAATGAGGCGACCAGCAGGATCGCGGATGGTAAGACGCCAGATCCGGAGTGAGTCAGGAGATAGGGCTGTTGGAGGTCACAAAATGTTACAATCAAGATGCAATGACAGAGGTTGAGCGTCTCTTGTTCTATACTTCATTTACTGGAAGTGCCCACTGATCCAATAGTACTCGGTTGACGAGGGCTTACTACACACCATCTCGGCAACCTCATCTACCTTCCCAGATCTTTCCGTTTCCTCACCTTTCTTCCCCACCAGCGAGAGATAGCTAGCTTTCCTCAATTCATCCACCTCCGTCATCCGGTGCTCCAATTCGCCCATCTCCTGTATGATGCTCCTGTGTTTTCTCCCCTTCCCCCAACCTTCCTCTTGCTAAGTCGCTTGCTCAATCACTCAATCGTGATGGCTTCTGGAGCAACTGAGCCCACAGAATTGAGTGTGATCCAGATCATCGCAATCTGCACCGAGGACTCGTCGCTTTCTGGCAAGTTCATGCCTTGAGCATTCCCGGAGACGGTGAAGGGGGGACATAGGGTGGATCGGAGTCCATACCGTGTCTCTGTCTGCTTGTCTGGACCCGACGGATTTGCAGAGGATGGGTGCTGCAGGGCGGCGCTACGTTCGGCCAATTTGTGGTGAAGGAAGGGGTATATCCCGGGGGCGAATCATGAGGCATTGTTTCGGAACCGGCAAAGGTGAATGAGACTGTTTGAGTTCTCGGATTCGTTTTATAATCAGGCTAGGACGAAAGGGGGTTTGCTCAGGTAGGTTCTTCCGGTTCTGGTGGAGCTTTGGATTGTGACGATTTCTTTGGCTTGATGAGTAGGATGATAAAGAGGCCGATGACGAGGAGGAGTAATAGTAGCAGAATCTTTCGCTTCATGGACTTGCGTTGGTAACCTGTGGCCTATAGGGGAAAAGGAACTGTCAGCAGCTGGCCATTTTTGTTTTATGTAGTACCGGAACATGAAGTTTAGCACCAGGGTGGATGGATGCTCACAGTTTTCAATTCCTTCTCGGCCGCCTTGACATCAACAGCCATTCTTTCCACATTATAGTCGATCCTGTCCAGCATTGTCCCCTGATCTATCACCATATTCTGCAGGTCCTGGAAGATTTCTGACAGTTCAACAATGCCGTTGGCAATATCATTGATCTCGCGCTCACGCTGTGCAATAACTGCATCGTTGCTTTGGAAGCGCTTTTGTGCAGTCTGCTGAAGCGTCGATTGCGAAAAGGATTTGTCTGCCTCGGACTCTAGGAGGGCGGGATCTGAGTAGGGGTTCTGCGCTGGAGTTGAAGTACGTTGAAATGGTAGCTCGAAGCCCCCCAGGGCACGCATTTCTGTCAGTTGTTAGTGTGCTGGTGCAGATCAGGTATGAGGCAGATTTACTGTTCAAGTAATTGGTCTGCCTTTTCCTGAACCTTGTGCTGACTTCTTGAATCCTCGCTGCTAGAGCGATTTGGATATTCCTGGCCATGGTCTCATCTCCTTTGCTTAGCGATCCTGCTGTCTGTGCTTCTTTGACCATCTTCTCGATCCTCTTGATTGCCCTCTGGCACTCGTGAAAGCCTCTAGTAATCTCTTGTGTCAGCTTCTCGATTTCTCGCTCCTCCTCCTGCTTGATGTGTTCATCATCGAACCCGGGCAGTACGTGCTTCTGATGCAGCTTGTCGAGCTTTGCGGACTTGAGCGTCAACTCTGTAAGGATCTCGGTCACTTCATCCTGGACGTCAAGCCACCTCGGAGGAAGCAGATCCATCTCGATAATTGCGTCTCCATCGTCCTCGTATGCTCCAGCAGACATCAGCCCTCTCCTCTCTTCTGAGCCATGGTCCGCAAATCCATTCGAAGATGGGCCTAAAAATCGTGGCTTCTTTGCAGGATGGTGAGCATAGGACTGCCGATAAGAAATATAGCTTGATTGTATTAGTTCCGTATGATCTCCTAGTGATGACAGTTACGTACAGGTTCGTCCTATCCCGCCACATTGTTCCTGGGCTCAGGCTCCAAAGGCCTGACTGTCCCTAATTACCCTCCTGGAAGGATCATGGTAAAGATTTGTCACACTTGGTCATGAGAAGCTGCCTGAGCACTCAATGCTCGAAAGAACGTGACCACAGATTATCACAGTGTTGAAGAAAGTCGGATGCAATGCAGCAGTGTGTACGAATTATGTTGCACAGGATTGCTGACAGTTTGGATGCTAGAAGCAGTACCAAGCTGTCCCTGTCCGTTTTGAGCCGCAACCTAATACCATGGACTTGCGCTGGATCAACGTTTCGGCGATTCCGCGGGGTAGTTAGTAGTTCAGGCATTGGCCCACCAGAGCCAGGCCAGTCAATCTATCTGCAAACAAATCCACCTCCAAGGCATCAATCTCCGTTGTCTCACGCTCCCTTGTCACCTGTTTCCAGTTGCTATACTCAGCCTTGAATCAACAGGTGGCCTTCATTATCCTCCGATTACAACAAACGTATCTTACACCATGGTATGGACCGTTCTCCGAGACTGGAAGCCCCGCTATTGCATCAGTGAAGCTGCGGGACTCTCATTTGCAAGGATATCGACTAACACCGATCGTTCTTACCAGGCTGACTCACTCACCGAAGAGCAAGTGTCCGAATTCAAAGAAGCGTTTTCTCTGTTTGTGAGTTGACTCAAGCCAGCTCAGCGCATTGAGATATGCTAATATTGGTGCCACCCAGGACAAGGACGGTGATGGTTAGTCTACCTTGTGGGCCACGGCGAACTCGCTCTGCTCATAGCTGCTGCTTTTTGGGCTAAAGGCGGAAACTGACCTGGTCGCTCAACGGTATAGGACAAATCACAACCAAAGAGCTAGGCACTGTGATGCGATCCCTTGGCCAGAATCCCTCCGAGTCTGAATTACAAGACATGATCAATGAAGTCGATGCCGACAACAATGGCACCATCGACTTTCCAGGTGCGGAGGGGCAAACGTGCTGCGCCTGCTAGACGACTGACTCTTGACCATTACAGAGTTCCTCACAATGATGGCAAGGAAGATGAAGGACACCGATTCCGAGGAAGAAATCCGGGAAGCCTTCAAGGTGTTCGACCGCGATAACAACGGATTCATATCCGCTGCTGAGCTTCGCCACGTCATGACTTCTATCGGAGAGAAGTTGACTGATGATGAAGTGGATGAAATGATTCGTGAGGCAGATCAAGATGGCGATGGACGAATCGATTGTCAGATATCCAAGGCTTCTTGCTCCCATTCGCACGCTAATACTTTGCAGACAATGAGTTCGTTCAGCTGATGATGCAGAAGTAAAGGTGCTAGGTCGATATGGAGCTTTAACCGGTGATGTGGTTGTCGTGGAAACTTTCTTACTGCCCATTATGCTGCGGATATGGCACTGGATGGAATGTTCTTCTTGCTTCATCCTCTTGACTTAGTGCAGGCTAGGCTATTAGAAGCCGGTTGAAGTCAAGACCATGCTCTCTGCACGGACTGCGGTCTGCTTGGACCGGAAGCTCCCAAGCTTTGGCACTAATCTTATTGCCTGCTCCGTGAGAATATCTTGACGTTTTCGACTCTGATCCGCATCATATCCGTTGCTGAAGATAAAGTTTTGCGATTAGTTCCCAGCATCCCAAGAGCCCTTGACCATCGCAGCTATCCACATATCCCGGGACATAGCAAAGTTCAGACAAAATCTTGTCGGACCTTGACCAGATGGCCGAACCCTTTTCGTACTCTGTGCCGAATGCATAAAGATAGACCCTATTTCCTTCCAGTACTATACCCAGCGCTATCTGGCACCATACTTACCCCTTCCATCCAGGCCTAGATGCATGCTTACAGAATTCTTCTCAACTCCTTGCGAATTTCAACAAATCCATGTACTGCCGTATCAAGCCATCTCTTCCTCTTTCGACAGGTCTAATGACCATGGTCCCGCTGGCATCTACACCACTACCTTGGAGAAGATCGTCCAAAAAGGCTCTCGCCAGCCCATTATTCTCCTGAGTATCACCATCTTCGTCATCATTATCACCCAGCAGGCCCTCAATCTCACAAACACAGCCCCTTACTCTCCCCTGACCCTGGCCTCCTGATATCCTCAATTCACCAATGCGAATTTGCCAGTCACCAATCAGAAATGATGCACCGCCTTCTACCCGGTGCGCCTGTCGTGGTACCCACAATGGCGACATCCTCTGCATTAGAAGAGGAAAGAGAGTGTCAGGTTGTGACGGGATGGTGATGAGTGTCAACTCGCCAGATGGATCCATTGGCTTGGTGGCAGACCCATTGGCCAACTCGTTAGGAAGGGCCACAGAACCTAAAGTGCCAGCACTACTGGTTCCCACAAATGTCTTGCCAGGATATTGAGAGGGTAGTGTCAGGAAATGTGTGTAACGTCTAGGTACAGCGTGTCCAGGCAGTAGAGACGAAGTGTCGATCAACAGACGATGCTCCAGAGTATATAGGCCCATGGGTTTGGGACTGTATGTCCGAGAGATGTGGGTGATGAGAGTGGAAGTCGGTGAAGGTGTGGGGTTGTTGGCCAAGGATGAAGGATTGCCGCTTGGGGCAGCTATAAATATGAGGGTTGTCGCCGGCATTGCTGCAATGTCTCGAGGGATCCTTCTCGCTACACGAATCTTGCCATCCTTTTGATTTTCAAACAGGGTTCCCAAGAGTTTGACCCCTCGTATGTCTGTTTCAATGGTAAAGTACCATTACACATACCGAAATTGACAAGACAAGAAGTACTACCACTGAACATGCACAAGCAAGCGTATTGTGTTTCGTATGTAGGACTTGTCGAATCTCCCGCTGTCATTAAGAGAATGCCATGCTGACACTTCAGAACCTCTACCCCGTACTGTCAACTTGGCTGCTGACTAAATCTAGAGAGCAGGATGGACCCATCGGAACTCGGCAGCGCTACTGCAAGTGATGCCATACTTAGGTCACCCCTGGCCACCACAGGGCTAATCAGAAGATTAGTACGTTTTATCACTTAAGCGCGTGGCATTGGGAAACGAGACTGCTCAGAGTCCGGAACTTAGACGCATCAACTAGTCATTGCTTCCTTGAAGTGCAGTACCCCACGAGAAGCTCATGTCTGAGCATAGAAATGAAGCCCCATCATTCAGTGGCAGTTGTGTCTCTTCGAAAACCTTGGCGTCGTCGCTTTTTCTAGCATCTCAACGGTAGAAGTCACCTTCTTGTTGGTGCTGGAAGCACGAACAATGCTACTCATCCGACGCTTGTGGCTTCTGCCCGCTTCTCTGCTCACCTGCGCGCTCTACCTTCTTTTCCAGCGTTTCACACGAGTCCCTTCTATCCCGCTCCCTCCCGTACCAATTGACGATGAACAACGCCTCCACTGGCACAAGCGGCCAGAGTGGTATCCTGTCACTTCGTTCATTCCCTTACCTACAGGTGCAGCCGCAGACATCCCGCAGATCCAACACAAAGATTTCGTGGCAGAGACTGTGCTGAGCAGGAATCGCCGCTTGGAACGGAGAGACGCTGTGAAAGCGACATTCCTGCGGTCCTGGAATGCTTACAAGACATATGCATGGGGTAAAGATGAAGTGTCACCCGTTTCCGGAACATGGCGATCTAGCTTCGGAGGTTGGGGTGCTACTCTTGTCGACGCGATGGATACGCTGTGGATCATGCAGCTCAAGGATGATTTTGAGAAGTGCGTCACCATGGTAGGGGAGATTGATTTCAGCACAAATGAAGAAGATATCCTCAATGTGTTTGAGACGACAATCAGGTATTTAGGTGGTCTGCTTGCAGCGTATGATCTCAGTCATGGACAGTATCCTGTACTGTTGGAAAAGGCACGCGAGCTGGGAGATATGCTATACGCAGCCTTTGATACCGCACATAGGATGCCAGTGACGAGATGGCAGTGGAGGACAAGTGCCAAAGGGGAGCGGATCTTTCCCAGCGAGACAACCTTGCTGGCTGAATGGGGCAGTTTAACGCTAGAATTCACTCGCTTAGCTCAGCTGACCGGAGAGATGAAGTATTTTGATGGGGTGCAAAGGATCACGAATGAGCTACAGAGGATACAGAACCTCACCGCAATGCCGGGACTTTGGCCTGTGGTAGTCAACCTCAAAGTTTGGCCAAGCAGAGCGCCTTACACTCATTTCACATTAGGCGGCATGGCAGATTCAACCTACGAGTACCTACCGAAGGAGTATCTGATCCTCTCTGGTCGCGGAGAAGAGGGGAAGCAAGTCCGCAAGATGTATGAAGACACCATGGAAATGGTCCAAAAGCACATCTTCTTCCGGCCAATGATAGAGACAGGTGAAGACGTGCTACTGAGCGGAAACGCCGCCGTTGACAAAAAGGGCAAAGTCTCGTTAGACCCCCAGGGACAGCATCTTGCATGCTTTGCAGGAGGAATGGTAGCAATTGGGGCGAAAATTTTCGATAGACCTGACGACCTCGATGTCGCAAAGCGGCTTGTTGCTGGATGTGTCTGGGCATACAAAGCAATGCCTACTGGGTTGATGCCAGAGACATTTCACGCTGTACCATGTTCTGTTGGTGTTAACACAGCGGAACCGTCTGAGTGCGAATGGAGTGAGCCGAAATGGTATCAAGCCATACGGAACCGGCATCACCTCGAGACCTCTTCAGACACACCCACACAGCAGGAGTTAATAGAGTTTGCTAGAGCCAGGAGCCTGATCCCGGGCTTTTCTGACATTGGCGACAGGAGGTATATTCTGAGGTCAGTCAGATATGGTACCCGGAAACAAGAGCTAACTCAACAACCCACGGCAGACCAGAAGCCATTGAATCCATTTTCATCCTCTACCGCATCACAGCTGACAAGAAATATCACGACATTGCTTGGGAAATGTTTCAGAGCATAGAGAATGCCACCAAGACCGACCTCGCCAATTCGGCAATTGACGATGTGACTCAAGCCATACCAGCCAAGACCGACCGTATGGAGAGCTTCTGGCTGGCCGAGACGCTCAAGTACTTCTACCTTGTTTTTAGCGAGCCGGACCTGATCAGTTTGGACGACTATGTTCTGTAGGTGCTCCCTGTTTCGATCCTTCGCGGTGCTATGCCCCTGCGAACTAAACAAAGGAGTACACATTGCTAATATCATGGCATCCCATGTGCAGAAACACGGAAGCACATCCATTTCAGCGGGCTTCTTGAAGCTTGGCTTAGTTTCAGCATTGAGCATGACCTGTACGGAGTATTCAAGCCTGCATTTATACTCGGGCGTAATCGGATCCGTAAATGACCAGGATTGGATGAACCTAACCCTTGCTAATGTCAAGGTACACCACTTTGTATGCAAGACCAAGCCAGATAATAAAACACCGAGACCAGGCTTGCCGTGAAGAAGAAAACAGCATGAGGGTACTTCTTACTACGTAGGCGAGTCGTATTGGGAAGTGGTTTTGCTAGGCCGAGGATCAGGTCACCTCGTTTTAGGTGGGGCAAGATAAGATTAGATGGTCACTCAAGGAGGAATCAAAAGATAGAGCAGATTTGCCAACAGTGGGCTAACTAGTACTACGTAGTTAGTTATTCCCGCCCCATTCGCCGAGACCGGAGAGCTGAGAGGCAGCGGTCAAGATCTCTTCCAAACCGGCGCACTTTTGCGGAGCATTTGGCGCAGTGGACACTATTTGAGAACGTACAGTTGAGGTGCTTATCAATGCGCAGTTGTGATACCAAGGCACTTCGCACGCTACTATGAGTTATTTAGCAGTAGATCTGTCCAGAGCATGACACAGAATCCAGTAAGGTTCACAATTGACCAAGTTGCATCATGCTATTTCGGTGGTGAAGCATGGGTAACTGATTGACCCTGATTGACCTGCATGGTAGGACAGATTGAGTGATTCAGGTTACACTGCCGCGCCAAGAGACGCTTAATGGCCTCCCATCAGCCCCAATCTTTCTTAGCTGCAGCGCCCATCCAAGCAATTCCTCATCTTTCCGTAATCAGATCGAGGTTATCTACCGTCTTCCTCGCACCATCACCACTGGCACTACCCAGCATCAACTAATACATACCCATCTTAATGCTCTGAGGCTGTCTCCGAAACCTTCGCTTTTGTTTTTGCTTTCTACTAATACATCATCCTGTCGTCCATTCTGTCGTACTTCCAGGCGTGTTTGCTGCGAAGGCTTGCCTCTCCCCACTTCCCAACTTTTTATATCAGCACCATTCGAATGAGTACGTTCACCAACAAATCTATCCTCGACGCGTCTACTCTGTTCACCTCTTACCCCAGACAGTGTTCATATTCATCTACTAATCTCCCACTCTTCACAGTCAATGGTACACAACGTCTGTCTTTTCCACCAACACCACCCACCACCACCATGATGGCATCGTCAACTATAGCCCACTCTACACACCACCCGCTACCCGAAACCTCAACATCTCATCCCGACGACCCCATACCTACAGAACCCAGCATTTTCACGATATCCACTCCTTCGGTGATCCAAAATGATCAGTCACCACCGGCCTCTACTGGCTCGGCCACGTCCGGCTATGCAAGCGATTCGGATGCTTCTACCCCAGTCACAGAATCGTCTGTCGAAGATGATGCGACGGACCCCGAGCAGGGAGACTCGGGTGATGACACACCAAGAAGAAGACGCGCCTCGACGATGCTGGTCTCGCAAAACTCGGAGGACATGAGGAGAATACTTGGAGCAGAAAAGGTTTGTTGTGGTGGAGGGTGCTGCATGCTGTCACCGTCAAACAATCAAGAAGCACCCCGCATTAAAAATCCAGTCAAGCCGCCTGACAATAAAGCTTTTCAAGGTATGGGCTTGAAGCTTGGCCCGATTGGACTGGAGACAGACCTTAACAGCATTGTGGATCTACCTGAGAAGACTGTTTCGTTTGCTTGCCTCGGTACCAATACTATCATTCCCGGACCAACGGTCGACACGTCCAAACATCCCCCGAGATTTGTGACCCCACATCCGCCTTATGAGGTTTATTCTGCACCCTTATTCCATGCTCGGGAGCTCACCAGGCCTGGCGCCGAAAAACGGACGTACCACTTTGATATCGATGTGACAGATTACCCTGTTGAAAGCGGCAATGTGGATTTTGTTGTTGGTGGTGCAATTGGGGTTTGTGCACCCAACCCTCCCCAAGTCGTCGACGCAATCTTCGATCTCCTTGCCGTGCCGAGGTTTGTGAGAGATAAGCAGGTGCTAATGACGACAACCAATGGACGCTGGCCAACTATTTGGGGAGATGACCAACCAAGGGAGCTTGTAACAACTCGGCGAGAGCTTCTCACTTGGTGCTCAGACATACAGTCGTACGCGCCTACCAAAGGTCTTCTCCGACTTCTCGCCGAGTATGCAGAGGATCCGCATGAACGGAAGATCCTTATGTATTTGTCCTCTGCTCAGGGTCAGCCAAGCTTTTGCGATCTACGTACTGGCCCACATATCACTCTCTTCCAACTGCTCTCGGCGTTCCGCTCCTCTCGGCCACCTCTAGACCACCTCTTGTCCGTCCTCAACACCCTCATGCCACGCTTCTACTCGCTCTCCCAGGATCCACAAGTCAGCTGTCTCCGAGACGAGAAGAACTGCCGTCGTCTGATTGAGGTCGCTGTCACCGTGCACGAGACTGATGATTTCGCCAATGGCACCCGCACTGGCGTCGGAAGCGGTTTCCTCGAGAGAATGGCACAGAGACTCATCGCAGCGGAGAAGGCTGGAATTGATCCGCGATCATTGGATCTTAGGATTCCCATGTTCCGAGGTCTGATGGCAAATCCCCTGGCAAGGGAGTTTGTGTCAGATGGCCCAATGCTACTGATCGGAGCAGGCGTTGGTGTTGCTCCATTTAGAGGTTTTGTTCACAGGCGGCTTCGATCAGCCAATTGCGCCAACAAGGTCTGGGTACTTCAAGGTGTACGCGACAGCCTGCTTGACGAGCTGTATTCTGGAGACTGGGGCGTTCACGAAGACAAAGTGAAGAAGATTGTGCAAAGCCGGAAAGGTGAGAAGAGATATGTTCAGGAGGAAGTCCGAGCTCAGGCAGACCTGGTCTGGTTCATCATCAACGCTCTTGATGGTCGAGTGTTTGTTTGCGGAAGCACCAAGGGTATGGGCGAAGGGGTTGAGAAAGCACTCGTGGATGTGGCGATGGGAAAGGGCAATCTCAACGAGGATGAGGCCAGGGCTTTCTGGGAAGGAAAGAAAGAGGCCGGTCAGTATATTGCTGAGACGTGGTGAAGAAGGTTGGTCGATGTTCCTTGGTGTTTGCTTGCATTGATTTTGGTTGGGTTTGCATTGCAGGCGTTTGGGGTAAGGCAATGATCGAAGTTGTGGCACTGGGCTTGGATTGGGAGGGATAGTTCTTTCCAAGGGTGGTCCATATTTACGTTGGGGGGCGGCTCGAAGCCAGAAGAACCAGACGAAGGGCAGTAATGCAGTATGCTTACCTTTGTCTCGAGAAGCAATTGCATGAATACAAAATGTACAAATAGCGACCAAGAGGCCAGATGTGGTCAACAAGCTACCTCCATAACAGAAAAGAAGAAAAGAAGAAAAGAGCTTCATCTTGCCTTGACTACGCGCACAGCCCTTCATCAGCTCCACTCCAGAATATCTTCGTCCGCTCACTTCACAACTGCTGTGCTTCACGTAGTACGAGGCTGAGACAGCAATTTTACCCGGTTCGACTCCAATTTTGCTTGTGGGGTGATTTTCATCCTCCTCGGAGTCTCCCTGTCACACGTCACAGAGACAAGCTTGGGTGCCAGAATAGAGAGTGCTTGCTTGCCATACTGGTGGGCGTGTCGGTCCTTCGAGGAAGTCTCTACATGATCTTCTCTTTGACGATCGATCGGTCGCCCTGCTGATTGCTACAACTAGCTCAGCTGCCCTACTCGGCAATATGTCAGCCGACCAGTCAATTGATCCCCCATGACCCCGGTATCAATCTGACTGGTCGGAACACAGCTCTCTGGCCAGGTCCTCAATATCTAGGTCTACTCCACCGCACTATCTCCACAACTCCAAACCCTCTTCAAGCCCTCGATCAACCGATATAGACATGTATCCGGTAATCTACTATTCCCTCCTCTCCCTCACCCTCTACCTCCTCACCACCATGATTTTCTTCACCATGTCCTTCCTCCTCCCTACGATCTCGCTCTTCGGCTTCCTCGCCCGCCTCCTCGCTTCCTACCTCTCCCTCCTCCTGTGCGCCACCTACGGCGTTTACGCCTCGCTCTTCCTCCGCCTTCTAGGCAAACACCGCCTCGCGCAATGGACCGTCGCCCGCTCCTTCGACCTCGTCATGCGCTACGCCACTGGAGTCCGCTTCGTCATCGTCGAAGGCGGAGAACACCTCACTTCCAAACGCCCCCTGGTGATCATCGGCAACCACCAAACCGAGCTCGACGTCCTCTTCCTCGGCGCCATCTTTCCCAAATACTGCTCCGTGACCGCGAAGAAAAGTCTCGCCCGCGTGCCATTTTTGGGCTGGTTCATGAGCCTGAGTGGGACGGTGTTCATCGATCGCGTGGATCGGAGCCAGGCCATGAAGGCGTTTGAGGGTGCGGCCCGGGAGATGAGAGAGCATAGACAGAGTGTTTTTATCTTCCCCGAGGGGACGAGGAGTTATGCGCGAGAACCGCTACTCTTACCGTTTAAGAAGGGGGCGTTTCATCTGGCGGTGCAAGCGGGAGTGGATATTCTACCTGTGGTGGCGGAGAATTATTCAAGGGTCTTGGATGTCCGGGCGAGGAGGTTTGTGGGCGGGAGGATCAGAGTGAAAGGTGAGTAACACAGTTTCTCTTCATTTTGGAGCCGTGTGTGTATATGCACGGTATAGGGGATTCTACTAAACTTTTTGTGCATATAGTCCTCCCCCCCATCCCAACCAAAGGTCTCACAGCCGCAGACGTCGATACACTCACCCTCGACACGCGGCAGAAGATGCTCAATGTCCTGGAAGAATTCGCCCGCGACCCCGGCTCCAAAGCTGTGTTGAAAGCTTCGGCTAAGAAGGTGCTATAGGAGAGAGAGAGAGAGAGGAAGGAAGAAACCCGGAAGCTAGCTAGCTAGATGGAATAGATAGATGTAGATGCCATGGAAAGAAAAAGATGACATAGCATGCCCCCGAAAACGAAAATTATGCATTTGGCCGGACTAGCGCTACTACCTCGTTCACGTTTCTTTGCATTTCGATTTGCATCTGCTTGAAATGTTACATAGCGTACGTAAGTACGTACGGACTGGAGTTCTCGAGGCGCAGACTTCGTTGCACTGCTCCCGAGTCGAGCTGTTTAGCTCATATATGATCTACGCTCCGGGTTCGCATCTGGGTTTGGGTTTGTGCACAAGGAAGCAAGTGCCATGTGCTGATGAGCGAGTGAGCGGGTGAGAGAGAGAGTGTGTGTGAGACGCATACTCTCCTCGATATGCACATGGCATATGGCATATGGCATATCGAAGTAGAGTTAAAGCTGGCTTCGGACATGGAGGCTCGGTACGGATGCAACGCAACGCAACGCAAAGCCAAGTTAGACATGCTAGATGCTAGATGCTAGATGCGAGATGCTGACACGTTGTGGAGCTGTGCAGACAGGGGTATGAGCGCCCTCTCCTGAAGGTGTATTGCTGAGGACTAGCTAGCTTGGAAAGAAACGATGGGATGATGGAGTATGAAGCTGCGGTTGAAATTGGGAATGGAAATAGAAAAGAGAAATGCGTAGGCCCTGGGACTCGCTGATATGCTGTATCTATTCGTGCGTACTCAGGTCGGAAGTTCCCTGCTGGAGCTGGGTTGCTGTATATGGTCGACATTCTGTAGCAGGGACGACGCCGAGGGTGGTACTGGGTTGATGGGCGAAGGACTTCAGGGACTGGAGGAAGCGGTTGAGTCTGTTGGTGAGATAGAGCACCAGGGGGGGCGCCAGGGGTACGGGTCTGGACGCTTTGCGCACTCTTCATATTTATACAATTCTGATTCCTGCTCGTTTTGGCCCGGAATAAAGTTTCTTCTCCCTCTCCATCTCGACCATCCTGTCCTCTATCCTATCCAATTCAAATCTAAGCCCCTCCAGCACCCGGCGCGTTTGGATCATTCTTCAGCTCGAGCAATAACTCTCTCATCCTCTTCTTCGTGCTCCCCTCTCCACCGCCACCCTGACCCTTCCCGCTCAGATCTGCCAGTTTCGCGATCCTCTCCCAACTCGTCCCTCCTGCTGTGGTATCCTCGCGGTTCTTAATGAATTCAGCGGCTTGACGGGCTGTTTCGGCTTTCTGTTTGTCGGTCTTGCGATTGTAGGATTCGTAAAAGTCGTCAATGTCGCGGCGGGCTTTGGCGATTATCTCTTCTTTTCTTGCAGCGGAGGCGGCATCGCGGCGGGAGATGTCGGCCTCACGTCTCTCGCGCCATTTTCTGGGGAAGAGTGTTAGCTTGCGCGGTTTTGAGGTTGAGATGAGGGTGGGTGAGGTGAGCACGACTAGCCTCCATTGAGAGGGGGTTTGATGTTTATGCTTACCGAATCGGTTCTGATTCTTCTTCGTTCGAAAAGGGGGTGTAGTTCTTGTAACCAGAGGTTTCCAGTATGCCAGACCCGCCTGTGATCTTTCCATCTGGCGCAACAGCCTATTGGAGTCCGTCAGCAAAGTTAGAGAGCAACAGCGCTGTCCTATAGGTGCCCACTTGATTTTGAGTGTCAATAGCTGGATATGAGTTCTCAAATTCAAGATCTTCCTGAGTCGTAGCAGCTTCAGGCTGTATTTCGCGAAAAGATACATTTTCACCTAGTAGGTCGTCCTCACCGTCCTGAACAGTTGCAGAGGTTGTGGTTCGGTCTTGCTCCGTAGCAAACTGGTCTGCGTCTTCTCCCAGAGCGGCGCGCTCGCGATCGAGAAAGCTTCCTTCTGCTGGAGCTGTGCTAGGCGGGTTATCTCCTACACAGGAATCAGATCTGCAAGAACTCGTTTGTAGATAAGTCTTACCGAGGTCAAGGTCGTCGATGCTGGGAAAGCGATCGGCCATGATGCGGCCAAATTTGAACGGAAAAGGTCGGGCTTTTGGAACTCGCGCTGGTAAAGCGATTGTATGCAGCCGCGAATTGTGATAGATCACCTTAGTCGTATGCACTCAAGGAGTCATTCTCGTGAAGATAGGCACAATCTCAGAATAATCGTTAGGTGGGTTTGGTGAACTTGATACGTTTGGATTGGAAGGACTGGCTGGTGTCTGGCTGTTCAGATGCAGAGGCGCGCGGCTGTTGTCTATCGTTTTCTTCCATTACCTCAATAGGGCAGGTTTGCCGGGTTGCCGGGCTGCCAGATAAATAACAGCCGCGAGGAAGTCTAACCGAAATAAGCAAGCTCAGTGAATAGGGCTTGGCACGCTAACCACCATACTTGCGAAGCTGTCTGCCACTGCATCTCTACCCAGAGATTGGAGTAAGTTTTCCCATGTGTAGCATTCAAGATGATACATATACATCGGAGCTGCCATTTGTTTGACTTCTAATCACTCAGCTACGTAAATCGGCCTAGGAAGTAGGAGCTTTTCGTCAACACAGGTCGTGTTGTGAAATTTAGTGCCACCTCCGCAGCATTGCGACAACTGCAACTATACACCCAGAATCATCAATTCATCATGGCTTTCACAGATGAAGCTCTCAAGGCGAAGCTATCAACTCTCAATGAGTCCCAAGATAGCATAGTGAGTGTATCGCAATGGATCATGTTCCACCGGTAATCCTGCACCGCAGCACTTGGGAAGTAGCTTGACTGACTTACGTCTACAGTCGACATGCAGATCGAATTGCATCTTTCTGGCTTCAACGACTCCGAGACTCCAGCGCCGCGAAACGATTGACTCTTCTCTACCTCGTCAATGAAATTGTCCAAAACTCACGAGCTCGACGAAAGGATGACTTTCCTAACGCCTTCTCCCCCATCATGGCCGAAGCTGTGCAGACAGCATACCGAAGCTCCACCACAGAGATTCAGCAGAAGATTCGACGACTGATTGAAGTATGGCGATCACGTAACGTCTTCGAAGTTCCAATTCAAGATGCGATTGAAGCAAGATTGGATGAAATCGATAAGACGAGACCAGCGGGGAAGAAGTCATTGATGGGTGGCTCGCTCTTCGGCTCTTCTAGCGGTACTGGTGGTCTTCCTAAGGAGTTGGAAAGCCTAGCTCCCCTCCAAGTTGCAGTATCAAAAGCAAATCTGTCAACCACATCCACATTAAACACGGCAAATACAGAATACGATAAACTAAACGATCCAGACGCACAACTCCCCTCCCCACCACTCCACGCAGCACGCCTAAGCGCCCTTTTGAAAAGCTTAGCCGTAGCCGAATCATCCGTCGCAGAGAGCGTGAAGGCCCGCAAAGCCCTCATTACCGAGCTCGAGAACATCCTAGAAACGAACCGTACCTCCCTCAACAAAGACGAAACCACTCTCACAGATCTCCAAACGCGTAAAGCCGAAACAGAGACCAAACGTCGTGACGTCGAAGACAACATACGACGCACCGCAAACGCCGAATCCGACACCATGTACCACCATGGCAATGGTGAACGATCCGACAACTTCGCTCCGGGGATGGACAAGGAGATGGATAGACCAGAATACGAAGCCTTGACACCGCCGCCAATCGAGGCATTCACACCACCAGGTGGCTCCCCTAGAATGGATCAGCAAGATGCGTTTCAATTCCAGTCACAACCGGTAGACACAGCAACAGCAGCAGCAGAACCAGATCGTAACCCGGATGTACAGAATCTCCTCGCTTCGATGTCCTCAGCTGGCGCTAGCATCCCACCTAGAGCGAGACCAGCAGCAGCAGCGCCTGGGCAGCATCCTGGTATGGGCATGGGCATGGGCATGGGCATGAGTATGAATGGATATGGCGGCAGCGGTGGTGGTAACCTTTCGAAGAAGAGAAAGGTTGGGCATCAGGGGAGTGTTGGTGCAGGGGAGCTACCGCCGGGATTTGGGCTGGATCTGGATGAGGATGTCGCAGAGATGATCAGGCAGGAGAGCGGCGGAGGTCTGAGTTGATGGATAGAAGACTAGGAGAGGGACACAAGAAAGCAAATGCCTTTAAAGGGGAGTGTGGTGTAAGATATCATGAGAACATGAGAGCAACAAGGCAAGCTGTTTGCATGTACATGTACTCGGTATAGCGAGGGAACAATACTCCCATTTCCCCAGTCCAGAGCCGAAAGCCGAGAGCCGTATTCACTAACGTACACTACTAGTACCACTTGCCGAGACACCCTACTTGGCGAGATAATTTTTCGCGCAGCACGTTCGGCAACTCTCGAATTTCGAACAGCTATAGCTCCATCAAAATAGCTCCAACTAGACTCGAATAAGGAGCATTTGATTCAGAATGCATCAAATGATATTGACTAGATGTAACTTTTTTTAGATAAAGAAAGGAACAGAAGAATAGGAGGATAGGAGGATAGGAGGATAAAAGATTATTCTATATGCTCTTTTTGCGCACTTTTTGTGCGTTTTTCCTACGAATTCTGTGTGCGAATTCTATGCGCTTTTTCTGTGCATTTCTATGCCCTCTTTCTGCGCATTCTACGTGCTAATTCTGTGCCCTCAAACTTTAGAGCCAGACCAACGTAACAGGGGACAAATTGCCCAGGAATATTCGCCATATTTTAGCTGTAAAGTCGTTGCCAGAAATGCGACTCCGGTTTACACGCCCCGGTCTGATCAGGTAAGGCGCCAGTCTTGGCACCTTGTCGCTTTTTGAGGCTTTAGGAAACCCCACGGTTCTTACACAGTGCTCTTTCTCTCGTCTTTCCCTCTCATGCGCTCTCGGTTACCTACTCTTTTTGGTTGCACACTCCGCGCCCATCCTGCCTGATGCCTGAACCATTTGACAGTGTCTGGCCCTTCCAAAGATTTACGTTGTTTGATTTATTATTGTTGCCTACTCTTCGTTTCAGCTATCAATACAGCATTTCAATAGAAAATTAAAATGTACTACCTGGTTTATAATTCTGTATATACTGTGGCGGAGTAGAATCGAGAGTAGGAAGGGGCAGAGAGAGAGAGGTAAACGAGAGCACAATCAGGAAACCAAACCAAACCCACTGGAGGACTGCAATGCACACAGTTGCAGCAGTAGTAGAATCCATAGCAATCAATCAGAAACATCAATCAACCACACATTGACACATATAGAGTTGTAGCAGAGCAACAACATGTCTGCAAGATCTGTGTTCGTGGGTTGCCTGTCTGTAGGAAAGATGGCATCAATTGCCCTGCCCGATGGACATATCCACCCCACTACAATACTAAATAATTCTAGGTAAAAAGACTGATCTGTTCCAGTTCTGGAATTCTTACCATAAAGACTTTCTGTTGTACTGAACTTCCCTTCCACACTCATGCTGGCAAGATACTATCGAGGCCACGGAAAATGAGGCCATTGATTTGCTCTTCTCTAGCCTAATTTTCTTGCGGCTTCACTTTTCTGTGGCCTCGCTTTTCTGTGGCCTCGCCCTCCTGTGGCCTCGCTTTCCTACAGCCTCGATTTCCCTCTATTGAATTGAGTCGCTCACAACGGCAACTATAGTCGGCCATGGGCGCGCCTAGGGCAGTCAAATGTCACAGCCTCACATTTTGATGTTTTTCGTCCATGGGACATTTGGTGACTGTGAGACTCAATCAAGGCAAAATTACATACGAATACGGTCCCAAATTGAGAAATTACATCAGCATGGAATTCTCCGGCGCAAGAAAAAAAACTTAAAACGTGGCAGACTTTTTTCTTGACGAAAATTCTTGGCAACGTAAGACGAGGTAAATTGCCGCTCATCCCCCACTCATCCTCGCTCACCCTCTGCTCACCCTTAACTCACCGTCGTTCTCAAGCGATGGCCTTAGCGCCTGCGTTAGATTAAAATCCCGCATAGGTTCGCCATTTCAGGTCATAGTTTTACTGGATTTGATTACGGAGGCGTGCATCAAAAAAAGTGTCGCTGCCAAGAAAATACAGCAAAATTACAGCAGGATGCTTAATGCCACAAGGAGCTGTGTATGTACACGCACTAGTTTAGGCGCGGGTTACCTAAACGATTAATTGTAATCCCTTAATTTATGGGGACTGCTTACCTAAATGTTAGGCAATGCCCAACCATATGCTGTGGCAATCTTGTGGCAATTACATTGCTTGAGCAACCCTACGCCAAGAACTGTTAGCGTGCGACACTCTTTTTGATGCGTTTTCTTTCATTGATCGGTTTTTTTCGGTTTTTATATACAACACTGGTTATCGCCAGAGGGCTGCGCTTTGCGCTTGGCGTAACATGTCTAATAGACCGGTAGGTGATATCCTTCCTTTATTTAGTCTTGAAAGGTTTTACATCTGGCAGACACTGATCTCCCTCATACAGGTCGCCGCTGCCACCCCTTTGGCTCGATCGCTCATTCGTGCGAGCCTTCGTCGAAGCCTTAAGCGTTCCCAATACAATCAGCCCGCGTTTCGCTATTCCTCAACAACTGTTTCCGCCTTTCATACGAACCTCCAGGGGCCAGCGCTGCCTAACATCGCGCCTGGGAGGAAGGTGACAACGCCACAAACGCTGACGGAGAAGATCCTTCAACGCTATTCGGTCGATCTTCCGAAGGGCAAGGTTGTCCGAAGCGGTGACTACGTCCAGATTCAACCTCACAGATGCCTCACACATGATAATACCTGGCCTGTGGCCATGAAATTCATGTCCACAGGTGCTACCAAGATCAAGGATCCTGCTCAGCTTGTCTTTGCACTTGATCATGATGTACAGAACACGAGCCCCAGTAACTTGAAGAAGTACGATCAGATACAGGAGTTTGCGAAGAAGCATGGTGTCAACTTTTTTGGCGCAGGTCATGGGATCGGCCACCAAATCATGGCAAGCTTCTCTGCGTCGAATTCATACCAGGGACCTTAAGTTTGCTAACGGATGCGTAGGTTGAAGAGCTTTTCGTTTGGCCAGGAACCTTATGCGTTGGAGCTGACAGCCACAGCAACATGTACGGAGCTCTGGGAAGCTTGGGAGTGGCCTTGGTCAGGAGCGACGCGGCCGGAATATTTGCTACTGGGAAGAGTTGGTTCCAGTGTCCCCCAGTCGTGCAGGTGAATCTTCTAGGCACACTACCCCCAGGCGTTCGCGGGAAGGATGTTATTGTTGCGCTTTGTGGGCTCTTCCCACTGGATGTGCTGAACCACAGCGTTGAATTTATGGGATCGGAGGAAACCATGACTAGTATCTCCATGGACGACAGACTGACAATCAGTAATATGTCGACTGAGTGGTCTGCAACATCCGCAATGGTATGGCACCTGCTTGAGCTACAGTCTGCATTTCCATGAGCCCGTCTAATTGGTCTTCCTATAGTTTCCGATGGATGCGATACTAGAACGTTGGCTCCGATACAAGGCTACAGAGGCAGCAATGCTAGAGGATCGAACGACTCGACAACGAATTACGCACGAAATGGTTGACGAACTCTTTTCCAACCCTCTCCGATCTGATCCCGGAGCGCACTATGCAAAGAAACTCTACCTTGACCTCTCTACTCTGTCGCCTTATATCTCTGGACCTAACTCCGTCAAAATCTCGACACCCCTGCATGACCTCGCTACAAAAAACATCAAGATAGACAAGGGATACATTGTAAGCTGCACTAACTCGCGAAGCTCAGATCTGAAGGCTGCAGCCAAGGTATTTCAAGCTGCCGCCGAGTCAAATGGTGGTAGGATCCCCAAGGTTGCAGATGGTGTTAAGCTATACATTGCAGCAGCTTCAGCCAGAGAGCAGGCTATTGCTGAGGATGAAGGTAACTGGCAGACCTTGGTAGAGGCTGGAGCTACCGTGCTCCCACCTTCATGTGGCCCATGTATCGGACTGGTAAGTAGTCACTGCTCCCCGTGTGGAATTTCGCGTGGAATTTATGTTACGTATTAATAATACGTAGGGCACGGGTCTGCTAGAGGATGGCGAGACGGGAGTCTCTGCATCAAATCGCAATTTCAAGGGCCGTCTCGGATCAAGACGTGGGTTCTCCTCTTACTATTTCAATTATGTTTGTAGCATTTCAGAGGACTGACAGCGAGAAGTTGCTCATGCGTACCTTAGTAGCCCCGAGGTTGTGGCTGCGAGCGCTCTGAACGGCGTTCTTTCAGGTCCCGGCGTTTACGAGGTGTCGGAGACCTATACTGGCGTAGAGTACGGTTACGGCACCGGAAAACCTGCCACTATCGAAAACGAGCTCGGCAATGCCCTTGAACAGCTCGAGTCTCTTATCGACAGGGTTCAGACGACTGCTCGTATTGGCGATGATGCTGCCCAAGCAGTCACGAAGATCCTCCCAGGCTTCCCAGCCAAGATAAGCGGTGAAATCGTCTTCGCTGATGCTGACAATCTGGACACCGACAACATATATGCTGGCAAATTTACCTATCAAGACTATATGACGACGGCCGATATGGCAAAAGTCTGCATGGAGAATTATGACCCGGAGTTCAGGTCAATCACAAAGCCCAACGATATCCTCGTCTCAGGGTTCAACTTTGGGTGTGGCTCATCAAGAGAGCAATCCGCAACAGCTCTTCTGGCTAGGGAAATCCCACTTGTTGTGGCGGGCAGCTTCTCTAACATTTTTGTCCGGAACGGCGTTAATAATGCACTGCCTTGTCTAGAAGTGCCACGTTTAGTGGAGCGTCTTCGTACTATCTTCTCAGAAAACAAGGTATCTACCCGGCGTACAGGCTGGACCCTGACATGGGATATTGCCCGGAGCATTATTGAGGTACAGGAGGGGGAGAATGGGGAACGCTGGGAGGAGAAGGTTGGAGAGTTTCCTGAGAATTTGCAGGAGATTATAGCCAGGGGGGGGTTGGCAGGATGGATCAAGCATGAGCTTGCGAAGGCTGCCTAATAGACAGTAGTGTGGAGAGACAATGAACTGTGGCTGCACAAACACAGTAGGAGAGGAAAAAAACATACCCCAAACCGCACACATCCGCACGAACCTGATCCCAAAATCTCTGGAGAACCGATGCTGAGCCCCCTCTCAGAACCAACCAAGACCGCTGCATATCTCGGGGTGCTAGGAAAGTTAAGAAGCGACCTTCACCGGTCATAGTATCTGCAACGACCGCGTTGCAGCACAGCCGTCAAGCAAAGGATATGTAAGAAGAACAGCAAAAAATGGCTGCAGAACCGTTACAGGTCAAGGCGCATATCACGCAGCTATCGCGAAAGGTAAAAGCCCCATCACTTCATAAACTCACTAAATTCGTACTAACTTCTGCGACTATAGATGTTCCCGTGCCTCTACTCCAATGAACACGACTGCGACGAGGCCTTTCAGAGTCATGTTGAGGCTTCCCACCATGCCATCCTTAGTCATCAGGTGGTACCCATCCACAAGACAGAAGATGGACAATTCATATGCTTGCACGCTGAGTTTGGCTGCTCAGCAACGTTTGAGACGACGACTCTTCTCACTACACATACTCAATCTGAACACCGAAAGGAAGCGTTTCCTTGCGCACTTGCGTGGAGCCGCAATTGCACAAATACGTTCACCACCAGAAAGGGCATGGCCATGCATATCAACGCCAAACATCGACAGATTCGGGAACCCTGTCCTTCGGCAAAAGAGACGGGCTGCAAAGCTACCTTCTCCGGTGTGAGCAGCGCACACTCACATGTCAGACATGTACATGGAGAGAAACCATACCCATGTCCATTGGCTGACGAGTACGATTGCACTGGGTGGCTCTACACTGTTGCGTTAGCTCAACGTCATGCTGGCATATGCCACAAGAAACTTGGGTTTCCCTGTCCGCGCGCTGAGCGGCTCGACTGCATGGCTAGACTCAACTCTAAACTAGAGGCGCAAAAGCATCTCCACGAGGAACACCAGCCGGACCCGTTTCCTTGTCCAGGGGCTGAGAAATACCAGTGCGAGAAACGATTCCCCACATACGACGCTGCTCGAAAGCACATGGGAAGGGACCATGAGCGGTTTCCTTGCCCACGCGCTGAGGAGCTTCGCTGCTCACAGACATTCTCCTTGAAACTGAGCGCGACCAAACATGCTCAACTCGTGGATGACCATATCAAGTTCCCATGTCTATATGCAGATACAGCGGCTTGTGACAAGGTGTTTGCCTCAGTGGGTGGCCCGAATCGGCATGCAAAATATCATACAAACCACTTCCCTTGTCAACATCAGCATCATTCCACCACTGAAACTGCCTGAACCGTCACTGCCCCACATTGAGCTTTTCCAGAAGACGGAATTGCCTAATCCATCGGCATCAAGCGGGGCAGATCCAACTTGCACGGTTTCCCTGAGCAGCTTCACCCCGAACCGGGACAGCCTCATGATAAGGTGCGACAACAGCCTAGGCACACTGGGCTGGAGACATCTCACTCAGAGAGCAGATTCCGCTGCTCTCTCTGCCATTGTTGTTGAGGGTATCGTATGCAATGGAGGAGAGAATTAACACAGGAAGTCAAACGTTGTGAATGGTGGGAACCAACGGTTAAACTTCGGCTGCGGTATCTGCCATGCTAGCTTCACAGGCTTCAAGTTTGCCATTATCGCTCGCTTGGAAGGGACATGCACAGTGCAGGTTCAGTACTATTGGATATGGACGGTGCATATTGCGTAGTATCATTGCTCCCGTTTCTGGGGTGGACTGAATATGTACTGATGCCTTGGGGGTCGGATGGGAGATGGGATATGGGATATGGACTCAGCAGGACAAGAGAGATACGGTGGACCTCAACAATCACACATCCAGCACGATTGTTCACATGGATGCACTGGTCTGCTCCATTATGTGGTCAGTCATCCTTGTGGGAAGTACTGTCTACTCCGTCTTGTAGTCAGTCATCTTGTAGGAAGTACTGGATCAAGAACGGTGCAAGATCAGTACTTGAATGAGGATTAGGCAAGATCGTTATGGGCATGAATGAACAAGAGTTAGAGTATGCCAATACGTTGTTTGAGTCGAGCAACCAGGCATCAGATCAAATGGATATGCCTTGCGATGCAATGTTACGCGACTCGACTGCCCAAGACCCTATCACCCATCACTTTTTGAAGACCTTGTTGTCGTCCTTGAACCTGACAGGTCAAAGAGTTGGGAATATCCTTAGTCTTCGTGCTCAGTGCAATAGAATTGTTGTTCAATTGAGCCGAAACCTTTCCACCAATCTGTAGGTCTCCCATCGCGAGCTCAAGTGGCTTCGCAGCAGGTCCAGGGGTGTCATCGTCCAGCTTCATTTCCACATCCTCATCCATCATCCCGGCCGATGCCGGAATCCCAAGACGCTGTTTTTGATCCTGCAAAAGATCGACTTGAGATTTCTCCAGCTGTCTCGATGCAGCACACCCCAGCCCTCCGCTGCCAGGCAATTCCACCCTATCTGCCGCTAATCGCTTCCTGATATCCTCGAAAAGCAGATCCATAGGCGCCATGTAAGCCGTCTTGCTCTGCCTACCCCATGCCAGAACATGTCCACAAAGTCGCCCTGTCTGAGGATCGTAGATCCATGCACCACTATCCCCCGGCACGCCAAAGGCACCGCCCTCAACGACCCAGCTGCTAGAGAAGGAAGTGCGGCCGTGAAGCTTGACAAGGGCTAGCGCTGCGGAGATACGGCCTGATTGGAGGCCAGAAGTCCGTCCATGACATTGCACAGGAAGGCGCGCGAGAGTAGAAGACGGAGCGATGGTAGTGAGTTGTGTGACTGAGGGATTTAGGGTGGATGAAGGTGCTGCACTTGGTTTCCCCTTGGTTTTTCGGTACTTTTTGGATTTTGTGATGTGTTGATGGATGGTATTGCCAACGGCCAGTCTTTCGTCACGGATCTTGATTAATGCCCAATCTATTTCGTGCTTGAGATTGCCTGTAACGACTCTTCGAATACCTGATGATGCATGAACATAGCCGAGGGAGTGACTTGCTAGATGGTCCTCATCGCGATCTTCTATGCAGGGAAAGAAGTCGTCATCCACATCGTCGATGGCAGGCTGAGTGACATAGACTTCTTCATCGTCTGCAGGGTCGATGCCGAGGGTATCTCCCACTGATGCTCTATCGTCATCATCGTCATCGTCACCGATGTCTGAGCTGTCTTCCTCGTCCGAGTCTGATTCGAAATCATCCTCCAAACCAGGCGTCTCGTCGCCATCATCAGCAAACCAGAATCCACCATTTCCCGTCTCAAGGTTGATGTAATCAGGTCGGATTGTGCTGCATTCACTTTCGTCGTCGGATATCTCCAAGATATCCGAACCTTCTAGAAGCTCTTGTCGAAAATGCTCACGGGACTGGTTTGCACTCATGTCTGAAAGCCAGGCATCTGAACTTTTGGCTGAACTTCTTTGCACACCGTCTTCGCCGTCTGTGGGCATCTCCTCCTCATCGTCGCTGGGAGCATCGAGCATATGATGAACGGTCATGCCGTAGGGCTTCCCATCAACCAGGATTGCACCTCCAAAAGACACTGGAGGCAGGTGCTCGTTGTTTCGAAAAGCACCTATAGAAGCCCCAAATTGAGGCTTCGCTTGATATGCAGATTTTTCTGGTTGAGGTGGCTGCAACCTACTGCGAGCACTGTCATGACACTTCCCCTTCCTCCGAGGTTTTCCAGACCGCCTAACATCCCCTTTCAAGACGACAAGACCCCAGCCTTTTTTGCATCTGAAGTTTCTTTTCAGACATTCTCGAACCTTCTCCACGCTCATGCATTGGATACAGATTGTCGTCTTGGCAGTTTCAGGTGTCTTGCCAACCATCATAAGAGAAGCGCTGCAAGATTCATGAGAGGAGCTCAGAGCTTTCTGCAGTAGCTTACTGATTCTCGGCATTAGATAAGTGTTCCACTGGTCAAGACAATCTTGCGGTATATCAACGTTATTCCATTTCTTCAGAATTGTGTGCTGGACAGCTGACTGAGCCTGGGGCTCTGGGCGCTTCTCGATCTGAAGTGTTGCATCCGTCGCAGCTTCAAATTGCGTTACATGACGGGTTGGTTTGAAGGTCGAGCCCTTTCGCTCCAAAGTTCGGGGGAATTCTAACGAAGGTTGCTTATCATTCAAATGTTCGAAATATGCTAGGTCAGGCTCGCACGGCGGACCATCTACATCGATTGCGCAGCAGCGAGATAAGTTGCGACCAATCTGTATCATATAGGAGCACCAAAACTGTGCTGTCTCCACAGTTCCCGTGCTGCCCGACCTAGCTTCGAAAAGATCCGGAGCATTGATGCAGGTCTGCACTACTTTCATATAGGCGGTCCCACACCTCGAGGTTAGTTTTGGGACGTATATGTTCTTAATTCTAGACGCGAAGGTGAACTTGTTATACTTAGACTTCCATAACCGGCTGACAGGGGTCCAGAGTCCAATTTCCAGAAGAATCAGACCAAAGCTGTAAATATCGAACGCCCATGATCGTTCAAGTCCATTGACATCATTGTCGTGCGCATGGCGATATATACCGGAGGATAGCCCATCGGCCTGCTTTGGCATGTGATCTGATGGAGGCGACTGCAGTAAATAGGGGCGCCTGATGTCAAAGGAGGATATCCCTGATCTTCCAGAATTATCTTGTTCGATGTGGTGATCTAGCAGGATAACAATGTTGGCGCTATTGAGACATTCGTGGCGAAGACCTAGCACTGAAGAATGCAGCATACTGAGCAAGATGTTGAATGCTAATCGAAAACGGTCTTCGAGATGTGGTGATGGCTGGTCCGTGTCATCACGCTTTGAAGGAATGATGGCACGCAGATTGCTAATGACGGGTACTCTGCTTTGCTGGTCGCTAGAAGCTTCTCTGGTGGGCATTTGATAAACAAAACCATGTCGTGTATTTCTGATGTCAATGGTATATCCCAGCAGACGGAGATTCCCGGTATGAGAGACTTGTACCGAAAATTGACTCTCAGATATCTGTCGGGCATATCGCAGCGCGGAACAATACTGGTCGTCGAGAGCGCTACCTTCATGACGCATTGTAGGAACGTATTCAACGATAACTGCTTTTTGAGAATTATCTTCAAGCCCAAAAGCTGAGCGCTGTTCGACCGTTAGCCTGGGGACCAGCAACTTCCCAGGCACCCTTGTCTTCTCCAGGGGCATTACCTCCTCATAAGGAGGCGGCTTCAAAGACACCACTGTCACATCGAAAACGCGCGTAATGTAAGATGGATCAATAAATAGCTTGTCTTGCCGGATGGACTGTTCCGTCTGGCACGTAAGACCAGCAGCCCTTAAGGCACCGCACTGATCTTGTACTGGCGAGCCAGAAGGACTTGTCGGGGATGGGTGATCTTTTGTTAACGATTCTTTGGAACCCTTTTCGATGTTCGAGCCACCACTCAAGGTCCGTCGGGACTCTGATAGCTTGTACAAAGAGTCGATACAAGTGATGAGCTGGGACAATAGGGATTGTGATTTTGCAATATTATCCGTCGTTGTCAGTTCATTGCTTCCAGGCAAGGCTTTAGAGTCCAGCTGCCCACCAGGCATCTTCTCCTGGAAGCTCGTTTGAGGATTCTGCATCTTTTCCGACTCGATCAGGAGCTTCTGAATGTCGGACATGACTAACGCAACTACATGACCCAGCCCTGCCTGGTCCAGTTTCTGGTCGATCTCGACATCCGGAGAAGGAGCTGCATTGGAATCGCTCCACTGAAGTCCCCATGCCAGAAGACGGTCCTTTTGAATGCGAAATTCACGGTGCAGGGCTTTGAGAACAGGATCCTCGTCAGCAGTGGTTTTGGAAGCCACAGAAGCAGTCTCGTAGGATTGCTTGGTATCGGAGTAGAGCTTCGTCAATCGACGGTGCAAATAGTTGCCTCCCCGCTGAAAGACCGAAATATTGGACCGCGACATTTCTTCAACTATTTTCCATGTTGAGTTTGATACTTGGCCGGTATCGCGAAGATGAATCTACATGGTGATATACTTGGAGGAAGCCTAGATGGTAAGTGTGGCATAATGTGGGGCCCTCGTAATCGGAGGGAAGCAAAAGTTGGTGCCTAGAATGGCAAGCCAAGCCACGCAATCTGAGAACGAAGGGCAACCACATGATCGTATCACCAATTGCAGCACCAAGATCGGAAATGTCTTGAATCAAAGGTTGCTCTGATTGCTAAGCTACTATCTATCCTTCGGCCATGATAGTAATACTATCGGATATTCTTAGGCAGGGTTGGGAAGAATAATGTCGAAACCAGCTCCCCTTAGCTCCATTTCGTAGCAATCCGGAAACATGCTGCCACCGCAATCATAATGCAGACTCCATTTCGCCTTGATTCATCCGTTCCATCGTACGCTAAGTACGCATCAATCATCCACCGAAACCATAGAGAGTACGTCCTTGTCGCTAGATTGTAGGTCAGCAACGTGATGATAGGCTCAGTCGCAGTGGCAGTCCTTACTTTCAGAGCATAGACCACGTCCAAGCTGGTCACAGTCTTTCTCTTTGCATGCTCAGTATAGGTGACAGCATCGCGAATGACAGATTCGAGAAAGGATTTAAGGACGCCACGGGTCTCTTCGTAGATCATGGCCTAGAAACAAGTCAGCAAAAAGCAAAGGGCAGTGGCGTCAAGGGCTACTCACCGAGATACGCTTGACACCTCCACGACGAGCCAGACGACGAATGGCAGGCTTGGTAATACCTTGAATGTTGTCTCGAAGGATCTTGCGGTGACGCTTTGCACCACCCTTGCCGAGACCCTTGCCACCTTTACCACCTATTAATAAAGTCAGTACATCATGAAAACTGAGGCATCAACATCACATTCATGGCAAAATGTGTCCAGCAGTTGATAGATAGGGTGGTCGGGTAACGTGTTCTGCAAGTGGTTTGGTGGGAAGGACTCCAATCAAGCAGCTGAGCCGCAACACCAATTTTGAGATGATGCGACCATGCAGAGTGCTCACTAGCACGTGAATGATAGGAATGAGGCTTTGGAAGAATAAAACTCTGTTTACTTACGGCCAGTCATTGTGAGAAAGGTACGAAATTGATGAGAAGAGGATATATGATAGAGCTGAGAATGAGTGGTTGATAGAATATGGTTTTGGTGGTGATGGGCAGCAGAGTCGTTGGAAATTGGGGCAAAGTGGAAAAGGGAAAACCAGAACTTGGGGAGAACAGGCAGGCAATTAAGTAAAGGAATGGGGGACAAGCGGTGCAGGTGATCCTGGCGCAGTGTCAGACATCAGAATCACGCTAAGCTTGATCTGGGCGGTAAAAGTTGGATCAGACGGCCCAAAGATCAGGTCGGGAATTTCATGTTCTGATGTGCTGGAAAGCTGCACTTGTTAAAGTTGTTTTTCTGGTGCTGCTTTTTGGCGGTGTTTGAGCTTTGTCGGCATCTCGGCGCTTGGCAATGGAAAATCCTTGGCACCCCTTTCCGTGTGACACTGGCTCCGTCTGGCACTACACTGACTAACCAAAATTGGAGCCTACAGTACCATGTTGCCTCAGTCACTCAGACGTATGATATAGCTTAGTCTGCTGCATGCTTCACAGAACAACACCGTAGTTGTAATAGTAGTATCCTGAGAATGGCTCAAGACAACCAGCTGGCTCGTATGCATCAATGACTCAGTATCGCAAGCTAAAATCTCGTCCTCTTGTTCGCCCGGTACATTGTCCAACCAACATAGCCTCCGACCACAACGCCAGCAAACAAAATCATCTTGACAAAGAACCAACCCCAGCCTCCACTCGATTGCTCCTTCCGTATCTTACCAGCTTTCCTATTGTCTGCCTCCTGTTTTGAGCCTGGGCTGCTACTTGATCCGCCGGTACTGTACATATTCCTCGTCTCCACGCTGATGATATCAAAATTGTCTGAAAGCTCGCCGGTCTCTGCCGAGAAGCCCAGATAGACCACGTTTGGAAGCTTTAATGGCATCGAAGTTGTCGGTTCAAGGCTGAAGCATGTCGACCATTGATCTTCCGTTTTGTATTGAAGCTGTAATTTTAAGGATTTGTCTTGGAAGTACGTCAACTTCGCCTTCGTAGGTACGCTAGCAGCACGAAGACCTCGAGCCTAGAGAGGGTCAGCTTGTCTCTGTAACGTTTTCGCTGAGCTTACCGAGCATCCTCCAATCTCATTCGCCTTGCCATCATTCGCCTGATCGTACTTTGTCCGACCATCACCCATCATGGCCATGACATATGGAAAGACGATTCCTGGTCGGTTGTTCTTGTATGTGTCGAAGAAGATCCCTAGACCCTCGAACTCATCTTTATGTCCAAAGACTGGTCCGGGAACAGCCCTATCTTTGGAGATCCACATTGCAAATCCATCCCCATGTAGGTTCCCGGAACCATGTATTGAAAACTCCACCTCGATTTCCCAGTTTGTGGCACTTAACGGAGCTCTCGAAAAGAGCCAGCCTTCTTGTGATGGTCGATCAGATGCCAGTCGTATGTATTGATCCGCTCGTATTATCGTATCTCCACCGAAATCAAACCACCTACTCGACATGTCCGAGTCTAGGTATGGCTATAAAGAGAATGGTCAGTGATGTCTCTGTTCTCTTAACATGGATATTTTGAAGCGTAGTCGCTGGCCAACATGGAACGTATATGTTCGCTTTCAGGTCCTAGGCGCAACGTACAGGTGCAAGGCTATGTGTGCGAAGCTACAGACATGGTCAGTACAACATGCGGATAGACTGATATCCAGAGACTTTTACTGGGATACTTCTCATTTCGGGATCCGTCTGAACCGCAGCGTGTGCGCCCATTATTGCACATGCGACCACTAGCCATGGGGCTATTGACCTGCCTGGAAGTTGCATATTGACCGGACAATTTACACAGTAACTTGAGGAAGCCTGACAGTAACGGGAGCGGAGAGAGGAAGTTGAAAAGCAAATATTGTACAGTACTATCTTGTTGCCATGTGCGGAGCTTCGGGACTGCGTCGGCTCCCAGGGTCCGGAGGTCCTCCGGTCTGTCAGCACCAGCGCCAGGGTTCCTGCTTTAGCCCCTGGAGCTCTGTTCAGCGCCGAGATTTCTCCATGATCCACCGCCGCACACATCAACATGAACCTCAGAGCCAGCTACATCCGATAACCTTTGTTCTAGTGAGATTCACAATTCACAATTCACAATCAGGATAACATCATACATTATTTCTTGCAAAGGTCATAATCACCAAAAGAACTACTCTTGCACCTCTAGCAACTCCAATCTTTACTTCGTAAAACGTCCACAATCCCACCCCAACGCAAAGCGAACAAAGATGTCCTTCCCATCGCTCCCCAATCCCTTCAGCTCCTCGTCATCCTCCTCCTCCTCCACCCAATCCAACACCACCTCACCCTCCTCGGCTGAGTCCACCGCTCTCAAAAACCAAATAATGCAGACCCTCCAAACCGAAGGCAACGTCCAAAATGCCAAATACCTGATCCAAAAAGTCAACGAGAACTGCTTCAACCACTGCATCCCCGCTGACGCATCAACATCCCTCACCCGCTCCGAATCGACTTGTCTGTCTGCCTGCATGGAGAAGTATATCGAGGCGTGGAATACGACGAGCAGGACATATATTGCAAGGATATCAAGGGAGGCGCCGGGGGTGACGGCGGCTGTTGGTGGTGCTGGTGGTGCTGGGTTGGGGGGGCTTGGAGGGATGCAGGGACCGGATGTGGGGAAGGAGATGTTTTGATTGAAGCATTGACGAAGTGAAAGACATTTAAGGGGAAGAATGGGCTGTGGTATTGGATGGGAGAGAGTGGAACGCAAGATCGGTTTCCATACGCTGAGGGTGTGGAGCCATGCATCACTAGTGGAGACCAAAATGAGAGTGTGACAGGAATTCAGACTGGTACAGGTGCCAGCATGTCTCCTTTGAGATGGCTTGCAACCATGGGTCACGATCACAATCTGGCCACCGCCATCATTCTCAGCAGGATTTCTATTGGACACTAAAATGGCTTGAAAGCTATCAGCACAGGTGGTTGTTAAGATAAATGTGGAATTAAAATAGAACCAGACAAAAGAAAACATATCGAACAAAGCACAAGAGCTGAACCAAACAGCAGCATTAAAGGTTTGATGATTCTCTCAGCATAAGTGCTGATTATGATACCAAGACTTGTACAGATATCCCGCTTTGTGAGCGTATACTAACTATTACATAATCTTTTGGATGAGTAAAGAAACGAGCTATTTTTTGTCGTCTGATAAAAGCTGCTTTCCGCGCTTACAGGCAGTCCCGTCTCAGGCGGTTGCGTTGCTAAAGGAGTACATCTGCCCCAGCTGGCTGTGTATCTGTGTGCTGGTGCCTTGACAACTCTGCATGCATCCAAGCACGACAAATCCCTGCAGTTGATGTCTCATCATGATTGAGAAGGAGCTCCAAAGTAGTCCTGCGCTCTCCCTGCTGCCAAAATCTGGCATTTCGTAGCAACCGACTTCGGACAACAGAGATCAATATTATGCACGCAACCGCAACCAGAATCACAACCACTCTGGTTGTCTCCTTAGTTCAACATCCGCTTATCTCATCAGTACCTCTTTGCACAGCTGCCACCTTGGCTGACAAGCCAGAATCAGAAATCTCGGAAGTTATGGCCATAACTGCGCATTCCACATTAGTGAGAACCTTTTATAGATACCAGACATAAGGTCAGGCTCACGGATCATCCCCTTTCTTTCCATATTCTTCCGTCTCCTCCGGATACTTGTCAAATTGTGATGCATCACCTTGCCCACCCTTAACTGGCGGCACATACGGGGCATCAATATCCTTCTTCAAAAGTCTTTCCCATGTCACCTCAGCGAACCAGGCATGATTCTTCACGTCTGCCGGGCCACCATGCAGGTTGCCCAGTCGCTTTGTCAAGTCTGGTGTGATGAGCTGGACGAGGAGGTCTTGTGCGTCGTGGTGGATATAGGGTGGATACTTGACTTTGCTTTTAAGGATGTTTTCGTAGATCTTGACTGGTGAGCCGCCGTCCCAGAAGGGAGTGAAGCCACAGAGCATTTCAAAGATGAGGATCCCCAAAGACCACCTGAGGAGTTGGTGAGATGTAGAAGGCAACAGGTTATATTTCATGGACTGAGCTTACCAATCAACTGATTTATTATATCCTTTTGACGAAACGACTTCTGGTGCAAGATAATCAGGGGTTCCACACAGAGTCCAGGTAATATCTACGACGTCTTTGGCGAAACCAAAATCGGTGATTTTGATATGACCATGTCGATCAAGAAGCAAGTTCTCAGGTTTGAGATCCCGATAGATGATATTCTGTGCATGGAGGTATTCCAAAGCAAGAGTCACCTCGGCAGCATAGAACTTTGCAACCGGATTGGGAAAACGCTACTGAGTATTAGTAGATGTCTGTCAACACGTCTCACGTATGACCCTATCCACGTATGGCTCTAGTTGAGTGAGCTTGTGACAAAGGCCGTCTTACCTGTGATTTCCTCAGTAAGCTAAAAAGCTCACCACCTTCGATAAAATCCATCACCATGTAAAGGTTCTTCGCATCTTGAAATGTGCCCCACAGCGTGATCAAGAATGGATGTTTTACCCGCTGCAGCATCCTACGCTCATCATTTGTGTGCTCAATCTGCTTCATCTTCACTACCTGTTGCTTCTTGAGGACCTTGACGGCATAATATCGCTGATTGTGCTTAGATTGGACCAAATGAACTCTTCCAAATGAACCTGTGCCCAGAGTTCTCTCAAAATTGAAGTCTGTCAAGGTGTATTTGCCCTTGGTCTGCCGAGGCACGACCTTCTCCATGATGGGTGTGGGCGTCGCGGTCGCTTCCGTTGGAGTTGCGATAGTCGCAGGGGTAGGCGTCGACTCTGCCTTGGTCTCTACCGGGCCATTCGTGCTAGTGAGTGCACTGCTTGCAGAGGTAGCTGCTGTGGTGGTGGATTGAGGGGGGCCGCTTTGTTTTGAAGAAAGCGGAGAAGATGTACTCGATGTTTCCTTGGTAGGAGATGTTGGTGATGTGACGCCTTGACCAGAGGGCGAATCTTTGGTCTTTTTCTTTTTAAGAAGGCTTCCGAACGGCATAACACGGAATGTATCTACCTTTGAGGGTGTTGTTTGGTGACTGCGCCGATATTCGGCGATGCTCCGCACAGCAGGCAAGTGAATGCTATGGTGCAATCAACCACAAGGAAAGACCAATTGACAACGTGTCCAGAGCAAAAGCCTGCGAAATCAACCACTCAAGTTTCCTGGCCTACTAATCAACCTTTACTTGTGCTGAAGTCGAGCGAAGTGTTCACATGAAACAGCGCCAGCGACGCAAGGGGCGTGGAGAACGGGAGGAGAGCCAAGGCTTCCAAGAGTGTTCAGGTATATGTCTGTGTCATGTATTGGAGACAGCAATGTGCTCAACTGAAGCTTCTGCTTTCTGCGTTTAGCAAATTGAGCTCTAGGTGGAGAGAAGGAGGGTAGAAATGGTGATTGTGGTTGGATTAGGGCCGGTGTCAGGATGTGAAGCTGAGGTAACAGATGAGGAGTGACCAGTCAGAAAAGGTTGGAGGAGCAGCTTCCAGAGACCTTGGAGCCTTCTCAGCAAGGATTGGAAGGGCCGATGTGGGATGTCAGAGCATGCGGGAAGAGGAGCAGCTTTCAATGGGTACTCTAGTCAAGCAGCTTGCGCTGCCGTCCAGAGTTCAACCTCGAGGTCGCGCTCCTAGAGTCTTAGTGGGGGACGAGAGAGGGGAAAGATCCGCTTGGAGGGCGCCTCGGGCAGATGTTCCAGCATCCGGAGTTACACTGTCTAGAACCCCGATGCCGCGGTTCTTGAGTTGGCTAGCTAGAACTCAGACGTGGATGCACCTATCACATAGTGCGTTTAGAGATTGTCGCGGCGACAACCAATGCCTAACGTAGTAGATTTTGGCTTGGCTCAATTAAGCATTCCCACCCTAAAAGATGGCTGGGACAAGTAAGAATTAAATGCCTCATGATCATCCTCCAAGCGAAAGTACTCCGTACTGAGTAAACCAGATCCACACACGACTGTAGGGTTCGTTTCTTGTGCATCTCGATATCAAGCCATGCAGGAACAGACGGACCTAGTCACATTGATTCAAATTGTGACTGCAGACCTGCCAGAGCCACAACTGAGGCATGTAACCATTTGCAGAACACCCCCTTTGCGCGTAGAGTAACAGTACTCTGGAGTCGGTGTTTTAAGGCGTCTACTGTTTTCAAAGTCGGAGTCTTCCGATACTCTTTTGCAGGATATTCGATGCTGGATGCCGGAGTGAACGATCTTTGTGCATAGCGTATTTCTGTTTGGAACCAGAACGATGGGTCCTCGCTACGCAAAAGCAACCAGACCGTGCAGTAGTTGTCTGCAAGCCAGCTGCATGCGGTATAACGTTAGCGCTTGCGGCGGATGTGGTTGAGCTGTATGAGCACAAGCAGTAGTGATTCCGAAGGTGGTTTCGGTTTTGACCTCATTGACACTGCAATTGAAAGCTACTGGCACAGACTTGGCTCTTCATGATAGACCCCCTAGTTGTGTAGCAAACAGGCGAAGTGAACGACAATGAACTCAATGACTGCAGCGTAGTGAAGGATTAGATGCCAATGAAGTATCCGAATTCTGTGGGAAGCTGATAACGAGTGGAGAAGTCAAAGAACCATGGTTACGGTTCAGGTCGAGGAGCTGTAACTCGAGTCAAGAAAGCTTGGCAACGACGTTACCCAAGTCAATGATTAGGATAATTATGATGTACGGAGACGAGGAGTCGCCAGGATCAAGATACTATCCACAAGCTGAGTAAAAGATATTGCTATCAAGCGTGCCTTGCTGGTGCTCCCACTCTGCTCCTTCACATTCGTGAGAGGTAATGGCTTTCCCATCATCGAGACGTCTATCACACGTACTCCATAGACCTTCCGATAACGGTGTCGACATAGCAATTTGTCCGCGAAATGATCTGCTCCGAAGGCTGCACCAGTCCAGATACTTGAGTGGCACTCACGTATGTCGTTCTGACAAGGACACGCTATCTCCGTTTAAGGCAGACCTGCATGTTGTTCCATGATGAGACCGCAAAGCTAGTTGTAGTGGATGTCTTGCACATTTAAAAATTGGGTATCGTAACACTTGTAAACGCCTCCGGCGCTGTTCAAGGCTTTAGGATCAATACAGCCGCCGAAAAGTGTTGCCTGAAGCACTTCGCCGGTCTTTGACGGAACGGCTTTCACCAGAGATATTCTGGTCAAACCTGGGCTTTTTGTTGTGCCGTCCAGATTGAGGCTCGAAGGACAGTATCTTCTCACCAACTGCACCTGCTCCAGCGCGTACCTTGTCCCGTGGCTTCATATTTGAGACTCGTGTGCCGAAAGACCTGTCTTTGACAAGCTTGCTCTCGGAAGAGGACGTGACACGCATTTGTATCATCTTCGCTTTGGGCTTTCTTGATTGCGGCCTTCGTTTGTAGTTTGTTGAGGATATCCGATCATCCTGCACGGCGGTCTTCTGAGCATCATCGGAACCATCTTCATCAGAGCTCGATCCAGGAACTTCATCAATCATCTCCTCTTCAACAGCGGTCAGAGGCTTTTCACGATCTAGGTTTGATGAAGGGGTTGGCCTTGAGCTTGGATTCAAGGACTGAAATTCGCGAGATTTCTCATCGATACTGAATTCTTCGTCCTGGAACAGACGGGTAAATCGTGGATCAGCAAGGAGACCCTTCGCTTCCTTATCAAAGTCTTCGGTGGTGCCGTTGGTTTCAACCTTTTCATCGCCCCCATTAGCAAGCACTCTCTGGGCGCGGCGTCTCTCGTTCTTCTCTTCACGCTCAAGAATCTTCTCTGCCATCTTTCTATTGACCTTGGTTGCAACCAGCCTCTTTCCTCTGATTCTACTCTCTCTCTCTTTATCGATTTTTTCCTTGACTCGCTTGGCCCGCTCTTCCTCCCAACTGGAAGGATTGGCTATCAATCTTGCTTCTTCGTATAATCTTTGAGCCACAAAGTAGCCATGCATATAGGGTCTCAGCAGATTTGTCTTGCCGACTAGGTGATCCAAATTGAGTGTGCGTAATTGTGCCATCGTGAGGAACTTGAAATTATCGTAAACTTCTCCGACTTGACGACCTGAGTACGCATTCGGATCATTAGGATCTTCTGCCATTTCTTCCACGATGCTATCTAGGAATGAACACCACTTCGGTGCGGGACCTAATTGAGGAATGAAGAAAGCGTGTTGCTGTCTTCCTTCATTGGCCGTCAAGAACATTCCGCTGTCTTTGCACCAAGCCACGCAGTTGATATCTACTGCTGGTTCCACAGAGGTCCAAGCTTCGCCATTTCTCTCATCCCAGAGCTTGAGGATGCGTTTGTCGGAAGAGAGAATCTTCGGCTCGTCCGTCTGTATCCGACTCCTGGTAGAGGGAGTCAAGAATTTCAGCGTCTGCACGGGATAGCCATATCCATGGTCTTTTCGCAGTAGTGGCAAAGGCGAACGAAGATCGTACAGATAGACCATTCCAGAAGAAGTTCCGACTGCTGTGGTGATACCTGACCTGTGAAAATCCAGTGCAGTAACCTCTGGTCGTGCTCCTGCAGATTCCTGTTCGTGAGGCACTCCAAGAACAGCGGCTCGATTGCGTGATCGCGAATCCCAAAACTCTACAGTTCCTATTGAGGTTCCAAAAGCCAGCAAATTGTGGCTTTCTTCCGCAATGGCGGCAGTGTTTACACTGCCTGCATTGATGCCGCCCTGAAGCGCTCCCGCGCCAGAAGAAGTGAGGTCATCGCCACCCACATCTACCTCATATTCTCGCATGAATCTCCCTTGTTCAAGGTTTATCCGGAAGACTTCTCCTAAGCCATTGGCGTTGACCCCAACTGCCGGGACGAGAAGTTCGGCAGATGCTTTGCTGTAGACAAGATCGCGTCCATATCTGGGTGTGCGGAGAGTACAGTGACATCCTTGAGGTGTGTGCAACTCTATTGACCTGTCTTCTTGCAAGTGTGCTGTCTTCGAGTAATCGGGCGACAGAATTAAGAATGTCTTATTCAAAGTATCTGTGTGTCGCGCCCAGGATAACGATAAGTTTGGGAGGTAATGTGTATGAATCTGAGGCTTATAAGTCCCTACAGTAAGCGATCAGCGCCGGGAAAGTATTAGGTACAAGCAGCATGAAGCTTCCGCACTAACCCGTGCTCATCACCCACTGGCCATCATCGCTGACTCGCACGCACTGGCTAGCCTCTTCGAACTCGAAGTCCTGTAGTAGCTCGACTCTGTTCGCATATTCAGGGTCTCTTTTCAGGCTCCGCTTTCTCTGCTGTGAAAGCCATTCGGGCAGTGGGCGTGCAGTTGAAGAACCGGATACGGTGTATACAGGTACCTTTGAGCTGTTGGACAGCTTCATTTGCGCTTATCGAGATAACCAACCTCCGTATCGCTTGATGTCATCGCTGCATCTCGCGTTGCAGAACCGAAGATGGATTTACAAGATTGTCTTTTACACTTTCGACTCGGGAACAAAAAATGATGCCAAGATTTCGAATAGTTCCTTTTGTGGTTAGCAGCCTCGGGGTTTGCTTTGCACTCAGCACTAGTCCAGCGTACTACTTGATTGGCCCACCGCTCCCACTTCCTTACACTTCAATCAACTGTGCCATAACACAGCGCAAGTGTTGATCCCGATCAGGTTACGGAGCTCGTGCTTGACCGAAAGACCACGTCTTAATGTAGGCAGAAGCATCTCAACACTTTGCGCAGACCTCTGGGATGCCCTTGAGGGTAGTTGCCGGCATTCAGGACAGCACATTTTTTAAAACATATCAACCGGCTTTTGCAATGAAACCGGATAAACGAAAACAGCCTGACTTATTCTCCTTGCTATCATTCTTCAAGTCTATTTTGCGCGGATGAGGTGGTAATCTTTCTGATGGATTTTCCAGCCGAAGTTTCCACCAACACCTGTGCCCTAGTACGTGACGTTACTTGTCCTGTGATGGGCTACTGATCGCTGCCTAGGAAGGCTCCTCGGGTATAGCCTACGCAAAATGCGTTCTATCGACAGCCAGCAGACCGAACTTGTCAGATACTGAGAAGGGGCAATCAGAGAGCTCCCGGTGCAACAGCATTGAACGTCTGTGCAGTGCTGAAAATGAACTCCGGAAGGCTCGAATTCTTGTCGCTTTAGACAGACCTCGAGCAGAGCTTTTCACTTTCTATAGCAAAGAAGACTTACAGAGGGACGCAAAGTCAATCTTCAATCGTGTTGTGGCTATTTTGCGCAAGAATGAATGTCAAATGTCTTCAAGGGATACCATTAAGACTGCAGACCTCTTACTTCCTGATCATGGAAAGCTGCATCGACTGTTCGTCTATGCCATTCTGTCTATGATCAAGTCTGAGACTAAGCAGAATGAGAATCTTGTTGCCCTTGATATCAATACCTTTCTCTATCGACTACCTCCGACCTTTCAACAGCAAGATCGACTCACTTATGGCTCTGAAGATATTTGGAGGTTGCTTAATCTTGACATCCAGCTACTACCAAACGGTCGAGTCATAGTAGTCAACTGCCAGGACAGCGTGACCAGATTCAGACGCGTCACAAGCACCGCCAAAAACGAAGGGTTCCAGCATGGTCTCGATAAGCCAAGTAAGATACTTCTCGCACTGACAGGTCAATATGCTCGATACACAGGTGGACATATTGGAAAGCTCCCTCGTCCTATTAATATGGCAGCTCCCAAAGCCAATTCTTCGAATCAAAACAAGGAAGAAGTCCTGGAGATATACAAACAACAGGTCTGGAAGGACTCAGTCGGGCAGTGGCTTGCAGAAAATGAATTTGATTTTTCTGTCGAGGAAGAAACTTGGATTGAGCTTGAGTTGCCCTTATGCCAAGCAGACACAGAACATCCAATCTCTCCTGATGGCATTGCCCAAAGAGGGAAAATTAACTGGAAGCCCATCTTTTGGCCAACCTCTCTTTGCTTCGTGAGCGCTGTGCATCAATGGTTGACTGAAGAAAGTGCTTTCTCGACACCCTGCTTTGAAGATCCTCTACAGTTCGTGGAAGACTGGATATCTTCTGCAGCTGACAGGGAAGCCGCCATGAGGAAGATGGAGCAAACTGCCGAAGTAAAGCAGAAGTCTGGTCAAGTTGAAGAATCGGATATGTCTCACATCAATAACATTCATATTGATGCAGGTCAGTCCTTCCGACGTGTGACCTCCCTCGAGGGACAAACGGCGACAATCTATCCCACACCACCGGACGGTATGCTGTCACAGGTTACGCCAGGGGTCTTTTCTGCTGACGGTTTGGCTGGTACACCAGGTGAAGGTGCACTTCCTGGTCAGTCGGATAGAGCAGGGGGGAATGTGGAAACAGTCGATCTCATGGGAGAACAGGCAGCCATAGGGTCAGGACTTTATGATGAAGATCTCTTTGAGGATGTTCCTGGCGAGAAGTTTGGTGAGGGTGAGATGGCCGACGAGCCAAACTGGGATTTTTTTGACGAACCTGATGCTGATATGACAAATGAGGACCCGATGGAGCTAGATGGACCGGAAAAGGTTGCTTCCATGGTGGGCGAGGATCGAGTCTTAGATCATAGCGAAATCGAGCAGGCAAACAGCCAAGTTGCAGTTGTCTTGCCTGAAAGCAATAATGGTATGCGGCTTGACGAGGGGGCCGTAGCTCACGATCCTGAGCCCATGACCTTTGAGAAGGACAGACCGCCGCATGGTGTCGACGACGGCACCAAATGCCATGGCAAATTCGCAATCAGGTCGGCTGATCTAAACAGCCAACCCCTAAGCCCAGCTGAGGTTAGAAAGAAGCTCTTTATTGATATGGCAAGTCCGAACTGCTACCCTGGGAAAGGGCTCGACACTGCCCATCCAAACCGGCGTTCTCTTCTCAGAAGCCATCTTGAGCTGGGCACCTTCCAACCGGACTTAAAGATCGCTGATAGCAGGTACAATGCCAATGGTTCCTTTTGGTTTGAACCGAAGCAAGCAGGAAAATCTTTACCAACAAATATAAGTGAACAACATCTCAACAACATACCACGAGTAGGCATACCGAAGAGGGACCACAGCCCTCTAATTTCAGGAAGTCCTGGAGGTTCTGAGCCTCCCAACTCTTCGTCTTCGATTGAAGATACCGATTTCGACAGTAGCGACTTCTTTTCCGAGAGCAACAGGTGCGGTAGCCCGGGCAGATCAGATGGAGGTGAAGCGGAACCTCTGCCCACGTCACCCAAGCCAGCGGAGGACATCCTGCATCCGGACACAAAAAGCAGAATTCGTGCGGATGTGATGACAATTTTGGAGCTCCTGCATCCCGAGGTCAACGAGCAGTTGTTCGGTTTGAACCATCAGCCGCTGCAGCGGCCTCCTGAACCGAACCTGCCTATTACTCACGACAGACTCCTGACAGTCGCACAGGTTGTAGTTGACCAAGTCTCGCAAAGCTTCTTCAACTACGACCGCCCGAATGATTCCTTAACAGTATCTAAGTTGCAAAGTCCGGCCATCTTCCAACAACTGCAATCTATCTATGGATATGCTACCGAGCTAGACGTCGCAAAGCTAGCGGAGATGTCCACGGCTACCCAGGATGGAGCGGGGGGTAAGGGACTGACGGAATCTCCCCCACCCTTTATCCGACTCGCCCGCACTGATATTGATATGAACGCCTTGCCCACAATTCAACCTTTTTGGGAAACCCTTGGCCTTCAACCCGTAAACGGCAAGAAGAATATCACTACAGTTTGCATCCATCCTGCCGGGCTTCACATCCAAGAAGGAAGCTCAGCATTCCTACAACGATTTGGCGAAACCTACAGGAACTGTAACCTAGGCAGTCATACGATCGCAAATATACGAGATGTGACAGACAATGGCCTGATTGAATGGGATGCCCGAAAGACGTCTGGAGTGCTGGAATTGCTCAAAACCTGTGAACAAGTTGGAACTTCCTTGACCACTCTTGCCTCAACAGACGACAATGTGATCATCTGTATTGTCAATTCCTTTAGGAAGAAGAACGCACTCGCCGATGTTTGCAACGCATTTGTGGCCTTGTTCACTAACTATGCAAAGGCGTGCGGAAAGCGTAAACCCAATGAGCTCAATCTCCAGATCATACCAATGTCTTTCATTGCTTCACCGGACACAGTGGTGATTCCTTCACAATCAGAGTACCTTAGCCTTGCACTGGAAGTGTACAATCGTTGTCCATTGACTATCTCTTCTAATGCAGTAGCCGAGTCTGCAGCAGCCGTGACCCTTGCAGAGCCAGTACCAAAGGATATCATGTTCAGTCTTACATCTGATACTACATCTCCATTATCCAAAGGTGGACAAACCCTACACTTAGCATACTCGACAAGTGTGGACCTCCGATGGTTGACTGCCTGTTGGACGGACACGCATGGCAAGACGGCATTGACAATGACTTACTGTCTTTGTCAGAAAGGATCAACTGTATCCCGCTCACGGTCCGAAATCATCCTTGAGATGTTGGAGATCTCCAAAGATATCATGATCAACACTCGCGGAAAATGGCGTTTATTCGTAGCCCACGACGGACCAATTGAGCCTGATGAAATGAATGAGTGGTCAACCCTTGCAAATCAAAATGCTTCCAATAAGTCTCTTTCACATTGCGTTCTCATCCTACTCACATTTGATGAGCATCCATCCATTCAATTCTCTTCTACAACGCCCCAAAACAGATCACAACATCCACCAACCGCAGCAGTAACCACAACAGCTAAATACGGCACTCCCGTATCAACCCCATCAGCCCTCGCAATGACCTCCTCCCCGGATCAGTTCACAGTTTCAACACCCTTCCCACCAACTCCGGGTGCATCGTCCTCTTTATTGACCGCTCCCACACCTCCCGATCAGAGCAACCATGCAAACAGCCAATGGTTTAGTGCCGACACAGCCACCGATCCTGATACCACTCTTCACGACCCAACAGACGAATGCTGGTCTCTCATCCTCAACTTCGGGCTTAACAATTCCACTTCCCCTCTTGTAAGCCGTCCCGCACAGTTAAGTGGATTTCTGCTCAGACGTCGCGGACAGCCGGATAGCGACGGGTTGGTCGCGCTTGGTGTCAATCTCATTTACTCTTCTGCCGCTGCTGTTGGAGCCGGAGCTGAGACGGATCAAGCTGAGCAGAGGAGCTTACTGAGAGATGTAATCAATCAGTGGAGGGGTTTATATACGTTGGCTAGGACGAAGGGCTTGGGTGGGGGAGGAGGAGAGGAGAGTGTGTTGCCCTGGCATGTTAGGACGGCGGTTGTGGGGTGTAGAGCTGTCAGCGAAATGCTATAAAGGAACTTGCCAATTGCCAGTAGGCCATCTTCGACCCATCCTTGTTGCGTCTCGCCACCCGAGCCGCCTATCTAGATGCAGCTTCGAGTGATCATGACCAGCCACTCAAGTTGTACAGCATGTCATGCGAAAAGGCAGCACGTCCTGTTTCCCACCCATACTGCCCTCCTTCATCAACCACAGAACAGAAAGAACTCCGATCAGCACGTTTGCTCGCACAGCCAGGAAGACACGTCGTCCTTCTCATCACTTTGAAGATCTCCCAGATCTCGAATGTGTAGCAGACGTCTGCCCTGCTTCTGCAGTCCCTTACCTAGATCCCTTGCAGTGCCACGTCGGTCGTCAATATATCCCCACTACCCACCTGCCATTCACAAAACAATGCATTCCGTCCAAGCCAGGCGACGAGTGAATGCTAGACCCTCAGAAGAACAAAAATTGGAACGCGCATCACCACTGACCGGGTTTGCTAATCGAGTGGACGGACAGACAGATGTGTGACACTTTCTTCAAGCAGCTTAACTCGGCTTGATGATCGGGGGTGGTTCCATATTGTGCTTCCTGAACTTAGTAGGTCGTGATGCCCTTATCTTGTCCGAAAGAAACAGATGCAGTTCTCACTCAGGAAATTGGACCTGGACCTGGACCTGGACCTGGACCTGGATCTTGAGCCTGAGCCTGAACGGAATCTCCAAGGGTGCTTTATGTTATACCAAACATTGGTACTTCAGCAAGGCTTGCTCGTTACCTGCTCGATCTGCAGACTGACCGGTTGGATACTACATCATTGCACCTTCATAGGGTTGGGGGGGAGACAAAGGAGGAGAAGGGGAGGGAGAGGATAAGGAGGAAGAGGAGGAAGGGGTGAAGATGACGCGAAGAAGGGACCGATGGACCGAGTAGAAGCTAGCTAACTAACTTACCACAAAGAGATCACACATCCTCACGATATGGAAAATACAACAGACAGGTTAACAAACTAACTCGGTGCCACTAGCACCATGCTCAGCATGACTTCCAGCAGTACTAAGTAGTCCGATTCTCCAAGCCCACACTTTTACTACGTACTCCTCTCACCCTTCTTTGCTGCCGTTTTCATCTCTGAAAGCAGTAAGAGTGAGTGAGTGATTGTAGATGCTCTACCGAATATAGCACAAAACACCACCACCACTACCACCACCACCACCTCCTCCTCCTCCTCCTCCACCTCCTCCACCACCTGGAATCAGTCGCTCACTCACCGAATCGCTTGACCTGCTTCCGATCTGCCCTCCCTCCCTCCAGCCATAGCTATTCCATCCCCACCTTTACCACTCCCTCCGGCTGAAGAAAAATGCAAACATAAAATGCAACGGTATCCACTATTCAATCAAAGCAATACTCGCTCAGTTATCAAATGCAGCCATGCAGCCCATGCTGGAGCAACCAGTGTAAAAGAGAGTTACGAAGGGTATAAGTAAAAAACGAATAGAGAAGCGCCAGCCAATGGAATGCAACGCTATGCTTTGCTGATGATAATGTGCTGCGTGCGCGCAAATGTATCAGTCCAGGTCCGCCGCTGAAGAACATTGAGAATCGAACGGTATAAGAACGTAAGCAACCCGGAACGCCTGAAAAGGGAGGTGTGCCCGAGACCAATTATCGGAGAAGACAAGGAGTGTTGCGCTTCTATCGGTCTTCCTGCAACTTGCGGAGTAGTTCATCTAGCTCCGTCCAGTTGGCTTGGGTGAGGGCAAATTTTCTGTGTTTTCGCGACATGATATGCTAGTAACATCATTAGCACCATTCAAGATAGGACCATATGGGGTAAGCTTACATCATCAAAGTCCTCATACTTATCCCGGCAATTCTCGCAATAGCCTGGTTTGGGATCCTTTCTCGCAGCCCTCTTCTTCTTGACTGGCGCATGTATGGCTCGCTCGGCTGCAAGTTCATCATCCGACATATTCGCCTCTTCTACGATACCACCAAGCTTTTCCTGAGCTTTACTTTTGGCTGCTCGCTGAGGCGGCGGAGCTCGCGCATTCTTCAGAGCACCCGCAATGTCGGTCATGCGATGGGAGGAAGGTATAGAGCCAACTGACAAGCTGCCAGTGTTGCTTCGTTCCAACACTTTTCGCTTGAGTTCATTGACTTCCTTGCTGGTGCCTGCTTTGGCGCCAGGAGCAGCAGCAGTGGACGATATCATTTGAGAGCGGATGGCAGATGTTATGTTTGATCGCTGAATACCCGAAGCTGCGGGCTCTTTTGCAAAGTGCATATATTGTGGTTTGATAAAATCGCCCGTTGAATCTTGCCTCGCCCCAATGGACATCTGCGGCAGAGCCTTGGGTCCCTCAAAGGTTGGGGCCTTGGGCACAATATCCCTGAAACCCGGGGCGGGCACAGGAACGTTGTGGACTTCTCTGAGGATTTTCCGAGGGCTTCTTCTGGGTGGATTCATCTGAATCTCGTGGTCGGCAGCAGCAGATCTTGTTTGGGGTGCTTGTTGCAACTCCCTTGCCTGCTGTGCAGCAAGGGCTCGCTCTCGTTCCTTTTCCTTTTCAGAATCCTTCTTCGGTGCAGGATCATCAACAAAGGGACACTTTCCAGCAGGAGCAGATCGGAACTGCGGCCACGCGCCATCTTGTCGTCGAGCAACTTTGGTATACTCCCTTACCATGATCGGCCGGGTTTTAGCATCCATGTCATGGATATAGATGAAAGGCCCCTTGAACAGGGTTAGTTCTTTGGTCGAAGTTGCTAGGTCGCGATCCAGTGGGCCATTTAGTTTTTCGTTTCGGAGCACTTGGGAAAGGTCTTCGTCTCGCAGTCTTGTTATCGCAGCAGTCGTGATATTTACCCGACCATTGTGTCCACCACTGGCATCGTATTCCATCATCGACACCAGTATACGCTGGAGTTTTTCTAAAGCCCATATTTTCATGCCCATCTGACGCCCCCTGGACAGAACGTCCATTGGTGCTGCCCTCTCGCGCTGTATAGAAGCACCCATCTGGGCCTTTGCTGGAAAACTCTGGGCCTGTAGGACTGAGTTCTTGTCAAGGAGAGAAGGGTTGATGGTGCGTGGTTGATCGTCGGCATCGTTAGTAGATTGTGATCCAGAGTTCGCCGAGGTCTCAGAAGTGGGTGATTCTGCAGGGATTGGGCGGGTTGTGACAATGTGGGTGACGGCCTTGGAAAAGAACTTCTCTTCTTGCTAGAAAGGACATTAGCTTGTTCTCAAAGATGTCTATGGCAGCATGCAGCCATTGGTTCCGCAATGCAGAGCACATATAAACTTACAGCACCAAAGTTGCTGATCTGCTTCGAGAATCGCACTCGAATATCACCTGGTATGCTGTCGAAGTAAAACACAAAGCTTGGAAAGACTTTGCGGTAGTGTTTTTGCCATGCCCGAATCGTGCTATCAGCTGTATCGCCCGTAGGTATTTCCGCCTCCTTCTTTTTAGCAATTAGTTTTCTGTGGAAATCCGTCGGCTTCACGTTCGTTGAAGCACGTTCAAACACTCGACCTTCGGCAGTCGGTGGAGGGACTCTTCGACGTGGAGTGGTAGGCCCGTCCTCGCGAGTGTTCTTCTCAATCACTTGCTTTTTCTGGGGCGGCTCGTTCTCTTGCAGCACGGGCCCTTGCTGCCTTGTTCTCTTCCCAATACTCTGCGTCAACGATCGATGTGGTGAGTTGGTAGCATTTGGTATGCTCGCCAATGGAGCTCGAGGTCGAGTAGTCGACATGGTGAAAGGATCATGAGGCGAAGGCGGTATGAATACGGCTGCTGCCATTCATAACGATGGGCTCAATGATAGTGGCAGGGTAGTGGTATTTGGTTCTCGGAAGGCAAGGTTGGAGGGGCACACGGCACGCACGCGACCTAACACGTCCACCTCTGCCAATTTTGAGAACTAGGAGAGCAGCATGGCAATTTGAAAGCTGACCTGAATAGCAATACACGAGGTCAAGGGTCACGATTGGCAACAAGCAGCATGGGAAGAGTGAATGGGAGGATTGACTTGGACATTCAACTGAGAGCGAGTTGTTTTGAAGCACTTGGGTTAGCTCGAGCTAAATGCCAAGCGCGGCGCTCCAACGTTGCCGCCCGCAACACAGGCCAGAGCAAGATTGAAGCTACTCCACCTCTGTACTGGGGTATCAAGCTCCACGAAGTATCTTTGGGGCAGGCAAGTGACATTCGTAACACCTATGGTCTTCATTACACAGTGATGAACATAGGATAGGATGCTGCCGCTCTAGCGAGGTGAGCTGGGCGAGGGTGGTCAAGCCAACACCAGCCGCGGGGTGAGCTGCTTACTCTCTAACTGGCTCATTTCTATTCCATTGCCCACCGTAGATCAGCATAATACCTACACAAATAGACTTGTTCACTCACATTCACTTTACCTATCATTTTTCTATTTCCTTATTATATCATATTTATATCATTTGTAGAGAAGTGCATTGGTGAATTCAAAGGGGCATGTGCAGAGCATGCGCAGGGCACGCCAATGGCATGTGATGGCACATGACATCAACGCTGGTGCAGATATATGTATTTATCTGCCCCTGTTCTAGATCGAATCTATTCTCCGGCCACACCCTGGCAACATACTGCCCTGTCATGCCTATTTCCAACATTTTTGAGATGTCATAAATTTCTTTTCATACTTTAAATGCTTTCTATACACTCTAGGATGATGGTTTCTCATCTTCAAATTTCAGCAATAAGCACACAAAGAATCTATCCTATTATCTGAGTTCAAACATTGTACTCTGATAACTAGGCAATAGATGGTTATCCTCTATCCTCCAGCAAGTTGACAGAGCGGCACTAGCAATTCGAGAGTAATGCTATGGATTTGCAGGACTTTCATAGTAATGCACAGTACACTAAATCCCATTTTTCACACCTGCTGTATTATGTACAGAGCCATTCATCTCCAATATTGACCACTTGACAGTACGATCGACTAAGGAAGAGGAGACGGAGCATGCTGAAACACTTTATTGTCATGACTGGCTTGAATATACTACTAGAAAACCTGTCAACCCTGTTTTCAGATTCGAACAATCGAGAAAACCCTGTGATTGCTTGCACAAAATATGAATAACGAAACCCGCTTGAAATCCTGGTTGTCATGCCCAATGAATGGACTGTAACAAAGGACGATTCATAAGTCTTTTGGCTTTTGTGTCTACGCAGAGTCAGTGCTGGTAATTCTAGCGATGGAATGGCAGCTCAACAAACAGGAACACATGGACGATAAGTACACTCCAGTGGCAACATGGTCATTAGCAGAGCAGGAGTTGCCTGTGCAGGATCGGATGCGCGGAATGAATTGAGCACTTCCTGCAAAGACAGCTCAGCATGTTCGACCGACAGCCCAGTTCAGGGTGATCCTCCATGACATCGTCGATACATCGTTTCAGTAATTCGCAGGTCATTAGCTGAAAAGAATGCAAACAAGGCAAATAGCAGATCTTGGTCCACCGTCTGAATTTATAGAAACCGCTTACATTTTAGTATTATCTCGAAGGCAGCTGCAACTGCCATTGGTGCCGATATCGGAGTACCTTTGTTGATCGCCTTGCTTGTCATTGCTAGCAAAGTGTATTCGAGAGCGCCACAAGAACCGAAGATTGCCTCATGACGTGCAGGGTTATCATATCTCCACACAGCCTAGCAGTTCATCGAAATTGGCGGGAAAGAAGACAATAACACCATTCGACAAGGCCAGGTGGTGGGGCCTGCAACCTATCCAGAAACTGGACGCTACCGCGCCACACAAGGCTCAATAAATACTTGCGACCTGTTGGACAATGCTCCCAAGTCACTTCATGGACCATTCTGCCCGGTGAAAAGATAGAAAAGATGAATAGGATGGAAAAAAGAGTCGCCTAAAAAGCCCATCCAGAGAGCAACTGTTCCGACCCGATTTGCCCATCTCTATCAAGTTGGCAGGACAATGGATCATCATAACTGAACAGTATGCAAAATGATGAAGAAAATCAGTGTGGATGGAAGGAAATTAAAAGACGGAATGAACAGGCGACTTGCTATTCAGGTGTGACTCTGCAGCAGTAGATATACGAAACACAGTTGGCAGGTAGAATTATATTGTGAAGGATGGTAATTGGCAGCAGGCGCAAAGTCTTAGGCTGTCAGTGAAATCCAGCATATTAGGGTGAGTGCTTGCCTGTCTACCACCAGCACTCCACCCCTGCTCACCCTCTGCTTACTTGTCGCTCACCTGGCTTCCCAGTTGTTAAGCAGCAGGACTCCAGCACCAATTCGAATGCAGAGATGCTAGGAAGGGGCAGCGAATTGCACTTGTAACAACTAGTATTCGCATTTTTATGGTGAAAATTCTGATGGAGGCATATTTTCTTATTTTCAGTAGCAATGACATTAACCGCGTGCCATAGCATTACCATTAACTAGTATACATAAACCCAACGCACCTCAAGATCATGGCCTTTGGCTGCTTCATTGCTTGCGTCCAGGTTTCCATCACCGCATTGTGTTCAATCCACCCTTGTGAAAAGCACTCAGTACTCCTTGAGTCACAGCAGACTCTCCACCACTTGGCAGCTCGTCGTCGTACAGCTCGGCAGCACATTCAAGGAGAAGGCGCTGGTTGCGTCTCTGGAGTTTGGAGAGGCCAAAGGTCTTCACTGAAAGTTCGCCCAAGGGTACTGCTGCATTTTCTTCCAAAGGAGACTGTCGTCCGTCATTCTTGATTTGCAATGCTCTTTGAAAGGCTGGTCCATCCCAAGTGGCAATCTTCAGCCAATGATGCGCCGTGCTCCTTCCTTACCCAAGATCCCAGGTTCTTGTGGTTTGGGACTTCTGTCTCGCCCTTTCTTTCTGCTCAAAAAGCCCAGCATACCTGTACCGCCGCCTTTCCCTTCTTTGCCAACACCCTCCAGACTATCTACTGGAAGTGTTGCATTTTGATCAGACAAACCAGACCAGCTACCAGCTTCATCAAGAACCATCTGGATGCCGCCACTTTTGCTTACCTTGCGACTCGCACCACTAGTACGCTTCGGAGGTATCGGACGACTGAAGGATGTTGGATTTGATGCAGATGAGCCTTCGCTTTTGGAAATATCCTTCTTCTGCTTCTTGTCGGCTTTGGCAGAGTATTCTGGGTGACTCGTGGCGCTGGCTCCAGGAGTAGGCATACTGGCAGCATCCAACGGCGGCGAACCGCCGGGCGAGGTTGTGGACGAACGAGTGTGAGATCGATGTGAAGAGGCAGAGGTGATTTCGGGACGTTCCTCTTTCCCGTTAGCAAGCGCAGCGGCGGCAGTCCTGCAAGCACAATACAGTCAGCATTGGAAAGAGGGGTTTGGATATCAACGCACCCTTCGTAGCTCGTCGTGGTGTAATCGAAAGGTTCGAACATTGTTTCGACCATACGGTGTAGCTCGTCCTCTCTGATCTCTCTATCTGTAGCATCGTCCTTTAGCTCGGCTCGTGGTTTCTGCCGGCGCGCTCTGGCTTCGAGTGGTGCTTCCTCAAGTAGTAGCTCCTCCAGGTCGTAGGTGGCATCAAAGTTAGTCTTTTCGGTTGATGGTACAAATATGGGAGGTATTTGCTTGCGCTCTAGCGCCACAAAGTCTATCGATTGGAAAAAAGGGTTAGAGGTGAATGTCTCAAAACCAGCAGCACCAATTCGTTTTCGCCTGTCCTTTTCTAGAAGAGACGAAATTGCATGGAGGCATGGCATGGAAACAGGTGGTTGCGTGACGTAGAACCTGGGGTTTGCGGCTTTGATGCTAGCAGCCAGGGCTTCATGTCCTCTAGCGTCAAAGGGTCGCTTTGGAAGAATGTTAGCTTTGAACAAAGTCTATGATGTTCGTGGCCCACCTTGTTGTACAGACATTCATAGAAGGTAACACCCAGAGACCACCAATCCACCTCCGACTGATATCCAGACCCATCAAAGACCTCCGGTGCTAGGTATGCAAGAGTGCCAGACCTGCTGTGAAGCAGTTTTCCAGGCCTAAAGTCCGAAGCAACATTCTTGCAAGTGTTAGAGCAAGATCGGGTAGTCAAGCAGAGCACTTACAAAGTCTGCCAAATGTACGTGTCCCTGAGAATCCAGCAACACATTATCTGGCTTAACATCCCTATGCACGATGCCTTGGGTGTGTATGTACCGTAGAGCACAACCTAGCTCAGCCATCCAGAAACGTAGAGCATCTTCCGTAAACGTCTTCCTCGAGATGTGGAATCGAAGGTCTCCCCCGTTCATGAGGTCGACGACGATGTACCTGCAGACTACTTAGCATACATGACAGCCTGATTGTGAGCTGACCACCAACAAGTATTCAACATCTTGAAAGCTGTAACGAAGGTTGCAGAGGAAAGGATGGTTTAGGTGCTCCAGCATCCGTCGTTCACGGATGATGTTTCGAACGCTTTCTGATCGGACCACTACAGAACCTTTTCAGCTTCTGTGCCCAGGAGGAATAGCTGTTGGGCAGCGCTAACCTTCATCTTTCCTGATGTATTTGAGGGCGAATGTCAACCCTGAGTCTTTGCGCTCGACAATCCTAACTTTGCCAAAGGCACCTTTTCCGACAACCCGAAGAAGGCGAAAGTGATTGAGGTTTACTAAAGATGACCACAAGTTATTCTCTGCTACCATCTCTTGGGAGTGCAAGCGGACTGCAAGCGGACTGCGACTCACCTTCATCAGTAAAGACGACCGGTTTCCCCTGGGTATTCCCCATCTGCGTTCAGGCAGTCTTGATGCAGACTGTATGTAGCAGTCACCAAAGTGTCCTTAGTGTGTCAATTTACCATACTTGCGATGGAAAGAATGAATTTGTAGACCAACACTTCAAGCTTGGTTCATCTGGACCACCGTATATGTGGGCAAGGTACTGGTGCCTCTTCTAAATTGACTGGGATTGTGGTTGGCTCAACATACGACAGCACACCGGTTGTGATTGGCGGGGTACAGGGACGAGAGACGATTATGACCTGAGGGTCCGATGACAATTGTGGGGCGAACACGATGGTTCCATGCAAGTGCATAGAGAAGGATGACTTAGAAAAGGGCCAAGTGTTGAATGATGAGTAGGGGATGGTGTAGCGGACTTCAAATTGGTATGGTGAAAAGACGATCTGGATATGGATATGGGGTCCAGAATTGCGCCCAAATGCGGCGAGAGGGAGAAGCACGTAGGAAGCGGGAGTTAGTGCAAAGATTAAAGGCTTCTGAGGTTGGAAAGTGCGGCATGGTTATGAACCGAGAACAAGGGCATCTCACGTTTCAGCATCTGCCAACAAACCTAACTGCCACTAACCAAGAGCGTGGCTTCTGATTCTACTTTCTACAAGTACGTAGTAAGCCACCTACTACGTAACCCACCAAAAGGCTATCTATTTCACGCCGCCTCTCATCTCTCGTGAAGATCGTGGCGGATCCCTTTCCAGGGGAATTCCATCCGTATTCCACAGCAACGCCATATCCAATCCGAGGAGCTGAAGACCCTTGTTCCCTGTTCTCTGTGCTCCGGTTGTGGCATGGCAGATGTGCTGTTCCCGTCTATTCCTACAGCTGTTGTGGCCCGTCAGACCATTTTGCCATGTGGCACTTTGAAGAATCCTTCCAGAAACCCCAAAGAGCCAAGCTTGCTTGCTAAGGTAGTAGTTAGCTCAACTGCTATTTATTGCGATTTCACCGAGTCATTTTAGTAGCAGGTGGGTCACGCGTGGCTGCCACGTTTTCGCATCTAGCCACATGCTTCCTCCCCCTGGACATCTCGCAAATTGGAAAGCTTCCTGTCCTCTGATCTGGGCCGAGCCTATGTACTACGTAGTAAAGAGTGTGTGCCGCTCTTCAGAACTCTGTGATTGGACTTTGCATCCTGACAAATGAGCTGCATTCGCTTAGCCAGGTAGATCTACTACGTATGGTTCGTGTTCGTATTTGGCAACTTGCAGAGATGTCAGGAGAGGACAAAGTATCTGAAACCTAGCTGCTGTCCTCTGTACGACACTTAGATAAACACTGTAAGCTAGTACTCAGATACTAAATCTTCCTCGGGTAAGTTCATTATAGGTACATGATGTGAGCCATCCGGTTGGACAGGGAGATAACTGTCTCACCGAGCACATATTTTCATATCTCCAGAGTGGGGATCCGAACCATGGCTCAAGTTAGTTTAATCGGACATATGCAGTATGGAGATTTGAAAGCGCGGTGCTAATGTAAAACTTGTACAAAGCTTTCACACAACTATGGCGTAGGCACCCGATCTAGACACAAAATCGTGACAGAGTTTTATACACAATCCGCGTTTGGTCTAGCTAGAGTCTGGCTATTACCCACGCCTCCCGAGCGCCTACAATGCTGCTAGGAAATCGCATGTTGCATATCGACAGTCATAACTCCTAATCTACTCCGTAGTTCACCTGTAGCTCTCTCCTAGGTCGCTGAAAGAGGGTACGGCTGAATCGCATTTAAAATCAGGAGCATATGCCTTTTGAGGCAGGATACCCGCCGCACGACCGAGCTTCCAGCTCCATTGCGTGGCTGACTCCGTCTCCCAAGTCCAGTAAAACCAGCCCCACGCCCTTTCGAAGCTATGGATCTGGGCTTCCGCAAACATTTTGAGGAACTGTTTGTACGCTGCTGAGTATTGACTGGGGCTTGCATTGGCCAGCTCGCATGAGCATGGGGGTTCCGAGCAGACTGGCGTAAGCACTTGAGTAGTTGGATCTCCGGTATTCAGGGTACCTGCCCAGCGAGAGCCGACACCAACGTTATTGAGGTGTTGGGTGCAGTCCGTATCAGCCTGGGACCATTCGCCGCACAGAACAGGACCCCATCTAAAACGATATCAGCTACTTTCGGGAGAGGGACGGAGAGGGGGAACCATGCTTACCCTGTTGAAGGATTGTTGGCTGCTGATAACATGCTGCTCCATCCTTGACAGGCCATGTTGATCTTGTTCTGATGCGTGAAGGCCAACTGCTCGTTGTTGAAGATGACATATTGGTGTGTATCCATAACCAAAGCGCGGTCAACGTCTTGGAAGAGACCATTCCACTTGTTCAAACCCAGGAATCCATCTCCAAAGGCGATGTATTGCTGAATTCCGTTCTTGCGGATGATGTCAATTGCCTGCTCATTCCATTGCAGGACTGCCTGCGTAGGTAAGGTCATCATTTTCGGCTCATTGACCAGTCCGTATATGGTAACCACATTCTTGTAACGATCCTGTGCGAAGAATTGTGACAACTGGTTATGAATGTCTAGCGTTCGTTGGCCATTCAGCGCCCCGTCTGCCCCGTTGAGCCATCCTACTGTGCCCAGCCTACCACTATGATTCCATCCATTTTGACTTCCTGGTGCACCGTGCAAGTCGAGTTTGACGCGTAGCCCATGTTTTCGACACCACTCGATTCCACGGAGAAGATACCGCCAAGAAGTTTTTGGAACATATGGATCCCCATCGTAGGTAGTGACTGCCCAGTATGAGAAAGGTATGCGAACATGATCCATACCTGCCTCCACAATATCGACAAAGGTCTGTTCTGTAACAAAGGTTGCATAATGTGCTTCAAGAAGTTGTTTGGCCGGACCGGGACCAAGCCTCTCGGTCAGAGTATATTCATCCACCACATTATCGCTTGCGGTGAATGTATTGAACAATGAAGGAGTGATAAAAGGCTCTATCGACAGCCATCCACCCACATTTACTCCCCTAATTGGCATACTTCCATAAGCAAATCTGTCTTCCAGCGGCGGTACATTGTTGTTAGGTCGGTTTGAATCATCCCATTCTGACATCAGACCCATGACTGATAGTCCACCAACGGTCTCTGCTGTATACGTCACGTTGAAATCTGAAGTATCGTACCATGTGAAAGGATCTGTGTCTGTTCCTTTAGCTGCTGCTGGTATGCTGTTTGGATCGACGTTCTTGAGGTTCGCATTTGATGGCCCAGCGGATGAAGCGCTCTGCTGCGAATTCCTGCCTATCACCAAAACACCAACAGGCACCAAAATAATCAACAATAATATGACAATGACGACCAACACCACAAGACATCTTCTACTAGGACCTTGCCCATTTCCTCCTCGTTTACGTATGAAGTCCTGTACAGATGCTGCTCCACCTCGCCTTCGTACATAGGCATGTTTTTCATTAGTTCGACCCTCTTCCATTCTTATACCGCTCACCTCGCGGTTCTTTTTACGGCGCTTCTGACCACTGACATTTTTGCCAACAGTCTTGTATTGGTTTTCTTTTCGTTTTCGCTGCAATTCCTTCTCTTGGGTTTCCACCTTCTCGTTGTGGGCGTTGAGTTTCGCCAATGAGTCGGCGCTCAACAATTGGCTGGTGGAGTTGTAGGAGGAGGTCGAAGCATGTTTGGCGGTATCCTTGGCTGGACTGCTCTTTGGCGGACTTCGACCGTGGCCTCGATGTTTCTCTCCACTGGTCTTCTTGACAGGAGACGTTGCTGGTGACTCTTTTGCTTTAGGTCGTGTTGTCCGTTTTGGAGTTGCTGGTATTATCTCATCAGCTGCTGCTGCTGCTGCAACCGCTGCAGGTCTTGTCTTCGCCCCAGGCGGCCGATTGAATGCGGGGCGGTTGTCGGCCGCCGCCGCAGACTCGCGACGGGGTTTGGGCATGCAATTGATCACTCCACATACACACCATGGACATCACAAGAGAATCTCCTTGAAGGACTTGATCATGCAGTTCAGTTCTCAGGTATTATTTTCACAGTATCCAAATTGCCAGTTCTGCAACCCAGCGGTTACACCAATCTTGCTCCAAAACAGGTAGTGTAGACTGGGCTGGGTGTCTAAGCGCCGTCGGCACAGCAACGCCTGCACTTTGACCAAGGGATGTCCTACAATCCTACTCCAACTTAATGAAGGCTCGCGTCTGCCTCGCGTCTGCGATCTGGGTTTGCACAATTCTGATGTGTAGGGTCGCGATATACCCGTCTCCCAAGTCTAGTGACAATAGAGATGCTTATCTTGGGTGTTTTGTGGTATCTTGGAGCAGAAATGAAACTCATGTACTGGCCGAGTGTCCATCCTCAAGCCTAATCCTGACCTAAATATCAAGGATAAGGTGAATTGCGTTCTAGCTACACGATCAACTTATTCTATTGATCTCTAACCTCCGAGCTCCAGCGAAGACTCTACTCGCGATATGTATGGCTAAGCACAAGCCGATATGCTCATTCTAAGCAGAGGCGGGCGAGCCCCATCTCATTTCCACATTCACCCAACTCCTCGCATTCATTCCGTAGCGGCACTCTTCGCGTATTCTTCATTCCTTTGGTTCACTTCTGCTCTATGGCTGGTGATGTGCTCTGGGACCTGTTCGACTCGATTCAGAGGGCTCGAAACAGGCTCTCCAAACGTTTCCCACAGTGGCATCACTCCCGTCCATATCTTTTCAGTCAATTCGTCCCTGCTCTGATCTTTGTTCTCGTCGTGCGGTCCTCCGTCACGAATCTTCCCACTACCACTGACAACACTCACTTTCAGAATCACTGTCGACTGCATTTCTGCTGCATCGGGAGGTGTTCTTGAGTTTTCCCATCGATTCCGGACCACAGAGTCGGTGATAAGCTGCATGGCATACAACTTCTCTTCTTTGGTCTCCACAACATTCCCGTATCCATGCAAGACCGCCGATCGATAATTGTAGCTGTGCGAATTTGGTGTCAACGAGAGGACCACTCCATCCACTCTGGTTGCTGCTACACACAGAGGCAGCCCTTGCTCTGACGCTCGGGCAAGATTCATGATTCTGGAACTGACATAGCCATGCAGATAGCAATCCATTGGTTCGTCCAGGCTTGCACTGGGGAAATCGAACGACCCCATGACGCCTATCATGGGAAGTATGGCTGGAAAAGGGTCTGCGGGATCTGGTGCGAAGGATACATGGCAGACAGGTGTTTCATTGACGATTGAGTGTATCGTCCCGAGATCATAGTTTCCTGCAATATTCACCACACTAAACGATATCATGATGGCTTGAGGCCTTACCTCGATCTTTCATTCTATTGACAGTATTTCTCGGCGACTTAGGGTAGGTCAGAACTCTACCCATCTTGAATCAAGTGCTTCACCACCACTCAGAATTACAGTATGAGACGATGGTTGGAGAAAACTTGATCAGCCAACAAGAGATATGATGCGACCAATACGCCTTTTGAGAAATGAGAAAGGCTGGAAACACTCGATGACTCCTCAGATAGGTAGCGTTATCCGAACCTGGCGCGGTTTGTAGTAATCAACCCGGTGCGTTACAAGATTCATTTGGTCATGAATATGGCAAGATGAATCAAATTATTTCCTATAATCCATCGGCAACCTGAGGGTCAGATGCCGTCTGGGTGCCATACCTATGCTTTAGCTTCTAGTGTGCACTGTTTCTGTAGTTGGAGCTGGAGTGTGACGATCGTCAATTGGTGTCTAACTCTCTCCCTTGTCACCAGCCCCTTCGAGCATGTCAAGGGCACTTTGTCGCTACAGCAAACGTCTATGTAGAACTTTTCAGCTTTCGAATCTTTGCCAAACTCGACTCATTTCATCCCATATCAATGCTGCCGAGCTTCGTTTCGGACAGCCTCTCCATGAGACCCATCCACACCTGCTTCAAGCTGGTGAAGGTAGACACCATCCGTATCGCAGAGAAGGGAATGTTCCATTGACAACCTACCGTCCAGTCACACCAGGCATCACTGCACTCGAATATGCACAAAGAAGAACGAAGCTCGCGGCACAACTGCCGGCCAACGCGATAGCAGTAGTTGCTGCATCGGATGTTGTATTCCGCACAGGACATGTTTTCTACAACTTTCATCAAGATCCAGATTTCTTCTACCTGACGGGTGCGCATAATACTGGCCTGAAAACAATTGCGAGCTGAAAGAAGTGATGCAGGTTTCAATGAACCGGAAGCATTGGCTGTAATTGGTAAGCGATAGGACAAGATTCCGTAACGCTCCAGCTAACGATTGCTGTAGGCAAAGCCTCATCCAACGATGACCACGTCTTCTATCTCTATGTTCGAGAAAAAGATCCCAAAGCAGAGATCTGGGATGGCGCCCGCTCCGGGACACAAGCTGCTCTGGACGTATTCAACGCGGACGAGACAGGCGATATCAGCAACCTGAAGAGGTTTCTGACTCCCCTCGTCGAAGACGCATCCCACATCTATACCGACATAACCAGCCTCCCTACCCCCACATCCACATTCCTCGAATTCCTCCGCGGCCCCTCCAAACCCTCCCCAGGCTTCTCCGAGCTGATCTCAACCAAGAAAACAAAGCCCCTCCGACCACTCCTAAACGATCTCCGGATCCAGAAAAGCCCCTCCGAAATCCACAACATGCGCAAAGCCGGACAAGCCGCTGGCCGGGCCTTCACCTCCGCAATGCGCCACCACTTCACCCGCGAGTCCCACCTCGACGCCTTCCTAGCCTACCAGTTCCGCATGAACGGCTGCGACAGACCGGCCTTCGAACCTGTCGCCGCCGGCGGCCCCAATGCCCTGAGCATCCACTACGTGCGCAATGACTCGCTCCTGCACGCTGGCAACCTCGTCCTCGCCGACGCGGGCGGCGAATACGCCGGCTACGTCTCAGACATCACACGCACCTGGCCTGTTGACGGCAAATTCACCCCTCCGCAACGCGATCTCTACGACGCCGTTCTAACCGTGCAACGTTCCTGCATCAGGGAATGCAGAGCCGACACTCATACCTCGCTCGAGCTACTACACCAAAAAGCGGAACGCGAACTGAAAGATGCTTTAAGGCAGTTAGGTTTCGATATGTCCGGGAATGCTATCAACGTCCTCTTCCCGCACCACTTGTCGCATTACCTGGGCCTGGATCTGCATGACTGTATTGGATACAGCAAGAAAGCGAAATTGAAGGCCGGGCATTGCCTCACGGTTGAGCCGGGCGTGTATGTGCCGAGTGGGGATGAGAGGTTCCCCAGGCGTTTTTGGGGGATGGGGGTGAGGATTGAGGATAGTGTTTGTGTCTTGGATGGAGATGGAGATGCAGATGTGGGGAATGGTGAAGGGGGCGTGGGCCCGTTGGTGTTGACGGCGGAGGCGGTCAAGGAAGTGGAGGATATTGAGGCGTTGAGATGATCCCATCTCTTTCTACATCGTATTCACCAAGATCAGCTTGGGCTTGGTTTTTACCGACCTAGTATCAGAAGATCAAAGACTAAACAATCCATGCAGCTGCTTATCTCCGCGTAGCTCGTCTGGTGTGTCTAGCCCTCCGCCACCACAAGTTGAATCTGCAGCTTCTAGGCACCATCAGGCCCGCAACTTTCCGTAATTGAGCATTTACTTCTTGAAATCATTCGCCATCTGCGGTTCCGTGCAGTAACTTACTATATTTAGAAAGTCACACGGAGGAAGGATGTTCTCCACTCCCCCCCCACTCCCATGCACTTCCCACGTTTTTGTTGGGGGTTTAGGTTTTGTTGGTTCTGACGCCAGAACTAGTTGGTGGGGAGATGTGTCACACTAATCACTACTGAACTGCTACCATGTGACGAGACAGTAAAAAAGTAGAGAGCACTGCAATTACTACGTAGAGGCTGGACCTGGCCGCGGCTGATTTCTAGTAACTAGTTAGAAAAGAGAATCAGGCTGTCCTCCTCAGATCTGCAGTGGCAGAGTTATATCCGCCTAGCCTTTTATGGTAACCGGGTCTGGGCAGGAGTGTTGTGGAATTCGTGATATGATGTGCGGACATGTAACACTTATCAGCTAGTGAGTGATGCTGTGGCGGCATGTCCAAGAGCAATAATAATTAGTCAAGATGGTCTCTTATATACCGGTATTTACTCTTCATGCATGAGATCAGGATATCATGCAAGCCGAACCTTGAATCTGTGTCATAGACTATACATCATGATAATGTTGTACTGTCACTTTCACCAACCCTTCTCCCTCTCAGGTAACCGCACAACATTGTTACGCCATAGGTCCCTTAACCCAGAATCAGCCCCACAATAACACTCTCCTGGCCTCATTGGCTCCGACTGGATCTCCACCCTTGTATCCTTGATAATAGATCCACAACGCCCACAGTCCTTTCTTCGCTTGGGGATAATACGCGCAGGTGCAGGCGGGGATACTGCCTCTGTCTGTGTCTCTCCAACTACGCCCCCTTCATCACTTAAGCTCGCGTCACAAGAGCAATCATGCCGTGGTCGGGGTACTGCCTCGATTTTAGCGTGGGTGTTGCTGTTGCTTAGGCCAGCGTCACAATGACAGGCATGCCAGGTGGGCATGCGAGGCATCGCCTCCATATCTGTGTGCACGGCTTCTCTTGAGTTGTACATATTCGAAAAGCTCTCCTGCTGTCGCAACGGGAATATCTCAATGTTATCCCCGGACTTGCAACTTGTGATTCCACTATCGGAGATACCGGTACTTCTTTTGTAATCCTGGCTACTTAGACCCTGGTATTTCCGTCGTAAAGTGGAGGAGGTGGTGCTGACGAGGGAGAAAAAGCGGGCAAAGAGCGGGCGTAAGGTGGGGAGACAGGCGCAGATAAGGCCCATAAGGATATGGACGGTGGACCAGAGGCCGGACTTAGAGTATTCCGGGGCTCGGGAGCCGGGGATGTAGCCATAGATGACGCGGAGGATACCTGTTATTATGACGCTAGACTGGGTGTCAGAGCGGGTTTGGCGAGATGGGAGAATTAGAAGGGAGGAAACCTACAAGCTCCCGAGGAGAAAGATAAAGACAATTGAGATCTTTTGTCTGCTCGAGACCTTCAGGCCTAGCACCATGCGCACCGGCAGAGCCAAGATAATGGTGTCGATGACCACTTCGACCGCGCCTGTGGCCATCCAAAACACATTGAAGTTGAAGCAGTACTCTGGCGGCACTAATCCAGCCCAGTTATATTTCACTGGGTTGCAATTAAAGACCGTGGCGATAGTGGCCGCTACCCAGAAGGCAAGAACAACGATGCCCACAAGGAGAGATTGGATGCGAAACGATACATCTATTGAAAAGAGCCGACGGTACATGAGGAGGATGGATATCTTGATCGCGGTGACGCACGTGAAATAGAGGATCGTGCATACGAAAGATATCTTGAGATAGAGCGTATGGGGGCTGGTATTGAAGGTGGAGGTTGATTTTGAGAAGATGGCCGCGCTGATCGCCTTTTCGGCGGTGGGATCGACATTAACACCTGGAGAAGTATTAGCTGGATAGCATGGCATGGTAGGACTGGGCCAACGTTCTGTAAAGAAGAAGACCACCTGTCAAAAGATATGACAGCAGACCAGCCAGGATCCACCAGTCATCCCAGGCAATACCAGCCTTCCCATGCACGCGGACATAAAACCGTAATGCAGTACAAATAACCGCGATGCCAGTGATGACGCCCGAAGTCACTGTCGTCACCGTGGGGTCGTAGGCTGAAGTGTCGACCATGGCTATTATGGAGGACAGCGCCGACGAGCCTCACCTGTCAATGAAACAGCCTTCACCCCATCGGATCTGCATACGAGAGAATCTGCCATCATATAAAGAAACGGGAGATGGTGTCCACAGCTGTAAGCCGGGCTGCATGCTGCTTAGCATTGAGTTTTGCACGCGGGAACTGCATTACCATCCACTACTATCGACACAAACTGGTTGTTCGAAGCAAGTACCCTACCGTTCCTGCACGTCTCCCAGAAAGTTTCCTCCCAAGTCTCTGGGTCCGGTGATGGCTAGAAGCTAGGAAGGGCTTATGTTTCGCAATAGACCGTGATGAAGAGACCCCTGACAACGGCTTCTTGTCGCCTGGAAAGGCCTTCATGCGGTGTCCTCACGTGTAATTTCCGGTAGTCGTCATGGCACTGGAGATTTGCAATAGTGCTGGTAACAGTAGACAAGATCTACCAGTCCCTTGCTCGGATCCCGTGATACAGGAGTCGGATAAGATAGGAGAGTCATTGTGTGTATTGTGATAATGGGGTAGGGATTGGATCGTGCTACTCCGTACAAGCTAAGAAGTATCTACTACGTAGATAAGAGTTCGGAGGAATGCAAGTCCTTAGGTCAAGGCGCCACATCGTACAAGATGAGCAGGCACGGAACCGTAAAGTAGTGCCAACGCGAACGCGAACGAGTTCTTTCTTCCATCCTGATCCCAATACGGCATAGTGTGTCGATGCACAAAACGTGAGACTTTCAACCGAGTCCAGAATCGAGATCAGCAACGGAGAGCAATTACGCCATAACTACGAAGTAGCTTGCTTGAGATCAAGGCACTATCACCAGTCCAGAAGCATTAGTTAGGAGCTAGAAGGGCTTACGGATGCCTTTAGCTATGGAGTACGGAATAGCTCCTCTTTGTTCGGCGACATTCTCTAGCGTGACACCCCTCCAGCGTATTGAGGAAGAGGCTCGGCTGATAGTTGTAGTCTGCATTTTGGCTGGATGTAGACACCCGTGACTTGAAAATTCGAGGTGTCTATTCATATTAACCGTGCTGCCTTTGGTCTCCTGCGAACTTTGCTCGAAGAGGGCCATAGTGTTGTATGTGAGGCATCAGAAAAGTAGGTGTGGTGTAGTCCATATACATTTTGATGCCATACAGAGACAGAATACCATCGATGTGGAAAGGTGCACAGGTAAACCTCAACCCAACAATCAAATCTCCTCTCTCGGAGGCCCTCATTCCTCCAAACTCGATTGTACTCCCAGTGAAGACAATCCTGACACATATCGCGCATGCTGGCCCTCAAATGCGGCTCGAAGACATAAATCGCCTGGCAAACCGATGCGCCTGCTTGCCACAATCGTTGCAAGCATGAAATAGATATTCAATAAGGCGCAGACCACAAGTATAGAAACGCGATCTTATAATCAAAGCTGGTGCCCTTATTCATCGGTTATTGTGCTGACTGCGGAACAATTGCCTTCAAGAGGAAGTCTCAGATTATGTCGCAAAAGGGTCGATCCCCGCAGCGGCATAATAATTGATGCGATCACTTGATGTCTCAGCGTTGCTGACCTTTCTGCTGGCTAGGTCAACAGTCAGGAGGTCGATCCCAGAGAACATAATCGGTGTGCCTGGGTTTGCCTTGCTACTAGAAGAAGATCAGTCAGCTGACTGACCAAATGCAGGCGCCATCTTGTCAACGCTGTGGCACTTACGCATTGCCATTCACCCCACTGCTAATAACAGCATGCTCTCTCCACCTCACTGCAATCCTATCGCAACTCGACCATGCGCTCACCACCTCGAAACTGATATTCGTGCATGTTGTCCAAGAGTGTGCGGTTTCGCCTATGATATCCCACAATTGAGATCGGTTGGCGGCGAAGGGTGTCGGACAGCCGGGATATGTGAATTCTTCGTTCCAATATTGAACGTCCTCGGTTGCGGCGTTGGGAAGGTCATAACGGCCGCCTGTAGAGAAAACGTTGAGCCAGCGCGTGGCGATGGGCAGAATCTCGGAAGAGGTTAAGCAACTACCACAAGGAGGTGGGGTAGGTTCGACGGGGTGACAAGAAGAGAAGAGAGCGAAGAGTAGTGTGGAAAATATAGACACTGGAAGGAAATGCATGGTAAATAAGATATTGGGACTGTAGAAGGAAAAAGGACAACAGAAGCAGGATAAGATCGATGACAACATTTTGTGCGAAGTTGCTTGCACATATACAAGGCAGCTGCCGGATGGTGAAAATACCCAGTTTCATCATGATGTACATTGTTGGCCCATATCTGGCACAGGGGTATGGAGAGGAGTCGAAACGTGAGCACACCTCCATGTCGCCTGTACAAATTCCGAGGTTATCAACGTAAATTATTCAAGCTTGCAAAGAGCACGTTATTAGTGGAAAGAATGTCTTTAAGAGGTAATCCTGTAGAAAAGATCGCTGGCGGAAATATGGTAACGAGCATAAAGAGGAGGTTGAAAGCGAGTCTTCCAAAAATGGATGGCTTGCCAAGGACGCGAATTATGAGCACGTGCTATTTTTGTCGATCTCACCATGGCCCAAAACGCCAACGGAGAGCTAACCCCTAGTTAGCAGGCCCTTGTAACTGAGATCGGAATCTACCTGGGCTTGATTTATATAGGACTCTGTCAAGCAATAAAATAAAATCTTGCTGGTTGAAGGATATCTCGTGGTTCCCCTCTACTTACCTTCCCACCTAATTGCAACTGGTGGCTAGACGTGGTTTAGGCCGTTGTAATTAGGGTACAAGATAGCCAACGGAAAGTGTCTATTCCTGCGGGCACAGTTCGAAATTTCATCTCTATTTGAGTCCAAGAACTTCCTGCACCGCATTCAACACTTTGGCATGAATAGCCTCTGGTGCCGCGACTACACCCTTGTTATCCTTCAAGGTCCGTCCTTGGCTGAAGTCCAGTCGTTTTCCATTTGTGTCGGTTACCACGCCACCAGCTTCTCGGACGATCAGATCACCTGCAGCATGATCCCATATCTTTTCCTGATAATCTTTCCGTACCGGAAGCCTCAGGTATAGGTCCCCCGCGCCTCTAGCGATCGACCCGTACTTGGCCTGGGAGTCCATCTGAACCGGCTTTGATGTGATGCCCAGCTTCTCCGCAATTGCCGCATTGTCACCCTTCGAGGAGTGACCAGCTTCGACACTTTCGCAGAAAACAGCTTGTGCAATGTCCGGAACTGGTCGCATATGGATTGCCTTGCTCGGCCCTAACGATGAGGTTGATAATGGTTGACTGGTGGCACCCTGTCCCTGTACCGCGGCGAAAAGCACGCCCTTACCTTCTTGATCCGTCTGATTTGCCCCAATATCCTCGTTCAGGGTGGTAGTGTCGTCAACCGGTAGATTAGGGCAGCCGAGAACTCCGACTTTGATGTCTCCATCAACAATGAGAGCCAAACAGACTGCATACTGGCCCCCCCGTAGGAAACCCTTCGTGCCATCAATTGGATCAAGAGCCCATATTCTGCCTTTGCCGCCTCCTGCACTGCTTCCTTGATCGATTGCCTCCAGCATAGCATCTTCACTAGATAACGACCCTCCAAGTAATGAATCTGAATCAGGGTGTTCGAGTCTAACTTCCTTGACCAGATCCCAAATCTGAAAGCTCAGATCTTTGTTGTCGCGCAACGACGAAGCTTCTTCTTCACCCACTATTTCATCGCTAGGAAAGTTCTTCTTGATAGCTTGAATGATCAATGCTTGTGCACCAAAATCTCCAATGGTTACTGGTGACTTGTCTTCTTTTGAAAAAGTGCCCTTTGCTTTTTCCTTAAAGACTTTCTTTGTCAAAATCGCAGCTCTCTGTACAGCCAGCTGTGCGACTTTAAGCTCCTGAGAATATGACATCGTAGATATTGACCTAACGGAGAGCACGTGGGTAGAGAGCTGGGACAAGCGAGAGCGCAGAGAAATGCCAATCGTAAGAGCCAGAACTGTGACAGATAAAATGAAGATGGAGCTTGCTGTGGACTTGAGTGCCGTTCTCATTGGCCACCAGCGTCAAGAAGCTGGATACGGCGCGTTTCACTGTAGTACGTTTGAGCAAATACTCCGTAAAGCCGAGAAGAATTTCCTGCGGCGAAACAGGATGAGAGTGCGTGGCAGGAACGAATCTGGGTCAGAGCAGTTGGAGAAAGGACAACTTCTGACGTTCAAGGACACGTGCGTAAGACCTGCCAAACCCGTTTTAAAGGCGCTTTATCCATCTCGTGTTTGCCAACCATATCCTCGTGTTCGGCAGACAGACTGTCCACCAACTCTGCTTGAAGCAGCAAGAGCACGCGGTGAATACTTTGCTGCGCTTTCGTCGCCTGCATGATATCCAGGACTCGACCACTGCTATAACAGTACAAGGCGTCAAACATATTATGCCGCTCATGAGCCCGAATCATTTGCTTGAAAGCTATTCATCGTACTGGTGGTAGGATGAATGTGAAATGTCAAGGGTCTTGTTAGAACCTTGAGTTTATACTATCACGCGACCAGGTACAATGTTTTCGGGGGTAAGCTGCTCCATGCCATAGCCAGTTTCAGAAACTACTCCAATCTTGTGTCCGCTTGAACTGTAAAAGGTTCAGTTGTTCAAATACCGTCCATACATCACCTCTGGTATTGTCATCTTGAAGCCCAGTCTTTCTTGCTACACATGCTCGCGCACATCTCAAAACTTTTGCTTTCTCCAGTTTAGCCAAATCGTTCTGATTGCCAGCACCTTCAGAAAAAGCCGTACTCCTCGATATCCGTGCACGTCGAACGTCTAACTTCTGAATCGTACGATGAAGACGATCTTGCTGGGATTCCAGACCTCATCGAAGTGGTCAAGCTACAAGCTACAGGGCCGTCTGAAGTTGCTCGAGCATTACGAAAGAAGTTAAAATATGGATCGATTCATCGTCAGTTAAGAGCTCTAGCCATTCTTGATGCTCTAATTCAAAACGCTGGTTCGCGCTTTCAGAGGACTGTCTTCAGCGATGAGCCTCTCTTAGAAAGGTTACGGATCGCGGCTACCGATTCAGTGAGCGATCCCGAAGTCAGGAGGAAATGCAAGATTCTATTTGGCCAATGGGCGGCAGGCTCCAAAACTGAACCTGGTCTCGAAGGAGCGGCCACCCTCTACAAGCAACTACCTAAAAGCAGAAAACCACACGTCGACCGACGCGAGCAAAGCAAGGTCCTACAAGAGACCGAGGAGCAAGCTCGGCGAGACGAAGCAGCGGACGACGAACCGCGAGGGCTGAGCGTCGGACCCTCCTCAGCCAAAGCAAGCGCCAGCCGCACCTCCAGCGGCCCTGCCCTCCTATCAAGCTCCGGCCCAAATCTCGTCACTAAGACCAAAAAATCCAAAAAGAACAAAGCCAACAAACCCTTCAGCCTTGAACGCGAAACACCCGCCCTCCTCCAAACCATCGCCTCCTCCCAAGTTGCCAGCACAAACCTAACCAACGCCCTTAAACTCGTCAACCGCGAATCTCACCGCGTCTCGGATGACCCGGAAGTGATGAATCGCTTCGAGACTTGTAAGCAGCTCCGCAGGCAGATCCTCCGCTACATCCAGTGTGTGGAGAGCGATGATTTTCTCGGGGGGCTGATCCATGCGAATGAAGAACTGGTCATGGCGTTGATGGCGTTTGAGGTGCTGGATAAGAGCGTGGATGATGATTCCGATAGCGAGTTGGAAGAGGCGGCTCATCTGTCCAGGGCCGCTGCGATAGCTAAACGTTCAGGTGGATCTGGCAGTGGTCCTCCCCCTACAGAATCAATGGTGGGGCTGAGCTTGCAGAGTCCGGAGATGGCTCCGAGGCCTGGGTTGGGAAAGATGGCGATGCCGCAGAGCGAGCCGTGGATTTTGGCTGGCAAGGGTAAGGATATGAGACGGGAGAATGGAAGTGAAAGTGAGGACGATGATGATGATGATGATGACGACGACGACGACGACAACGAGGATAACCCATTCGGAGATCGGAATGCTACGGCTACGCCGAGCATGGAGAAACAAGGGTTTACTTGGAAGGAGGTTTGAGGGACGGGTTGAGGACATGATATTGGCGTCTAATATCGTTTATCCAGGTCTACACAATTATGGTCTAAGTTAGAAGTACATGCTCTGTACTGCACTGCACTGCATCGATTTCATCATCATGCATACATATAGCTGAACATCGAGATTTTGTACCCTACTATGTAAACACCATGTCTTCCCATGCCAGTTGCCTGTTCTGTCCCAATGCTCACCCCAAGTAGCGCCAGTCATGCATCAGTATCGCTCTCATAAGTGCTGTTATCCATATACTTCCGGAATGGTAGTTCATCACATCCAAAACAGTAGAATGGCCATTTCAACATCCCAACCAGACATTTGCTTCGTACATCGGAATTTTTCTTTCCCTGAACAAATCTCAAGCCCCCAACGCCAAAAACCTCCTTCATCGTATCACGCCATCCCCACTCCTCCTATCCCCTCCCTCAAGCCCCTTTATCTCTGGCGCAGGGGCTGGTGCCACCGCCGTCGACGTCGACGCCGACTCCGTCCCCACATCCGTCTCCGTCCCGGCGCGCGTCGCAACAACCGGGGCCACCTCATCATCCCCCGCATTGTTTGTCGAATACCTCTTCTCGCTGGGTGTGTACCCCGGACTCACCGTGCTCAGATTCCGCAGCCTCTCTTCCGCACCATCGTAGTTACGTAGTGATTCCGACGGCGAGTGGCCCGAAGCGGGCGACTCCCTGCGTCCACTGGCGCGCCGGGCACGGCCTTGATCGAAGGTCGGTGTGCGGAAGAGATTTGGGTTTCTGATTACGGTTTGCCGGAGCGGTGGGCCATCTGCGGCGTCGGGTTCGGGTTTGGATTTGGAGCCGAAGCACATGGTTGATTTTTGAGCAGGGTTGCGTTCGCGGTGTGGTGATTGGGGCGAGGAAGGAAGAAGAGTAGTTGGAGGTGGGGGCGGGGTTGGTTGGCGTTGTTTGCTATAGGATCGTTGTAGCAGGAGACTTGAGGAGGAATGGAGAGATTGGTGACTGATGAGTTCGGGCCTCTAGAAGGCGATCTGGTGGTCGGACTGGTGATAGATGCTTGGGGGAGAGGGCAGGAAATGCCGAGAGAGGTGTGACAAGTCGGTCAAACGGGTGCTCTAGACTCAGGAGTTTTGTATACTGGTACAATAGTCCAGGTGAAGTGCGCAAAGGTAGTATGGTTATAGGAAGTGTACAATAGACTAGGACGGTGTGGGAAGGAATTAGGATCGAAGGCAGCAAGACTTGAACCACATTGTTTTCTCGAGACGGAGCAAGCTGCACAATAGCCGACTCGGACACCAGAAACGTCGCCAAGCCCGGAGACCCGCTATACAGCCGGCAACTTCAAAGTTGCCGTTACCGGTCACCATTCTCTAGGCGGAGAATATGCACATCTGGAATACAATTGTGAGACAGGCTGTGCCAACGATCATGACAATTGGATTGTTCACTGCTCAGCTCCGGCTCGCCGAATATGTATCCGTAAATGTTGATATGGTGGCTGGCCCGCTGATATGGGCGTGTCTCGTATTGTGTCTGAGTTGTTATGATACCACGCCAGTTGACTATGGTACGCAGGCGATGGAGCGACTTCTGTTGGATCCCATGCGACGAGCCTCCTTCCCTTGTCATCCACGACGGGAGATGCGTTTCCGTTTCCATCTGCTATGCCGCAACGTTAGCCAATTAAGAGGAGGCGCGAGATCAGTTGAAAAAATATTAGGAAATCCATGAATGGGGAGAGCTGGACAAAGGCTTCCAGGAAGCGGATTATACAAGCGAAACAAGATCGCCCCCATCTGTACGCAACTTTCAGAGCCAATGTAAAACGAGGTGAGCTTGAGCTACTCCAGTTACTAAGATGGTATATGCAGTGCCATGTATCTAGGCTCACGCCCACGTTCGATCTGCTGTGGACCTAAAGATGGCCGGTGGAATCGATTTTAAGCTGTTGCAGTTTCGACTTGTCAGGTCTACTATGACGCTGAGGATATCTCAGGGAAAAGCTGTCCCCTTGAAGGAGCAGATAGTTTTGCAGAGGATATTCAACGTTTTGCGTTAATGCCAAAATAAATGGTACGATCCAAATGATACAGTACGTCGTCTAACCCAGACAGAAATAGCGCTTGGAACATCAGACAATCAGGCGTGATGGCGTGCTGGCGTGCTTTCCCTAACACAGAACCTCTTTTCTTGCGATGCCTCTCTTCCTGCTTCGCTCTTGCTGCTTCCACCTTCTAAGCATGGCTCCGTAGTAGTCAGCCTCAATCGCTGCTCTCTCATTGCGCCAGACTTCCCCACATTCCAGATCACACCAACGATACTAGTACTTAGCTATAGGTAGACTTCTGTATAATCTATGTTCCTCTTCTTACTATCTACGAATGCAGTTTACCTTTAGTCGGTCTAGTACGTCTATGGGTACCTCCCCCTACACTCAAGATCTGGTTCCAAAGGGGGGCGGTTTGCCAGATGAATATGAGCAACCAGGCTGTGGTGTGGATGAAGCGATAATGGGGCCAGCTAACTCATGTTTTAGCGCTCGAAACACTAAGAACAGGAAAAAGAAATACCCAAGTGTTCTGTTTCGGTGTTAGTTTTGATGCACCAGGACGCATCCGTAGTAGATATTGTTAGTGTGTATTAGTAGCAGCTAGTTTTCTACACACTTTCCCCACATCCTCCGGAGCGCCCAGAATGATAATGATTGGCCTATGCGCTCAAGGCTTCTACAGACTAAGTTACTAGCTTGAAGTAAGGTGCACCTTCGTCAAAATCTAGTCAGATACAAAATTTCTAGCTCGAAGCTAACGATACTTCATGCCTCCTATCGCAGTATGCTTTGAGTGAGGTCTTGACAAACACTTGCACCCAGCTAAAAAGCCTACCGGTAGGCTTTGCTACACTGCCCGAACGGACAATGCAAGCGGCTTTAGGAAAGCCTTGTACAGAAGACAGCTTTTGACCACGATCTTTGGGGCGGATTTTGTCAAAGTGGAGCTTGAGTCTGCGCAAGGACCGAGTCTGCCTGGAATGAAGAGACACCCGTCAGAGTTGTCCCTCACAACCGTCAACTCGATTGAATGCTAGCCAGAGTCGACCTGTTGGGTCAATTCATACTAAACGGGAGCTATATGTTTCTAGCTAAACAGATCTTCTCTCGAACCGTATGCAGAGGAAGCATCATGCTCAGCAGAGAAAAACGATTCAGGTGAGTGGTAAACAACAAGCTTTGTCCTTCAGTGCCAACGTGCCAACGTTGAAGTACGATCGTCGAAAAACGTCAATGGTTACAAATACAGCGGTGGTAATCTCACTAATACTCCTCGAATCTGCTCTTTGTTATCCATGTTCTTCATTCAGAAAGTATGATTGGACACAATATGTTTCACACATGGAACACTAGCTCATTCCGCCACAGACAATATTGTCCGAGCTCGTCAAATCAGACCTTAAGCATCCCACATCTCAACCTAGGATCAAAGACGACAAGTTAGGCCAGCATATGGGTACGGGAAGCTCGTCTTTCCCGAGTTCATCTAGCTCACCGTCTACGAGTTCGTGCGCTCACCGTGCTGTGAGGAGCGGACGACATTGTCATACAGTACCAGGCACCTCTTGGGGAAGTGTTGGTGCAAATGGCTGGTAGAAGTATGAAGTCGACCAAGATGGCGCAAGATCAAGACCTTCGTACACGAAGGATGGTCCTAGAATGGCCGAGGATTTGGCACCGGGTAAAAAGGAAGGACCTCTGGACCTTTGTACCTCTCAGCTGTGCGTCCCGTCTCTGCATGCTTACGGGTTTCCGGGTGGTGTCTTATCTGACTCGAACCTCGCCTCATTGTGAATTCGAAGTTCGTTCGTCAGTTCACAGCCTTCGAAATTGCTTGGCGTCTAGAGCATTCTTCTCTTTGGGCCTTGTAACAATCGTTCATGTCAATTATTTGAGTGAATTTCAAGCTAGTCATCACCATTGGGGGCGAACTCGTACAAAGGATTTCTGTTATGACAGCTACTTTACCTTTCGTTCAATGAAAACATTGTCCTATCTCACCTCTCGCTAAAGAGCTTTTGCCAGGGTTTGTGGCCTTTCCGTGGAAAAACCGCATGCAAGCACTGTTGTTGAAGCCCGTTGTTCTATGCTCTGGTGGAGGAGGATCCTCTATCACTTCATAGTGCTAAATCCTTTGTTCATGGCATCTTTTCGTTCTTTTGAAATATTTTTATTGTCCGAACTCATGAAAGACCCTTTTGTTGTTATCCTTGGTTCGCTTCTCTTAGCCATTGTTTATCCATTGTATTATGGCATTTCTTGCAGGGCTTGTTGGCTGCCTTCTCTACTATTTAAATTCTCAGCTTCTGTCCATTTTCCGGTCTGCCACTCACCAATTCCCTACAACTCATTTCAGCCTTCATAGCAAGCACCTTGATCGCATCCCTTGACAGACAAATCCAGTTTTCCACCAGCACCAAAATGTCCTTGAAAACTCCTCGAAATTCATACCGCAGCGCGGAATGCCCGGAAGTACCTTCCCAAAACCCATGTTCATCCTGGTATTCCGAGGAGCTCGAGCCTAAAGGCCCATTTTCTCGCTCTCGAGGTTCGCACCACGAATCTAGTCACCCATCGTCTTCGGCCCGACGTTCTCATCGCCAATATGACAAACCGGAGTCTTCGGCCCGAAGTTCGCACCGCGAGTCTGGTTACTCATCGTCTTTGGCCCGAGACACTTACCATGAGAGTGAAGCGCCGTCGTCGCAACCACACACCTCATCTTCCATCCGCCGCGCAAACACCACTGCTGCTCCGTCCAGTAAGAACCCCTTTGCTAGATTAGTGGCAACAGGTGATCTTCCCCGCAGCAACAATCCTTTTTCGCGACATGAATCATCACGCCACGCTGAATCGTCCGGTGGTCTCCACCGTTCCAATGCGGTCCACTCGCGCAGCCGTTCATCCCACCAAACCTCCCGCCGCGAGTCATCGGCCTCACACCACAGCTTCTCTGCCTCCACCATTCGAGGTCCCTCTACCACAGTGCGCGGCAGCTCTCCCTCGTCGATGGATGAGCACCTAGACTCCTACGCTGGAGCTCTTGTTCCCCAGCGCTCCCAGACAGTTGCCCACCATCTCAGCTCAGGCTCTCGTTACTATGGCAACAAACAGGTGGCACGCAGCGGCTGCACTAGCAGCTCCTGCACTAGCAGCTCCCGCACCACGGGATCCACCTCCTCCACAACCTCAGCCAAAGGCCAGAACGTGACCTATAACATCACCAACATCAACATCGGCAGCAACAACGTTGGTAAGGGTGCCGAGGATCTGCTTGCCGGCATGTCCACAATCGAAATTGGCGAGCCATCTGGCCATGCCCGCCGCAGCCGCAGCACACGTTCACATACCTCATCAGGCCGCTACACTCCCTACGCCGGAACTGGTAGAGTCTGGGAACGTGATTATGACGAGTCATTGGAGGATATGAAGAAAGAGCAACGGAAGCGTCAGCGCGAGCAGACACGCGCCTTGTCAGCAGTGGCTGATGCGGAAGCGGAGCTTCGAGAGAGTGAGGAGCGATTCCTGGCGCAAATTGGTTATCCGTGCCCAGATGCCATGTTCACTTGAACGGAGGGCTTGAAAGGTAAGGTAAGGCAAGGTAAGTGAGTTTTTGCTTCTGGGTCCTGGAGTTCTGGAGTCCCGGCGTTTATGACTGTGGTCATTGATTTCGGTGGGTTTTCTGAATCTCTGGAGTTCAGGAGTTACTGGATAAGGTAAGTCAGGTAAGCGGTCATGCGATCACATGGCTGGTCCTTTAGATAAAATAAAATATGGGTTTGCCACCTAACACATGCTGCCTTTTCCTCTTCATTTCCATGTTCCAAGATTGTCATGTTGCCTCTGTGCTTTTCTTTTCGGTTTCCTCTCGTCTCGCTCCCCGTACGGCAGAGATGCAGTCAACATCAAAATGCCCTTGACACAATAGATCAAAGATTCAATCTGATATCTTCCGGCCTTACTTTTCTCCTTCCTAACACACAACTGCTCTATGGCCTTTATCTTCTTTTTTCCATCACCACTTTCCACACCTGCATAGTTTACATGATGGGGCTGCCAGAAGAGTAAGTAGCAAGTCTGTTCCGCACACAGTCTCTAACTCAGTACCTTCTGCCTTCCTTCCTTCCTTCCCTCCTTCCTTTTCCTCTTTCGTCGTCCCTGACGCTAAGGCGGTTGACATTTCACCTGGGGTCCACTAAAACCGGCGCCATCAGAGCGGGGAACAACGACTTCGAGGACCCCTAAATAGGACCCCTTTTCTCTGCATGCCGTTACGACCTTGGCGTGACGTCTGCGACTTTGCTCCAAGAAAAAGCCTCCGCCATTCACCACCGCAGCGGACGGGATCTTTCAGAGGGAAGGGAAGCTTCATTTAATGGCTCATTAGCCTAGCCTGCTTGGACTGGTCCACCTATCAACTGGAGAAGGAGGTTTGGCTATTTTAAATCGGATTGAGACCCAGAACGAGGGCAATGTACAACTGAACCATCGTAGCGCTGAACAGGAACTGAACCTAACCAGTGATTAAGCCTCCCCTCCTACTGGCACCAAACCTGCAGCTGATTGGTCCCGGATGGGATGGGATGGGATGGGATTGTGGTCTATTTCTCCACGATACGGACAAGCAGACAAGTAACAGGTACGGAAAAAGGAAGGTGACCAGGTGAAAAGACCTCCTCCACCCCCCGGGGCTTAGGCCTTCCACTCAGATCCAGTGTATCCATTACAGATTTAATAAGCTTGACTAATGTGTCCAAAAATCTTCTGATTTCGTCATAGTCAAGATCAAATATTTTCTAGATATAAAATAATGACAACAAAAAAAACATCTTCCGTCTAGAAAAATGTCCAGGGTCATTTCCGACTCACATTCAAAGAAAAAAGGATAAACAGTCCTTGACGGACTCTTTCCTGAGAGGTTAAAGAAATGCGTAATGATGATCTTGATGATACATCACCCTGTTGATATCTAACTTGGAGTTGGTCAAATTGGATCAAATTGGATCAAATCGAAACCCAAATCGACCTTTAGCATTAAAAGAAGAAATCCAGATTGCGGGGTCCTGGCTTGGTTTATCTGATTTGGTGGTTAACACTGTCCAGCCTCATCATATCGGCCTCACAGACAACTTCTACCATGGCTTGCTACTTGAAAGTGAAAACTGCATTCTTCTGCTTCACTCCATCTATCCTTTCTTTCCTCTTCCCAGATAGGTGAGAACTACGCCACGAATCCAAGAGCTGAGCTTAGAGATTGAACGCTTTCGTTGTTTATATACCTACAATAACATCACTTACCTAGGTCTTGATTGCTTCAGATGTGTGAATGAACATGAGAGCAGATCGAGCCTGCGCATCGCAGATTTTGCGGTTTGCCCTCCGCCATGTCTCCTTTTCGTTCTTCAAATTGGCACAGTGTGTGAAATGGCTGTTGGATAAGCTCGTTGACAATAAATCAACTTGGTAGTCGAGCATGAACTCTAGGATCGCAAGTGAATAGCCACCTGGACCGGACAGGAATAAGGTAGATTGCTAAACTGTGCTGTTGCACATCATAGCACCGCTCGGCTCGGCTCTTGACATCCGAGTTCTAAGCTGAAGCCTCCTAGTCAGGCTCGCTACTGACGTCCACCCTCGGATGATGATGCTAGAGAATCGTTATCTCACCGTCAAAGGATGCGAGGGTGCATCATCATCAATCCGCTACTTGGCTTCCATCATGTCGCCACACCGTCCAGCATTGTGCTCCTGATGCCAGAGCAAGAACAACCATGTCATTCGTCTTATGGTTGATTCGCTGCTTAGGCTTTCCCTTGACCACCAATTGAAACGGCGAGCGCGGCTGGACCGGTCGATCTTCAGTTTGTTCGAAATCATGATCATATATATATCGGATTTTGGTTAAACCTAGGTGAGAATGGTATATTCCTTGTATTGAAGACAGCGTGGGTGGTGATATGACAACCAGGATTGAGACAATATTTTCCGATGGAAACAATTGACACGGTATGGCGGTCAAGACTTACCTGCTCTAGTGGTTCGTCCCCACAAGTAGCTTTCGATTCGACCTTGTTGACCATGTCGGTCGAAAATGAGTTTCAAGACGGGTGGATCTGGATGGCATCTTGCCCAAGCAGGTAGTTCTTGGAGTAGTAGCTTCCTTTCTTTACTAGGAATTCTGATCAGTGCGGCATGCTGAGGAGTGGAAGGAGACCTGCTGCAGGGTTGGTTGTTCTTGATTGTCAGATGACCTCCATTGGATCTTTGTCGATGGATCACCATTATCTATCCTGTTGGAGAGCAGTTTGGTGCTCGAGTCAGTCCCCAATGTATTCTTCTCGTAGAAGTGGAGAGCGCCGGATCGATAGAACAGTTCTTCCGTAGCCGAGTGTGACCTGGACCCGAAGCTGGAGTAATGTATAATCCAGCTCTTGACACCCATCTCGATGGAATGTACTCGCGTAATCATCCCTGACTCTGGACTTCTAACCCTCTTGAACTACATCGTCTTCCCAGCCATATAAGTGTCCGTAGAATGAAAGCAATGTCATTCCAACACCGTGGTTTACCTACCAGAAATTGTCCTCCTCCTTTTCCCATCTTGAGGTGGAATGACTGAACGACTGCTCCAAGGTGGAAGTATTCTCGCAGGAGGTTATGGCAGGCAGCGTCTTGTACTGGAGGATCGATTCAAGGCGCTGACGTTTTATTCAACCAACGCTGCGACCACGAAAACGACATACTCGCCTAGTCGTGCTTGGAGCTAAACCAAGGAAGTCATCGATGACAAGACCACTTCGCACACTCCGCCCTTTCATCCATGATTATAAATGTCGCAGTATTTCGAGGATGAGGATCGTCAAGAAAGGGTACGGTGCTGCAAATGCCTGATTCGCCCATTGAAGTGTCAGAAATCTCGCAAGAGAATAGCGGTAGATGATAGTGATGCTGCTTCGACAGAATGCTGTCAGTAGACATGTCAGCGATGATGTTGGAGCTACGTGAGTCACTCAACTTTGATAGGTCGTAAGCATGGTCTTCCTAACATTTGCCTTTGTTGACAAAGTATCCCTGAAGATGACGTTGCACATTACCCAGCAGCCGTCATCACCCCACGCTAGTATGCAAGAGCATGCCCTGCGGTGATCAAATCTTGCAAGTTGTCCCTTGAGTACGTGGTCTGAGTGGGGCCGATGGGCGACGGGATGTGGTCCACAGACCGCTCGGCCCCACACCCAATAACGCAAGGAAACGAAAATGGAAGTGCGACAGTTCGATCGCTCTTGCGGTTCCCGGTAAAAGCCTGTGTAGCATAGCTAGAGTGTGGTGCATGAATAGTGTAGTGACTGCATGGTCCAGAGCACCGAGCTTGAACAATGAAATCGCTTCCACTCGTGTGCACTGGATGGAAGCGGACGGGACATGTACGGTAGAAACTTAGCCCGATTGAGTAACAATCGAAGATGTTTATTGCGCCGGCCAGCGTTCGCTTGATTTCATGTCGGTAAGGCAAGCGCCCATCACATTTCCTTTGCACTTTGCCACCTGCCCGACCTTGGCGCTCTTTTCTCCTCCACCGGAATATTATTGATCGGCGGAAATAGCTGATGCTCCTGCACATCCTCTCGTTTCTTTCTTCGTAATAGGAATAGTCATCATACACCCTCGTGTGGCCCGGCCGGTGATTCGCGTTGCTTTGGTAACAAAGTCCCCCTTTCTAGGCGGGGTTTGTGGCCACTGCATCATGCCGTGGACAGGATCCGCCGCTCACAGTACAAATTGGTCGGGCCAGCTGACAGAACCAAGTACAATTTCTGCTGGTATGTACTTATTAAACCTCGTCACTCGAAGGGACCTGCCCAACGGGCAAGAAGCTCTCCCACTGACTCCGTTGTGGCTACCGGCGAAGATCCAGGGTCGCCTGCAACACCACGACTCCGAGTCAGAATTGGAATGCGCATCTCCACAGGGATATCTTCCAGTTCTTCGGGCTGAAGACTTGATTCCTGGAGTATCATTATTGCCTCTTTGGGGAACCCGAATTGGTGTTCCATATCCAGCGCTTTAAGCATGGCTAGAATATATGGTGCTACCGGGAAATTCTCGGAATGTTCGACCAGAGCCTGGCAGGCTCGAATAAAAGGCTCATTCTTGTGAGCGCCATCTCTCAGCTGTGGAGATAGTGTAAGTACTACCATATAGGGCCCCAACAGTCCTATACATGAGCTATGCCGCAGCGAGAAGGTTTTTCGATATGCCCAAATCGTTTCCATGCATTCCGAGGCATGCTTGAAGCACAAATCTCTTGGTGAACCGATCTCGATCGGCATTCGCACGCCTTCAAGTTCTTGTAGAGGGCGAAACAGGGAAATGTGGGTGGCATGGTAGAGGTTACTATAATATGAAGAGGTATCAGCGTTGCGCTCTCAAGGCGGGAACTCGGCAATCGTCGGTTCTTGAGCAGTTTGAAAAGTCATGACTGACTTGAGATAGTAGGTATGTGCCATGGTGCGCGCGCTTGGTCTTAGGCTGAGATGCAACTGCGCGTTCCAAGTGGCAAGGTTCTTGAAGCTGTGGCATCGGAAGGCTAAATCTTGTGCAGATCCAAGAGGAACATTGTCGGGAGGGTTATTGTTCCATGCCGATATCTCATGATGTATTTGGCAAAGTGAGGAAAGAGCACTCAGAGTCTTTGCCAGAAGAGCCCGCTGCTCAGGTCTTTGCATTGGATAAGGACTCCAATCGCCATCCCGAGCGTCGAGGTCGGTCCAGTCTTCTGCTGAATGGAATTCGAAGTACCTTTCCATCCGAGGCGCGGATAACATTGGCTCAAAGCCACTTAGAAAGGACATGAAGCTATCAAGAAGGGAGCATCAGCGATCGATGGATTGTACGGCAGGTTATGAGCATGGGGGACAAACTTTTCGACGCAGAAAATGCCCCAGACTGCCACTGTCTTGGCTCTCCAGTCTTGACGCGCAGCAGCAGATTCTTCGCAATCATATGGCCTCGAACAGTATTGGTTGAAACCTAATCGGCGCCACATGTCCATGGCTTGAAGGTAATATGTGCGGCCAATCCGATCGCGACCAGTTACGCCCTCATGCAGGTACAAGAGCACGAGGGCCTGGAGTGTAGTCACCGAAGCTCTTCCTCGTTGGAGCTCGAGACGAATTTTGGCTTCTCCGAGAAATCGGGTGCGGAGGACTTGGCATTCCGCTCGCTGGCTGATAAGCTAAGAAAACTATTAGTTAAGGGTCAGTGGAAAGGACGGCTGACTTACACAAGCTTGTGCGAGAAGAGCGCTCACTAGCAATGGAGAGCAAAAGGAATGGGGTCTTGCAACACCTCCAGCCTTCATGTCTGTTAAAAACGCCATCTTGTCGACGAACTGAAGACAAGGCTGCTCCCAGGTAAAGTAGAGCGAGACGAGATGAGAAATGACTTCATCTGACGCGAGTGTGGTCCATGGATAAGCCAGTTGTGGAATAGGGGGAAGGATGAGAGATTGCGGTCGAATCCGATCTTCATTGGATCTTCTCGAGCCCGTAGGCCCTTGAGTTTGTTCCTCCTTCGAGCGCATGAATTGCTGGGACAATTCGAAAACCTCCGGGTCGGCAATAAGCGAACTCTCGATATGAGTCGCAAGGTCTGTAAGGGTCGCATTGCCGCGGATGAGGTTACAGAGGTAATCGATTTTGTCGGGTTGTGCTGACTGTATGATAGCGAGTATCCCTCCAAGGAGCGTCCGCTGGCGATTCAGTTCTTGGGTGTTCTTCTGGGTTGCAGCTCGCCTGCGCTGATCCGCATTTCGATCATAAATACATGGACTTTGCCTCAGTTGACAAGAATCACAGGGAGTGCCTTCGTTGCACTACACCGCAGTCAATACATGGGCTCTTCACGACGTATGGCATATTCATGGCTCGCCTTTGATTTTCGTTGTTTGCATGCAAGGCAGGCAGTTGAAGCCTTTCGTGACCTGACTGATGCTGCTGGCGGTGAGCCTACCCGATTATTTACGCCAGTCGGAAAAGGCGCCAGAGTAGGGTGGCCTGACCGAGGAGGAGACATGGTAGGTGAGTTCGTTGTTCTGGTCGCGTTGCATCGGATACATTGAGCCCACAAGATGCTGAAGAATCAAGGAGGCCAAAGGATCTGGAGGACTTGGGCGTTCTCTGGCTTCTGACCTCCACTCGCGGACAAGTGTTCCAGTGAAACATTAATGCCATCGGATTGGACGGAGAATGACGATGGAGACTACCTCGTCAAAATCCGATATCTTGGCGAGCGAAGGCAGGCTCATTACAATAAAGATACCGGAAGTCCACTTCCGGGGGGGAGGTTTCGACCTGCCCCGACCTAAAATGCACGAGTATGCACACACAATTGAACCTCATACGAGTCTCCAGATCCAGCGGTGCAATTGGATGGAAGAAGATATGAGAAACTTCCGCCAGATCCCCGCTACCCAGGCGCCATGCCTCATTAGGGACGGTTGTTCTTGATGAGTCTCGAGGATTGCTAGGTTGTTGTGCCTCCAGGATGAGGTCAGCGCGCACAATAATCAAGATTTCTGCATCCGGTGCATTTGGCTGGCCTGAACCCGAGTCCCAAAGGGGTTCTGTTAAGCCAGTGCAATTCATGCTGACTCTAAATGATCTATCAAGAGGAGCATCGTGGGCCGTTCATGCACAGACAGTATTGACGTACCTGTGTCCGTCACATGTGGCCCAGGCACTGTACATAATACGCATACATGCTTGTTACGTCCTCCAATCCATCTCGCCTGCCATGTCGCCAGTGGAGGGCGGATACACTTCCGGCCCATCGAACGCCATCGTGCCGTCTGGAACGGGCATTTCAGGCAACAGGGGCCACGAGGCTTGGGTCAAGTGTTCCACAAACATGGTTTCCGAGGCTGGTACAAATGACATTCCGACGTGAGGGTGCAGATGATGCAGCATTTGCAGGTTTTGTTGCTGATTCGCAGGCACATTTAATGCCTGGGAAAGTAGCTGCTCGTACGCGGGTTTCCACCCCGGTGGCTTCTGTATGTTCTCCGGTATCATCACGTCCACCCCCATGCCTGCAACGGCTTGTAAGTAAAGCTTGCGACATATCTCCCAGCTCTTCCAGGCAGACAATGAGTCAGTCGCCATGTCTGCCAGCCACGCTATGACCTTCCCAGTATCGTCTAGCAGCTCTTTGACCTGTAATGGCATATGCTCAGCTTTGAGGCCCAGCTCCAGAATCAACACGGCTCCGGCTTGAGTCAGGTAATGCAGAAGGCTCCAACATGGAAGCATCTGAGATGGGTGAGCGCTACCCGAGCCCTTTGGTAATAGAGCTAGTAGGGTTCGTGCGGCATTTACACAAGACACGGCCGCTTGGTGGTTGATGCCTCGTGAAAGAGCTGATTCATACGGTATTACTCCTTCTAGATGGCAGAGGCAAGGACGGAAGAGGATCATTCGTGTGCTCTGATATGCCATGGCTAATTCAAACTGATCACGGAGCCAATCTTGACTACGGCCTGATGTCTGAATATCTATTCTGGGAGGCAATCTCATGGCTTCGGGAAGGTTTGATGACCATCGAGTAAGCTCTTGATCAAAGTCTCGGATATTCTGCTGAAACCTGGACCAAGGCTGATTCGTCCTGCCAGACGCATATAGCGAGGAACGAATCTTGTGGCCAAGGATACTTAGACGGGTTCGACAGACGAAGTACAAGTGAGGAGAGAACTTCATAGCCTCAAGTCCGATTGATGATTCACTTGGGAACGCTTTTTGCGTAGCCATTGCGCGCGAGTCGGTTTGAGAGGGTGGGGAAGCCACCTCGCCCTTCTTTGACCAGTCTAGCGGAATCGCGATATCGCTGTCCGGAATCGATGTGGGTCGACCAGTAAAGTCTCCTAAGAGTTGTTCAAGGCCATAAAGAGCCCACCATGTGCGCGAACGGCGTTGCAGCTCATTGAGATCGATGCCTACTCCTACGCGGAGATGTAAGCCAAGAGCAATAGCATGACGGATTGCATGTCCCACGGTGGTCCAGGCCCTATCATATACTTAGCAGGTGTGAAGGAAATGAGGTGAGGCGCTAACCGAGAGATCTGGTGATTTACGATGAGGTAGAGCCCGAGAATGCCCAAAGCTTGAATCTGTTCGATGAGTGGGTGATCCATGATTAGCCGGTGATCAAGTCCGAGAGATCTTGCCCGAGCATAGTATACAATGTGGTCGCCCGGGCCAATAGTTGGTGACTGCGTATCAGCATTCCTCGCACGCGTCAAGTACAACCATTTGGCGCCAACTGCAAAGATTATGTTGGCCAAGGACAGCCATCGTCGACCTTCCCAGGAAAGCGGGGGCTGGACATGGAACTGACTTATCAAAACATCCATGAACGTATCTTGAGCCACCAGGGGAAAGCTATTGTGAACAGTTTTGAAATAAGCCGTAGCCAATGCTTTTGCTACTGGCAGTGGTGGCACCTCCATTGGATTGACTGTGTCTTCGTCGACAGCAAGCAAGTTGGCTTCGTCCATGTGATAGTCCATGTATGATCCATGTGGATGGTTGTCATCTGGCTCTAGAGAAGTGTGGTCAACGTTAACGTGCTGCCTCGCCATCTGTTCCTGTGCACGTTGCAGCCAGGAGATCTCTGAGCTCTTGCCTATGTAGCCTGATGCACCAGAGCCAATACCCAAGCTCACCGGCGGTGCTTGGCTGTCTGCAGCTCCGGGTGAGGCAATACTGGCGACGGTGGCAGTCTCGCCCTCGTCATGGGAGCCTCTATCTCGGCGTCGACCTTTACCGGGAGCTTCGACGGTTTCTGGACTGTCCGCTGACGGATACTACAGAGGCGATAATGAGTAATCGAGCCCGCAGAGGTGTTGAGGGGAGGAGCACAAACCTTTGAGAGCAATTGCAGCACGTTTGGATGCTTCTTGGCGTCAAAAGCTGGGTCATCAGTGACTTCTCTTAGCGCTGCAAGCAGCTGTTCATTCTGATGAATCAAGGAAGTACTCTTCTGCAGCTGAGAAGCCATTTCCCTTATACAGTCTCAGCTGTATGTGACCATATTGAGGAGAAGCCCCTTACTTTTTGTTTCGTTCTCGTTTACCATCCCCATACTTGCATTCCGCCTTGTCAAGTACACATTTCTCACATCGCGTCCCACCTGTGCACTTGGCCTTCAGGGTCCTGCACCTCTCACACGCATGGGGTGTTCTTTTGGGGACAGAACTGGTTTCGTAGGAAGCGCCATCAAGACGTGGAAGAATCATCTTGCCTAGCACAGGATGGGGAGAGGAGGTGTTTTCGGAGGAGCGTCCGCTCTGGGACCTGTCCGGCTGCAGGCGGCCAGACATCGCGCTGGGAGCCCGAGCTCTCAATCATTGCACGGCCAGATATGAATGCCGGCACGCAGGATGTCGTTTCCCAAGATCAGCCAGAGGTAGTGCTCATAGGATCGCATGCAACTATGGCTGCTTGGTTGATTGGTTGATTGGTTGGTGGATTAGTTGGCCGGGTTCACGAATCGAAATAGAGAGGGCTGAAATGAGTGATTGAAGTCAAGGCTGCAAAAATGTTTGTTTATTGGCACGACTATAATAAAAATCCATAGGATCTTTTGCCACCTGCTGCTCCCGCTCACTAAAATCATGGACAGGGTAGCAGGGTAGCAGGGTAGCAGGGTAGCAAGGTAGCGAAGCTAAAAGCCCACTCGACGTACCTGGGAAATTTCTGGTGCTTAAGCTCGCTTGACTGCTTCAACCTGCTTCAGCGCAAGTCGAAGTGAGAGATACCGAATACTAACTCTCCAAAATTCCTAGCGCTCTTTCCGCGCTACTACGTAAGACCACCAATATGCTCCTTAGTAACGCTGATGGCCCGCTAGCGATACCTATGAACAGTGATTATGACGCTTTCCGGGACTAGCGCCGGAATGTATATCCGCCGACACTGTGATTGGACACTTCTCAATGTGTTTATCCTCGATGTGTCTAACGTGGGTGACCCTGAACCGCAACAGGCTCAGAAGTGCAGCATTTCAGATCCAATCAGAATCATCGATTTCAACCTGTCCGCATCAGCCTCAGATCCTAGTAGGATTGCATGATTTTTCTGCCTACATGATCTCAGGGTGAGTTCCTTCGCAATGGTTGGGTTCTGGAGTATTGAAACCAAAGATGAACAGGGGAGATAGAGATCAAGAAATCTGCAATCAAAATATAGAAAATTTTCTGGCCCTGTGCGGGGATGGTGTTGCACTTCTGGGTCAGGTCACTCACGTTATCCCGCTAAAATATCTCTCCGCAACAGCATTTTCGGTGCCCAAAGGGAATCCGCTGCAACCACTGCATCGGGAAAAGTCTAGCATGGTATGCCAGTGGCGTTACCGCAGGTCCAACGTAATCTGCTGTGGTGCCGTGGATCTACGATCTCCCTGTCACGGCGCCTCACATTTCCATGCGTCTCAGGAATAAAGGAGATGAAAGCCTGGGGTTGGATCACATGATCCAATTGCCAGTGTTGATGGAACGATCCGAGTAACTTATCCTTCTTCTGGCGCATCGATCGTTTGCAAATGCCTAAATCGGAATGACCGTGGTGCGTATCAGGTTACTCTACCGTCAGCCAGGTTCTGGGCATGAAGCCACCTAGTTATCAAAAAATCCTCCCTGAGTGGTTATGAATGAGCAATAAGAATCTAGAACTGGTAGTTGGAGTACTACGTATTTTACCTGTAACACTGTTGCGAGTTGGACTACCTTGATACACTCTCTACATTTGTGAGCTAGAATGTTCTATGCCAAGCATTAGGAACTCGCCACAGTAGTACTACTTAAGTACATGAGATTCGAAAAGTCGAGCAGGGGGTTTGTGGCAATTATCCGTTCGCAGGACAATCATCTTCCCTGGCGTAGTTGGATACGCCACTCATCTGCACAGCCAGGGCGCTAGAATCCGAGGCCTGTTAAGTACTGCATAGTATGTTGAGCATATTACTCGAAGAGAGTACCACAACTCTATGCCCCTAGTTAATGCCTACCTAGCCTGGGCCAGGCCTTTAGAGCCACGCCAAAGTATGCACACGATGAAAGTCTTAGCACCACCACTTTGGTGCTAAGCAGCACTACTGGTGCGTTGATAGACGACTGACATGCGGAAATGATAGCGGAACTCTATTGGAGACCCGATCAGATACTGACGCAAGCGTACAATACAAACACCTGGCGGCGCAGTCCAGATGTTTAGGATGTGAACAGTGAACTTGAATCTCCTCAGACATGAAGGTTGAGGAGCAGGTGAACCGGTCCCAGGATATCATATCAGCAATACAAGATTTTTTGATCCTGAATTTCGAGCCTTTTGCAAGCAGCAACACCACGCAGCCCAACGTCCGCTTACCCAATCGAGCCAGAAGCCCAGTGCCAAATAAGATAGATGGTTCTCTCCACAGGAATCATGCAGGACATGATACGTTGGAATTGTAAGTAGTGGAATATCCGTTCAGGAGCGCAAGCAAGCTTTTATTCCGTTATGAAAATGGCGAAAGGGATCTATGATTCATTATGCCAGCTGAACTAAGCGCCAAAAACATAGACCAGCTACCAAAGGCATACCATACCACCGAGACTCACCCCCGACCGACCACATCAGCCAACACTTGTCTGGTTTCAGTCTTTCTCCTTGAAGCCGTGGTTGTATTCAGACAAGCTGGGTATCCTGGCTCGGCCTAGAAGCGACCAGCTCTATACGCAGAAACAGCAGCGCGTGCCCCTGTGGTTGCGACACTGATGGTAACGGTAGCAGTCTCTTCAGACTCAGTGACAGTCTCTGTCCCGGTCACGCCTGGCTCTGTGACCGTGGGAACTTCTTCCACGCCAGTCTCAGTGACTGTGGTCTCATCTTCGGTAATGGTAAATCCCGGCAAGGTGACGGTGGCCTCAGCTGCTGTTACAGTTATGGTTGTGTTCTTGAAGATAATGTCGGAGATGATGTCAGTAGTAGTGCTAAGTACGGTCGATGTAGCTAAGGCAGTGACAGTCACAGTGACATTTCTAATTCCTGCAGTGCAAGTAGTGCAAACCGAGTTTTCGGTTGGCTGCGGCAAGCTGCCAGTCCCTGTGCCATGGCTGTATCCTGTTCCATAGTTTTTCCCTGTGCCATTGTATGCTGTGTCATAACCGCCATAGCCGCCTGTAGGTCGTGGACGCGTGTTGAAGGTGGGAAGGACATCTATGCCATTGCCATAACTGCTTGTAGGTCGTGAACGCGTGTTGAAGGTGGGACGAACATCTATGCCATTGCCAGGTCCGCTTATGGTGCTGTTGCTGCTGGGCAGAGGCACTGTCCCAGAAAGTTGGCTTGCAGCTCCTGTGGGCCTGACCAATGAAGTGACATTTAAAGTCTCCGTAATCGTCGTTATACCACCAGCGACGGTGGTATTGAGGGTTGCGGTAGCATAATTAGTAGCTCCAATTGTACGAGTCTGTTGTCGTAAGCATCCAAGTATCATCTATGGCGAGCAATACATACCACTTCTGGCGCCGTGGATGGCAAATTGGTAGTTGGTGCTGGGAGGAACAAGCACGAGCAAGCACTCGACAGATCAGCCCTAAGGCCTTCGACATCAAGAGATCTTGCAGCGGTGGAAATCACTTGACGTGCATACTGTATCATCCTTTTTGGCAGTTCTGCCCTTGGGGTGATCGCAGCTGCTACAGCTCTCCCTTCAACTGCATCCTTCTTCCTCACATGACTTCGCCTTTCGATTGCGAACTCAGTTTGAGAGGCGGTCACGGTGACTGTAGAAGTAGGTGAGTAAACAATCTCAGTGGTACGATTGACAGTCACAGTTGCAGGGAAACATGTACTAGAAAAGATCAGTCATCTCAACTCGGCCATCAAGCGTTGGTGCGCCAAACGTTGTGGGAGTGATTGTAACATAGTATGATGTCACAGTGCGGAATGGAATCCAAGAATGGCAGAACTCTTCTATGTCGTTTTGAGCACCTTCGCCCGCGCGGCCCATGCCAACACTATTGAAGACATCATTGTACGAGTCGCCCCTGCACAGCTGTCTTTCGTCCAAATAACGTGGGTTTATCAAACCGGCAACACCGGCAGAAGTGGTTTTGATGATGGAAGAAACAGTCAAGGCCGCAGCCAGAGAAAAGAGTGGATGGTACATAGTTACGCTGTGGGGCAGGGTATCGATGAAAGAAGGACTTGTAAACTGTAGCGAGCGAATTGTGCCTGGACAGTGAAAAGGAATATATGGAAAGAGGAGCGGTCTTTATAGATTGTAGAACAGGTGTACGGCAGGGCTGGATGATCGAACTCAATTTCCCTCCCCCTCGCAGAAGGACCGCACTGTCTTGAACTCCATACCTCAGACTCCAGCCATGGCGTCTATCCGAGCCGTCTTCAGGAATGGGCAAAGCCAGTGGTCAAGAAGTCATGGCCGACTTTTGTGCGTGGTCAGTGCGAAAAACGTGGCCACGACTTGTTTGACTCTCGCTTTGAGCAAACATGGGGGCGTGGGCTGGAGTAGAGCATTGAGGGTGATACGGAGCTGAGGCACTTGGTATGTAGAATTTCGCGCCTCAGGATGCAAAGAAGTGGCTCGATCAGCAAGGGCTGTTTCACTCACTAGGTCTCAAGGGCGAGACCTTACTTGCCATGCATCTAGCAGCATTCCGCATGCTCTCAATTGGCAAAGCGTCACAGCACGGCTCCAAGGAGTTTTCAGCCTAGGTCATAAAAGATAGAGCCGACTTTCGAAGCCCGAGGGCAGTCATAGACCGTGTCATGAAGTGGAAAGCTTCAATGGTGCCAACAGAGGATATGATCAGCCGTCTTGACCCGGCTTCAGTGAGAACATCTTGGACAGAATTGTACACGGGATGGTCTATGTTTCTGGCGCAGTTGATCGCAAATCGAACGTGGCGAGAGAAGTATTGGACCCTGCTTCTTACCAGGCCAAGGGGTAGCTAAAAGATATAAGCTAAGGGCCGTTGATGAGAATGGCAGCTAGCATCATGCTGTTCCAAATGAGTACCCTGCTACGATAGAGAAGCGTGTTTCAGTAAAATACGTTAGAAACTGTGAAAGTTCATTGGGTCACGGACGACCAAGCTATGTATTCTTGCACACTCTAAGCAATCTTACGGTTAGCCTTAATCTACGTAGTAAGGACACTTTGATGGCTATCCCAACGTACTACATACGAGTAGTAGCATTGCTACGTATTAGTATTACGTCGTATAAGAAGGCCTGTTCCGCTAAGTTCGGTAAATCTCAAACAAGCTCTGGTACGGAGTTCTCCATGGTGGAGATTTTCACGGTGGAACTTTCCGTCATCCGTCTCTAGCACTTCAGTTCATTACCTCCAGCTTGCAACATGCTTAAATCCTACCAAGAAATATTACATTTCTGACCGTCTGCACAAGTACACTCTTCAGTGTTCTACACTCTCGCTAGACGTTCATTCAGATAATTCAATGCCGCGCTAGGTTGGTTCACCTCGACCGAAGACTCATCAACCTAACCCTCAGTAATACGAGCATTCCATTCCTTCCCCTCTACAATGGGCGTCTGTCTCTCCTGTCTTGGCATCTCGCATCAATCGTCTAGCGACGTATGTCACTCCTGTCTGCATGTCTCTCGGACTCCTAGTTGCTGACAGCGTACCTTTTCCCCCTTGCAGCCGGAACGCTCGCACCTCCTCAGTTCGGACGACCCTTACAACGCCTCTGGCTACGGGTGCGGAAGCACAAGTCAGGGACTGGCGCCACCACGACATGTGCTCAATCCAGAAGATGTGAAGAGGGAGCAGGAGGCGCTGGAGCAAATCACCAGATGGACAACAGAGTAAGAATTTTCTGAAACATCCATGAAAAGGCCCTCAAGCGACCCAGCTCACCGATGCTTGCCCAGTGCCGTCATCGATATCTTCCCACACCAAGCTATTCTGCTGTCGAACTCTAGCACCAATCTCAATCCATCCAATATCTACGACCAGATCCCAGGCGATAAATCCTCCAAACATATCCGAATCTACCCAGCTTCTCGACCAGTTTCACAAGCCTCGACCGAAAACTCGATGCGTAGCAGATCTTCAACCCAGAACCGTGGGGCCAAAGCTGCTCAGCCGCGTATATTCAGGACGCTGGAAATGCGTCCTGGAGACTGATGGTCAAAATTGGTGTTGCGAAGCGAGTTATACAAACAATTCGCGATGGTAAACACCTCAAACGGTGGGTTGCAAGAATGCCACGTTCTACAAGGGACAGGCGTATGCTCAAGCGCAGCAGCCAGCGAGGCTCGGAACAACCTGAGCTGAGACCGCGGACAGCATATCTTTCCTGCTGCAGCACGCAAATGTCGAAAATGCAGACAGGCCACGCTTCATGCCGGTCTTGAACGTACCCTACCGCAGCTGCACCACCAGATGCGGGTATAACTCGCCTTCATCAGCAGGTTTCTCCGTCACCAATGGCTCCTGGTCCAAGCGGCCAAAGTACCGCCTATCACATGCAAACCCAGACCAAGGTTATCACCTACATGCATTCCTCAACCTCAAACCTTTCCCCGTTGGAGAACAGAACAGACTTCCGGAATCGTAGCTCTTACATGCATGCCTGGCCAGCACGGGAACAATAACCGCAGCCTTGCCTAATTAGTTCTCAGAAAGTACTACACAACACATCATACCATCACAAAAGAACACCACATTTCTTCCTTCCTTCCGCTATTCGCTTGGTGAGAACGCCCACTAGCTAAAGCCATAATAAGCTGGCACCCTAGCTAAGTACCTCTTTAGTCATGTTTTCGCTAGCCGAACGAGGAGGGGGAGAAGTAAAGGGAAAGACGCGACAATTTTGAGAGACACGTACTTTTACACATCCCTGGCAACTCAATTCGAGTAGGATTATATCTTCTAATCTCCCAATTTTTTTCCTGTCTGACGATGCAATGCACATGCAAGATACAGAGCTACCTTGGTCTCATACAGATATATTAATTGATTACTGCTTGAAGAACCGTGCCACATATCTAAATGTGCCTGCCTGCCCGTCTACCTACTGAATTGATTTTCACCACTCGCTTGCTTGCTCGAACCGTATACTAAGCAAGGGGTATTATGCGCGGGAAAACGAGCGTACCATATACAGGACCAGAAAATCAAAAAAATCAAAAAATCAGGAAAAAAACCCTGTGCACCCACTTACAGGCCAGGATAGAACGGCTCAAGCCTGAACCTCATCCCAAGCAGCTGCTTCCCTTCGCAACCCCGAGCCACAGAATAGATAGGTAAGTAGGTATGTAGGAAAATATAATCTCTCATCTCCCTCGAATCAATCTCCGCGGAAGGTGGTTCAGTAGTCCCATTTCAGGTGCAAAGGAAAAGTAGGATTGAATGGATGCTCGGGTAGCTATTCCCTCTCAGCATGGTGTTGCCAGGCTTCCCCTTTTTTCAGGTCATCCATCTGATCATGTAGCAGCTGTGCCCTCTGCAGCCTCGCTTTTCTTCTTGTCCAAGGTCGCTGCGATCTCTGCTGCAGCGGCGGCAGGAGCGGGAGGGGCAGCGGCAGCAGCACCACCACTATCACCAAATTCACCACCAGCTGGCTCTTTTGCCGATGTTGATGACGCTGGCACTGGTTCTGGGACTGGGGCTGCTTCTGCAGCGGTGGACGATTGCGCCCTCTCGGTGGCGGAGGTAGAGGTCGTTTGTGGTTGTGCTTGATTCTGTTCTGAATCTGTACCTATAGCAGCTGGTGCGGGGTTCAAATGTGCTTCACCGACTGAGGGTGCGGCGGGGACGGGTGCTGGGACAGGGTCTATCGAGGAGGAAGCGAATAGGTCAGCTTCTTCGTTTTTCAATCTCCGTAAGCATGGATGGGTGATGATAATATACCGGCTGGTGCGTTAGCTGCCTCCGTTGCGGCTAAGTGAGCGGAAATAGCGGGAGCGGTGGCAGGAGCTGGTTCAGATGGTTTGGTGGGCGTTGGGGCAGACGCCTCAGTCTTGCTAGGTGGTGCTGGTGTTGCTTGGGAGGAAGTGGAGGCATCAGTTTCCGTCGAGTGTGACTGCTGCTTCTTCCTCTTCTTGCTACTGAAGAGGCCTCGAATGCCTCGCTTAAGTTGGTCGAGAGCATCGGGTGCTGTTGATGATTGTTAGTTGGCTGGTTCATGCCGACAGATGTAGCTCATTGCAGTGGTGAAGTATGAGAGTTGGGGGTAGATAGACGACTTACGAACGCCAGGCATTTTAGCGGCGGATGAAGGGGCTCACAAGGTATATCTTGCTGTACACTGCTGGATGTTTGTGCTTTCAGCTCAACCTAAGAAACAGAGATCTGAAATATAGTCGTCTGCGTGATATGGTAGACTGGGAGTCCAGAAACAGTCTTTCACTCCAGTTGAAGCCAGGAGCTCATGTGGCTTGGCAAAGACGGTGGAATTGGCAGCCCAAGCCTAGCGTTTCAGTTGATGGATGCCCTGTGAATGACCAACAAGATTACTCAGTTAGGTAAGATGACTGTTCCTAAAAGTACCATATATATTCTCGTACTAAAAGCTTCATGTACGCAAGACATATCACTTTAAAAACCTTCTGTGCATATTCTCTCTGGTTAATTCCTTGCTAGATTTGTGTGCAGTTTGTGCTCCTTCATGAAAAGACTAATAAGACCTGCTAGGATGGTGATGGCCAATGCTGTTAGAAAGGTGGCTCGAAAGGCTTCCATGTAACAAGCAAGCGCTTTCTGACGCAGTGTTGAAGAGTACAATCTTGCAATCTCATGATAGTCGTTTCTGATTCTTCTGACCAGTCGGTCTTTATGTGGTACCTTGTCGAATGCCTGCAACAGCGACCGATAAAGCCAATTCTGGAAGACAGCAGATCCTATAGTGACGCCGACGGTGCTGCCGACACTGCGAAATGCATAAGACGCCGACGTGATGACGGCTTGATGCTTGTGATCAACTGCTGCTATGAGAGCAACAAGGGTGATGGTCAACATGCCTCCATATCCAAACGCACCAGGAACGAGATATACGTAAGCTTGCCAATCTGGTGCGGAGAAGGTCAAGGTGCATATGAGGGCTGCTCCTGCAATAAAGATTGTCAAGGAGATACAATCCATCAAATAGTAGCGACCCGTCATCCGCATGACAAGGCCAGCCCCGATCGAGCCCATCGAGATGGCAAATGCTTGAGGGATGAGTCGCAATCCAGCCTGGGTCGCAGAATGTCCACTGATCTGTAAATAGAATGGAATATAGAAGAAGACGATGAAGAAAGACATGGTACTAAAAACATTGGTAAAGCATGCAGCCCAGACAGTCCGACGTAGCAGTAACCTGACTGGTATAATAGGTTCAGGTGCGATTTTGTCCTCCACGTATACGAACAAGAGGATGAACACCATTGATAGGAGGAGGGCGGTGATCACCAGCGGATGATTCCATGGAAATTGATTGCCGCCTGGGTTCACTCCAAGCAGGAGCAAGACTAGTGAAAGCGTGAGTAGGACAGTCCCACGATAGTCAACTCGCTTCCATGCGGATTCCCTGGTCTCCTTGGCGGGTATGTCAACGAGAAAGGCGACGAGCAGGCCCGACACCACGGTAAATGGTACTTGCAACAAGAAAGCCCACCTCCAGCCTAAGGCGTCGTTGAGCCACCCACCAATAACACCACCTAAGCTCAGACCTAGGCCGAAGACCACGTTACCATAGCCCTGCCAGATCCCTCTTGTCCTCAGCGGCACCAAATCAGAAGAGACGAATGTAGATATTGCGGTCAATCCACCTCCGCCAACGCCGGACACCACTCGGCCAGTAATCATGACCCATTCATTCCTAGCAAGACCGCAGATAAGACAGCCAGTTCCAAAGAATACATTCGAGAAAATCAAACCATTGCGCCGGGAGAAGATATCTGTCAACTTTCCGGCCACGGGCTGACACGCCGCATTGGCAATCAAGTATGCGGAGACCAACCAGGAAAGCAGGCTCAATGATTGGAACTCGGATGATATTGGCGTTGTAAGTGTGGCAAGGATTGTGGCGTCTAGCTAATCTTAGCAAATACATACGAGGGTCGGTGTTTAATGACTTCTGCATACCCAAAGCCGCGAGGAAGACACCCACCCATGTCGCCGCCAGTACAGCCAGGAGCTCTCGAGTGCTGCCTGGCCTTGTCAGGGGTACATTGTCCGTACCTTGCCCATCATTCTGGTGTGAATAACCATTCTCTTGACTAACGTTGTTCACGTGGTGGTCTTCATTTTCCAAAAGTCGAGTTTCTTCGGTCGAATCATCCACTCTAGACATACTTCCTAGGTCCCTGCGAAAAGCTATTATATTCTTGGTATTAGTTATTTGGAACGTTGAAAAGTCATCATCATACATTAAAACTAGAGCGCCACTAGTACACTCGATCTAAGCTCTAGCTTGATGTAGAGCCCCCTTTTCCTTTAGACCCTTAGGGCCCTCTTTAGTTATTTGATGTGGCTTAGAGGTCTGTGTCAGTTTTAGCTTCAGCTATCCGCCAACTCTAACGTCCTATACGGTTGCGTGCAACCGTAGAGATGGCCCGCCTAAACATCATTCTATACTGCTCGTGATTGGCCGGAGGGCCTCGCCAACAACTATCCTAGCTAAACGCCAGCGCATATTACTACGGTAGGAGGCAGAAGTAGCCATAGTTCGGCGCTAGTATCTTTACCCGGAAACGGCTTGCAAACGAAATAGCTAAGCCCCAAATAGCTAAGCGGTTTTGCGATGACCAATAACTATGGGTCATCTTCTAAGAAGCTTCTAGACATCAATGTGGCGCTGTATCAGAACTAGCTGCTACTAGTGCCGAGCTATGGCTACTTCTGCCTCATACCATAGTAAATAATGTTAGTTCGCTCTACTAGTAGCGACTTGTAAATGCCAAGATAGAGCGCCACACATTCGCCTGATTAGGACTAGTCTATTCCGCTCAGAATCAAAAGTGTGCATTCTATTAGCATCAATGACTGCTTGGCACCTTGCTAGTATTGATTCGAGTAGCTCTAGAAAGAGATGGCCTGATAAACTCTATAGAATCTATAGAAATATATTCGAAATTTGGCGAATCATGTAGAAAGAGATAGAATAATAGTAAAAGAGGCTAAATGCGTTGAACGCGTTGAACGTGTTAAATTCGTACAAGTACAGCAGGGGTACATGTAAGAGACGTGTTAAATGACAAAATTACTAGGGCGAACTAACATTATTTATGCCTCCTACCGTAGTACGGTCCCACTGACGACTACTACGTATGCCCTCACAACCCCCCACCGCAGTAGGCCCCCCTTACTAGGCATAGCAATTTTACAAATACGGGTTGCAAATGATATTCCTTATCCTAAATTCAGGGAGGCCGTCCACGGCACTGATGGCTGCTATCTGCATGAATATATTGCATATAATAAAGCCTCCCTGTGGCGCTCCTAAACTATGGCATTGGCCAAGTGTTATGATATCTTCCCCTAATGGCTTTAACTCACCACGTCATCAGCGGCTCCAGCTCATCGTTTCCTAGGCCGTCCACTCTTCATCTTGGCCTTATGGTACTGTCGTCCACCGATTCTTATGCTCGCGAACCCACTCATTCAAGCATTCATGCTCACTTCCATCCATGGACGGGAACCGGAAGGTCCGTGTCCACAGACTGTTATATTTTGCCTCGAACAGAAGCCATCTTGTGAGTGATAGCATTTCCCATGTACGCATCAACGCTTTCAGTAGGCGGAAGGCCTAAGTAGGCATTCATTCCCGCAACGATCGAAGGAAAGGACCTAGTCACGCTTAAACTTGAGTGCCATACAACAAGGCACATAGATAGCAGAAAACCTGTTTCGCGTGAATCCGTAGCAAGACGCCAGTGCTTACACCATAAACAGCAACAGACCGCGAAAGTGAATATGAGGGTGTGACTGTCATCGTTCGAGCGAGTGTCGCTTCAATTGGTCGGTCCAGATGGCCGCAATATCGGGGTTGCCTCTGAAATGCTGTGTGATTATCAGAACGCGGAACTCTTCTTCTTGTGTAGCTTCGGTGTGTCATGTTCTCGTCCAAATCCAAAGAAGCTCTTCTTCTCTCTTAGTTTAGGCCACACACCTGGGCCAGCATTGCCTAAGAACCCACTCTGACTTGGATACCCACCTGGGACGTGTAAATATGGCCCTTGTGCTGGTGGAGCCCATCTCACCTGCGGTTGGCCAGACTGAGGAACACTTTGAGGCCTTGAAATAGCATTTGGTCTTTGCTGTGAGTTGTTATTATAATGATTGGTTTTTGTAGCTGGTCTCATAGGAGTCGCTGGATTCGTGTGACCCTGTGTTCCATATATCTTCTTGAGTCTTTCAGTCTCTTTGTCCACCTCAGCCTGCTTGCGCCTCTTCTCGTTTTTCTCCTCAGCTTCGAGCATCTTCTTGACTCGCTTTTGTTCGATAGCTTCCTTTCGCTTCCGTTCTCGTTCTTCAGTTTCTGCTTCTTTCTTGAGTCGAGCGGTTTCCGCATCAATTTCCCACTGGCTTCGGGGATCGGTGGGTGGTATACGATTATCTCGTTGCGAAACAGGCACAGTGATAAGGGGCTTTGCCGGAGACGAAGCCTTTTTGCGAGGACTCACCGGACTCGTAGACCTCCTACCATATAATCCCAGCATCGCCGCCGCTGGGCTTGGAGAGGTTGAAGCTGAGCGAGCTCCAGGAGGGTGAGAGATGTTGAATGCTTGCTCCATTTGCCCGAAGTACACATCCCGAATGACGACTGCGCTGAGCAAGAGCACCACTTCGAACCCTTTTGGATCTTCTATCTCAACTCTTTGTAAATTTGGTTCATATAACGTGACCTCCTTCAACGCATGGAAAATGGCCACAGTAATGTCAGGCTCTTTGTTTCTTCTCTTGCTGCCATCAGCGTTCGTTGTCTTCCCAGAAAGGAAACAGGCAAGATCTTTGGTGAATTTGCTATCCTTCTTCCACCTGAATCCGACCCTCGGAGTCAGCTCAGACGCCGCCGGATCATTTTGTGTTCTGTCAATGGACGAAGTTGATGGTTGCCGAAAGCTTTGCTGCGGCATCTCGAATTCCCAGGAAGGAGCGGAGCCCCATGATCCAGGCTTCTGTCTGACTTTCACCTGCTGGTCCGGATTATATAGCTGAACCACAAACTCGCCAGGGAGAATGGGTTCTGGTGGTGGCGCCACCCCACCATTCAATCGGATGGCTTCTGCAGAAAGGGAAGGCTGTGTCCAGTCTGGAATAAGCAGGACCTCGGCGAAAAGAACGTCAGGGTTATGCGCGTCGTACAGAGCGGCAGCATATCGGTTCTTCGAGCCTAGAAGCTCTGGATCAGGATGGCACAGAGAGTAAGTCGGCTCTGCGTCGGAGCCGTGTTGTGTGTAATAGAACGTCGAGTTGTGCTTCGGTTTCTCGGTAGAGGTCTTCAGAAGGAAGGCTAGTCATTGTAGTCAGTCCAGCCGATGGGTGAAAAAAAGTTTTGCGTTGAATCATACTAGGTAAATTCTCATCCAACATGGTTTCTTATGGAAATTGAATTCTGTGGAAGGTGTAAAATCAAGGTGCGAATATGAAGCTTAGTCGTCTTGTGCTAGGTGTCTTGAGGCCCTGCTCAAGCAGTTGTACGAAATGCTTTAGGGCGCCTTGTTGCGGTAACAGGACATAACACGTAAGTGGCCGCGAAGTCACTGCCACCCAAATTACGCTTTGGCGGGGCAGACGCCCGGTCTGAAACGAGAGGAAGCATGAGAAGGCTGTACTGCGTACTGATGCTTCACAACTGTACTACGTAGTAAGCAGATGCGCTGAGCCACGAGTCGGTGGTCCGTGCAAAGTACTGCCAATCTGCCACATTCCCCATTTAGAACAGGCCAAGAACTCCACGCCTCCATCTGGCGGTTGCTGTGTCGCTTTCGACAAAATGCCGAACATGGATAGAACTCCAAATGGTCTGCTTAGTTGACACAATCCCCAAAAGAGTATCTAAATACGATAACAGGGGTTTGCCATTAAACATCAACACTACTTCGACGTCAGGCCAAGAAGGTGTACCCATCTGAAGGGTCTCCACCGATGTCTATCAGTGATATGACCCATTGGAAACACAGCTCCTGCAAGTCATTCTAGCAATAGGCCACTACATAAATGTTCCCGCTACCATTCAATCTCATCATTCCGGTACCTGGAACTCGGGACGGCTCTTGACCTTGCACACCAATCCTCGTACATCGGCGTTAGTGTTGCCTTGTTCCTCGTAATAGGGCATCATCGTTCGAATCCATTCCACGTCCTTCCCTGCCTGCTCGGGTGATCATATCGGTAGTGCGAGACATTAATATCTGAGGAGGGTATGGGAAATGATACAATGAATCAATATCAGGGAGATTTTGCTGATGAGAAGGTCCTGTGATGTTTAGAAACGCAAGAGAATGTGTTGACCTCCTGAGAGGCCGCATTTCATGCGCGTTATCCCTGTGTTTTTCTTGCTTTTGATTGGTCAATTTTAGCTGCAATTTTGCTGCTAATTTCGCTGCGCCTCACGGCAAATTTGTACTTATTTCTGCGCCCTGCGCAGTTTCTTAGAGAGAACAGAGCCGTTTCTTCCTACTGCTCGACAGAATGTTAACATACCTCTGGAAGCACAAGGCCCGCATCAACGCCTGCTACAATCTCTCCGACCACGAACACAGTTCCCAATTCCCTGCTCTCGTCCTTGGGCTTCTCGGTACTGTTTACGACTGCATTCCATGCATTATCGATCTTCAACGCCAGATCATCAAAATCCTACTTGGTTCTTTGACCCACGCGCACATGGGCCTTGATTCGATTTGTTCGTCTCTGGAGCAGCTTGGCATTAGATACGTGATCAAGTTCTCCCTGAAACTCAAGGTTATGAGATGAGCATGAAGCTAGAAGGCTTGATTACCGCTTTGCCCCCGATATACGTCCAGCCATCGTCCGCATCGCGAAAGTGGATATTGACAAACAATTTAGGCGTTGTAAACTTTTGGGCATGTATATCCGTTCAGCGCTGAGCGAGACGATCACATTGCTCGCGCGTCAATGGTGTGATATGATGTATGTCATACCACAGCATGTTAAGAAGTACTGATGACGTGGCCGATGAGGCGATGACAGGTTTAATAGACTGAGGATAGTATAAATGCCTAAGTTTGGTGCGAGAAATGAAGTTACAGTTTCGTCATCCACACGAGATAACCACGTGCATAATCATAGAGAGTTGTACATATTGAACGAGATTGCAAAAATTTGAGTCCGGAGGTCCATGTTCTTCAAATCTTTAGCATTGAACCCAAGTGCTCGGCCAATAATAGCATCTTCTCCTCTTGTAATCTCCGGCCCACTAGCTGCACGGAAACATGAGCACCATCATAAATCTCTGGATCATACCCATTCTGTATAGTCTTGTCTATATCATTCAGCGGCTGATAGGAATGGTCCACAACATCGAGGCTTTTATCCACCGTCGTTACTGGAATGACCACCGAGGTATAATCAAGCCCATTGACAAACATCGTGTACCCATAGTACGTATAGCCTAATGGAGGAGCTGCCGCAAATGGCGCAGCAGCGGTAATGACACCATCCACCGGTCTCCCTGTGCCGGTGAACTCGGTTGTGCTGTTCCAGTAGTCCATATACTGCTTCCGCCATTCTCGTAATGCCACATTGTTCGCCGATATTTCGGCCGCAGAATACTGCTTCTCTGGCTTATCTCCAAAAACTGAAAGTTGTTGCGCGAGTGGTTCTCCGGACAGAGCCACGGCGGAATGAATATCAGCGCCGCCATCATATTTCCAGGCGTTAAAAACCAATTTCGTGCCGTGTTGATGTGATGGTGGCTTCCATTCAATGACTTTGTGACCGGCTTTGGCGAGAAGATCCGCACAAACCTGGACCGCACGAGCAACAGGAGGGTGCAACCCAACAACACCATCATGCTTTAGAGTTGCGAATGACAGCTTGCTGTTACCAGACGCTGCTGCTTTGATCAGATCCCGAGTTTCATGCTCGACCCAATCGCGCCAGGGCATGTCCACAACCAAAGGGTCGTGCAACCAAGGTGATTGTGACAGGATTGCTTTCACGAGCAGCCTGACACCTCCAATGGTGGTGGCAAGGGGGCCAACCACTGATAGGATCGAGTTTTGGCCATCCATGGAGTTGGCCATACCTTCAAAGGGCAGCCTGCCTTCAGATGGCCGAATTCCATATAGTCCATTGAAGGCAGCAGGAATGCGGATGCTGCCACCAATATCGGTCCCAAACCCGGCTGGTGAGCCTTTCAACCCAATCAGTGCGCCTTCACCTCCAGAGCTTCCGCCGGAGCAAAGATTGCGATTTTTAGGATTCCAGGTATACTCGATTATGTTGTTAACAGTCTCTCCGGTCATCAAGGTATGTGGTACGCTTGTCTTGCAATACAAAACTGCGCCCAGGGCTCGAAGCTCTCGCACCATTTCACTCTCATACACTCCCTTCCTCGGATCATTCTTGATGCCTTGGAAGGTGCCGATCCAACCGACATAGCCCATGCTAGTATCAACCCCCTTGACATGAAATTGGTCTTTTAGGCTGATTGGAACGCCGTGAAGAGGTCCAAGGGTTTTGCCATGCTTGGCAAGGTAATCATCGAGGTCCTTGGCATCTGACAATGCAGCATCAAAAAATGTTTCATGCAAACAGTTCGTCTGTCAGGATCAGCAAGTCCCTCGCCAGAAGACGAAGATAGCATAAAGCGTACAAGCTGATGTGCAAGGGAAGCTCTATGGCAGAATGCCTCAGTAACCTCAGTAGCTTTCCAGCTGCCGGAAGAGATCTGGTTAGCAAGGCCCACAGCATCCGTCTCTGTTATTTGAATTTCCTCCTTGCTGAGGAATTGGTGTATATACGGTCCAGTGACGTCTTTCTGTTCCTCTCTGGATGGGATGCGGGACATGCGCCATTTTGAGGGAATAGAGTCTAGAATTGCTTCGCGTTTTGCAGCTGCGATGTCTTTCCACGAGCCCATGGCAGTTCACTGCTATCAAGGAAAGGGTGAGATAAGAATGATTGAAGAGGAGGCTCGGATATTTGGAACATTTTCCAAAGCTACATATTTAAATGTGGGATTTAGTTGTGGGATTCCGATGTAGTATTGGAGTACTACTGTAAGCGGCTCAAGGGACAAGGGATATTTCTCTTATGTATCGGTGTGGTGCGGGGTGAGCTCCGACTTGAAGATGCTGCAAACCTCGGTACCAGGCCAGCACCCCAGTTCCATTTGCATTGCTGCATGTATACCCCCATCGTCCAACGCAGAGCATGCAGGGAACTCTTGGGCCCTATCGAGACATTTCAGATTGGAGATAATGTGTCGTACATTTGACGAACATTCAGATTGATTCGCTTGTTGGACATCCAGCCACGCCAATGGTTGTACACCTTTTCGTTGTTGTCACTCGCCGGCCATACAGCAAGCCAGTCAGGGCATGTGTTCGGAAGAATCTTCGGGACACCGTGCCAGGCATACCTCGAGGCGCCGGTCATGTACACCGCGTCTCCGGTTCTCAATCTTATGACTGCAGCCTGAGTGCCGTCTTGGCTGCCGACAATAAATACTCCCTCGCAGCCGATGCTAATGCTGGCTAGACCTTGGTCACAGGATTCACTAACGTCACGATGAATACTGAGCGTGTCTCCAGGAGAATAGACATTGACAATGGCTGCTTGCGCATCCAGATCCGGGAGTAGGGTCTTCAGAAGCTGCTTGATGTCGGCTGGAAATGGAGGTGGGGTCTCTGGTGGATATCGTTTGGCTGTCCAGTCATATTGACCTCCAAGCGTCATCCAACGAAGCTTCTTCCCGAGGAATTCGGCAATGTTGATAGGTTTGTGGACAACCGGGTCCTGGGGTGGGAAGATGAAAGCCTGGTCTTTGTTGAAGAACGAAGGGATGGGTAAATTAGAGGATGCCAGCGAGTATGATATTTTGTGGTGTAAGTGAACATTTGTTTGATGATTGGGATTGGATAGATCTCGGTGAAGAAGATTCGAGAGCAGAGCAAGCTGGATTTCATGAGGTAACAAGTTGGGCAAGATGTAGAGTCCTGGATGTATAAGAAAAGATAGTAAGACAGAATTTAGATAAGCTAACCGGGAATGCTTGTGACCGCGAATGCAGAAACAGGTGAAGCTTTTTCTTCACCACAACCATCGGACGGATAGCACAGAAATTCTCGAAATGCATGATCTCGAGCGCCAAAACAGGACTGAGACGATGCCGGCTGGAGCTGGTGGCCCAAGCCGTTCACCTCTCTGCTCATGTCGATAACATCAGGGTCAATGTGTAAATCCTCCGCTTTGCACTTCTGATATTTCTTGAACAACTTACGTATGGCTTCTGGAGGTCTCTCGTGAGTGTCCAGCCGATTGGCGGGTATCATTTCACGAACATTAGAACAGATAAGATGAGCTCAACCAGTGATTACAGTTCACCTGCTGAGAAGGATGTGACAAGGGATTAAGGCATGGCCGACTCCAGACAATTTTTGATAAAGTAATGGACTCAGGTCTGCTGGGTTCGAAGTTTGGTTCTCAGAATTCGGGCACGCGCCAATGACCGTCCAATCAGCGCGTTAAACACGGGTGATTAAGCTAGCTTACCTCTGTTTGTGTACACAAGTCGAATAAACAGCAACGGAGAACACAATGCGCACATGATTGATTAAGGCTGCATGGGAAGCAGCTTTAATAATTCCACAATAGCATAACTACTTGCACATTCGAATCAAGGCTTTGACACTACACTGCATCCAGCGGTCCGAACGGCCTTGCTTTACCAGATCACGACAACTACACCATGGAGAATTACCAGAAGATCGAGAAGATCGGTGAAGGTGAGCGGCAAGCGTGATCAAAGACGGCTACTAGTCCTGCAAAGGTGCAATGACGAGCTAATGATGGATGACAGGCACATATGGAGTCGTCTACAAAGCTAGAGACTTAGCACACAACGGCCGGATCGTTGCACTGAAAAAGATTCGTCTTGAAGCTGAAGATGAAGGTGTCCCAAGCACTGCCATCCGTGAGATCTCGTTGCTCAAGGAAATGAATGACCCCAACATTGTGAGATTGCTCAACATCGTTCACGCCGACGGCCACAAACTCTACCTCGTTTTCGAATTCCTCGACCTAGATTTGAAGAAATATATGGAAGCCCTTCCGGTCAGTGACGGTGGTCGAGGCAAGGCACTTCCCGAAGGCTCCACTCTCGACATGCAACGACTTGGTCTGGGCAAGGACATGGTCAAAAAGTTCATGGCACAGCTCGTCGAGGGGATTCGATACTGTCACAGCCACCGAGTCCTTCATCGAGACCTCAAGCCGCAGAATCTACTAATTGATCGAGAAGGAAACTTGAAGCTGGCTGACTTTGGGCTTGCGAGAGCATTTGGAGTGCCACTACGGACATATACACATGAGGTAGGCTTCCTCTCTGGACTACTACATTTATTTTGCTTACAATGACTGTGCTAGGTTGTCACGCTATGGTATCGATCACCAGAGATTCTGCTCGGCGGTCGACAATACTCTACTGGTGTGGACATGTGGTCCATTGGCGCAATCTTTGCAGAGATGTGCACACGAAAGCCCCTGTTCCCCGGCGACTCAGAGATCGATGAAATCTTTAAGATCTTCAAGTAAGGCTCTCCTTAAGTGCACAGGCACCCAGCAAGATTAACACAGTTCCAGATTACTCGGTACACCAGACGAGAATACCTGGCCAGGAGTAACCTCGTTCCCTGATTTCAAGTCGTCGTTCCCTAAATGGAAGCGAGAAGAGACTAAAAGTTTGGTGGCAGGCTTGGATGAGCACGGTCTTGATCTGCTAGATGCGCTGCTAGAGTACGACCCGGCCAGGCGGATTTCAGCAAAACAAGCATGCATGCATCCTTACTTCGCAGCGGGCAGCTCAGCTTACTCAGGCCGGGAAAGAATCAATGGTTATCATTGAGCCTGAAGGCAACCTGCGTGGTGCTAGGAGCCTTATCGGTCTTGCTAGGCGTTAGGCTGATCTTGGTGGCTGGCGTTCAAGGTCTTCTGGGTAAGGGTTTTAGCCAGATTGTCGGAAAGCATGGATTATGGAGGCAATGATACGTTGGCATGGAGAGACGTCGCTATCAGAACTGTCTTGCATGCTTGACTGTCTCTGTATCAAAGCCCAGGCATGGGTGTATGTATGAGTACTACGTACATAGCGTCGCATAACCGAACCTCATCAGATGCTTTTGCACTTAGCCTAGTTTAGCCTAAACAACCAACAAACCGAGGCCACAAATCTTCTACCTTTGCTAACTTTACGTTGAAGAACACACTGCCGAGACATTTGAGGCAGCCTGGCGCAGACCCTAGACGCGCAGACGCGATGCAACAGAACCATTATTTCTAACATCCAAAGCCTGTGTCGCATCAATCTCTGGCCCCCAAATCGGCAGGGGCTAGTTAGAAATTGGGCAACACCGCCTACTATATGCCGCCATTCAGGACTGAGGCTCCGGCCTCATCTGCTGCCTCGCCTAACGGGCTTGTTTGACTGATACGTCTACAGCTCAGTGCATGAAACTGAACTTGCCTCAAATGCTGGATGAGGCATCGCAGGAAGCCCTTATGTTGCCTGTGCGAGGTAATTTCACATTTGCGTTTCGATCCTACAAAGACAGCCTAACTCATGTCTTGGGTCTTACGCCTCTTGCAAGCTCATTCCTTTGTACTCCGTGTTCATACCTCCTTGTTATTTCTATTTCCCTAACTATTTCTCATTGTCCAGTTCTTTACCTGAGTCTTAGTTTCCTGCTGTGGTAGCTCCTTCCGAACCAATCTGTCAGAGACATGTCTGTCCATTCGGATGAGAACGACGATGTTCACAATACTGTAGCCTTGCCAATCCAGATATCGCTGAATGCCAACCAGCGGCGGAAAGAGCCACCCCCACCCCCTCGCAAAATAGATAAGCACACTCCACAGGAGAGTATAAATCGATTCTGGAGCAAATTCTACGCAAAGTATCCAGGAAAGGTTTTCACCGTACTACCAGAGAATCCCTATGCGCAGAAGAAGATCGCAAAAGTTCCGAATGGTGTCGCGCAAGCTCAACGGGCCGTCAGATCCTACGAACAGGCCCGAGAAGAATGTATTCGTGATGTGAAGCGCATCATTAGGGAGTGTCGAAGGGTCAATCAGAAATATCGTGATCCTCACTTCGACATTGAATGGGATCTGAAGAAAGGAAGAAGGTATTGCTTGGAAGGTTTAGAGAAACCAGACGAGGATTATAACCCGAAAGCTGTGAAAAGAGTTACGGTAAGAAGCAGAGGCTTTGTTACAGGCGGATGGCATGCTGACCGTGTGTAGGATATCTTCGAGGACCCTCAATTCTTTATCCATGGACCAACAGCTGGGGATGTGATTCAAGGTAATGATGGCGATTGTTATCTTATGGCAGCTTTGTGCGGTTTAGGCAATATGAGCGGTCTGATCAACAAGATCTGTGTCATCCATGACCAGGCTGTTGGTGTGTACGGATTTGTCTTCCATAGAGGTAAGTCACTCGAGGCGTCTTGTCCTTGTCCGAAGCTAATGCAAGTTGCTCAGATGGGGAGTGGCAACAATGTATAATTGACGATCAGCTGTACATGACTGCCCCAGACTATGACGAGTCCAACATGGAACGAATTATGTGGGATACGATTGCTCGTCGAGATACCGAAGAAGAATATCGACGTACTCACCAAACAGGATCTCGTTCGCTATACTTTGCCAAGTGCAGCGAACCCAACGAGACCTGGCTGCCATTGCTGGAAAAAGCCTATGCAAAAGCTCATGGGGACTATGCATCAATTTCTGGCGGCTGGACAGGGTAGGCACGCTTTCCCTTCCGCAACTTTACAAGCTGACGATTGGTAGGGAGGCAATCGAAGATTTGACCGGTGGAGTGACTTCTGAAATCTATTCATCGGACATTCTGGACAAGAATGAGTTCTGGGTGAACGAGCTATTAAAAGTTGGAAAGGAATTTCTCTATGGCTGCTCAACCGGACAGCACGCAGATTGGTTGGAGCCAAACCGTCCTACCAATAGAAGGCAAGGCATTCACGAGGGGCATGCCTACAGCATTATGGACGCTGTAGAGCATACAATAGATGGCATAACCTACAGACTCGTCAAAGTCAGGTACGTTGACGCAGCACATACCCTTCTTGGCTAAGAATTTCGTCAGGAATCCTTGGGGCAACACGGGATGGAGCGGCGCGTGGAGCGATGGTAGTGCTGAATGGACACCACAATGGATGGAAAGGCTGAATCACAAATTTGGCGATGATGGAGTGAGATGCCCGTCACATCTTTCGAGGGAGACACTGACGATTGAAGATCTTCTGGATGTCGTACGAAGACTTATTGCGAAAATATCAGCGTTTAGACCGTACTCGCATATTCGGACCAGACTGGCGTATTACCCAACAATTTACCTCGCTACATGTGCCTTGGTCCGCCGACTACCATCAGACACGATTCTCGGTCAATGTGACGAGGACCACTCCTGTTGTAATTGTGCTCTCACAGCTCGACAAGACCTACTTCGCTGGTCTTCAGGGCCAATATAACTTCAAGCTTCAGTTTCGCGTCCAGAGAGTTGGTGACGAGGAAGACTACATTGTTCGGAGCAATGTCGACTATTACATGACTCGCTCTGTCAGCACAGACATCACTCTTGAAGCCGGCTCCTACTTTGTGCTGATGAAGGTAACGGCTACCCGCGTTGGTGGTCCCACAATGGATGAAATTATTTCCGCTCATGCCGAGCACATGCGCGACAAATTGATCCAGGTTGGGTTATCGTATGACATTGCGCATGCAAAAGGTGTGATAGTCGAGACGGAGAAGGAGGTGGAGCAGCGACAGTGGGCCGAAAAGGCCCAAGCCGCAGCGGCACGGGAGAAACTGAAGAATGAAGTAAAAGCACGCAAAGAAAAGGTGTGGATGAAGGAGAAGAAGTCCCGACAGAGAAGGAAAATGCAAGATAGAAAGCATGAGGAGAAAGCTGCAGAGCAGCGATCTCGCGAAAGGGGTGATGGGTACCAATCTGATAAGAAAAACTTCATTGATCGGTCGGAATGTCACTCAAGCAATGTTGGGAATGGGCAAGCAACAGCAGACGATGATCGATCATTTGCGGAAGAGCTCAACTCATCACACGAGCGGTCTGAAGGTGCTCAGACTTCAACCACATCGGATCCAAAGGAAACTCCGATTGAATCACCCGCAAACAATACCCGTCAATCACCTCGGAGCAATGATGCTGTGGCCGACAAAGATTCTACAACCTCTTCAGCTGACAAAACCTTGCATGATCATCCTCCTACCCCCAAAGTTCAGGTTAACGGCATAGACGCTGTGACAGACGTCAACCTGTTGAAAAGACGCCCAGCACCATTGGCTCCAAGAACGACGCTTGATGGAAAGCTCGAAATGAAAGATCAAGATAAGCGGGAAAATCAACAAGAAGCAGATCCATTCACGGAGCCACAATGGTCAAACTCGGATACCGAGTCAAAATTCAGCTGGCGAACTGACCTCGACTACGACTCAGACGAAGCTCGTAGTACATATGCAAGAAGTGAACAGGGCAGAGATTGGGATGCAGGCGAAGAATCGGGACCAGAGCCATGGAACGCTGTTTGTGTGGTAGGACTCCGCGTCTACAGCAAGGATCCCGACCTGTCACTTGAGGTTGTAAGACCCCACCCGTACAGCGAGGTAATCAAACCAGAAGCTGGAAGTGCGCTCGATCGGGACGATCCTGCCAAGGGCGCTGTTGCAGAGAAGTGGGCGAAGACCCCGCTGCGAGGGACATTTGACTCTGAATAGTAGTGATGGTGCAAAGGTTGGGTTGTCGGGAAACGCCTGGTACCGGGCAGTGCTCAGTGTTTCTATTCGGATGGGATGGTTGGGAGATCTAACAGCTCCATAGAGGCTATGTTCGGCCTTTGTGGACTCAGGCAGTAGCTGCTGGATCACGACCTGAAAGGAAGGAATTTCAATGCTTCAGACTCTGACAAGGTTAGAAAATCGCCTACTTCGTAGGTACAAAGACAGCCCGGAGAGGAAAGACTGCCCAAGGCTAGCCTAGTCGAGTATATGGATTTTCTCGTTTGGCAAAGATATTTCATCTGCCAGAATTCTAAAATGTCCAGAACTTCCCCAAATAACTTTAGTTCTAAAAAACATTGAAAACATCTGGACAGGGTCATGCTTTGTGCTCTGTGTGGGCCCGGAACGCCAAGTTAGTTTAGCTTCCTTTTTGGGAAGGCGGACTGCCATTCTAGCACTTTCATCCTACAATCTTACACTACTGCCACCAGTCGCATGCGTTTCGCATGCGCGCGGTCTCTGGTGCTAAGAGGCTTAACTAAGTTATGCATAAATTGCGAAGGGTTGCCTCTTAGAAATTCACCTGGGCTTCTAGCCAACAGAGCCATCTGGCTTGGGTGATGACCAGACGCTGTACGGAGTATATCCACTTTGGGTGCATTTAACAGACCACACCATCAACCTTGTCTTACTTCCCGTTTACTTGCACTAGGAAGAGAAGGAATCCCCATGGCAACAATGGCGGCTGATCTAATGATTACCAAATTTCCAAATTTCCAAATGCGGGAAATATCACCCGTTCCTGGCATGCAAGTTACGGAATTGAGCGAGACCTCACCTCTCTGTCCACCGGGGTGCTCGTATATTGGCCCGTAACCGGACCTGAGTCTTGGTGGCGTCAAGGCCATCTCCACTCTCCACATCGGAAGACCATTCGGTACCAGGAACACTGGATCTTGACGTGATTACTTTACGTCAAGAGCTTGCCTTCAACGTGCGTTGGAAGGAAATTGGCAACAGAGTACGAAGAACAAGAACGGAGAGAATTCATGTCCCTCGAGCAGCTTCCCTTTGAATAAAGTGTTCCTTACCCTATCAGATATGCCGCGAGTACATGATCCTCACTAAATTGTCCTCCTTATGTTTATGATTCGTATAGAAGGTCTTTCTCTCTTCAATAAGAACCAACTATCACGATAGTTGCATAGAAATTTGAGCCGAGATGTCTCAAACACCTAATCCGGGGACAGTAGGTTAGTGGCTTTCGTTGGACAGACTTCTCGGAAAACATGTTTGCAACAGCTTGCAACTCAGCTTGACCAGAGTTCGCCATGACTGCACAAACATCAAACATCATCTGAGATGCCATTTGTGCCGCTCTCTCTATTCAAAACCCAAGAACTAACCAGGAATGAATCACCAAGTTGTTCACAGGATAAGATACCGTCACTCCACCAAGTTGAGCTCATTCAAAACACCGAACACGGTAGAAACTCACCCTCCTGCTCCAGGAGCTTTAGCAAAGCTGGTCTGAAGAAGCTCCGATCCGGGTTCATAGTAAGACTAACAGATGGCCGAGCACACCCATGGTGATCAGAAAAACCTCTACCATTGCGTACTCATCAAGGTAAAGGCCAACGTCACCCTACCTTTTGGGTAGAGCTACCAAGAACAACTCATAAAATGGCTTATATAGACTGTCGTTCTCGTAACTATAAGAACAGTCCAGAACGCCATCTGGGACAAGGCGGATGCTCCATCTGCCGAAGTAATCAGGAAGCCTGTTCGAAATAGGTGTTAAAATGCTGGCGTGAAAGCTCTGACGGTGGGAATATTGACCTGTCGACAGCCCTTCTACTCATTCCGGCCAAAAAGAAAGTTTCATCTACCAGAGTCTCGAGAAAGCTGTTCGAAAACAGGTCCGAAAACGAACTCGACGAAATCGCTGGTGGACGAACGACTCTCCTTGACAGTTCGGATTCCTGATTCAGCAAACCCCACGTTCCAAATCGGTAGAGCGAAACGCTGATGGACGAACGACTCTTCTTGACAATTCAGATTCCTAATCCAGTTAAAATCCGTAACGTTCATCCGCCGGAGTCTGCGAGGAAGGCTGTTGGAAACATGTTCCCAAATAAGTTGTGGGGGAGCTCTGGTGGACGGAAGTTCGTCTCTGGGGAAGTCTAGATACCTCATCCGGTCAAATTGCAACCTGCGCCTATCAGAGCTTCAGGAAACAGCGGTTTCCAACATCTTACAGAACTAGGTTCATATAAATCCGAGAGGGGTCTGCGATGATTGGCATGCCGCATATATCTCACCACTCTCAGCGGTAGGCTAACCCTGGCATCATCGGCCAGAGCTTCCAACGCAGCTGGTGTGAAATCACTTCCAAACCACATCGAGTCGGCCTTTCAGTCCAGAGACTTAATATATCTGCACCCTACAAGCCCTGTCTCGAACTCCTCTGGAAGGCGGTTTCATGCCGAGTTCACCCGAACACTTCAGCAGAAACCTCACTATCCCTATCTGCATCCAAACCCCTAAAAGCAAAGTCTGAACGGCCTCACACTGTAACCTTCTCACATCCCTCCTCCGGGCAGATCGTCTTCATGGGAGTGAAACGGCCCAGGAAACAAGGTCCTAGCCTCGAACTAACTAGGAATGGATGATTCCTAAGCTCGCGAGCCTGTGCATGTGTCTGTCTGTTCTGTTTAGATAGCGGGATCTCTAATACTTGTATCGACGTAACTAGTGTCTTTTGTCCGGGTTGGAGCACTTGGATCTCAACAGCTCTCTAGTCACTCATTTATCATCCCCCTAGGGAGGGATTGCGGGTAGCGCGGTTGTCATTTGCTCTTTTTGCCGTGTGTATGGTTCTTGGTGGGAATGGGATTGTTGGTGTTGTGTTGCGTCGTCTTTCGTTGGCGTTGAGATGGCAGGGGGACTTGGATGGGGGTTCTGGCAATGAAAAATTGTTGTGTTCTGATGCGATATGTGATGGGATGGGTGATGGGGTAGGGTTGACCTTGTCGTCATCGCCATGATCTTCGGATCGAAAAACAAAGGGTATCATTCTTATCTTCGTTTGCTCAGCCTTATCTGAAAGAGCTCGTCTATGGTGGTCTCTCTCTTCCATCCGTCCCTCTTGCCGCGGATTCGAGAATTTCTCAGATGTAATCACTGTGATCGCTCAACCAAGCACCCTCAGCCCTCCCTTCGTCTTCGGCTGTTTCTTGTTAATCCCTCCATGTTCCAACTTCCCATGTCCACCAGCACCGCCACTTCCTCCTCCAGCCCCGCCCTTCCCCTTTCTGCCATGCTTATCCCTCCCCTGCCCTACCGGCGCAGCTCTAACCTCGGTATTACTCCTCTTCAACAAGACCGGATGACTTCCAATATACTTCCCCTGCATATCCCTGCCCGCGGCGAAATATTCGTCTCCATCGCTAAAGCTGACAAAGCCGTATCCCTTCGACTTGGTGGTTCGCTTGTCCCTTACGACCCGCGCCTTTTGGACCGAAGGGTATTTAGAAAATGCTTTGAGCAGCGATTCGTCGGTTACTTCACCTGCGAGGTTGCCGACGAAGAGGCGGAAGTGGGCCGGGTCCCATTCTAGGAGAGTGCTGTCGGTCCAGGTTGTGCCGCCGCCGGAGCGGTGGACCGTTTTGGCTGTATTGTCGCTATTACCCGGGGTGGAGTGCGAGGAGGCCGCGACGGATGGGGATGCGGTTTCGAGTCGGGAGGAACTGCCTAAAGGGGCAGTGTTGGCGCCTGTGGCGCCTTCGCGGCGGGGGAAGCCGGAGGTGGAGGAGGATTTGTTGTCATCCTTACTCACATAGGCGCTTTGCCATTGGAGGATTTGAGCTTCCATCTCTGGATCTATGAGTTGGGTGCCGGTATAGCCTGTACCTGAAGCGTTCGCTGTGGGTGGTGCAAAAGGGTTGTGAATTTGGGGAGTAGATGAGTCTGCATAGGATTGAGGTTCGTATTGTGGTTGCGCAGGGTAGGCGTCATGTTGCGGAGGATACGGTGTCGGAGTGGTGTATGATGGTGCTGGAGGTGCGACATATTGTGCAGCACTTGCCGTTCGAAAGGTTGACGAGGTCACGGATCGAGGCGCGAATGCTGTGAACGCATTGTGCGCTGGTCTTGGGATTCCTGCGCCATTGGTGTGGCTTGCCGAGGGAACGGCGGGTTTGAATGAGGGTGGTGGAGCATTTGCGGATGGAGGAGGCCGAGGCGGTAGTGAGGAGGGTGGTTGCGGTTTAGAGGTGGCTTTGAGACCTGGAGGTGGCGGCAGGGCCATGATGAATGGCTGTGCTGAAGAAAAGGTGTATGCGATATCAGACGTACCAAATGACTGCCAGTCAGCTGTTGCTACTGCAGCTGTAGCGCAAGTCAAGCTTGTTATGCTTGAACGCCAGTACTCGGTGCAACCCCGAGGGTTGGTGGTGGTGAAGGTAGCCGGGAGAGCAGAGCGGAACAAGACAGTGTGACTTAAGCACACAGCCACATAGCGTTAAATGACTGGACACTGCTGAAGGGGTGGTGTAGTACCTAAGAGCTCAGTAGGTATGGATGCTCGTCGGTCTCCTTTGCGATGACAACGGCTATCACCTATTTCGAGTCGTCCATGGGCGACTCTTAAAAACCACTGCTAGTACTACTAATCGTGGTAATAATACTAGTACTAGTACTAACAGCTAGTATATTACTAGTATGTACTTAACTTACCTTGGCAACTTGATATCCGGCCTCAAGCTTGGCAATTTTGTCTTTCTCCGGTAACTCATTTGCTGCGGGATTGCTGCTGCTGGAACAGTCACAAATTGTCATATCCTGTGGCTCGTAGCTCGATGATGGAAAGCATTATCTACAAAAATGTGTGCTGTAGTCGTGATGCCCAAATGCCACAATATACAGTGTATCAAGCTGGGTCGGGATTTGCTGCTCCTGGTGCCCGCTGCTGGCCAGCTTGCTGCCCCTCCTTGGGTCGTTTTCTTCCGCCCCACCATCAAACCCATCAACCTTGCGGAGTATCTACTCATACTGAAACACGCAACTTTTCTCCTCATAGACCAGTTTACCTTGCAAGATCCTGACGAGCAGCTACCCCAGAAGCACTGAACGAATCTTTCTGATTCTTTAGATTTAGTAGAGAAGCTTGTCAAGATGTCAGGCCCAACGTGAGTATTCGCTTTCTCTCCTTTGTCATAACCTTCCACAGCATCTTGGGTACCTGCACAATTTCTTGCCGAGCCTGCATCTCCCTACTGCGAAGCCTACTCTCCTGTTCCACCTTCGAAGGTTGCAATGAAATACTTGATTGACCAAGATTACTTGCTAACTTTAGAGCGCGCCTGGCCGGCATCAATGTCGGCTCAACCGCGCGTTCCCATCCCAGTGGTGATTTTGGCCTCATTGGTCTGGCCGTCATGGGCCAGAACCTGATCCTGAATGCTGCCGATCATGGCTTTCATGTCATCGCTTTTAACCGTACCGTCTCCAAAGTCGACCGGTTCATGGAGAACGAGGCAAAAGGTATGCCGTTCTCGTGCATTGATCCAAGCCATGGCTGATTGCTTCTAGGCAAGAACGTCGAAGGTGCACATTCAATCCAAGAATTCGTGTCCAAGCTTAAGAAACCTCGACGAATGATGCTGCTCGTTATGGCCGGCAAGGCTGTGGATGATTTCATCGAAGCTCTTCTGCCTTTCACGGAGGAAGGAGATATCATTATCGATGGTGGAAATTCCCATTACCCAGACACCAACCGGAGGACGAAATATTTGGCGGAGAAAGGTATCCGATTCGTCGGGACCGGTGTATCCGGCGGTGAGGAGGGTGCCAGATATGGTCCTAGCTTGATGCCTGGTGGAAATGAGGAGGCATGGCCATATATCAAAGATGTCTTCCAGAGCATCGCAGCCAAGAGCGATGGTGAGCCTTGCTGTGACTGGGTTGGTGATGAAGGTGCGGGGCACTACGTCAAGATGGTGCATAACGGTATCGAGTATGGTGACATGCAACTCATCACCGAGGTGCGCAATCCATCTACCGAAGAAGGTGCCGCTTCCTTCTGCTAATCCTTTATTGCAGGCTTACGACATTATGAAGCGTGGCCTGGGCATGAGCGCTGATGAGATGGCCGATGTATTTGACAAATGGAATAAGGGTGTTCTCGACTCCTTCCTCATCGAGATCACACGAGATATTCTTCGCTTCAAGGATGACGATGGATCTCCTCTTGTCGAAAAGATCTTGGACGCGGCTGGCCAGAAAGGCACGGGAAAATGGACTGCTATCAATGCGCTTGATCTCGGCATGCCAGTCACGCTTATTGGTGAAGCCGTTTTCGCGCGCTGCCTGAGTTCGCTGAAAGAAGAGCGCGGTCGTGCTGCCAAACTCTTGGAAGGACCAACGCCCAAGTTCGATGGCGACAAGCAAGAATTCATTGACAACCTAGAACAGGCATTATATGCATCAAAGATTATTTCATATGCTCAAGGCTTCATGTTGATCCAGAACGTGAGTGGAGCTTACCGTGATGATTGTCATCGTGCTGACGTCGTTCGCTAGGCTGCCAAAGAGTACAAATGGAAGCTGAACAAGCCCTCAATCGCGTTGATGTGGCGTGGTGGATGCATCATCCGATCAGTCTTCTTGAAGGACATTACGAGCGCATACCGCAGCAACCCTGAGCTGGAAAATCTGCTCTTCGATGACTTCTTCAACAAGGCCATCCACAAAGCGCAACCAGGCTGGAGAGACATCGTCAGCAAAGGTGCTCTGTGGGGTATCCCTACACCTGCTTTCACCACTGCGTTGAGCTTCTACGATGGCTACCGAACCAAGGACCTGCCCGCCAATTTGCTGCAAGCCCAGCGTGATTACTTCGGCGCTCACACATTCAGGATCAAGCCTGAATACGCAAACGAGAAGTATCCTCAAGGTGACAACATCCACGTCAACTGGACTGGAAGAGGCGGCAATGTTTCTGCATCCACATACACTGCCTAAGAGTGATGAGGGGTGGTGTTCTCTAGAGCAGCCATTGACTTGGGTGGCAATGAGTTGTTCCCTCTTGTGAAGCTGTCTACAGGACAGCTGGAACCGTCACCAGATGCTTTGCAGTCGCCGCTGCCAAATCAAGCCCAAAATTCGGAGTCTTTGCCTTGCGCAGCATGTAGATGCCAATAAATATATCGTTGATCAGTCATAGTCTTTGTAGTGCTTGATACCCCTTGAATGACTTGTTCTACTGTACGTATATTTTATTTGGGGGAAAGCAAACTCCGGAATCCAGCACCCCCCAATCTTGGCAAGCCTAAGTTAGCGGTTGGGCATCACAAGATGCTGACTTGTTGAACGCGAGACGCGCAGCTTCAAAGGCAGACCGAAAGCCGGCCTCACTTCCCTGACGGCTGACCCCAAATCACGGCAAGGAGGGAATGCATGGGATGAGCACTGATCGGACATCATCCGACCACCTACGTCAAACCTCTGCCGCATGCTCCCAATCTTCTACTCGCAGCGCATTGCCTGTCCGATGGTAGAGCCAATGCGCAGTCCATGTCAACAAGCGAAGAGCTCGAGATGAGCGACGTGATATCTGACAGAGAATCAGATTCAGGCTCGGAAATGGACGAAGAGACTGGTCTCACGAAGCGCGAGCGGCGACAAAGGAAGCGTCAGCAAGATCATCTCGACGTTCGAATAGGAGAACAGATTCCGGTCTCCAGGCACGAGGCGAGACTGGCAGATCGAGATGTGATCAAGAAGCTGCTCATCAACTCTGTTCTGATTCTGCTTTGGTACTTGTTCTCGCTTTCAATCTCTATTGTAAGCAGCGCACTGAATCACAAAGTGCCATGAAACACGGCTGACGGTTGATGACAGTACAACAAATGGATGTTCGACAAGGGTCACCTCGACTTCCATTTTCCCCTCTTCACCACCTCTCTTCATATGCTCGTCCAGTTCTGCCTCTCCACCACCGTCCTCTTCTTCATCCCATCTCTCCGCCCCTCTCACCTCTCGCAACCATATACACGACTCCCTACGGATCCCACTTCTTCCGACAACATCGACCCAGGCAAGCCCAAACCAGTGGTAACCCCTCTGTTCTGGCTCACTCGCCTTCTACCCTGTGGTGCTGCCACGTCCCTCGACATCGGCCTCGGCAACACCTCGCTCCGCTACATCACCCTCACCTTTCTTACCATGTGTAAATCGTCGTCCCTCGCCTTTGTCCTCCTCTTCGCCTTCCTCTTCCGGCTGGAGACTCCTTCCTACAAGCTCATCCTGATCATTGCCACCATGACGGTCGGGGTTGTTATGATGGTTGCCGGAGAAGCGGACTTCAAACCGCTGGGCTTTGCACTCGTGATTGCCAGCAGCTTTTTCAGCGGGTTCCGATGGGGCTTGACACAGATCCTTCTGTTACGCCATCCAGCAACCAGCAATCCCTTTGCGACACTCTTCTTCCTCTCACCGATCATGTTCGTCAGCCTGGTCACCATCGCAACCTTTGCTGAAGGACCAACTGCACTTTTTGCGGGCCTCTCGGCCCTAGCGGAGAAGAAAGGCAGCATCATCTCCATACTTCTCCTTGTATTCCCTGGGTGTCTCGCTTTCTGCATGACTACTTCGGAGTACTCACTTCTACAACGCACCAACGTCGTTACATTGAGCATCTGCGGCATTTTCAAAGAAGTGGTCACGATCACCGCGGCAGAGATCGTCTATCACGACCCCCTTACTCCTATCAATGTGAGTGGACTGCTCATAACCATAGGCAGCATCGCATCCTACAATTATCTCAAGATCACCAAGATGCGGGAAGAGGCAAGGAGGGACGTTGCCATGGGGGCTGCCGGACCCGATTCCTTCATTGGTGGAGGAGGAAGTCGGAGGGGTAGCGTGGGCGTTCTGGATGAAGGTGATGATGAAGGGGCGCGACTGTTTGCCGGCGAGCAATCACGAAACCCCTCTGCAGATCCCAAGTTATTATCAGGGACAGACCGTGGAGGAGGGACACCGCGTCCGCCCAAGAGACAGCAGGATTTGGAGTAGACCTGCTTTAGACTTGGCTTCTTGCATAGAGAGAGGAGTAACTTTTGTATGAAGATCTGCTCGAGCAGGATTGTGAAGCAACGCCATAGAACCAACGCAGTGAATGTCCCTGAGCACTGCCTTGGAGCAGCAAGAAGAGAGTATGAAGTGCAGTGCTTGTGAAAGTGGATGCACGAAGGGACATGGAATGCCCATATCCATATTCCGCTCTCAGTCTCGGCTGGCCACATGAATACTTCTCCTGTCACCTACACCTACAACCTACCACCTACCACCCTTCACACCCTCTACACCCTTCACCGCAATGCAATGCGGGAGTGAGCTTGCTGTAGTGAACACCTCTTGTTCGTGTTGCTCGTTTCTCGATTCTCGTGAATTGTAATCTTGTGCATGCTTACCTCAAACTCCCGCTCATCCTCGAGCACTGCCATTCCTTCTCAAGTCATTCGTTCTACCTCCTCTGAGCGTTCTTGTTCAGCGAATGCACGCACCGTCTTCCTCCATCTAGTCTGATTCGATGCTCGTATAAGGATGGCATCGGAAACGAAGCGCCAGAATGCGGGAAACAAAGTGCCTGTTGCCTTGCCCAACAGTGTCGCTCCACCCTCTCCTACCGTCTCTCCAGAGACTGTGCTAAGCGGCGTAATGGGTGCACGGTCAGTCCTCCAAGTCTGCCAAATGCTACAAGCTGTACAAGCTGACTGATACGATACCGCCAGCGTGCGCGTAACCACCAGTGCACCCACTTCGGCCACCTATGAAGGTCTCCTCTACACAGCAGATCCCATCACGAACCTCCTCGTCCTTTCCATTCCCCCTTCATCGTCCTCTGCACCCACTGCCGCTGCATCCAACTCCAATCCCACCAGCAACTCCACGTCCTCCTCTACGCCGCCCACCAACACCTTCAAAATTCTCCCCATTCGCACTCTCACCTCCTGCACTGTCCTCTCCACCCCCTCAAATCCTATACCAACACCCAATAACAACAACACCCTCTCCAAACCCAACCCCAGCCTTCCCCAACCCACATACCTCGACATCCCCTCCCTGACCACCCGCACCAACTCCACCGTCGCCGCCCTCAAAGCCCAAGACGCCAAACGCGGCCGCGGCGTGACCCGCGAAGCCCAAGACATCTTCGACGGCATCTCACGCACCTACCAAGCTCGATGGCACGGCACCGCCATGGTGGTGAATGAGAACGTGATCATCGAGCACCCATACCACGTGGATGATTGTCGGCTGGTGGGTGGGAGTGCGGAACAGGGGCTCCTGAGGATCCAAAAGGTATTGGGCATGGAGCGGGAGAAATTGGCGTTGCGGAGGGGTTTGGGGAGTGGTGGCATCGGGCTGGGTCTGGGCGTGGGGAGGGCCAGAGGAGGAGGAGGAGGAGGAGGATTGTCGAACATGGGTGGTGGGCTGGGGGAGAGGAAGGGTGGTTGAGGCATCAAAAACCGGGAAAAGAGGGAGGGCTGTGGTTGGATATTCCTGGTGGGTATAGGAGGGAGGGGGATGACCCGATCACTGACTGATACTGGCATGCTCATGATCCCGGTCTCTGCAACGTAACAAGCTTGTAGTCAAGACGAGATCACTGAATATACCCGAACACACACATCAGAATATGTGGCCCCAAACTTGGAAAGAAAAGCGAAGCCTATGCATGCCTCTACCGTCCAGGACACACCCATACAAATCGGCTACCATGCGTATGTATGCTGGCAACAGCCCAGCAAACATGCGTTTCCAGCTTACTGCTCCAGCTCCTTGGCGACTAAATAAATAAATACATACATGCATACATAGTGCTTGCTTCTTTTCCCTTTTTCGTCCATTTCCCTTCTCGCTTCTCTCTTCTCGCTTCTCTCTTCTCGCTTCTCTCTTCTCGCTTCTCTCTTCTCGCTTCTCTCTTCTCGCTTCTCTCTTCTCGCTTCTCTCTTCTCGCTTCTCTCTTCTCGCTTCTCTCTTCTCGCTTCTCTCTTCTCGCTTCTCTCTTCTCGCTTCTCTCTTCTCGCTTCTCTCTTCTCGCTTCTCTCTTCTCGCTTCTCTCTTCTCGCTTCTCTCTTCTCGCTTCTCTCTTCTCGCTTCTCTCTTCTCGCTTCTCTCTTCTCGCTTCTCTCTTCTCGCTTCTCTCTTCTCGCTTCTCTCTTCTCGCTTCTCTCTTCTCGCTTCTCTCTTCTCGCTTCTCTCTTCTCGCTTCTCTCTTCTCGCTTCTCTCTTCTCGCTTCTCTCTTCTCGCTTCTCTCTTCTCGCTTCTCTCTTCTCGCTTCTCTCTTCTCGCTTCTCTCTTCTCGCTTCTCTCTTCTCGCTTCTCTCTTCTCGCTTCTCTCTTCTCGCTTCTCTCTTCTCGCTTCTCTCTTCTCGCTTCTCTCTTCTCGCTTCTCTCTTCTCGCTTCTCTCCCATCTACATGTACATGTTATCTACCTTAGCCTTGGCCCAGCTTCCATACGGGACGGGAAGAAGAAGAAGAAAAAAAGGAGGGGGGGGACCTTGGTGTGGAGACGGTAAGAAAAATCAAATAGAAAAAGCCCAGTCGAGTACAAAGTTATCACATAGCATAAGTCAACCAAAGAAAAGGGGGAGGGGTGTGAGATTTGGAGACAGATCTCCCTTCACTCCTCCTCCTCCTCCTCCTCCCAGGACTTTCTTCCTCTTTCTCCGTAAACCTGTATCTATCGATACCAATAGTGAATAGTGACTCAGACCGAAGCAACGCAAAGGAATGCAATGTTTCAATTAAGGAAGCAAGCAAGCAAGCAAGAGAAGACGGATAGATGAGACGGTGTTTGTGAGCGAGTCAGTGCGCTGAGGATGAGGATGAGAATGAGAGTGACAAAGAGAAAGTGAAAAATGACATTGATTCATTCATCCAGTTCGCCAGCGCGCTTGGAGAACCTAGCTGGCAAGATGATGGTAAGATGATTCCAATAAACACAGACCAAGCGACTCCCCCCCCCCTCCCCCCCCCCATATTGGTGCAGCAAACTCCACGCTCCTCCTGGCCAGAATCATGTCCATGGTTCTCAAAAAGAAAAAAGAAACGCAATTCAGATGACATTTCCCATATCCAACGAACTAGGCGCCACGCTATGACTTGACCGCATACTCTTCTGATCCAGATTCATTCCCATTCCCATTCCCGGTCCCGTTCTCTCCCCACCCACCGCCCCGCTCGCCCCCATCTTCTTGCCCGGTTTCTCCTTCTCAGGCCTCGCGATAAGCACCTGCGCCGGACAGACAACGATTTTCTCCTCTCCTCCTCCATCATCATCCCCTTGCTTCACCACAAGAGGGAACAACACGATCCTCACCACCGCCCCTTGAGCCTCCAACTCCTGATTCGAACTTGTTTCTCCACTGCGCTCATTCATCAATGCGGCATTGAACACGAATTGCTTCTTCAGATCACCCTTCAAGTCGTATTCCGGTTGCAGCGGCGGGAGCATAACGTATTCGGCGCGTTGGGTGCGCATCTCGATGGAGAGATCGACGGCGAGTTTCAGAACGTTACGAAGAGAATCGAGGATCTTGTTTTCAAGGTGGGAAGGTGGAGGGAGGAAGCGCGCCAACGTGCCGAAGATCTCTTGCGCCACAGCCTCGGTGTCTTTGGCGCGCTGGGCAGCGAAACTCTCGCGGCGAGACAACAAGGTCAGTGTCAGGGCGCGCCAGCGGTGGACCGCACTTTTGGGGCCTACTTCCAAGAGGTTCTTTTCTAGCTGTTTCAATTTTTGCCGTTGTTCGCGGTCCATGCCGAAGAGGTAGCGGCTGAAGATGAATTCCCAGATCATGGACATGACCACCGACATGAAGACGTCGCGACGTTTGACGCGATCACCCAAGAAGATGTCCACGTCTGAGCCGTCGATAAGGGCATTTTCGAAGCGGTCCACAATCTTGTCGTCGCGTACTTCATTGGTGTATCTGCAGATTTGCGTGTCAGACGACTTGGAGAAGCGGAGGACCCATTGCTGGACGTGCTGGCATAGTTGCTGACAAGCACCGTCAAAGTAGTCCTCATCTCTTGCGGTGATGACCTCGTCGTTCTGGCTGGCAAGAATCTGCTGTTGTAGTTCCCGAATCTTCTCTTTGGCAGCTTCGAGACTGCTATACAGTTGTCGCAGTTCCGCATTCTTAGCTGCAAGAGCCACGTCAATTTCATGCCGGACTATTTGTTCCATTCCCGTTGAGAGTTTCTCGTGCTGAGACCTCAAGGTTTCTAGCTCTCTCGTCGACTCTTGCCACTGGGTCTGGGTCTGAATGTGTTGCGACTCGAGCTGGGTATGAGTTGTGGCCAGTGCCTGATTCGCAGAAGCCAATCCTTCGTTCACCTGGGTCAACTTGGTCACCTCATTTTGCATCCACTGGACAGCCTCTCGAAGTTTTTCCAGCTCCGCATCCTTCTCTTGCAAGGCAAGCTGGCGAGCACTGAGCGCCTCTTGTGACGCATTTTCTATCCTGCTCTGGTTGTGGTGGGCTTCTTCCAGCTCCTTTTCTGCATCGACCTTGGCAGCTGCAAGGGTTCGATTTTCGGATGCAAGCTGATCGAGCCGGGCCTCGAGATCCCGTATCTGCTGCATACTTCGACGTTTTTGGATACTTGGTGGTCGGGTGGGGGACCTGGGAGATCCTGGAACTTGGCCATAGCCGTCCTGCGAACATAGTCAGCAAAGAAGTCCATCGCAGCCAGAAGGGAGACTGGAAACAGAGCCAATTACTTACATAGACATCCGCCATATCTCTGACGGTTTCTTTGCCTTGGTCCTTGACGGGATCGTAGGTTGACGACGAGGGCAGAGCCTCCGCTTCCAATTGTTGTCGGGCTCTGCGTTGTTCCACCGCGGTTGGCTGCACCTGCACATGGCCAAGAGCTTTAGTGCCATCCGTCGATTCTCCGTCACGTGAGCCAGACACAAGCACCGCTGCCCCGAGGCCTGCTGCCCCAAGCCCTACAGCCCCAAGCCCTACAGCCCCAAGCCCTACAGCCCCAAGCCCTACAGCCCCAAGCCCTGCTGCTCCAGCCGCGGCAGCAGCTGTCCCAGCCCCCATGATCTGGGCGTAGCGGAACGCTCGACATCAGGAGCAGGACTCTTGAGTCGAAGGGGTCTGTCTGAAAGTTCAGAACCGGAAGAGGCCCGTCTCATGTCTTGTGAGCCAGGACTCCGACGCAGCTTCTTGTGTGCTGGCTGCAGTTCAGGCGTACCACGGCCTGCCGTATTGGGAGTCCCTGCTCGACCTGTAGATGTGTTACTTCTCGTAGGTGATGCAACCATGGATGGACTTCGTCGACGCCTGAGACTGGTGCTCTTTTCATTCTCTCGCTCGTCTTCAGGAATGGTTTGAAGTGGAGTCCGTGGTGGCGTCAGAGCTCGCTCTACGGCATCATGGGAGGGAGCTGGTGGGCCAAAGATTGACTGATATGGCCCCTCTGGGGGAAGGTCCCTAGGATGTTGCGTCTCTGTCGACTGATCGCCAAGATGACTTGCCAAACTTGCGGGCTGATCTCGAGCATCAGAGGTCATTTCGAAATTTGGCCTAGGCGGAGGGGATTGATGAGTATCGCTGCGGGCCGAAGGGTGTCTAGCATCAGATGGAGGCTCGCTTTCATACGGTTCAAATAGATTGGAAGGTGGAGAATTAAACAGTGCAGATGATCGGTCCTTCGTAGTGGAGTCAACAGGTGATGGTTCACGATGTGTCTCGATTTCGACGGCGCTGAGTTCTGCTCCTGACCGTGCAACATCTTGATCTGAGCCCGCACTGCGAGCCAGACCTGGCGTAAAGTCTGGATTAGAGGTTCTCTTCGAAGGCCTGCGAGGCCGTTTCCTAAGATCTTCGGAAGAACTTGTCGGAGTGAGTTGTCGAGGAGGCCGTTCAGATTCGGAATGATTACTTGTTTCATCCCAACCAGGTCGAGTGATAGGGCTCGGAGTGTAGCCGCTGTCTCTAAAGGTGGCTTGACTCGGGTCTTCTGGCGCTATGGCTTGCTCCGAGAATTGTATACCACTGTCTCGGTTCCTCTCACCTCCTGCTTCAGCTTCGTGCTCCATTCCAAGCTTTGGGCCTGGCAGTTGCTCCATTTCTAGATCTACAGCTGCATGAAGGACGCTCTCGTTGAGATTGGCTGAACTGAGTTTTGCGCCCTCAACTGGCTTTTCATTCCCAGTAATAGCCTGCGAGTGGTGATAAGGCTGCTCGATAGGATCTTCCGGGCCTGGCAACTGTTCCATGTCTTGACTCCTCGGTACACGAGCTTCGCTCTCACTGGAAACGGTCAAATTTACTTTCCCACCCTCAGCTGGCTCTACATTCCCACCAACAACCTGGGGCCCTGGAGACTGCTTGACTTCATCTTCTGGGACTGGCAATCGTTCCATTTCTCGACCTTCAAGGCCATCATCTCCGCTTTTGTCGAAATTGGTCAAAGTTGTTTTGAGGCCCCCGTCTGTCTCTGCGTCTTCAATGACAATCTTTGGCTCTTGGTGATATTGCTCGGGTTGCTCTAAATTATTGCTTTCCTTTTTCAGGCTACCTCCTTCAACGAAATTTGAGTCTGGCTCTTGTCTATGAGCAGTCAAAGCTTTTTCTAAGCCTGTGTCTGTTTCTGCATTCTGAACAACAATCTGAGGCTGTTTGTGAGATAGCTCAGGTTGCTCAGGTTGCCTGGGTTGCTTAGGTTTCTCTATTTGCTCTGCAATATTGTCATCCTGTTCCAGACTGCCTCCTTCAGGGGAATCTGAATCTGGCTTTTGTCTGTGACTAGTCAAAGCTTTTTCTAAGCCTGTATCTGTTTCTGCATTCCGAACAACAATCTGAGGCTGTTCGTGAGGTAGCTCGGATAACTTGGGTTGCTCTATTTGCTCTGAAATATTGTCATCCCGTTCCAGACTGCCTCCTTCAGGGAAATCTGAGTCGGGCTCTTGTTTATGAGCAGTCAAAGCTTTTTCCAAGCCCTTGTCTGTTTCTGCATTCCGAACAACAATCTGAGGCTGTTCGTGAGATAGCTCAGATAGCTCGGGTTGCTTGGGCTGCTTTATTTGCTCTGAAATATTGTTACCCCGTTCTAGGCTGCCTTCTTTAGGGGGATATGAATCTAGCTCTTGTCTGTGACCAGTCAATGTTGTATCCAAGCCCTTGTCTGCCTCTGCCTCCTCAACCACAACCCGTGGCTGTGCATGAGATTGATCTGGCTGCTCTGAATTGGTGCCATCCCCTTCTAGACTGCCTGCTTCAGGAAAATGGGAAATTTGCCCTTCGGCACAATTGCTTTCGTCAAGGGTTGTCGAAGTTGCTTTCACACCCTGGTCCGTTTCTACCTCAGCAAAAAGCTGCGGCTGTTCATCAGACTGCTTTGCCTGTTCGGCAATACTGCCTTCTCTTTCAGGACTGCGCACCAATCCTGGCCCAGGCAAATCTGAGTCGGGCCCTTGACTAAGACCGGTCTTGGTTGCTTCCACGCCATGATCTGTTTCTAGCTCCAAAGAAAAAGCTTGCGGCTGATCATGAAAACGCTCTGTCTGCTCTAAAACGGGGCCTTCTTGTTCATGACCGTGTATCAATCCTGCTTCAGGAAAATACGAATCTGGCTCCTTACTGTGATCGCTCTTCGTTTGCACCGCTAATGCAGCAGCATTTGTAGTAGTCGGGTCCAGACCTGCCACATCCGGAGGTATAGCATCAGCTTCCGACGCTGCCGGGTCCTGAGTAGAGCTAGCGGAGGCATCCGGCATGACATTTGTATTGGTTTCTTCCCCCAGAGTCAACTGCTGGCGCTTTTGATTGCCTTTTTGGGCCTTCTCAGCGGAGACTTCCACATCCTCGTCAGCTCCTTTCAATTTATCGGATTCAACCTTTTTGGATTCTTCCTTTGCCTTAACAGATTCTGCTAGATCTTGAGGGAAACCAACAGTGACGTCTGGCATTGCATTCGTGTTGACATCTTCCTCCCAAGCCATCTGCCGGTCCTTTTTCTTGCTTTTCTTGCCCTTCTTAGCAGAGACTTTCACAGCCTCATCAGCTACTTCCTTTTGCTTATCAGATTCGTGCTTTTCAGGTTCTTGCAGTTGTCCCGGTTCGTCTCTTTCTTCCACGGGTTCTGTGGACTCTTGCGTGAAACGCACAGGAACATCTAGCGTCACAGTCGTCTTAGGCGGTTCCTTCTTCGAAGCCAACTGCTTGAGCTTTCTCTTATCCTTTTTGGTCATCTTCTTTCCAGAGATTCCTGCAATGGGATCAGCTCCCTCCTTATCCGACTCACTTGTTTTAGGTTCTCCCGTTCGCCCTGACTCTTCCCTTTTCTCCACGGATTCTGCTAGATTTTGAGCGGAACTCCCAGAGATGTCTGGCGTTGTAGGTGTGTCAATTTCAGCCTCTCCAGAGATTTGTTGGCGCTTCCTTTTGTCCTTTTTGTCCTTTTTGCCCTTGCCATTTTTGATCGGAATTTGCACGGACGGGTCGGGCTCTTCTTCTCTAGTGGGCTCGGCCACGGTCGGAGCTCGCTGCGTGTCAGACAGCATCTCCCCGGTGGGTGGAATATTTTCATTTGCCAGCGCCAACCCTACCTCGTCCTGACCTTCCATTGCCTCGGATACATGAACAAGGACAGGGTTGGAAGAGCTTTGTGCGCCACGGTCAGACTCGACAATCTTAGCAGCCTTGGAACCTTTGGTCTTTTTGCCCTTCCCTTTCTTGGTTGGAACTTGCGTAAAGGCGTCGAATTCCTCCTTTTTCTCGACAATTTCAGGAGTGACGGGAGCTTGCACCACTTCGCGCATGGACTCGTTTGGCTCTGCTTTCTCAACTACAGGAGGGACAGCAGCTTGCACCACTTCACGTACGGACTCGTTAAGCCCTTCTTCCTTCTCAACAACAGGGGGGATTGAAGCTTGCACCCCTTCGCGTACGGACTCGTTAAGCCCTTCTTTCTTCTCAACAGCGGGTTCTGTTTTCTCAACAACAGGAGTGACAGCAGTTTGCACCACTTCACGTACGGACTCGTTAAGCCCTTCTTCCTTCTCAACAACAAGGGGGATTGAAGCTTGCACCACTTCGCGTACGGACTCGTTAAGTCTTTCTTCCTTCTCAACAACGGGGGAGATTGAAGCTTGTAGCACTTCAGATATAGGCTCGCTAGCTCTTTCTTCCTTCTCAACAACGGGGGAGATTGAAGCTTGTAGCACTTTAGACATTGGCCCGCTAGGTCTTTCTTCCTTGTCAAGAACAGGGGGATCTGAAGCTTGCAGCACTTCAGACATGGACTCGCTAGGTCTTTCTTCCTTGTCGACAACAGGGGAGACTGAAGCTTGCGGCACCCCAGACATGGACTCGCCAGATCTTTCCTCCTTCTCAAAAACAAGGGAGACTGGGGCTTGGCGTACGCCGCGAGTGAGCTCGTCGAGTTCTTCTTCGGTCTTATGTGTAGGGGCAGTTGGAGCTTGCAGCACGTCAGATATAGACCCGCTAGGTCCTTCTTCCTCCTTGACAATGGGAAAGACAGTGGCTTGTTGTACGTCGCGCGCGAGCTCGCTAGATCCTTCTCCCATCTCCACAACTTCAGGAGACATCCGAGCTTGCAATTCCTCGCGTACGAACTCATTGTGCTTTTCCTCTCTTGTGATAACTTCAGGGGAGGCTGAGGCTTGCAGTACATCACGTGCGAAGTCGTCAGGTCCATCTTGTTCCTCAATGGCTTCAGGGAACGCCGGAGCCTGTAACACCTCCGACGCGGTCTGTGTGCTAGGTCCAGCTTCCACATTGGTTCGCAGCAACTCCTCGGGTTCTTCACCTTCATTAAAAGTGGTGAGGGTTACGGGAGCCTGCAGCAACTCAGGCGCAATCTGTGTGCTAGGTGCAGCCTCCACATTTGTGTGCACCAACCCATCGGTTTCTTTATATTCCTTGACAGCGTTGAGGGTCATTGGAGGGTGCAGCACCTCGGGCGCAGGCTGTATACGAGGCGCAGTTTCTACATTTGTTCGCTCCAACTCATCAGATTCTTCATGTTCCTTGTCAGCGTTACGGATTACTGGAGGTTGCGGCACTTCATATGCGGTCTCTGGGCCAGTTGCTGCTTCACTTATTCGCACGGGCTCATCAGCTTCTTGCTGTTCCTTCACAGCATCAAGGGTGACTGGAGATTGCAGCATTTCGGGCACGATCCCCGTCTTGGATTCAGCTTGTACAGTCATTTGGACGACTTCCTCGGGTTCATCCTGTTCCCTAGCAATGTCAAGGGTAGCCAGAGGTTGTGGTATTTGGGGTAGAATCTCTTTGCTAGCTTCAGCCTCCACTTCAATTGTCGTCAAGTCAGAAACGTTCTCATGGGAAGGGTCTGCGAATAGTAACTCAGACACAGGATCGACTGATGCTGTTTGAACATGTCTAGACTCGACAACTGCAGATTCAGCAGGTGCAGGTTCAGCAGATGCAGAGTCAAAGAGGATGGACTTGTCAGTTGGTGCAGGTTCACCAGTTGGTGCAGGTTCACCAGTTGATACAGATTCAACAATTGGTGCAGGTTCGACAGTTGATGCAGGTTCGACAGTTGATGCAGGGTTGACAGGTGGTGCAAGCTCAACAGTTGGTGCAGGTTTAGCAGTTGACGCAGGTATGACAGCTATGGACTCAATAGATGCGGATTCGTTAGAGGTAAATTCAACGGGTACAACTTTAAACGATGCAGGCTCGACAGAGACAGGTTCATCAGTTGTTGACTTAACGGGTACAGCATCAAATGATACAGACTCAGCAGACGGAGGCTCCACAGACTGGGGCTCAAGAGATGGAGGCTTAATCAATGGCGACTTGACAGAAGGTGGCTCGACAGAAGGTGGCTCGACAGAAGGCGGCTCGACAGATGTAGCCTCAACAGGAGGCGGCTCGACAGATGTAGCCTCAACAGAAGGTGGCTCGACAGAAGGCGGCTCGACAGATGTAGCCTCAACAGGAGGCGGCTCGACAGATGTAGCCTCGACTGTTGTAGGTACGTCAGATGTAGCCTCGACTGGTGTAGGTGCGTCAGATGTAGCCTCGACTGGTGTAGGTGCGTCAGATGCGGGCTCAACATATACATCCTCAACCTGGCTGGGCGTAGACTCGACAGGCACAGGCCGGACAGGGGGTTGTATAATCTGCTTTGTCTGAGGCATCTCGCTCGCACCCAAACCCTTACCGTGCTTGCCTTTCTTTGCCTTCTTGCCTTTCTTCGTGATAGGAGTTTGCACATCCTCGTTAGTTTCCTCCCTTGATTTAAGTTCTTCTCTCTGTTCTGGTTCTTCCTTTCCTTCGATGGATTCTAAGGGTATTAGATCTGCTGATTCTTGGGCGGCACTGGGAGAATCTGCTACTATAGCTGTATCAGGTTCAGCCTCCCGCCGAGATTGTTGAGGCTTTTTCCTGTCCTTCTTGCCTTTCTTCTTGATAGAAGTTTGCATATACTCGTCAGCTTCTTCCCTTGTTTTTGGGTCTTCTCTCTGATCTGATTCTCTCCTTCCCTCGATAGATTTTAAGGGTGCTAGATCTATCGATTCTTGGTTAACATCGGAAGGATACGGCACTACAGTTGTATCAGGTCCAGACTCCTTCGAGGTTTGCGAACGCTTTTTCTTATCCTTTTTGCTTTTCCCCTTCTTGGAAGAGACCTGCTCGAACTCACCAGTGCCTTCCTCTGTAACAGATTCAGGCACGACTAGGGCTACTGGATTTTGGGTGGAGTTGCCACCGGCGTCGGATACTATAGTCTTGCTTGTTTCTTCGTCCTCATTAGAGAGTTGCGGACGTTTCTTCTTATCCTTCTCATCCCTCTTCTTTGTGGTGGAAGTTTGGACGAGCTCATCAGTTTCTCCCTGTGTCTCGAGAACTTTAGGACTGATTGAAGGTGTTAGATGTTGAGCAGATCTGACGCCAGCATCTGGCATCACAACCGTGCTTTGTGGTAGTACGGTGGCCTCTGGTACTGTTTCTGCTTCTGTTGTTGTCTTGACTTGTGTTGGTGTTTCGATCTGTAGTGCAGTGATTGGTCCTAGTACTTTTTCTGTCTCTAATGTGGTTTCGACCTGCGATGCTGTTGCGATTTGTGGTGCCAGGATAGCCTCTAGTGCTGCTTTGGACTCTGTTGCTGCTTCCGCCTCTGCTGTTACGTCGACTTGTGGTGCCACAGTCATCTCTGGTGCTGTTCTCGTCTCTTCTGGTGCTGTTCTCGTCTCTTCTGGTGCTGTTCTCGTCTCTTCTGGTGCTGTTCTCGTCTGTTCTGCCGTTCTCATCTCTTCTGCTATTCTCCTCTCCTCTAGTGTTCTCATCTCTTCTGCTGTTCTCCTCTCCTCTGGCGTTCTCGCCTCTTCTGTTGTCCTCGTCTCCTCCGGCGTTCTCGCCTCTTCCAGCGTTCTCGCCTCTTCTGCCGTTCTCGCCTCTTCTGCCGTTCTCGCCTCTTCTGTTGTCCTCGCTCTTATCATCAGTTCGTCCTGGAGAAGCTAGCCACAGCGTTCTCGCCTCTTCTGTTGTTCTCGCCTCTTCCGGCGTTCTCGCCTCTTCCGGCGTTCTCGCCTGTTCTGCAGTTCTCGTCTCTGGTGCCGTGCTCGCCTCTTCCGGCGTTCTCGCCTGTTCTGCCGTGCTCGCCTCTGGTGCCGTGCTCGCCTCTGGTGCCGTGCTCGCCTCTGGTGCTGTGCTCGTCTCTTCTGCTGCTCTGATCTGTGGTAATATATTCGTCTCTGCTGCTGCAACTTGTGATGCTGGAGTGGCCTCCGGAGTTGCTTCCATTGCTAATGTTGATTTGATATGTGGTACAGCTTCCGTGTCTGGTGCAGCTCCAGCCTCCAATGCCTGCGTAGATAGCTCTGGAGACAGAGCTCCTGGCAGATTCATAGGTGGCGACGGTGGGTCTGTCATTCGGACTTGCTCATGCAAGGTAGACGGGTCTTGCAGCAATTCGGATGGTGAATGAAATTCATACTTGGGCTTCTCCTTGACATCCCTAGGAAACTCAGTCGCAGTTGGGGTTGCCGTTCGAGAGTCGAGAAAATCGGGAGAGGTTGGCCGTTGAGGGTGCCAACCTGGATAGCTACTGCTTCGTCGATGTCCGAACGGCTGACTTAGGGCTTGCTCGGGCGAGAAAACATCTTCGAGATCTTGGACCCCTCGAAGGTTCTCCATCGACGGATGCGCAGAACTGGTTCGACTTGATGGCAAGGATGGGTAGGTCTCCTCAATCTCAGCTTGCTCGATTTTAGATCCTGCGTGTCTCTCAACAAGCCATAATGGTCGGAACTCCCTAGACCTAAATTCAGTGGAGCTCGGACGACCTGGACGACCTCGTGGCAACATCGGTGAGTTGGGTAGACTTGTAGCGTCAGAAGCACCAACAGTAGCCGATCTGGCAGCGCCAGGGGACAATGGTGGCCGACGAAAGTGGATGGGCACCGCTGTAGGTGAACCCTTTGTCGCCGGAGAATTCGATAGATCTGATGTCCGCAATTCGGATAGTATTTCTGGTCTCATTTGCTCCGCTGATGGCGTCGATGCCAAATCTTGGTCTGCAATTGTGGACTCCTGGCTCTCTCGGGTCGCTAGAAGGGAAGGTGTTGGAGCATCTGTAAGCGGCTGGGGTTCGGCCATCGTAGTCGTTGGTAGAGCACTTATAGCATCTTGCTCTAGATTTCTTTCGGTCGCGGACCCCGAAGCACCATCAGATACCGTTGGCATTTCGGGGCGCTCCCCTAAAAAAGACAGGTCCTCATTTCCATTTGCTTGATCGCGAGGTTTTCGTTCAGGTGCCTCCTCGGACGACAAGAATTCATCATCTGGACTACGGTGTCTCTCGCTTTGTTTGCCTGCCGAGCGCGAACCGCTCCTGCTTCGTTTCCTTGTTGGTGCTCCGTCGTCAACGTCCCGATCTTTTGGCTTTCTCTTGGCCTTCCTTTTCGAGGTTCCAGGCTCTTCACGGGTATTTCTGTTCTCGTCGTCATTGGTATCCTTCAGCTTGACATCGGATTTGCCGGACGAAAAGAAGGCAAGTACTCCACCAGATTTCTTGTCTTTGCTTTTACGCTTCGAGCTTTTATCATTATTAAGATCAGCAGGCATCGAAGCTACAGAGCCCATGTCGTCGTTGGCGTCATCGTCCTTTCTGGATCGTCTCTTTGACTTCTTACTCCCTCCAGAGCCATCTTTGAGTTTGGCAGGGGTTGAAAGTACAGATCTGTCATCGTAGAACCCATCCGAGTCTCTCGTTGAACTTCGCCTTAGTTTTTTGGTTGCCACCTCTGGGGGCCTGCCGTTCTCTTCAGAAGCTTCTTGTCGCCCCACATGCTGTTCTGGTGGGCTTTGCGATGCAGGATCGACAGCCGCCTGGATCGGAAAGTATTCACTTCCATTTTCCTCCGGTTTACTTGTTTTAGGGGTCACATATATGTCGGGAGTAGCCTGTCCATCATAGTAGTCAAAGACGTTGAAGCCCCCAGGTATTTTTGGTTCAGCGTCATTGGCATTATCGATGCTGCCATGGTCCGGCTGGCGAGCAGTTGTCTCTTGGACGACCTTCTCCGAGGCAGTCGAGACACCGACTTCTGATTCCCGTTTTGCAGCTTTCTCAAGCCGTCTCCTCTCCTCCTTGCTCAGCTTTGATGTTGAGAGCTCATCATTGTCAGAGCCCGTTACTTTTTCCTGGTTCTGGTCATTCTCGGCTTCCCGTGTGGGTGGGAGCTCGCCTTCGACAAGTCCTATTTGGGATGGTGCAGACTGGTCGTGGAATACACCCAGATCGGAGACCGTTTCAGCAAATGGTGATTGATAGACACCTTTGTCTTCAGAGCCTGGCGGAGAGTCGCGTCGGTGATAGGTCGGATCATCTATGACAATGGACGGATCAAAGCCAGCTTCTTGCGCACCCGCTGCCAGCGCTGCAGCAAACTCAAGATCTTGACCATAGTCCTCAGAATCTGCTTTGCTAGAATGGTGGCTGCTCCCAGGTACAGACTCTGTCGATTGTACGTCTACAAGGACGGGCTTGGTGTCCGGATTTTGATCGTTGATATTGTGCAACTGTTGCGTCTTTTCCTGACTAAATTCGGGAAGATCGTCCATTGGTGTGACAACTTCGAATTCGTGTGTTTCATGCTCGCCCCAACTCACTCTAACGTCGCTCCGTGGTCGCTTCGGCTTTGGCTCTGGCTTCTCGACAGGCTCTGGGCTGGGAGGCGGGATGGGGGACGATGTTTCTCGGACAGAATTACAAGCACTATGGGGCGGTGTTGGTTCGATCAGGTCAAGGCGCGGCACAGGCCATGGGTTTGCCGAGGGATCGTCTTTGCTTAGAATACCGAATGGCCTATAATGGAATGGATCGAATTTGTAGCCTGCTGAGGTAGGTGAAGAGGGCGAGCTAGGTGAGTCATCACCTTTCGGGACAATCTCGATAACCACCGGTGTCATGGGAGAGCTCGGCTCCGGAGCACGACGTCTTTCGGCAGCATCATTGTGCTCCTTGAGCTTTTCCTGAAGCTCTGGTGGCGTAAAATAGGCGACATAATCATCGTGGGGGGTAGGATTGGGACTTGTCCGAATTCTGATTGCCACCTTTTGCGCTGTTCGCTGGCGCCTGTTATCCGACTCAGTTGTGTCTTCGTTGGCACCCTTTTCTGCTGCTGGTGATTGGCATGGGCCGTCAACAACTTCTCGCTCTGGGGGGTGTTCTCTTATGCTGCGGTCGTCGTCCTTTGCAGACGCGGACTCCGCCAACACCGTTGCAGCAGCTAGTCCGCCAGCCATAGCAGCAACAGCCGCATTCGGCACCGCAAAGTCGTTTTGCTGAGCCTCTCTCGCTGAGCTCTGGCGCCTGTCCTCTTGATCAAGTCGTTCGAGCTCTTGCTTGATCTCTTGTTCTCGTGCTCTTCGTCTCTCAGCGGAGTCCTTTCTAGGCTCCTGATCATCTTCGCTATCCCGTTTAAACTTCCGACGCTCTTGAGATCGTCGCTCTCGTTCAGTCTGTTCCTTGGTAAGATCAAACTTGACACTTGAAATTTGGTCTTTCGTTAAAGCACGACGATGTGGTCGATTCTCCGCAACATCCCTTGAAACTGTGAAGTGAGTAGGAGATGATTCACGCCTGCGCCTTTCTCTAGCTTCGTTATAGCGTTGAGGAGAAGGAGGCCTAGCTTTAGGCTCGTTCGGGGGGGTGATTGTTTGGTCACTGAAGAATGGAGGTACCGGGCTGACTTGGCTGTAAAGAGGAGCACTGCTAGTTGCCGAGGTAGTGTACACTGATTGCGAAACAGGTGTAACAGGCTGAGGATGTTGGAGACGAACAGTTGAGGTCGTGATGGAAGCTGGAACGATTGACATTGGGGAGATAACAGTCGAGGTTTGCCGCGTAACATCGAAGACTCCCGGATCGGATGTGGGAATGGGATGAAGCTGCTGCATGGCGGGAAGACCTGCTGAGCCTTGCCTTGTATCGAATTGTTCGTGTAATGATGCTGCCGGTCGTAATGCTGCTCCTGGCAATCCTGCCGCGGCCGACACAAAGGAAGTCCGATCTCCCTGTCTCGATCTTGCGTTGTTTTGCTTACCTCTGTTCCACCGCCAATCCCATTTCGAAGTACCGTCGCTGGAACCAAGCGATTCTCGACTTGGACGAGTAGATAGCTTGGATCCGTAGGCAAGCGCAGAATTTTCGCTAGATTCATCATCTGACGCATCTTCCCACGCAGAGTTCTCCTCGTTCGATGACTCAGATTCTTTGGGATGGGACCATCGCGGTTGGGAAACCCGACTTTCACGTCCGTGTCTTCCCCCTTGTTCTACGAAACCCACGTTCCGCTTTTGCTTTGAATCCTTCTTCGAGCTCGCCGCAGCAAGTTCAACACCAGTAGCTGCGAGGCCTAGTATGGCGCTATTCACGTTTCTATCATCATGCTTTGGTGGTTTTTCTCGATTGCTATCCTTTCTCCTGACCGAGCCCTCACCAAAAGCCAGATCTGCGTCTGATGAAGAGGAAGAAACGTTGCCAAAGCCGAAGATACCTTTGTCTTTCTTCCCTTTGCGTCGATTGGCAGATGGTGAACTGAAAAAAGAAACAATGCCTGTTCCACCGGACGAGGGCTTGGTAAGGTCAACGTATGAGTGCCTGGGCGATACGCGTTTATGATAGTATTGCTTCTTCGGCGACCGACTTCGTTTCCGATAAACGGTACCATGTCTTTGAGAAGTGCTCATGGCAGCACCTCTTGACGTGTCGTGGTGTGAACCAGAGCTTGCACTTGAACTTGAACTTGAGCTCCGCCTTTTCTGTGGTTTCCTTTCTTCATATAGCTCGTCTGTGCCCTTATCTTTTCGAAATCTCGTCTCGACATGTCGATGGGACGAACTCCGATGCAATGGCATATCCTCCTGCAAGGGGTGCCTCTCTTTCCTGGTGGAGGAGTGGCGCTCGCTCTGATTGGAGAATTGTTGATGTTCATTTGCTTGTCCAGTCCTAACGCTGTATGTGTCATCATAATCTCTATCGTCTAGAACATTCTCGCCGAGTTTTGCCAACCCATACCCGGCAAGACCACCTGCAATCCATGGTTTTTTGGAGCCGGACTTTCTTCGCTTCTCATCGTCTGAAGTATGCTGCCGATAGACCTTATCTACTCTCGTGCTGCTACCATACCGACCGCCCAAATACCTGCGGTTGGGATTGTGTTTTCTTGGTGCATCCCTTGGGCTAGACCGTGGATCAAAACAGTATTTGCAAACTCCAATAGCCTCAGTATACACCTCGAACTCGCCGACGCCTTCGGGGTCCTTGAAAAAGTTGATAAGTTTGTCAAGCGGTCCACGTCGCCTCCGCCGATCTGCCATGCCTATTGAAAGGCCATGGGTGCCATGTAGATGCTGATGACTGTGAACGCCATACGAGCCTTGGCCTGAGTGATGATGGTTACCAAGATAATTTACACCAGCTCCGGCAGCGAATCCCGCAACGGCAGCACCGTCCTGGGCAGTGTTCGATCCGGAGTGCTGCTTCGGGGGTCTAGGAGGGCGACTTGAGCTTGTGTTGGGAATCGAGTTATATAATTCGTCATGTGTGTTAGATGTAGGTGAAGTATAAAAGCCGCCTGGCCCGGGCATAGGTGCGGTCGATGTGCCGAAGTAATCACTCGCAAGACCAACACCAGCGCCCATTGCTGCTGCCTCTGCGATTCCCATGTTACCTAATGACGGGGTGGGTCTTGCCTCTAGGCGAGGGGAAGTCCTTGGGCTGGTATCGATCCCTGAATGCTTGGACGGCTTCGTACCTGGTCTTGATGGTTTCGCCGTTGGTGTAGGGACTGCATTCTCGACATCACTCGTATCTGCAAAGAACGCTGCGGCAGCGCCAACTTGTCCCAGAGAGCTCGGCTCCGGTGGTGGCAGAGCTTCAGCAGTGGGCTCGTGAAGATGAGCTTGGTCCGCCGTGTAGATTATTGAAGGTGGTTGCGGTCTGACTCCTGGCTGATCTGCTACCGACTCTCCTTGATCGCCGTAGTAATCCGCAGCTAGGCCTGGAGGTCGATAAGGAGCCGCGAACGTGGTTGGAAACTCGCCAGGAAATTGGTTCTCCACGTGAGAATCGAGATTTGGTGGCCCGCTTCTCTTACCAGAGTCACTCTTCTCATTATCTTCTCCACGTTGACTTTCTCTCAACTTTTGTTTGCTGTCTCTTCTCGAATCACTTCTCCTCTTCTCGCGCTCTCGACTCCGCGAGCGCTTCCTCTCCCGCTTGTCTCGCTTGCTTTCTCTGCTTCCACTCCTGTGTCGTCTTCTGTCACCGTTACTTCCCCGCCGGTTCGACCGCCGTAACCCGGTTTCAGACCGTGACGTTTGATCTGCCATACTCCCGTTTGTCAGCAGATTTGGTAGCCTGGTAGGAGTATTCAAAGGGTCATGGGTGTTGGCTGTCGCATAGCTCGAGGCGATTGACGGGGCGGCCGTGCCAGGATATGGGCTTCGCGAAGACGACGAAAAACTAGTAGAGGTCGGTATGATCCGCTGAGGGTTTTCGCGTAGCGCACTCTTCTTCGACGATCGTGTCGAATTAGATCTTGATCGAAGATTAGACGAATCCAACTTGTCTTTGGACTGTGAAGGATTGCCTAAACCTACCTACCCTCCAGGGATCGCAGTGACGGCAGTTCTCGGTTGGCGTCAGCTTGCGCTTCGGTGGCGAGTACTTATGCGATTAAAATGTCGAAGGAGGTGCAATACTTTCCTCCTAACTTGATGCTCTTGGGGTTTGCGCTGGCAGGTCGCGGGCTCGAAAGGAAGACCAGGATTGCTTGTGCAATGTGCAAATCATTGCTGATTCGACGCAAAAGAAATCGAGAGAGGGAATTGTTGCATGTAACAATGCGATTGGCTACTTTCGGTCTGTCCAAAGACCGATGAGTTGTGCTTCTTAAATGAGATGCGGCGCTGCAGATCATAGTTATGCCAGACAGGGGTTACTGCGTGGGAGGCCTGAAGTAATGTTAGCCAGCGCTAGTATCTTTACTGATAAACGTCCTTTGCACAAACAGCTACGTCCAAAAGAAGTTAGATGTAACAAATCAGCTTGTCACAATGGCTACGTATGAAATAAGCCTCATACTGACGAATCATAGTACTGAAATTTGGTAACGAGAACTAGCTACTACTAGCACCTGATTAACATTACTTCAGGCCCCCCCTGTAGTACATTAACTTCCAGGGAGACGTGGCTGGTAGCCTGGCCACTCTCCCCTTATAATTTGGTTACGGGTACCTCACCAGACGGTTGTAATTTTCCACCTCCTTGAAACATTCACCTAGATAATCCTATGAATCAAATAGGTGAAGGTTAGTGACTGAGAGACCATATTTAGCCACGACACTGACGTTGATGTGAGCCCATTCTCTTTCCATGGACAGGTATTTTGGGCAAAGCAGTGTTGATCCCGGGCCGGGCGAATGTGGCAATACCTTTCCAAGCAGTCCTCTATTCCCGTCACCTAATGGGACGAACTTCTCACGGTCTGGAAAAATGACACGGGCTCTTGTTACTTAGACCCACGGACTACAGTATCTTACACGTATACAGGGACCGGTCACAAAGAAGCCTCAGCAAGTTAGAGATGTGGTCAGTACAGTGACAGATGTATAATGCTACTTGGTACAGGATCATATTCGCCATGACTCCTAACTCTTCCCGCAAGGTAAAATGGGGCATGTGAATTCTGCATTCGTTGACCAGTCATACAGGACGTGAACGCAACAATTACTCATGTTCAATCCCAACATTCCGCGAACAGTCAACGTATCCAATAAGCGTGAATGTGATATGTTGCTTAGACGATGACTGTGCAAAGTACAGTCACAAATGAACGACGTGGTTGTAAAGCATCTTCCACAGGATCTTTGAGGGTTTGTCCTTGTTATCCGGGCCCTCCACTTTTGGCGTACTTCTTGTTCGGATCTTCCACAAGCCTTCCACGGTACTGCGCGAGGACACCCTCGTTCTTGTTCCGCAAAGCAGTGCTAAACCAGTATGGCATTGCTCTTAGCATAGGAAAGAGGAAGCTGGCAAAGCCGGGCAGAATCAGCTGCCCGCTCTGTCCAGCAAGGACCCTCTTCACAATTTCTTCTGCCACCGTCCCAGGATCTAGCATGTAATCCACGAAACCATCACGCTGATTCCAACCCCTGATGAGCGAAGTCTTCACCGGTCCTGGCGTGATTAACAGTGTCCGCACTCTTGGTGCATTATATCTAGTCACTAACTCAGTGGTCAGGCCCTCATGGAAGGCCAGTGCGGCGGCCTTAGAGGCGGCGTAATCAACAAGGTTTGCAACGAGACCATAGCTTGCCAGGGAAGCGATTGTCATCACCATACCATGGTTCTTTTTGATCATGCTCGGCAGGAACTCTTTAGCGAGAAGATAATGCGACAGGGTGTTGACATCGAATGTCCATCTGTGCTCCGCTTCAGTGCTATCAAGGATCGTCTTTCCGGTGGCGACTCCTGCGATGTTCATCAGGACAGTTGGCTCTCCTATTTCCAATCGAATCTCAGACGCCGCCTTTGCGATGGCGGACGAGGAAGTGACATCGCATTGGAAGTACTTCACTGATGGTGGTGCTTCATAGGTGAGCGGTTGTACATCAAGAACTGCCACTTTGATATCTGAGGCAGCAAGCATCTTGACTACTTCTTTGCCAATGCCATCGCTGCCACCAGTCGCAACGACAATCTCCTTGCTCCAGTCGTATTCGTCGCTTACACCATTACTCAGCGCCCTTCTGTTCAGAAAGTTGTTCAGCCAACGTAATACTCCCCAACAGACCGCTATGTGGAATGCATGTAATGCGCGCTGATGAGAAGACGCGTATTGTTGGCCGGAAGGGGTATATTGGGTCAAAAGCAGAAGAGGTAAAGTTAGAGCAGGATTCAATATAGTCCTCTTGATCAAACGTCCCACCGGATCAGCCACAAACCCTATGATCATTCAGCCATATCTTTTCGAGCCGAAGAGTATCACTTACCTTCTCTAGGTAGCCACCCGCTGTGGGACGCCATAGTACGCTCAATTGGCAACCAAGAAGCCAGCTAGCAGTCGAAGGGGAAACTTCATCCAACAGACCGAGACAATGTTACAGCTGGACATAGGATCAACGAAAATCAGGTTAAGAAGAGGGTGTTGCACCAGCGAGGACTATACCGAGTCAACGGTCCCGAGGCGCAGAACCCATGGCGAATAGATAAGAGGGGATACCACTAGTTACTTATTGGCTTTCCCGGCTCCATATCGGACCTTCGGACGGCTCGAACCTTATGGTCGCTACCACATGCAGAATCCCAGGACGAAGCAGCATGTTTCATTCAAGGCAAGACCATGTTAGTACGATGGAAGGAGTGTATTTGGAGCGTAGTCCGGCAACTATCAGCAAAAATGCACCAAAATTACTCCGTAAGTAAGATTCAATTGGATTCTAAACGATTTAGCCAGGGCATTCCTTATTCACACTAAGTACATCGATAGCTCCGCAGACATGATTTGGCGTAGTCCTTACGTAGTAGGTGCATCTTCCTGCTAAGAATTGAATGCGAATCAGATCTAATCCTAGAAAAGCAGCTAAGGTTTCACCACATTACTACGGAACTGTTGGAAAATACGGCGGATTCCAAATCAATCTGTTTGAATTCTCAATGATCTCGCCAATCACACTATGTATAATGTGGTTAGTAAGCAATACTTGCCATTTTCAACGAATCATATGCTATGAATTGCACTTTCATGCTCTCCTCGGTATAGCGAAGTAAGAACTCATATCCCACCCACTGGCGTGTATAGTCGGAGGCGGACGTATCCCTAGCACGATGTTAAGAACAGCTAGTTTGCGATATGATGCCATCGCGTGATCTAAAGGCTTCTTTTGTCAAGATCCGCAAAATGGTCCGATACCGTACAGCTAGATCATCATACGTAGTAAGCTTAGTGGTCTCGTTCAGCAAGCATGTCAACGCGCTAATACTAGCATCGTGCTGGGGATATGTACCGTAGTAAAGGTAATGAGTGTGATATTCAATGAGCATTGCAACGATGCAGTAGTTCCTGAACGAAGAGATATATGTTTGTGAATGGTTTTTGATGATTACAGGATGAACGAGTCGCAACATTGACTAATCAGCATCTATCAAAAGATTTCTGGCGTATCAGAGCTGTCCAGCGACGGGCACCCCGAATCATCAACTCAGACTCATGGAGCAGTAATGGACGGCGGCCCTCTGTCTTTCTTTAGAGGTGAAAACTCCGCCAATGTTTTCCCCTTGCTACCCACATTGACTGGTCCCAGACCGCCACCACCCCTCAGCCCTAGTCCTCTAGATGCTCCAAGCAACCCCACAGTTCTCGCTCTGTTCTTGGTCTCCTCTGCGTCCTCATCGTTAAACAAGCTTTTCCTCTGTCCGAGAATCTTCTGCTTCTTCTTGACGGATGGCTTGGAGGCTTTCGTCGACTCGGAGTTCGTATCGGCAGCTTCTTCGTTCTCGTTGTCCTCCAACACTTTTGCGAGACCGAATTGCTTTTTCGTCGGTGGGTTAATAGCCTTTACGGCGACACTGTTTGCTTTTGGCGCACTTTTGGTTTCTTGCAGTACACGGCCCTCTTTCCTCTTTGTCGAGTCCGTTGCAGGTTTTCGAGCCTTTGTCTGCTTCGGACGTATCGGAGAGGCTTGCTCGCCCTGCGTGGTCGCGGACTTTGCAGGTTCTTCGAATTGCTCTTGCTCTTCCGTGGCAACGGGTGTATCAGGTAGGATGCTCATTGTCTTGTTCAGAAAAGGTGTGATTGAAAATGTTGACTTGTCGCCAGGCATTGTTGACGTTCTGACTCTCTTGGCAGCATGCACTCCATTATTCCCTGGAGTACCGATAGTTGCGTCGGGATCAAAATGAGCCGTCTGTCTCTTTCGGGGATTCCCAACTGTAGTCTTTTTGGGTGCTACCTCCACCTGTGCCGCCTTCAGGGCTTGAATTTCCTCAAGCTCGTTCTGCGTCTCTTTGAGCTGTTCTTTAGTGGACCGCAATTTATTGCGGAACGCGTCCAGCTTACTTTCCAGGATGGTCTTTTGGCTCTCCCATTCTGTTGCTTGCTTGCGCAATTCTCGCTCATTCTTTTGCGCCTCTCTCCTCTCCTTCGCTGTCTCTTTCCTCAACTCTTCAAGCTGGGATGCTAATTTTGAATCTGCCTCTGTTGACTTGGATGTGTTTGCTTTGGTGCGTTGGACCGCACGGCGTTCGGTCTCCAGCTCGACCTGAAGGGTGCTGAGCTCCCGTTGGAGAGCAAGCTTCTCTGCCAGAATGCTTTGGTTCAATGCACCTTGAGATCTTAGATGCTCGAGTTCAGGCTTCAGGGTCGCAACCTCGCGAGCGAGCGCCAATTTCTCTGTCAAGAGTTTGGTAGAATCAGTGTTGACAGTGTTCATCGCATTGACTTCTGCTTTGTATCTTTCCACCTCTCTTGTTCTTGCACGAAGATCGCTCTGCGCACGCTGCAACTCAGCGTTAAGCTGCCCGAGCTGTTCCTGCGCGATCTCCTCATGATCTTGCAGGTCCTCCATCTGAGCTTCGACGTCGGCCAGTTGCTGCTGTAGATTATCGTTTTCATACGCGTGAAGGAGCTGTTCTAATCGTGATATACGCGATCGTTCTTCCTCGTAGATGCGCTCAGTTTGACGAAGTTCGCGTTCATATTGTTGTTCAAGGTGGGTTGTCTTTAAGGTTTGGCTGATCTCCTCGGCATTCATAAGGGCTATATGACGTGTATCCATTGTCATACATAAGATACTTGCTAGATATGCGAACCACTGGATGCTGTGATAATTGCTGAAAGTCAAGTATGAGGAGATGGTAAACAAAGACCTGTTCTAAGCCTAGCGTTTGAAGGCCTCGGGCCGTCATTGCCAAGTTATTGCCAAGCTTTCTATAAGCCTCCGGTTAAGGAGAGTTTCCAAAAGAACACGCATGCCAAAGTACTGTAAATTGGTTGTATTTGTGCATTTCCTGCCAGCAATCTTCACAATGAAGCTCTACAGTCTTTGCGTGCTGTCTCTCTTCTGCTTCGGTGCTTTAGCTGCCAGACCTTCCTCCGCCGACAAATTCCGAACCTACCACAGCCGTTCTCTATCGTCCAGTCCACTAGACCTCGACGATACCACGTACGAGAAGCTGACATCTGCTCCTCGAGACTATTCCATAGCTGTGGTTTTCACTGCTATGGGAGCTCAATTTGGTTGTAAGCTATGTCGAGACTTCGCTCCGGAGTGGGAATTGATTGCAAAGAGCTGGAATAAGGGTGACAAGAAGGGGGAGTCGAGAATGCTCTTCAGCACACTTGATTTCAGCAGTGGAAAGAACACGTTCCAAGACGTACGTCAATCACACTTCTTGTCGAAAAAGATATCAACTAACGTTTTAATTCAAGTTAATGCTTCAAACCGCACCTGTCCTTATGCTATTCCCGCCTACTGTAGGCCCAGGGGCGAAGCTGGATGCACAACCCATCAGATTTGACTTTCAGAGCGCCCCGTCAGCAGAAGAGGTGCACAGCTGGATCAGTCGTCATCTGCCTCCTGGGCCTAGGCCTCCACTTGTTCGACCGTTCAATTACATTGGCCTCATCACCACTACAACGCTTGTCCTCGGTCTGATCACGTTCATTACCCTTGCGACACCCTACATTGTCCCTGTAATTCAGAATCGTAATCTTTGGGCTGGCATCAGTCTTATTGCCATTCTACTATTCACAAGTGGCCATATGTACAACCACATCCGAAAGGTCCCGTACGTTTCTGGCGATGGTAAAGGTGGGATCACCTATTTCGCTGGAGGGTTTTCCAACCAATTTGGGATGGAGACGCAAATCGTGGCAGCTATGTGTAAGCACGTACATATGAGATACTCTCCCATCATCGCTGACCACACCAATAGACGGGCTTCTGTCTTTCGCCACGATTGCACTCGCCTTGAAGGTCCCTCGCATGGCCGATCCCAAGAGCCAGCAAGTAGCCGTTTTTATCTGGTGCTCTGTCATTCTAGGAATGTATAGCTTTCTGCTCAGCGTCTTCCGCACGAAGAGTTCCGGGTACCCCTTCTGGCTACCTCCCTTCTAGGCAATGAAAAGTTTTGCGTTGTCGAAGGCCCAGTCTCCGTCAGTCTCGAGTGTTAGTGCCTGTTAAAATTGAATTAGATGACGGGCAAGGGACGGCTTCCCATGGTAATAACGATAGTTTACTGAAGCCTTTCTAATCCTATTTAGGCTACCATCCTAACTCTACCCAACCGGATTCCTCCCAAGAGCAAAAATTCAAGTACTTTTCGCTTCTTGACTTGTACAAGACCGTTATCAGGCTGGTCTTAATGATATTGCTGGTCGAGAATAATCAGAAGGCATCGAAGACTGTCAGACGATTTCTAAAGGGATTGGAAAATGATTATAGCCAACTTGCATCCAGAAGAGTAGACGTGATGCAGCGCGTCGTGTCTGTCTCGTTCGTTCCACTTGGCTTTCAACAAGTTCACGAACTCCGTCACTTCATCTTGCTTTGAAATCCTTCTTTTTGCCTTGTTTTGAACTTCAAAGACCTTCATTTCCCTGACCTAGTCGCCTTCGATACACCGAGTGCTTTTACTTGTCCTAGAGTGGACAACCAGGATGACAGGCTCTGGCCCGGCAAAACAGTGTCTCGATGGGCGCCCTTTCCACGGCAGTGGGGTAGAGCATTCTTCACTGCAAGGACGGTATGACAACCTTTCCTCGTGCAACGATATTTGAGCTGAATAACCAAGTAGAGCTGCCTACACGGTCACGGCAAACACTGATCATCAGAGTTCTTGTTGCAAAAGACAGAAAACCCCTTCGACCTTCCGATGAAGGATGCACGACTCACAACTGAATGCCGTCAATTGCAGCCCCTCTTAGCGAGCTTGGCGAAGAAGAGGCTCATACTAACACTTTGCTATTGCCTCAAGACGATCCTAAAATCTTTGAGTACTTGTGTGAGTGGGTATCCAGTACGAAAGTCAAGTTACCTCAGAATGACGGAGTAAAATTAAGGTGCACATGGAGATTAGCTTTTTCGAGATAGACGGGGATCTCCTAATCCATGTGGCGACATACTGTAATTAACACCTTCGAGCTCGGCATTTGAATGCGCCATCTCACACACACCTACTCCATTGCAGATAGGCTAAAATAAATGAGATCGAGGGGGGAAGGGAGGAACATGTAATTTCGCCGTCTGTTGATACACTCCTGAACGTCACGCGAGCGCAGGGGAGAATATATAAATATGTACGGAGTACTCCACCTTCTCGTGAGAATCACGTGCATTTTTGCACTTTTTCTTTCTGTCCAAAACTTGAGCTCAATCATGCGTGACCTTCGAATTAGGCTCGCAACTTCGTGAATAGTAACAAATTGCTAAGTTTCTGTAAGGTCAACCAAGAGGGTGCTGTATATGAGGCATGAATTTACCAGCTCGATAGATTAATACGCGGAGCATAGAATTGTCTTCACTCACCCAACCATCACGCTTTAAGCCATTCATACTATAACCCCTGCATCCGCAGAATCAGACCACTCGATCTATTGTTCTCAACTCCGTTCTGGACCTCGACTTGCCATTTGCGCAACCTCGTCAAGCCCCGAGACCTCTCTGGTATTCACTTACTCGGCAAAAGCTCTGTAAACCACCAGCCCGTCCTGATCATTTGTCTGAAACTCCAACTCCACCCCCATCCCCACAAAATAAACATGTCCCATGCCCACCTCGTGCGTCTTACCCTCCGCCTTCATTGTTCCCTTCCCGCTCATAACAAACATGATACTGGGTCCCTCCACCGCGCTAACCGTCTCCCCCTGACCCGCTTCCAGCTCAGTCAGGAGCATATCGAACTCGCTCATGGGCGGCTGAAAGATCTTCGTCCGCCCCTGCCTACCCCGCTCACTCTGCTGCGGCACAAGCAACGCCTCCTCGCCCCTCTGGGGGTTGAACGTCAACGCCTCGGTGAACAGATCGATGTCATCCCGGTCCGCGCGCGGACAGAAGCCGGTATTGATGACGTTGTTGCTGCGGGCCATGCATTCGACGATGTCGCCGGAGAGGTAGGCGTGGATGCCGTCGGCGGGCACGTAGATTGCTTGTCCTGGTTTCAGTTGCAGGTAATTCATGCAGATCAGAGCGATCAGGGTGCCGTTGTCTTCTGGGGTGTATTGTTGCTGCAGGCGCGGGAGGAGGTCGAGAATGTAGGCTTGAGAGCCGAGCTGGGAGCGGGATAGTTTGGAGAGGGAGGATTGGACATCTGCGACGATTTCTGGGGAGGCGGAGAGCATGGTCTTGCAGACTTGTTTTAGGGCATCCTTTGTGAGGGAGGAGCTAGCGTCGGAAGGGAGGAACCGGGTGAGCGGTTCGAGGTTTAGAAGGGATTCGATGTCGGCTAGGGGTTTGAAGTTGACGAATACTTCGAAGTTGGTGAGGGCGACGGCTATTTCAGGCTTGTGATTTTCATCGGGGAATTTCTCTGGGTCCTTCTTATGGAGTTGTTCTGAAAGAGGTTTGGAAGGATGAATCTGTAAAGGGAGCGCCTTGGCTATGGAGAGAACCTGCAATGCAGTCATGTGTTCAGTGAATGGGAGGTAGAAGATGAGCTGGTAGTGTACCTTTGGTAGAAATGGTAGATCCTTGCCAAACTTGTCGAGTACTGTCTTCCCTACCAACTTCTCCGCGGTGGCATTGATCACGTCTTGCAGGTTTTCACCCGTAGACATAACGTAGGAAGGGATGACTGGATAGGTGCCCATCCACATCTCGGAATATTCCTTGTCATCGTCAATCTTAAAGTCTGGAGATGTCTTCTCGCACAGCCGAGCAGCAAGAGATTGGCGCCCTTTTTTGCCCCATGGATAGTTCTGGCATGCGGATTAGTCATTCGAGATCAAGACGAGAGGGAATTCAAGTCGAACATTGCAATCACATTTCAATTGGAGAACTGAACCAGCCATGGTGAAGACTTGAAGGTTGAGAACGACGATGCAGAGAAGGTTAGGAGAATAAATAGAGGAAATGGGTAAATGTGAAAGAGATGCGAGACATCACAGACACAACAGAGAGGAGAGATGTACAGAGCTGCAGCAGAGCATTTTCTACAACCACAATTGTTACGCAAAGCAGTGCCGCAGAGATGACGAGGGTTTGCATTCATCTTTGTGCATGCAAAGCATGAGCTCATGATGATCAAATCACCAAATCGGAGCTTATTTCTGACAGGGTTCCGCTTCAAGCTCTCCCTCTTATCTTGGCACTTCCCTTGGCCCAACTTAGTGGGAACTGTCCCACTTGAACTTGAATGGATCTGGGTTGAAGTACAGCGGCAGCAATCAACCAGACTCGCCTCCACCGAGCACTGGATCCCTTGTGCCATCCTTGCTGTAGGAGTGGATATCTGATGGTGACAGATAGTATTGTTGGTAAGAGGATAGCAGGAGCAGCAGGATTGATCCTATTTATGTGCGTCGAAGACGCCTCTGGCAGGTTTCCACTCGAAGTGATGCTCTCCTGCGACCGGCTTTCCTGGTTCTGCGGACTTCAAGTCGAACTTATGGGCACCAAAGTAGTCCATTTGTGCCTCCATAAACTGCGTTGGCAGCTCGGTCGACGCTATGTACTTGAGATATTCAAGCGACGCGCTCAAACTCGGCACGGGAGCATCAGCTTCAATTGCTCTCAGTACGACCCTTTTCAAGGCGGGATAGTTTTCCTTCAATGGTGCACCAATCTCTCGATGATCGAGGAGGTCATTGCCATCATGATTGTCCTGTCGGTAGACCTTCTCGAGGAGATCGACTATGTAATCCGACTGGATGATGCACCCACCACGCCAGAGTTGAAGCATATCAGCAAAGTCCACGTTCCACTTCTGCTCGTGATTTGCCTTTTCGATGATGTGTAATCCTTGAATAAACGATAACAGGAAGGATGCGTAGGTTGCCTTCTGAAGATCTTTGACGAAATCTGTCCGCTCCTGTCCTGTCAATTGCATCTTTGCAGGCTTGAACCCACCATCCAACCCGTTCTTGACCTTTTCTCGGCGAGCAGCATCAGCAGAGGCAAGCCGGAAAAGATGCGCAGACATAATCGTCGGCGCAGGCACATGCAACCGTACAGCTTCCTCGCATGTCCATGTGCCAGTACCTTCCGTCTCGTCAACATCTTGAACTACCTTATCCCGGACCCTGTCCAGAACGAATGAATTGTCCTTCGGATCACGTGTTCTGCACATTTCAGCACCAATGGAGATCAAGAAGTTGTGCTCTAATGGGCCTTCTTTGTTCCATGAATCGAAGATCGAGGCTATCTCATCATATTCCATACCTACAGCTTGCCTCATGATGCCCCAAACCTCACACAAAACCGACATCAGGCCATGCTCGATGCCATTATGCACCATCTTGACATAGTGACCACTTCCACCCGGGCCAACCTTCGTGACACAAGGTCTGTTATGCTTGTCTCTTGCGGCAATTTTCTCCAGGAACGGCATGACTATGTTCAAGGCTTCCTCACTCCCACCAGGGGATACAGATGGTCCGTGGCGCGCCGACTGATAACCACCAGACACGCCCATGCCAATGTAGTGAATCCCGTCAGGTTCCAAACGTTTCTGTCTGCGCTCGGTACTCTGCCAGTGCTCATTTGACGCATCCATCAAGATGTCGCCCTTTTGAAGATATGGCCGCAGACCATCGATGGTCTCGTCGCCGACGCTGCCAAAAGGGACACTGAAAACAAAGACTTTCGGTGATCCTAGGTTCTCGCATAGGGTCTGGTAGTCCTTGCGATATTTGATTTTGTCCTGCAGCTTAGCCCCTTTGGCGTGTCCGAGGAGGGCCTGGCCATGTTCTTCGGACGGATCGTAGAAGCTGACCTCGATGCCGAACTCAGCAAACAGCAAGGACATCATAGCTCCCATGTTTCCCACCCCTATCATTCCAATCTGTGCTGGTCAATAGCACGATTTGTAGAAACTTGGCTTCCTGACGCATTTGGTGGAACAGACGACCTACCTTAGTCACCTCCATCATGGAAAGTTTTTATTGCTTGAGTTAGTTGAAGTATCAGGCTGGCCTCCAAACTATGTTCTGGGAAGTTAGAATACCTGTTGTGGACATTTGCTCAGGTAGAAGCTGCGGTGCGCCTAAAGATCCATGACGGGTGACGCGCTCTTGACATCACAAGCGGGGAGTTGTTTCAAGTGAGCTGTGTGATCCGATGCAAACATCTGTGATCATCTCTTTTTCATGCATTCGAACTTCCGAACAAGATGTCAAAATCCAAAATCCCTACCTGCTACGCCAGCTGCTCAATCGGCACCAAACCAGAGCATGACTTGCCGGCCAAGCTCAAGGCCATCTCCTCCGCCGGATTCGATGCCATTGAGCTTTCCATGCCCGATCTGCTATCATTCGCCAACTCTTACCTGGACAAGGAGGTCTCGAATTACGACTTTCCCGAACTATGCGAGGCAGGCAAAAAGGTGAAAGAGTTGTGCGAAGAGAACAACCTCAAAATCCTTATATTGCAGCCCTTCGCGAACTTCGAGGGATGGTCAGACGACTCGCCGGAGAAGGAGGATGCATGGAAGAGAGCGCAGGGTTGGACGCAGATCATGGAGGCGGTGGGAACTGATATGCTTCAGGTACGTCTATGTGATTGAGAGGGAAATTGGAATTCAAGGTCGCTATTGTCGACGCCAAGATGACCCAGCTAAATAACAATCGTGCCCCCCCCTTAGGTCGGCTCGTCAGATACCCCCAACATCAAATCCTCCCCGACCGAACTCGCGCACGATCTTGCACAGTTGGCAGATCTTCTTGCACCCAAGGGCTTTCGCATAGCATATGAGAACTGGTGCTGGGCAACCCACGCGCCAACATGGAAGTCGGTGTGGGAGATTGTACAGAAGGCCGATAGGCCGAATATCGGGTTGTGTTTGGACACCTTCCAGACTGCTGGCAGCGAGTGGGCAGATCCTACCACCAAATCGGGATTGATAGAAGGAATAAATGAAGAGGCACTGAGAAAGGAATTTTACGGGAGCCTGCAGGAGCTGAGTGGCACAGTTCCCAAGGACAAGATATATTTCCTACAGATCTCAGATGCATACAGGATGGATCCGCCATTGTCACCGGAGCCGGATGAGAGTGGCTTGAGACCACGTGGGAGATGGAGCCACGACCACAGACCCTTGCCATTTGATGGTGGTTACTTGCCAGTTGTCGAGGTTACTAAAGCGGTGCTAGGAACAGGATTCAGGGGATGGTTTTCCACCGAGATCTTTGATGGACGCATGCAGGAGAAGCATGGAGATGATATGGCCGCGTTCGCGAAAAAGGCTATGAAGGCGCATGAAAGACTAATCAAAGAGGCGGGTGGAGAATAGAGAAAACCTCGAATAGAGTGTCCTGTTGAAGGCATTACTCGTTTTGATCACAGCTGCTGTCTTGCCTGCCTTATCTGGCAAGTCCAGTGCCGTCGCCACTTTTTCCTCCTATAGACACCAAGTCCAAGACGGTATCTCTTCGAGCCTCATATCACCTTCCTCTTCCACCGTTGCCAGCTACCTGGACGTCAATTCTGGTAGAATGATGCATCATGTTTGCAACCGCTATCCGTGCCACAACATCGATCCCTGTTTATGGCCGCTAGCAGGCTGAGTTGAGGCATCACTGATCTGCCGTGAATTTTCGCTTTGACTGGCCGGCTCTACAAGGCTACGCTGTTGACGTTCAAGACGCCTCCCTCCGAGACCAAATCTTTGATCACCTTATCTTCCACTTCCTTATCAACCCCAAGAATCATCAATGATTCGTTCGTTCTATCCTTGGCCGGAGTAATTGATCCATCCACTGGTTGAACATCGATTGCATTACTGGAGTATCTCGCTGGCGCCACAGCCATGAAGTTGATGTTGACCCCCTCCCTTCCTAGAATGCTGCCAACGACACCAATCTTGCCTGGAGAGTCGTAGTTGTGGCAAATCAGCAAATTCCCCTCCGGCACGAACGACGTCGCAAATCGATCTATTCGGGAAATGTGCGGCGAGTTGTCGGAGCAGTATCCACTAATGATGTGCTGACTTGCTTCACCCATTGCCTCTGCTGGATTGGTGAAGACACTCCCTGATTTGCCACGGGAGAAGCTTGTTGATCGGGACGGAGGCCGTGCTATCAATGTGATAAGGGAGCTATAGGTCTGTGCGGAGGCATCACGACTCTTTTTTTCGTTGATGAAGATACCTCGCTCCTTGGAGATGAGTTCAGCATTGACAATGTTCACGTTGCCGGCGGCGTGGTCGCTTATTGGAGCTGTCAGTCCCTTCACCAACGCTGCGAAAAGTGGCTTCGTGTTCGACACTGTGGCAATTTCTCCTTGGTATATCAGATCGAACGTATCACGGGGGCTAGATTGCTTGCGACCAGTGTAGTGCTGGGTATAAAGACTGCCCATCTTTTCCACCAACTTCACAAATGGTTGAAGCGTCTTGTACTCGGCAGGTAGGATAAGCGGTGCGTTCACGGCAGAGCGAGGAAGGTCACCCGCAAGAATATGCAGAACTTGCTCACACACATCAATACTAACATTTTCTTGTGCTTCCACCGTGCTGGCGCCCAGATGAGGAGTGGCAATGCAGCGCGGGTGCGCAATCAACAATGCAGCACTGCTATCTGGCTCTTTGTGCGGAGGTTCCGTAGTGAAAACATCAATGCCCGCTCCAGCTATATGACCACTTTCCAAAGCCGCAAGAAGTGCCAATTCATCGAACACCCCACCGCGGGCCACATTTAGAACGCGTGATCCTGGCTTCATCTGATTCAATTCATGACTTGATATCATGCCTTTGGTAGCGGTAATCAGAGGTGTATGGATGGTGAGGAAGTCGACGAGGGGTAAGAGATCCTCAAGGGACGACACAAGGATCACATTGGCCGACTGAGCAACAGCAGGAGAAGCGTAAGGATCAAGAGCTATAACATTCATGCCGAGCCCACGCGCGAGGCGTGCCACAATCAGACCGACTGGCAGAAATCAGCACCAAATGTTCAATGACCTTACATCGTGACAAGTAATAGAAACAGATGGGGAAAGAGGCCTTGCTCACCTTTTCCAAGACCTATGATCCCCAATGTCTTCCCCTTCACCTCAATCCCCACCAGCCTTGAACGTTCCCATTTCTCACCTTTCAGACTAGCACACGCATCTGGCACATTTCTTGCCAGAGCCATCAACAGAGCGATCGTGTGCTCGGCAGCCGCACCAACATTTCCACTCGGGCTATTCACCACTATGACACCCAACTGTGTTGCTGCTTTGACGTCTACGTTGTCGACCCCGACTCCCGCTCTCGCGACAACTTTTAGCTTTTTGGCTGCTTGTAATAGCTGCTCGGTGACTTTCGTTTCTGACCGGATAAGAAGCGCGTCATATTGCCCGATGATGCTAAGAAGGTCAGCTGGCGATAGGCCTTTTCGCTCGTCAACATCAAGCGTAGTTCGAAGCAGGGCAAGGCCATCCGGCGAAAGCTTTTCTGGCACCAGTACTCTTGGACGACCCGCGAGGCCCTTCTCACCAGCACTGTCCATGATATATCCAAGCGACGGTTATGGGGGTGTTAAGCAAAGTATTCTGAAAGTACGACCAGAAAAACAGGATCTGAAGTTATATAAAACTTGACTAGATATTTTGCAAACGTTGAGCAGCGCAGAAAGGGGTGGATGTAGCACCCCAAGAACTGGAGTGAATTGATGCCCAAGGAGAAGGATGAATGAGGGGTAAGTTCTCCAGGTTTCTGGGGAATGCGGGGAGAAATGACTGGGCACACGTGGTCAGGGATACTAGTAGTAGTAGTAGTGTGTAAAAATCTGGACAAGATATCGTAGATCGTAGATCGTAACAGACGGAGAGTCTCGCTTGAGGGTGTTGCAAACGGCTCGACATGTAATGCCTTTGGACATCAGTAATTCATGGCTTCCTCGAATAAACCTCTTAATTGCTCCCGTTCCTCATTCTCTTCCAGACTGAGATTCGGAGCAAGCATCAGCACTCTTTTTTGTGGAAGCGTTCCCTCCACCAACTCATCGATATGTTCCCTGCTGAAACCGAGTGCCTCTAACCCTCGAGGCTGATCTCCCAGGTTGACTAGAAATTCTGCTAGTGCTTCACTCAGGATTTCTCCAGCACTTTCCTTCTTGGCGTTGCTGACGTCCTTCCCGAAAACCTCAGCAGCAGCGAGGTGTCGTTCTGGGTTGCTCGCTCCAGTAAATTTGAAAACTGCTGGTGCTGTAACAGCGACACTGACTCCATGAGGGATGATGGGGGTGTCGATCACGTAACCGTTATGCTTGTAACCTGGATTTTGTCCACTAATTGGATAGCTCATTCCGTGGCATAGATGGACTCCAGCATTTCCAAAGCCGACACCTGCCAAGGTCGCGGCGAGTAGCATCTCTGACTGTGCCTCGAAGTCCTCAGGGTCCTTGACAGCACGGGGTAGAAACTCAACTGTGCTTCGTAGTGCCTTCAAAGAAAAGATATCTGATATTGGGTTTGCTCCTTGATACGCAGGTCGGTTTATTGGATTTTGAGGTCGCGGTGTCCTTTCGTGGTATGGTATGGCGGTCCAAGACTCCAACGAGTGACACAGAACATCGAGTCCTGAAGATGCATGTACTGCTGAAGGCATCGTGCGAGTATTGAGAGGATCGCATATTCCTAAAGTGGGTTTCAAGTTGCGATGGGCAATGCCAGTTTTGGCCTTTTTGGAGACGAGGTCAAATATTGCAGTACCTGTTGTCTCAGATCCTGTTCCGGCAGTTGTGGGAACCGCCACAAGAGGCTTTAATGGCTTTGTGACTGGTAGACCTTTGCCGAGGGGAGCGTTCACAAAGTCAAGGAATCCTGCATCTGGGAATGTTGTGTATAGGTTCATAAGCTTTGCCGTGTCGATCACTGAGCCTCCTCCTACTGCTAGGAAAGCGTCCGGCTGATATGGTTTGGCGAAATCGATGGCCTCTTGTATCGAGGAGTCCTTGGGCTCTACTCGGACTTTGTCGAATACCGTGAAATCGACACCTTCTCTGCTGAGGCCTTCCACAACCTGCTTCATTGCATCTAGCTTCGAAACATTGCTGTCTGTTACTACACAAACTCTGTTTGCTCCCATGTTCTTGAAGTCCATTCCTACCTGGGATTTAGATAATGTTAATCCGTTGGAGGACTGAATCTCGATCAAGTCTGCCCGCTCACCTCTTTCGTACAGCCAGGACCAAACCTGAAGACGGGTTTAGTTGCATGGTTCTCAACAGATAGCTTTAAGGAGAGCATACCTTATGCTTGAAGCTGCCTGTCAAGCCAATAAGCCTTGTTCTCACACAGACTCAGCTGACGTACCATCTCGAAGGCATATTCCTTCTGTCTAGTGTGATCCAGTGGAGTTGCAAAACTCCTTCTGGGCGACTTAAGTAACGATGGACTCTGATAATGATGACTCGGGTTTGAGTGGCACGGACAACTCGGTGGATGTGCTTGGATTGCCCTTAAGAGTGAGCTTGCGCGTTTTGCAGCGCTCGACGCCACACGTATCGAGGGAGTTGACATCTTGAACACAGATTTACTGATTGCAGAGCTCTAAATCATGACATGAGGCGGCTGAATAATGAAATGCGAAGGGAAGGGTTGCTCTCCGGAACGACCGGGGAGTCAATACAAAGACTAAGATCAAAAACAGAACTCTCCTCGACCATAAGCACAACACAAAACGAGACTCAACTTGGGCTATATGACAACTAGATATGGAATGTCACTCCAAAGGCGAGAGCTGAAACATCTCAAAACGCCGAATCAATGCCAGACCACTGCAAATGCACGGCAAGTCCGGAGGGAAGTTGGAGAAGGCCGAGGGAGGATTCTGACTCCGAGAGCCCGGTAACAAAAAGAATAAAACTCTTGGCATCAAGTTGCTAACACTATTCTGAGTAGAAAGGGAGATCCGCGTACCATAATAGATGTCACCAGTCTTTTTCCCCGCATCTCCTCTCAAACGTCATCTCCAATTCACTCATTCAATCAAGTCGTTCTCGTGTCATTATCTTGTCGCATACCAACGTCGAGCCTGAGGTAAGGGCTCATGATCATTCTACATTCTCTGAAGTGCAAAATACTAGCAAGAAGCTCAATCCAACTTTCTCCACCGCTTGTCAGACTTCCACTCTGGCTTCACACCACCCCTCGCCGGTTATATCTTACGCCCCGCACCTGTACAACCATGTCCACCGATCCCTCAAAATGGAAGCTTAACCACACGATGCTGCGGGTGAAAGACCCGCAGCGCTCCCTCGATTTCTACAAATTCCTCGGTCTCACCCAGATCAACAAGATTCCACAACCCGAAGCGAAATTCGACCTCTACTTCCTTGCCTACAATGGCCCCTCTTCAAGATCACCCAACCACCACTGGACAGATCGAGAAGGCGTCCTCGAGCTGACGCACAACTACGGCACAGAGGACGATCCGGAATTCAAGGTTGCGAATGGGAATGAGGAGCCGGGCAAAGGGTTCGGACATATCGCCATCAGTGTGGATAACATCCAAGCTGCTTGTCAGAGGTTAGAGGATGCCGGCTACCCGTTTCAGAAGAAGTTGTCCGAGGGGAAGATGAGGAGTATTGCATTTGCGAAGGATCCGGATGGCTACTGGGTTGAGATCATTTCGCAAAAGCCATTGGAGGAGACGGAGGGGGTCAAGGAAACGGACACTCAATCATACAGATTCAACCACAGTATGATTAGGGTCAAGGATGCAGAAGTCAGCCTGAATTTCTACCAAGAAGTGATGGGAATGACCTTGATGCGGACCTCGGAGAAGAAAAACTCGAACTTCAACTTGTATTTCCTTGGTTATGGCCCAAAGCCGAAAGAAGAGGACAGCGCCAATGGCGTCAACCCCGTTGCCGGACACGAAGGCCTCCTAGAGTTGACGTGGAATTATGGCACCGAGAAGCAAGAAGGGAAGGTATATCATGATGGGAATTCCGAGCCGCAAGGATTCGGCCACATTTGCGTAGCGGTAGATGACTTGAATGCGGCCTGTCAGTATCTGGAGGACAAGAAGGTTAGCTGGAAGAAGAGGCTGACTGATGGGCGGATGAAGACGGTTGCCTTCGTGCTTGATCCGGATGGATATTGGATTGAGGTCATACAGAATGAGAAGATGAAAAGGTCAGCGAATTGGTAGCCGTAGAAAAATCTATGTTAGTATTTATCTATGGTATGCCCCGACCTTGACCCATTGCTGTGGAAGGGTGTCATAGCGCGGTCCTGCTCATTCCTCGTAGAACTTCAATGAATAAAGCACCCTTTCGTGATGTATGTAGTGATGGAATGCTTCTCATTTCACCCCATTGACCTCAAGTCTACCCATAGCCTCCTCTGCACTGCTCCCAACTTCGACGGTCTCCTTTCCAGGTCCATCTACAGACCCATCTGGATTGGCTTTGACTGCTCCTGGATAGCGCGAGCCCTTGTCCTTGGGTGTTTTCTTCTTTTTGGCTGGCTCAGCAGGGGGGTATGCTTGCTTCTCCACCTCCTGCCATTCAGGGGATGCTCGAAATTCTGCTTGAATAGGCGTCAAAATGTCCACCAGGCCTTTGGTGACGGCGCCCTTCAGCAGCTGAGGTGTTAATCTGTCAGCCTTGTAGTCTTCTTTCAGGGTGTCAATGTCCGAGTAGACGATTGGCTCTTTCCCGCCTTCTCTCTGCTCGACTTCGAACCTCATCGAACCGTCGCTGCTCTGAAGGGAGGAGACTGGTAGCAGAACGTATTCGACGAAGCTTATCATGCCGTTCCCTTCCAGCGTTTGCGCCGCCGCGTAGGCTTTCCTGATTTTCTTCCTGACCAAGTCGGCCGTGTCTAATATGTCTATTTTAGAATCTGGATCTGATGATGACATCTTGCCTCCTGCGAGACCTGGCACCATGGGGTTCATCAAGTGTGCTCGCTCTTTGTAGCCAATTTTCGGGAGCACCTCGGTCGCTAAGGTAAATATTTTCCTTTGATCAACACCGCCGAACTGCGCATCCACTCCCAGGAACTGCTCATCGAGCGACTGCATCAAGGGATAGATCAGTCCTGATAGTGTAGCGTTCTCGACCTGTTTGACCACTTCTGCTCCAGCCTTTTTGGCGTCGTGTTCTGTGACGACGGAACTTAGCCTGAACAGATCCATGGTGTACTCTGCTGTCAACTGGTAGCTGCTTCCCAGCACAAATTCCAGCTTGTCAAGGCTCACACCAACAGCCTTGAGCAGCGCCTTGATGGCATATTTGTAGTACTCGGCGCGGAACTTGACCAGCTCAATAGGTGCTTTGAGGTTGTCTAGGAAGCCATGGATATCTGCCAGAAGGATCTTGACTCGACATCCAGCGCGGAGGAATTGCGCGATCTTGATCATAGGCACAAAGTAGCCGCAGTGCGGCTTACCTGTCGTCGCTGTGCCTGGACACCTGTGTTAGTATGTAGAGTAAATCGCAAACCCCTACAGCAAGCCTCACCCCAGTAGATGACCAGTGGCCGGTTCTCTTTAACAATAGCATCTTCAATGATGTCCGGTCTCAAAACCTCTTGTAGGTTCTCATTGATCAAGGCAATCTTTTGTTGTGGATCTAAATCGGCCATATTGTGAGTAGCTGTGGGTGATGTGAAATCGGCTTGTGAAGGAAGGGACGCTGAAGTTCCTGTTCCGCTCAGAGGAGCAGATATCCAGGCAGTGTTCAGCACATCTTCTGGGCCCGCATGCTGACTGTCCACACTGATGGAGCAATGCCAGCCGCCGAGTTACGTGAGTCAGCTTTGTTTCTGTGCAAGGAGTTCGAGCTGACGGCTGACTCAAAATCTAAAAATAATCTCGAGCTCCGTCAGATACTGTAGGGATCTGGGCCTGGGCGAAGACAATTCACCTTCTTCTATCCAAGAAATACAGCAACCAAGATCGGCAAGGCACAGTGCGTTCATCATGCCTCTAATTGAGGAACTTCCAGTTACTACCACTCAGCGAACCACTCAAGGCTGGGCCTACGTTCCAGACATCAAGCAGCCAGTCCAACCACTCGAAGCTCGAAAACGAGGCAGAAACCAGGGCGCAAGCAAAGGAGAGATCAGCGCAAAGCAGCAGAAAGCAATACAGACCAAGCTCAACGAGCTAGACAAGGAGAACTACAAAGATACAACCATCGCGATCCCGGCCAAGTCCAAAGAACGAGCCGGCAAGAAAATCACACCAAATGTCCGACGCATATTGATGTATCAGCGAACGTTCGCACACTACCTAGCCGATGAGGAAGCACAGCTTGGGAATGCAAACACTGTCCCGGCCCTCCCTCAGACTCCGCTACTCGCCCGCTCAGCATCTTCTCGTGCCTCCAAGTCGAAGCCGACGCCCATGCCACCACCACCACCACGACCCGGTTCTGCACGAAGACCATCTGTCGCAACACCAACACAAGCACCAACCATGAACCGCGAACGATCATCCTCAAGATCAGTCACCAGCATTCCTTCCACACCCCAGCCAACAATTTCCGGCCGCTCCATCACTCCCCAAGTTGAACCTCTACCACAACTCCCACCCGCACCACCAACCACCCCGCAGAACTCAAACACCCCTTCCAAAGACCCAGCCCCAGATCCAGACCCAGATTCCAAAAACCCGCTCCTCCGTTCCCACCCGCACCTCAACCTCAAACCGCCCTCCCAGCACCTCCTGCAGACCCTCCTCTCCGAACCGCCCCTCTCCTACTCCGCCTCGCGCGCCCAACCCCTCGAAGACTTCAGCCCAAACAACAACAACAACAACACCAACACTACCGGACGCAGCATGCGCCTCACATCCAAACCGCCCCGCCACTTCTGCAGTATATGCGGCTACTGGGGAAAGGTCAAGTGCAACAGGTGTGGAGAGAGGACATGTGGGCTGTTAGAATGTTGGAGGGGTCATGAGGGAGTTTGCGCCGTGCCTGCTTACTAACTTAGTTGAAGCAGCTCAGTTCAGGTCATGGCTGAGGTGTCGGTAGGTGGAAAGAATGGTTGTGCCGGAATCGGAACATGGGATGTTTGGTTATCAGTAACGTTATGGTGGTACTGGAGAGGGAGGATTGTTCTCAATAACCTGGGATCCTGAAATTGAGGGCAGCATAGAGGGGGAGGGAGATGCTGGCAGGCCTATCCTTCAGGGATGAAAGACAGCACTTGTATTTGCAGCGTTTTGAGCAAAGGAGTTATAGATACCCTTTTGATATTTCAACCTCTCTACACAATGCATGTTTGAAGGACTGGATATGTGCATATAACTGGGCTGAATATCACCCTTTGGGCGCGACTGCTTAGCGTACAGGCAATCTAGCAGTATCGGCATGTCATAGTGAATCTAGCGAGTCCTGTGTGCAAGTCTTCCAAAAAGGGGAAAATCTTGAGGGGGAAAGGTGGCAGGGGGGTTGATTCTTACTCTCCCGTTCGCTTGCCCACATCAAAAAGTGACGATCACGAGTTAGAAGTCTTATTTCAATGCATATTTTATTGCGCCTCGCTTACCTACACTTCATGAAGGTACTGAGACTGATCTTGCTCCCCACGGACAGAATCAACGCCAGCTCGACCGGCTTCCGAGATGGCCTTTCCCTTTCCCTTCCCATCACCATTCTAGGCTACTGAAATCATTTCGTGTTCTGGCCCGTGGCTGTAAATGAGTGTTTGCGAGCTGGGTAAAGATGTACACGCTAGGTGTTGCAAAGGTGCAAACGGCAGAGCCAGTGCGTCTGGTGTAGAAGAGAGACTAAAAAGCGAAGGCGGGAACAAATTACCACCACCATCAATCAACTCTCTAATTCCAGCTTCAGATTCCCTCATGATAAGTGGAAGGCCCCTTGTCCCTCTTGTATAGCAACGTTCAGACGGTTGCGCAAGACATTGAGATCGGTGTAGTCTGGAAGCTTGAGATAGTTGACACAGGTCATGACGCTAGGAAGATAGTCGTCTGATGAATATGGAGGCTCACTTGGCTTGCAGACCACGGTGAACATTGGCGTAAGGCTTTTGAACCCTATAAGATTGGGTCAGTCATGTCCAAGAGGATGTTCAATGTGTTACTTACCACCAATGGGGAGCTTGGGGCTGCCGGTAACAAATTGGAGGAAATCGCGTCGTTGTGTTGGAGTCAGCTCGCTCATGGTTTGAAGAAGATTCTTGACGCTCTTGCTATCCATGTTGAAGCCGTGATCAGCCTTGATAGAATCCATCAATGTCTCCAGAGACCAGTCCTCCTCAACTCGACCAAAGAGCATGATCAGCTCGTCCGGGGTAAAGGCACGCAACGATGAGTAGGAAAAGACTTGCGAAAAGCCAGATTTGAAGGCCTCGATCTGTTTCGCCACACCAGCTCCGACGGTCATGTCAAGGACTCTTTCAATATACAAGTCGACATTGTCAATTGTGACAGGAGTACTGGAACCATTGGGAATGAGCTCTATAGATGGATATCCAGGAAGTGTAAAGTCCAACATAAGGTCGTCAACACGAGCTCCTTGAACACAGACATCTTGCAGAGCGTGAGCCTTCTGTGCTGCGGACATGTGAAGATCCTCCTCAACTTGTCCTTTGGCTATGACGAATTTTTTAACCTGAACGAGGGAATTAGCTAAATCGTGGTCCACAGTCTTGACAAGAGCAATAGATGGAGCTTTGATATGTCCATTTGCAAGACGGAAGAAGGTCGGATTGAACGAAACGTCGATGATACGGGAGTCCAGCATCGACCGAGCAACAAAATTACCCAGCATCTTGAACAGATTAAGCAACTTCTTCCCAGCCTCTGATTCGGATTGTTTTTGGCTCATGGGAACAGGGAATAAACCCAATTGCCCAAATGCATACTCGTCGTGGCTGTTTGACTCGTTCTCGCGCCACATTTTCAGTTTCTTTTTCGAAAACTCCTTGGATACAGTCGAATAAAACTCGAGGGTCGGTCCTAGTCCCGTGCCAACCTCCTCAAAATACTCCACTTCAAGCACACTTGGGGAGCCACCGTACATTTCCATGACTTTGAGAGCTGATTCAAGAATGCGAGTGCGAGAAATGCGGACTTTCTGTCGTTGAAGTCGACCCATCAAGGGACGCTCATCTCGGCGACGGTCACGGCGGTCATCGTTGTCAGATTGTGCACTCTGCCATCTCAACATTGAGCGCGAGTAGCCGAAAGAGGTGGACTGTAGGAACAGATGTCTGGTCTCGAAGGGGAATAAGAAAGGGAAAAGCCTAGCAAGGTCTTCGCTCCAGTTCGGTAAACAATTGCTTGCAACAATCAGAGGCTCCTCAAGCTGTCTGTTCATCTTGGCGGTGAGCTTAGTGTTAATAAATTGGGCAAGTGGCTCTGATATCAGCTTCTGCGTGTGCCTCTCATCTAGAACAGCGTCGATATTCGAATTCATCTCGTGTAGGATACCCAGAAGAGCAAGGATAGATGAGGTGGTAGGATGATCATCAAGAGATGCTGGCATCTTGCCAACTTCTTCATCCTCAGGGGCATCCATCACCGACTTGATCTTTGTTGGCTCGGTGGAAGGGCCTTTGACGCGCTTGAACTTAATGGTATGGATGCCAGACCAAACCGTTCGCGCAACCGCATCTTGTGGCTGCTGCCGATTGTGGTATACAGCACGATAGATTGTGGTGTCTTTGGGGAGCGGTTTGTCATCCATGCTGAACTCGATATGCCAATCTTGAGGAACAGCTGCTAATGCTGCAGCATAGGAGAATTGACGTGCAGAAAGAGCAAGAGATCCCCCACGAGTAGAATGGATACTGGCCGCATGGCTTGTAGGATTCGGTCGTGTACCAGCAGATACTGGGGTTCCTGGCTGCAATGGTGTCGCTACGCGGGTACCATCTTCTTTGCGTGCGGTCACCTTTCCAGTTGAAGCAATTTCCATGTTGACAGCACTTGGATCAGGTGCGTCATCATCTGATGGGCTATCATCCAAATCATCAACGATAGCCTCGAGAGCTCCTGCGACATCTACGTCTGCTTCACCATCCGAAATCTGCTTCTCATCTGCACATTCCAAAGGATGAGGCACATTCTCGGACCCAGGCTCTGGCCCCGTCGAGGCTTGGTGGCTATCATTTGTTGATAAGCCTGGTTGATGACGGCGGCTGGAACGTCTTGGTGCGGGTTTGCTCTCCTTTGCTGCAGAACTCGATTCAGCTTTGGATGCAGAGGAGGGCATCGATCGAGAAGTAAGACGTGGAGTTTTTGCCTTTGCACCTGCAGGCGGCGCCGAAGGTATTGAAGCAGCAAGATCACCCGTGGATCCAAACAAACCTGCCTCCGCAGCTCCCGATAGCTCACGCATACGAGCGTTAGCAAGTGTCGCTAGCATATCCCGTCGACGTTGTCCGGTATGAGGCCTCTCCGACAAACTTATCCTAGGACGAAGGTAATCATCGAGGGCTTTGAAGGTTGCAATGGCATGGATTGAGACTGTAATATCGCGGTAGCTTGGTGGGATGTCGCTGTCAGCATCCGCAGTCAACTTTAGCCGAAGCTGCTTCGATAGCATGGAGGTCGAGCTGCCTCGGCTGTTTTCAGAGGCGCTGTTACTGACAGTGAGAACTTCGAAATGCTCGGCTCGGCTCAAAAGATCTTGCAATTTTTGGATCAATAAACTGAAAGGTGTGATATCACCCTTGCCGATGCTTGAGTTCACCTTGTTGGTAACCGTGGTTCCCATAAACGCTTCAAGAAAATCACCTCTAGCATTGCCATTCGTAGATGTGTGTTTGAAAACGTCCAACAGGGCTCGGATGATTTCTGAGCTCAATAGTTCTGAGCTTGTAATGCTCTCCAAAGCATCACCGTGAAAGAACTTCGCAAGTTGCGAGAAAAGTTGACGGCCATCCCCGTTGCCATCACCGAGGTAGCAGATCTGAAGATCTTTCGCGAGCGTCTGAAGTTCTGTAAGGATTCGATTGGCCTTATCCCGTAACTCGTGTCCCTTCGATGTTTCGTATTGCTCCAAGAATTTCTTTGCACGAAGAATGATGAGATCCTTCACCCCTGAAGCAGCAAAGTCTGACAAGGACTCTTGATCCGAAGAGTCAGAAGAGTGTGAGTCGCTCATGCCTTCTCCGTCTTCACGGATGAGAATGTCACCATCACCATCCTCATCCTCATCATCATCAAGATGGTCTGGTTCCTGATCCTGTTCGTCGTCATCATCGTTCATGCCACGATGTTCAAAGTCATCGTCTAGTTCCATAGAATGTGGGTCTCCATTCTCCGCATCCGATAGGTTGTTTTGCATTCTTTTCGCCTTCAGTGACTCTGCAGAGCGGGAATGTTTAGGGAAGACAGGCTCTTTCTTAGCCGTCATAGTTCTTTCAGCAAGCTTCTTGATCTCACCGATAACACCTTCACGATAAAACTGGTATTGATAGATGTCCTCCAATCTCTCAAGCAGTAACTCTGACGCTTGAAGTGCCAGCAGAACCAGGCTAGGGTGGTCTTCTTGGGATAAGATAGAAGCAAGAAAAGAAGCATACGGAACAGGGCGAAGAGCTTCCTGAATCACCTCAGTGTCAAGATTCGATAACATCTTGAGCTGTGCACTCAGCACCTTCTGTCGGACATTCAGATTGACAGTGCTCGAATAGGCATCAGTAAGTGTAGGTAGGAGCACCATTGCAAACCGTCGTGTATCTGCCTTGCAATCTTCTAGGAGTTTGACACGCTTGTCAATGGCCGAGTCCTTGGACCTCGTTCTTGGACCTTCATCGTTTATATCGCTGACAAAGTCGTTGTAATCACCAAAAGAGAGAAGTGGTCTACCCTTGGGCCTCGGTAGAAGCTCACAGATGACGTTAAGAGTCTCATACACCTGTTCTCTTGGACGATGAATCAGAGCCTGCATGATGACAACGCTATCAATCTTGGAGGCGGCGTTGGCGGTGTCCTCCGGAGGAGAGACGCCCGTCAGGATCTGGTACAAGGTATCGACAACATTCATTTTCAACAGCTCCATTGATAGCCGGGGACTCGCACGTGCAATGATTGCCAGAACACGCAAGAATTCGGTATGGATGTTAACACCAATGAGGTTTGTGGTGCCGGGGAGAAGTAAGCCAAGCACAAGTTTCAGCAAGGGGGCATCAACGAGTTCTTCAAGCTTTTCATGGTTGTGCTTGAAGCTATCAATGATACGAGTGACGCAAAGGCAACCCTGCTCAACAACCTTTTGGTCTGGACTGACGAGCACGTTCTGTAAGATAGGCATAACATCTCTAATGACGGGGAAGGAATCGTGAGGGATGTTTCGGCAGCAGTTGGCTGCTGTAGTAACTGCAGTCCGTTGGGTGCCCGTAGCAAAGAAGTCCAGGAATTGAAGACAAGCTGTCAGACCACCTTCGCGAACGATGGACCCAGGGAAATCGACCGAGATTTTAGAAAGTGTCTATGGTCACGAGTTAGTGGGATTGAAGTGGTAAGTCAAAAGGCGAAGATACTCACACTTAGCGCCTGCTCAGCTACATCAATGTAGTGGATTTCGAGCAATTTTTGACAGAGAACCGGTACAGCTCCACCGTAGACAACATTTGCGACAGAGCCACGCAAAGCCTCCATCAAATTGGCGATGCAACGGCAGGCCAGAAGCATTGTTTCTGGGTTCTCTTCCCCAGTGATCTCGTTTGGCTGCATCAATAAAATGAGCTCCTTGACGTATGGATCAGGAGAGAATTGCCCTGAAAGGTTGTCTTCATTCGATACCAGCAGTAGATTAGACAATTCTTCAAGTGCAACAAGCTGAATTGTTGGATCGTCTTTTTGTCTCAGGTTGTTGAGCAGATCTCTTAGCCTAGACGACATTCCCGACATCATCCCACTCAAAGCACGTAGGGTGCTCGACATTCCCAAGGGTGGTCCTCGACCATTACCGAATAGGCCAGCCGCAGCTGCTCCAAACGGGTCAGACATTTCATCATCTAAATCCCTGGGGCTTTCCGCATCGTTACTATCGCTCTGGTTTGGACGTGTGGGCGATTCTCGTTCTTTTTTGATAGCCTTGGGTGTTTCTTCATCGACATCTTTTGGGGTAGGGTCAGGTTCCTTCTTCGTGGATCGCTTCTTTGTTCTTCGAGCAGGCGTCTGTGTTGACGGGGAAGCTTCTGCTGCCAGGTTAGTAGGACGCCCTCAGCAGAATCAATATCTCGTCAACCAACCTTGAAGTGGCTTTTTGTTCCTGCCGCCTTTTCGCTTAGATGACGATGCTCCTAATCCTGCAGCATTGTTTGTATTAGGGTCATCGGCATGCTTTGATGATGAAGGTGTGTTGGACATCTCCGGCTCAGCAATAGCTCCTCGTCTCCGAGTACTCCTGGCCTGTGGGGCAGTTATCGAAGGGTTATCGTTCACTTTCGGGCGTTTCGGCTTTCGAGTAGAAGAATGAGGAGTGGCTTCAGGACCAGTGTTCTCCTGCAGTGGACTAGAGGTTTGAGGTTCAGGTGCTTTCCGTTTGCGGGTAGAAGTTGAGGCTCGTGTCGACAAAGGTGGAGAAGGTTCGGAAGGCGGTTCCGCAGCAAGCCTCGCTGACGAGCGAGTAACTCTGGAGGACATGAGTACTCATTCAGAAAGGCGGGTGGAAGTAGGAAAAGTTTGTTAGAAGCGAAAACGTTGGTGTGTAGCAAGATGTGGTTGGCTCAGGGCAAGGTTGATGGAGAAGTATTTAAAAAGATGATTGGCGCGGCCAAGCTCAAGCACGTGTCTGATGAAGAAAAGCAAAGGTTACCTCGTGAGTGAATGACTAGGCACAGTGCCTGAATTGTCAAAGTTATGGTTGCGGTCTGGCGAAGAGATATGTGCCATCGATCAACCCGCCATCAGCGGTTCCACACGGCTGGCAGTTGCTTGTCCTCGTAGACAGGAAGGTAAAACTTTCAGGCAGCAAATACGCTTACAGGAGAAGGCGCAGCACAAGCAGGACGTGGCACGACCCACAAAATTCAGGAGTGAAGAAAGAGTGTTTTGATAGAAATCGGTGAGTTGTACATGCTGTCTCAAGGATTCATCGTCCGCATCACACACTTACATACATACGCCATTTCTCGGCAATGTCATTACAAAATGAAAGTATTGGCAGCAAAGTTGCTTATTCAACGTTGGCAGAGAACAACAATTTCTGCTCCAAGCAACCCTTTACGAGGCTTTGAGTACTATGACTATAACCTAAACTGTTACTGCTCCGTGGAAGACTGCCTCGGCCTATCATTTTTATAATCGAGTATCGTTGATAACGATGTTGCTAATGAAGTGTATGTCTTTTCGGACCATGTATGTATCCTGAAGCCACTGCAACACAGCTGTCTTAATGAATTGGAAGAAAGCTTACGCTCGCCTCTTTGAGGCCCAACAAATCTATAGCAAAGATATCATCCTCCCATCGTGGGCTGCAACGTTCCTGAATGGTGAATGCTAAGAGCTGTTTTTGCCCATCTGAAGGATATTAAAGGTTTCCAATTTGACATCTATTTCACCAATCTGGGAAGTGCTTTGGTATTATGGTTGCCATTTTCTCTATTCAGAACCTGCCCTTACAATATAAGATTGTGTTCTGGGACAGATGATTGTTGCTGTCTAGCACTCCGGTGGCCCGCCTTCCACCTTTCACCATTCTATCAAGTCGTTTTGCCAACCTCTCTTGACTTCAGTTCTGATATTCATGACGAGTGGGTCACTCATCTACTTTCGGGTAACATCGCAAGTTGCTCACCACTGCCTTTGTTGTGATTACCGGACGATCGGCCACACTTCAATTATACCAAACAACTCTACATTATGCTATAGCAGTCTGACAAGCAGGAGGCTGGATGTCCTTAGTAGTACACATGGAGAGTGGCTTTCTCGCTTCAGACTTTGAAGATATAAGGATCCAAATTAGTGTCTGAGACTTCCATCATCCACAAGTGTTTCAAGCAAGTAAAAGGTGCTCTTGTAACCTGGAAAGGACAAATACTGATCACGTTCATCTGGTCGTATCGAAGATTGTCTTTCCAACAAGGAGAAGAGAGTTCATCAATCGACTACAAGATCGCAGGGACGTTGAAAGGTGCTCATGGATTGTAGAGCCCTGGAGGGACAGCCTTTTCGCTGTGCACGCGGAGGGCCGTTCGCGGAGGACTATAACAGGTATTTAGACCATCGTAAGAGTAAGGGTTCTGCTAGAAGGGTGAGGTCCCTTAAGCATCTAACCCGTCCGGATTGCATATTGCCTGTAGGGGAACTGTAAGGTTTAATACCTGATGGAAGCTTTAGCGTTTGTCATATGTGAAATGGGAATATCAGAGGATGTTAGCCTAGAGGCGTAACATTTCCACAATACCTTTTACCAATGCCCAGACCCTTATGATGCAGGCATGAGACTGATGTGCCTAATGACGACTATTAAGACTTTCAGCAGCTGATAAAGAATTCATGTATGATTTGCATACATAACAATCTTGCATCTCGAAGATGTTCCTTTTAGTCCTCGGAAATAAGATTATTAACCGGCGAAAATTATCCACCGTTGTTGCTGTCTTTTTCCGGTACAACCCATCCACTTGCTATCTCCTCCGGGCCGATAAACTTTCCAGCACTCTTTGTTCGCAATCATCCATCCCACAATAATCCATTCTCACTTCTCATCATGATATGGTAAAGAGATTCCAGAGCGCATCGTCTGCTCTCACTTTTTGGCGCTCCAACCAACCAGTTTTTTTGGACAGATCTTGGATACTGTCTACCTACAACACCTGTCTAGCCGCTATCGTTCTGTCAATCAGTCCCAGACACTTCTGCAAACAACAAGGCGCAATTCAGACGTTTGCTCGGTCACGAGCCTTAAAGTCAAATACAGGATATCATTCGTCGAGGAACTCTCCACTCATATTCAGAAGGCTTGCAACAGCCTGTGGCAACATGGACGCTTACAACTTTCCTGACTACCGCTTGAAAAAGAAAATGGACGACCCCTCCAAGACGCCTCTCCTTTTAGTTGCCTGCGGGTCCTTCTCACCTATAACTTTTCTGCACCTGAGAATGTTTGTCATGGCCGCCGACTACGTCAAATTTAGTACGGATTTTGAAATAGTCGGTGGTTATCTTTCCCCAGTGTCGGACGCCTACAAAAAAGCAGGATTGGCAAGTGCGGAACATCGGTGAGAATTGTATGGATTTCATGGCTCGCAATCTCTGACATCCCTAGTGTTGCTATGTGCCAATTGGCCATCGACCGTACGTCTAATTGGCTAATGGTTGATTCTTGGGAAGCGGAGCAAAAAGAATATCAACCTACCGCTGTCGTTCTTGATCACTTCGAACACGAGATCAACATTATAAGGAAGGGCATTGAAGCCGCAAATGGCGAACGCAAACATGTCCGTATTGCCCTTCTCGCCGGTGCCGACCTCATCCAGACAATGTCAACACCAGGGGTATGGAGCGAGAAGGATCTCGATCACATTCTCGGCAGATACGGGACTTTTATAGTGGAGCGGTCGGGCACGGATATTGACGATGCGCTCGCCAGTCTACAACCTTGGAAGGAGAACATATATGTTATCCAGCAACTGATACAAAATGACGTCAGCAGCACCAAGATTCGACTATTCCTGCGGCGTGGAATGAGCGTGCACTACTTGATACCAGCGCCAGTGGTTGAGTACATTGAGCAGAACCATCTTTTCACGGAAGATGGCCCTGCCTCCAGCACTCATTCAGTCAACCAAGAAAAAGGCATGGGCAAGGAAAGTGTGGGCTGAAATGTACGACGGACGATTATAATGCGGGTTAAGCATGTTTTCCTTCTTCGACTCTTGAACAGATGGAGGTCTCGAGACCGAGGAGGCAGTTCGGTCTTTCAAGACAACCTCCGGATTCAACCAGTGCGCTTCGTTGCCCACCTCAGTACCCTCTCTAAGGGACAAGAGACCATCAGATCCTGTCGAGAGAGAAAAGACCAAAGATCTGCATGAGGAGCATCGCATAAGTCAAGAAACAACCTTTCCCATTGAGCAACTATTCAGTTCATCAGCTGTGGATAGAATTGCAGACGCTTCCCACCAATGAATCAGCCCAAGTGAAGCATGATGCCACAGACAAATGGAGAACCCGAACATGCAAATCAAATGAGAAACGATTTTACATTTTAGACAGACAACCTGAGGCCTGGCGTCCCGATTAATGAGATGTTATATGACAGTGAGCCATAGAGCCTGATCCGTCGTTCTTATTGTGGATAAGGTTTGTTGTCTTTGTCATAGTACCAAAGCAGAGAAGGTACGAAGTAACACACACTAAAAAATACAATTCAGAGCCTTGGTCTCTACGAGGTACACATCATAACCATTCATTGTTCTTAAATGTGCTGCCCGTGAGAATGAGCAAAAATGATCCTGCTGATGTGGTACGCAGTCTCCCCCAAATCCTACAAACCTAAAGCATAACTAACTAGCAGTTAACGAATAACGAAGGCTGGGGCGATCTAGGCTACCGTTAGCGGCGTCTAGTCCAAGCCTGTTTGTTCCTCCAAGGGCTCGAGCCGAAGTGGGAACCGATCGTCAAGTCAGGCTGGGCAAATGCACGAGATTGCACCATTATACTTGCATCCATTCTGCATCCGCTTCCCGCATCCCGACCTCCATTTCATAGACTCTATTCTAACCAACGACTGCTTTGCTGTCTTGATTACACTTTACTTTACACCCTCCCCTTAGATAGCTACTTCTATTCTTCTACCTTGTGCTTCTCCCTCTTGTTTGCCACTAATAACGTGCTCTATTATCATCATTCTTTGTGAATTGCGGGAACTGACCTGGTCGGCGTTTGGCGGTTACTCTGTTTCGGAACAGCATCCAGCTGCGGCCACGGAAGATCCAGCTTGAAACAAATCGGCACAGACCGACTGGTGCTTAGTGGAACCTACTGCGCCGGAGCTACTGTGCACAACCAAGAAGATATACGCCCATCAGGTCGGGGTCGAGGCTCACTTCACCATTCTACACTCTGAGTCACCCGGCCGCTTCAGACCTTCCAAACACTCGTACGGATTCTACTTGGATATCATACTGCCCCCGGACACAAGATTATGTTGATCAAAGGCGAGAAATATGCGTGCGATGCCTGCGTTAGAGGTCATCGCGTCAGCTCTTGCACTCATACAGGTATATATATCCCATCATTCCATGAACTGAGCCCTTCACTAACTGGCCCTGCACAGATCGCCCTCTAATACATATCAACAAGAAGGGACGGCCTGTCTCCCAATGTCCTCATTGCCGTGGACTTCGCAAGGCTCGGGCTCAGCATGTGAAATGTGATTGCGCTGAGAAGCCCCATACAAAGGAGGAATGTCCTCATGACAAGACTGAGGTCAAGAAAGGTATTACTTCCGCACGATTGATGGAAGTGATGCTGATAGACTATAGGCGAGCAGAAAGGCTGCTGCTGTGCTCATGGTGCCAGATGCACATGCTCTCTGAAAAAGGAGCATTCCCTCGATCCAGTCCCTGAAGACCTGCCTCCGGCCATCGATGAGCCGCGAGTTAGCAAAGAACGCAGCAGGCCTCCAAAAATAAGTACCGTCTCTTCAATGGAAAGCAAGATGACGGTCTTCATAAACGGTCACCACAAGCCGGTTCACAAGGTCAACGATATTCACAATCGTGTAGGGGCGCCATACAAAATTCCTGCACGCTCCCACACCATTCCTGGAAACCGAGTCGATTTTACTCAGCGTTCAACAGATAGTCTTCCCCTGACCAAGGATTTGCTGAACTTCCACACTAATCCCCACTTTCATGCTTCTGTCACCAGCGCACCACAACCGGTCCGACGCCAGGTGAAGTCGGAACACGGCTCCCCAACGATCAACGCTTTACCGATACACTTGGATAACCATGTTCCACCAATCAGCATTCCACCTTATGATCCGAATGCATACTCGTACTCGCCTTTCGGTAGTGGCAGTCCAACCATATCTTCGGCAGGTAGCGATCCGTGGGCCGGCAAATTCCCAGACCAATTTCCCGACAACTATTTCGTAACATACGAAAGAGCAACTGAAATGGAGAATCCCGTCACTTCTGCTGGACTCGGGTCAGATTCAGCGGAAGTCAACTGGGCCACTTATAATCTGCCTAACAGATTTAGCAGTGCTGCCGAATACAGGCTCTCAAATGGTGGTGCTGTACCCAGTCAGCCACCTTCTTACGCAAGTTTTGATGGCTTCAGTCATCTCTCGCATCCCGGATTGACCTCATCGAGTGGGGACGTCTCAGACGTTGAGGACTACGTGCCTGTTTCAGAGTCTACAATTCTTCAAAACAGCAGTCAGGATGTTCTTAACGACTTTGCCAGTGTTGGCGGGGATGAGCTGAATGAGCCAGAAACATTTCGATTGAGTTCTGCCTCGTCCTACATTGGAATGCCCCAAGCTAGGATGCTGGCCTCTGACAATCTTGATTCTCTCGATATTGACGAATATCTGAAGAGTGCTGAGGCACATACTCGGGAGATAGCGTTGCGGAATCAAAGAATGCAGCAACAGACGCAACAGCAATTGGACCAGGCACAAGTCGCATCAAACATCCCTCATATATTTACGCCACCCCCAGATGCTGGCCAGCATTCTTTCTCGGTGCAAGAGGCACAAGAGCGCGCCCATACTCGCACTCAGGACGGAATATCTGGGCTTGATAACTCACCTCTGACGACCACCTCACTTCGAAACGATCCAATCTTGTCTTCTGATCTGACTGGAGTCAATGGTATGATGGATGCAGATGAAAGGGATGAGGGATGGGTACGATGACATTAAAGCTCTGAAGCATTGTTCTACTCGTCATGCTTGGACTTTAGTTGAAGACTAGTGACTTTGGCCTGCAACGATTTATGATTGACGATCCTACACACGACTCGGCTGGTATCGCTTCTAGCCTTCTTTGAACATTTCTCTTACAGGCGGTTCTAAGTAACATCTGTGGAAAGACTGCACTGGCAGTGCGGTACCATCTTTGGGTTCTGTGTTGTATATCCTCCTTGCGGATAGAGTTGTGTAAATGAAGGAAGTTTTTGATGGAAACTTGAACAGTCTCTTCTGGCACTAAATTCAGATGTAGTCAGGTACAGGGTCCAGCAGCATTTCCTAGGAGGTGTATTGTATTCATTTCAGTACCGCCTTCCATCGAGCATCGTGAGCAGAGATGGTGAGATGTAGCACTGTTCACTATCACAGCAAGTTTGTTTCAAGTTTTCTGTCACGGACTTGAAGCCTGGGGAAGGCGTTGCCAAGGCCGCGGAATACAGTTCCACTGGCAGTGGAGACTCCGCCTTGCAGCTCCTCAACCCCCGATCACGAAGCTGTCTTCAAGCTCCACCCGAGCTCCCATATCCCATAAAGCTCATCATTATCGCAGCGGATATATTGCCATTTCCATCTGCCACCATGGCATCCCGACTCCTGCGCCCTACTCTCCGTCTCAACCCGTCACGCGCCACCAGCTCTTCTCCCCGCATCCTCTCACGCCCCCTCCAGACATCAAGCGCGCGATTCCAAGAAGTGGTGCAGCCGACCGTCCAGGTGCGGAAACCGGTGGGCGCATTTCGCGGAGGGTATGCACTCATTTCCCCTCGAATCTTCAGATCCGTCATAGGCGACCGATTGAAGCAACGCCACTGGGGGGGTCTTTGTACCCGCTTTGCCTGAGCATTGTCCTGACAACTGCTCGATTCTAGACTCTTCGGCTTTCTGTTCGGTTCGACAGTGGCCGGTGCTTCGGTGTATTACTACATATTGGAGGAATATAAGATCTCGAATGAGATGCTGACGGAGGATATCTATGTATGTGCTCGCAATCCAGGGTTGCAGGTTTCTAAACTACCCAACTTATCCCGCAATGAGAAAAATAAAAAGTCTCCAACGCCTGGTCGACGGATATAAGAGCACTCATATCTATCCGCCAGTCGGCATGGGGCTGGGCTAATATTTGGCGCAACTTGCAGGCACTTCAAGCAGCGACCCAACGAATCTACTCCCACGTCTCCGAGATCGAGAACAAGATGGCACTGATGGAGAGGAAAAAGTGAATGCATCACTCTCATATCTGGAGAAGGAAAATTTCCCTGTTGCGAGCTCCCTACGGACCATGCTATCCACAAGAGCAAAAATATGTACAAATAGTTCACGACTCGATCATGGTCATGCGTCTGTACAGAATGATCTTCCTCTTCGCATGGCAATCAAATCACTTTTTGAAATGGTGTTTCTGCATCAGCTCTTGTTTGGTGAACCTTCTCTGCGCTTCTGGGATCCTCGAATGTGTGTCTGCTGTCCAACTGACGGACAGACAAATGGCTAAGAAACCCCCCAACCCCCCTATCTGACTCTGGTTTTCTGTTCGCTCAATTGACTTGAAAGTCATAGTGGCCAGCTCTTGAACTCTTCAGTGGGCCCTATTCAATATCACAGTAATCCTCTGATCCTCTTCTTCAACAAACACAACCCCATACTTTGATTTGCGCGTCGTTGTGCGCATGCTCTTTTTTGTTCACCAGGAAGGCACGACCCCCCAGAAGTCTTCGTGTACATTGCTTCAGGTACCTTTGTAAGATACATAGCCTATCTCTCATACCCACTCCCTTGGCTTTGTGTCATTCCCGGATCTTCGTTACCTTCAGCGATGCCTATACGACATGTTACCACACCCAAGCCTATCTCAATACTCTGCAAGAACAGTAGGTAGCGCTATATCCTTTTCTCTGTGCTGGGCTACTAATACACATCTACATTCTCATCAACAGGATACTGCAATCAGGATTGTCCATGTGCTGGGTGGTTATTTTGCTACGTATTGATAGCCTCCACGGCGTTGCATGCTGGACGGGGCTCTGTGTGGATCTAAGCGACAGGACTTGGATAGGCTTTCTTTCTGTGGATTGAAAGGGCGTGAGGGCGAAGAGATGGAGAGGAATGAGTAGCCGTTAGAGCTGGTGCTGTGATAGGGATGATGATCTAAGATAATTAATGACTGGCTGAAGTGTTGGGTTATGTACGGGAGAAAGTTTGAAAGAGAAGAAGGGTAGGCTCTGACCATCATGGGGAGTGGATGAGATGGCTTGTAGTGGAGGTAGAATGTGGTGATTGCTTGACTTTTATTCATCCGGAGATACAGACTGGAACTGAAGAATCTTCTTTGTGGATAGTGAGTGCTGCTCACAATGACTTGGTACTGAAGAGCTATGTCTTCGTTTCAATTGCTTCTTCCTACCAGCACAGGGAAGTGAAGTGCAATGTCACCCCACAACGGCGGATTCGGTTAGAGCGTAATGAGTGCAAGATCTGAAGACGATGTAATTTTGCGGGGTTCTTCTTCTCTTGTAGCCGCAGTGCGTTCATATCGCTGTCATAATATGATAGCTTGGGACAGAACTCATTCCACAAGACCACCTAGACCGCTGCTTGTTTGTCCTATCGTTCATTTGTACTCTGCCGGAGGCCACCTCATTGAACGATACAGCACACACCTCCTCCACCACCGTAACCCCCATAACTCCCACCACCACCATCATAAAAGCTAGGATCATATCCACAGGCCCCTTTCCTTGTCGCCATCACCATGCGGATCTTATTCCCATCATACTGCTCCTTCATCCCACACACTGGACACGTATCGACAGCAGCCGGAAACCAGGACACACAACCCCATGGTGTTCTTCTTTCGACGATGTAGAGACAGTTGTCGAATCCTCTTTCGGGACCACAGGGGGCTATGATGGTTACCCAGCGATGGTTGCACACATAGGATTTCCAGCCTTGAGTTTGGCACATGACTGGAACGGGAGACTGTTGGGAACGAAGTATGAGGCGGTAATTGTGCGACTTGAAATGTTGGGTCGAAGCTGGTAGACTGGAGAGTCAAGACGAAGGTAACACCGCGACGTCTTCTTTGCTTGATGTCACCGAGGATTGAATTTTTACCTCTTCACGAGGTACAGAGGAAGCCCGACTTGGAGCTGGATAGATTGACTTGGTGTCAACTGAATGCTGAGAGTGTCGTCGGAGATCGCTTTTATCTATTCAATTTTTGAGACTTTTAAAGTGAATGATGCCCATCTGACGGTTCGGTTTGTGGTATGACCCGTACCTGGATTACGTAGCTTGTTGTTGAAGTGTTGTGGTTGGTGCAAGAAACACTCCGATTCCAATTGAAGACCATTGCTTCAGTTTTCACTCCTTCCTTCCAACTCCTCATCCGCACTCTCCTTCCCTCTCCTCTGGATTGCCTGCATCAATTCATACAGCTGGCCAAGCTGCTGATCACTCATCTTGTCCACCGTGCTCTTATCCAGCGTCTCTCCTTTCCAACTATCTCCCTCAAGCTTCTGTCCATACTCCTGCCATTTCGTCAAGAAGCCAACTATATGGAGCGGGTTGTCGATATCCTTGTGTCTCCTGAATTCAGCTTTGAGGTATGTATCGCCGAATATACGCTGTTCGGGACCCAGCTTCTTTCGATGAGTGCGGAGAAGACGCCGGTAGAGTGGGATCGGTGGGAGAAGAGCGAGTGGTGGTGACCTCTGTCCTGGCGTTAGGGGAGCAGTGGCGGGAGAAGCGAGCATGCGGTGGGTTACACGCATTGCCAACGTTTCGATGTTGTGAGCGGTGCCTGGATTTCCTCCGCTACGTGCCTGAGAGGTGTGGAACGCTGTGATCAAAATCGAAGAAGTGAGGTCATGGGTGTTGACATACTGTGGCCGACGTGGCAATTAAAGCTCGGCTTCCACCCAAATCTGAGGACACGCACTTCGGCCAAACTCCGGCAGATTGGTTCCACTACATCCTCCACTCTTACATCGCCCTTGTGGAGATGGTCGCTTCCAAAGTGCAGTCCCTTGCGCAGAAGAAGCAAATACTATTGACACGGAGCGTAGTATCCATCCATGCTCTCAGAACTGTGAGCCTGGAGACTTCATAACCCATAAAATCTTACGATGTAGCATCTCATAGTCGATACAACCTCAATCAAGTACTCGCTCTTGGCGCCTTTCTATCCTCATTTGATTCGCTGTGCGTTGATAAACCCTTCCTTCGGACCATAGCATCTCGCTCACAGTTCGTCACAGTAATCACGTAGACGCCGCACACTGGAACATTGCCCCCTCCATCAGGACCCGGGATCCAATCTTGACGACTTCTCATCTTCAAAATGTCAACTGTGACCACACTCATCTCATCGATGGCCATTGATACAGTCTCGAATCCAAACAGTGAATGTGAAGGACTCAATAGTCGGCTCCAGAACGTTTGTTCGCGGCTTTTCCCTCCGCACGGACTCATGGGCCGTCAAATTTCAGTGATAGGCCGGCCAAATCTATTGATCGGTGGTTGTATTGTCGCTATAGTGTTTCGAGCACAAGCGTTCGTCGAGTCGACGCTGTAGGAATAAGGTGCAACCGTAGTGTAAAGGGATCATGTTGGAACTGCTTGCTAGAAATGAGCATAGAAAGGCACTAATTCATTAGCACCCTGCTTGCTATGCCAAATACCTTCTGCCTTCTTAGCCTTTCGTGGTCATCTAGGACCTTCACTACGTTCCTGTCGCCCTTATCATGGCCTCGACGTGCCGCAATGTCCCGTGGGGACTCGTTCCAGACATTGCTTATCGTTGCATCCGCTCCTTTTCCCAGACAGTATGATACGAAATCCACGTGTCCATAGCGAGCAGCCCACCAGAGTGCGGTCTGGCCGTTGAGGCCTTGGCGGTCAATATCTGCGCCATGCCGCAGTAGCAGCTTGAACAAGGGAAGTTGCCCTAATTGGGCCGCAAATATCGGAGGTGTTTCGTGAGACCAATCGACAGCATCCACAGCAGCACCTTTTTCGAGTAATAGCGTCATAATCTCCTGCAATATGCCACAGCTACTTGTCGCTGCATCAGAGTCCACTTGCGAATAAACTAAATCAAAGTAGGTTTGGATTATTTGGTGTAAGGGTGTCGTGGCAAGGCAGTATGGAGTCTTCTGGTCTATATCAACACCTTTATCGATCAGAAGCTTCGCAACGGCCAGATGGCCATCATGCAGGACGTTGCTCGTTCCGTAGACTGTCCTCCACTCTTTACTGTTAGTGTCATAGTACGCTCCAGGTTCAAAGTTATAAGGCTTTTTCAAGCACTCTTCCTGTCGTCGTCCAGACACAACTGAGTGCAACGCATTGCCGATGATGAGACCGACCTTGGCGTTTGGGTCGACGCCCTTCTCCAGCAGCAAGCGGACAAGGTCGAAGTTTCCTTGTCCACAAGCCAAGAAAAATAGGCACTGGCACTGTTCGGCTGCTGCGTTGAGGTCAGCGCCACGTTCGATGAGTCGCTGGGCAATAGCAAAGTTGCCTTGTGTAAAAGCCCCAACTAACACATTGCCATGTTTCTTGTTTTCGAAAGTTATCTGGACATTGTGCTCGAGAAGGATATCAACGACGGCTCTGTGGCCCCGGAAACATGCAGCGTGCAAAGGCAACGAATAGGTTCCGCCACTCTGGTGATAATCAACTCCCTTGGATAGCAACAAGCGAACAATAGAGGCATTACCACCATAACATGCAGCATGAATTACGGACCCATAAAACGGTCCTCCAAGTGCATGGGGGTTAGCCCCTTGTTCGAGCAGCAGGTGGAAAGCGTCGCTGCAGCCAGAATATGCGGCCAGATGCAGCGGTGTTGGACTATCGTTTTTCTCTTGATAATTAATGTCCTCAATTCCTCCGGCTCTGAGCACTCGCCTCAACACCCCCATATTTCTGCTAGTAGCAGCTGAGTGCAGCACAGTTTGCCCGAACAAATTTTTAAACCGAGCGTTGGCTCTGGCTTCAACCAGCATGTCCACAATGGGTTCACAACCCCCGCGTGCTGCCCCATACAATGCAGAATCTTTGGATGTTGCTCCATTTTCCAATAACAAGCGAACAATATCTGCGTGACCCTCCTCTGACGCAATGTCCAATGCGCTACCAAATAAATTAGAGGAGTAATTGATGTCAGGCCCATACTCCAGCAGAATCTTGATACAGTTATAGTGACCTCTCCATGCTGCAATATGCAGTGGGGTGTCGCCGTCTTCATTTTGAACGTCTGGATCGAAGCCGCGCTCAAGTAGTTTTTGCACCATGTGATCTTCGCCGAAGTCCGCCGCTTCATGTAGAGCATAGTCTGTCTGCTCTGAGGCAATTGAAGTGCTGGACGTCGAGGACTGGGGAGAGCGCGGAGAGCTAGCAGCGGTAATGTCGACCTGCTCCGTCGACGGTGGTCCTAGGGGCCCTAGGCTCTGTGGCGGCTCTGACAACTGAACGTCCATGGTGACTTCATTGCCATTGTCCGGGAGGCCGGCCGCCCCGTGTCGTACAAATCCATCTCACGCAGCGCCATTTGCTCGTCTCCATTGTCGGCAGTGAAGTCACTCACCTGGTCGTTGGGCCTATCTGCCTTGTAACCAGGGGAGATAGTTTGATTCTGGGTTGTCTGCCCATGTCTGTGCACTGCGTTGAGGTTGGAACGAGAAGCATTAGTGCATACATCGCTCACTGCTCGAGTTTTCTGAATCCGGAAATTCTCCGAGCAGGGAAGTTGCTTCTCTAGGCAACGGTTGCATTTCTGGTCAGGCCAGTCTCGAGTACGCGGCTCGCACTTGTACAGTGTTAACTAGCTTTAGACGCAAGAATGATCAGTAGGACGGTACCTTTTTCTTGGATGTGCGACAGTATGTGCATTTATCGTACGCAAGGCGGCGTCGTTTGGGCCGAACCTGTGACATCGTGGGGGCCGCCAGGTGTACAGCTCATGTTGCTGAAGTACATAATCTATTTCTCAAGGCTGGCGGAAAGCAAGTTCTTATATGTGCCTACCATACTGGCTCTCGATGTGAGTTAATGCATGGTTCTGCTATGATGCAGTGGATTTGAGCAAATGCGCCTTACAGTTCATTGGTTGGCGCACATGTCGCACTGGAGGAGTGGAGTACAAACCACCTGTACTACGTAAGTGGGTCCCGGAGGAGCCACCCATGTGCCACGGATACTTAGTAGTATTTACGGTACTCTAGTTGGCTGCCTTGTCACCATCATACTTCTTTCCGCCTGTCCTTTGTGTATCCCATACCAGGATCGCACTGTCGCACTAAACCTCATTGGACGTGAGATTAAATGCATCCCGTAGAGAAAAGCAGAGGAAGATGTAGACATTCCTATAAATGTACGGGATAGTCTCTTCCTTCCCTTCGACATTGTATTCACTCCATAGTCTTTGCCTGACAGATCGTGCCAAACGGTTATGACTTTTCTCTCACCGGAAGTCATTGTGGCTTTAAGCCTTGGCTTGCCTACACTTTCCTTTGCGATCCTCACGTGGTGGGAGACTCGAAGAAGACAACACAGAGCCAGATGTGAATCGATTCCCGGTCTCGCAAATACTGACTGATCAGCTAACACAATTCCTGTGGCTTCAGATATGGAAGACCCGTTGTTGTTCGAGTTGCTTCTACTTTCGCACCTGACCTTGCAGACCCGTTCCACCACTGCTCCCTCCACCATCCCACCTGTGAATCAAAGGCATACATTTCAAGAGGCTACGGTCAATCGTATTGAGCCCATCCATACCAGACACGATGACATTGGAAACACAATACAAAACCAGTCAAGAACTCCGGCTTGACACCTTAACAAGCTGGGCATCTTCTTAACATTAAGTTAGTGCCATGTCTGACAGTACGCGCTCGTCGCCTCGCACCGAACCAAAGCTGACAAAACAAACAACAGAGTCTGCTCAATGTCCTTCTTTCATGATTGGGATTTGGAGAGGGGGTCGTGTTTTTTCTTACACGTTGGCGCTTGGTTGAATTGTAAAGATGAAGGAGAAAGAGAAACGGGTGGATGACATAGCTGTGCCGATCAAAAAGCGTTCCAAGGCCCGATTTAGACAAGCTTCCATTTCAGGGCGGCGTTGGAATTAACAGCCGGTTGACCCGTGTGTCAGATTTCGTCCTATGTAGTTAATAGTTAGTTAGTGGGATCCACCTCAAGCTAGCATGCCCCCCACCGAAGGCTTCCTCTCCCATTACTTGTCATGTTCTCGATACACTCTCCAGCACACCGGCATCAAACCTTCCCTCTTAACAAGCAAATACTACCGGCATAGGCATAATACGTAGGTATTGTTAGGCTGGTGCTAGTAGCGGCTAGTTCTTGTTACTCTATCACTTTGACTTGCGCACATCCATTAAAATTAACGATTAAATCGAGTCTGGGACTAGCTGTCTTGTACAAAGACGTTTTTAATACTAGCGCTGAATTAACAATACTTCATGCCCCCCGTAGTATTTTTCTGTCATCGGAATGGTGCCAATAGTGACACCAATAGGTTAGATGAGCCTCGGCCCTGTTCTCCGAGGGGTAGTAGTCATCATATGGCAGATTCCTAGTCACTCATAATGCGATAAAGAAAACCCTGATTTTTCCTTTCACATTTCCGTCCCTACAAAACCTAATAAATAGTACATTCAAAAACATCAGAGGACCCTGACAACTGGTCACCACCCCCCAAACCTACCCATGCTACCCACCCCCTCCACCTCCCACATCACCAGCTACGAACCAGCCGAGGACTCGTACCTCCTCCTCGACACGCTCTCCTCCGCCAGCGAAACCAGCTGGCTCCAAACCCACTTCGCGCGCACCACGCGCACGCCACTCCTCCTCGTCGAACCCGGCACCGGCTCCGGCGTGATCCTCGCCTTCCTCAGCGCGCACGCCACCACCATCTTCCGCCGCGCCGACATTCTCTCCCTGGGGATCGACATCAACGCGCACGCCTGCACCGCAACCACGCAGACCGTCTCCACCGCCGTGACCGCGCACAACTCCGCCGCGCTCTATCTCGGCGCCCTCTGCGCGGATCTCACCTCCCCCGTGTTAGAGGGGAGCGTGGATCTGTTGGTCTTCAACCCGCCGTATGTGCCTACTGCTTCACTGCCTGCTCTACCTACCCCTCTGGATAAGGTAAGTGATGGGTTCGAGTCAGAGTCGCATCTCCTCTCCCTCTCGTACGCGGGCGGGAAGGATGGGATGGAGACTACGACTCGGCTTCTCGATGCGCTGCCGCGGGTGTTGAGTGAGAGGGGGGTGGCGTATGTGCTGCTCTGTGCGCAGAATAGGCCGGAGGAGGTCATGGGGTTTGTGCGGGAGGGGTTGGGGTTGAGGGTGCAGAGTGTGGGGTGGAGTGGGAAGGTGGCCGGGTGGGAGAAATTGACCGTGCTTAGGATTTGGAGATGAGATGCAATGAGGAGTGTCTTTCATGATACGCGGATACCAGGCACTGCTTATGTAACGGCAGGGTAGGCCTCTCGAGCTTGGGATGCAAGTAAAAGGGAAAGGAAAGGCAATCTGTGAGCGATGCGCGCTGGGCCATGAGGAAGTTTGGATGACTCTTTGTGGGTATATTCCATACTTTTCGCGTTATCATTGTTTATGAACGTTAACATGTTCTAGTATCCTAACCCATAGCTCTTTACCCTACTGAAGAAAAACGCCCGATCATTCTTCAGCTGAAACGGAGCCCAGTCATTGGTCAGCTGATTATAGCTCCAAAAGCCCTTCCATTGGAGCTTGTTGTTCTTCACACCATTTTTTGATTTGCTGCTCGACTTCAACGCAAGCTGCATCGTATACATATACCTTGGTCCAGCCCCTTCTGTTTCGATGAAGAGATCGCCTTCGGTATCGACCCCAGCGGTGGCTATGTCCGCTACAGTGTGCTGACGTGCCGCTGAAGGATGACTGAGCCGCCACCTGCCACGTAGTGCATGCTTCATGAGCTGCTGCGCTGTTGGTGGCCCTGCTTGCGCTGAAGGAGCGTTGGTGCCGGCTGCACTGGAAGTAAAATTCAGTGGATGATGCTCTTTGCCACCGCGAACCAGCGATACATTTTCTTTGGTCAGATGATGCACAACGTCAACTGGCTCATGAGTTGACAACAATGATATCACAGTACCGTCGCGGAAGAATCTGAGGTATCGATAGTAGGTCACAACATGAACAGGAGTGTTCCACGTGGTTTGCATAGCAGATGCGCCACCGGCGCGGGTGTAGTTCACAGTTGAGATATAGACGCCTGTAAAGCGGATGCGTGGATGTGAGTGGAAGATCTCTCGCCAGTCTTGGCTCTTGGGGTCCTCGAAAGTTGATTCATCTACCCTTGGGCTTTCACCAGGTGAGTCTAAGACATGGTTGATGGCTTCACGGCCCTGCAGATCGGTCCGAAAATCATACAGCTGGGCAGCTAGACCAAATTCCGGTCCTAATGCTATCCGTTTCCAGATCTGATTTTCGACAAAAACATGGTATGCTAATCGCTTGCATACAAGGGCCAGTCGAGCAAATGATGCTGGATCTAGAATTGCTGTTCTGAGGAAGATTTCCAGCAGAATCTCGGTTGGCATACGACTTATCGGACAACGTGGGGCCCGATCACCTTCAATGAGAGGAGGAGCACCTGGAATGGGTAGTCCAGAGAAGCTCGCAATGAGAGTAGAGAGTGACATAGATTCAGTAGGTTCTGTCGATGAGTGATGGGCGGTAGAAGGAATGGTAACTGGAGCATTTGGTGGGTTTGGATTGCTAGGTTTCGAGGTAGGTGGAAAATGCTTGTTCTTGTATGATAGATCCACGCCAGCATCTAATCGATATGCCTTCCGATAATGTGACAAGCTGTCTCCTAGGTTACCTTGACTCTCTTTCTCGACGGCTCTCTCGTAGTGCTCGAGAGCGGATTTTGGCTCTTTTGCCATACCCCGCGGCGAGAAGTCGTCATCATCAGCGTCGCCTAATGACAATTGACTGAGTGGATCAGCTACTCCCGGTCCCTTTCTTTGGGAGCCAGGAAGAATGTCTGTTTCAAGCACGTCTGCTGCTGCTGATGGTGGTTGTGGATGATGCTTCGAGGGTAATATCGAAGGTTTCTGCTCTTCGGATGGCTTGGAAGGCCAAGGTCGAAGTGCATCATAATTCCTTGTCTGCCGAGTTCTAGCATGTTTAGTTCTAGCACTGACTTCTTCTTTCCACTGCCGTCGAAATTGCTCAAGGGCAGTGTCCGGGTTTTCCATCTTATGTTGCGAAAGACCGAAATCTACTTTTCTTCAGGGAGAGACTTGCTCACGTCGACTGAGAGATGGCTGGACAGTGGAGGTAATGAAGCATGATAGTTGGATAGTTCTACAAGCAACTTCGAAAGACAGAGTAAGAATTGTCACGACCTGTGCTTCTTTGATTGGAGAAAATCGGATATGCTGGGATGAGGATTGAATGGGGATGATTAATAAGGGTTCGGAGTTTCAGGTGCGGGATGACTATGACGTAGACGCGGTTCGCTCCATCGCGGATTCGCGGTATCTAATCTCTTGGCACTGTACATCAGTATCATCATTTCTTCCCTAGGGAGTAAAGTAATAGCGACTAGTAGCTTATTTTTCCTTCCGTCATTCAACGGAGAAACTTTCAGGACTCCTTGCGCTCAGTCTCGCTTTCAACCACCCACTTTTAACTTAGATGAACGCCTTGAATGTCCTCATTACACCTCTTCCTTCCAACGCGAACCAAGAGCAGCCATCGTCAGAGAGCAACAAAGACAATGCATCGGAGGCGCAGAGGCATGACAGGCAACACAGCTCAGACAACCCCGTCAGCACTATGGCTGCATCAGGCGGAGGGGTTGTTACAGATATCTCGGCTACCCAGAAGATGATATCGGCTACCTGGGGTAGCATTCTCACGTCTCTTCTTGGTATGCTTTGTAAACCTCTACAGCGCCATAAGTCCAAAAGCTGACTCATGATAAAAGTCACACCTCTTGACGTCGTTCGAGTACGTCTGCAGTCGCAAGCTCCTGCATCTTCGTCTGGCAGTACTCCGAAATTCTCCGCGTATACCACCTCCTTCAAGCGATTGCCACCAGATCTCGGAGTCACAGCATGCTGCCGAGAAGTTTTCTGGTTTGGGGACAATGCTCAATTCTGCCTTGCTGGAAACAATGGGTCTGTCTCTGGTGCTGAATGCGCAGTCGAGGAAACCCAGAAGCGAACATTCAACTCAACATTGGACGCCTTCCGAAAGATTGCTCGAAATGAAGGAGCATTATCCCTATATCGGGGACTAAGTCCGACTCTCGTGATGGCTATACCAGCGAATGTCATCTACTTTACCGGATATGACTGGCTGCGCTTCAGTCCCGCCAGTCCTATCAATCGCATTACCAGTGACACATATACTCCGCTTGTGTCTGGTTCAGTAGCTCGTGTCGCTGCTGCGGTCGTGGTTTCTCCAATCGAAATGTTCAGAACTCGGATGCAAGCAACGCGTGGAAATTCCGCTGGCATATTCAAGTCCACATTAATCGGTCTGCACCAAATGACGCTGACGCAGGGCTACAGCTCGTTATGGAGAGGGCTCACCCTTACCATGTGGAGAGATGTTCCGTTTTCCGGCATTTATTGGTGGGGCTACGAAGCTACACGAAATGCCCTCACCGACGCCCGAGAAAGAGCACAAGGAAAAGTGTTGGATGCCAATCGCTCAATGACCAGGCGAAGATCTCAGTCTCAAGACAATCCCACCAACACATTTCTTGATAGCTTCGTCTCTGGCGCTTTCTCTGGTGCAGTGGCAGCATTGATCACCACTCCATTCGACGTTGGCAAAACCCGTCAACAAGTTTTCAAGCACAGCGGAGACGAGGCGGCAGCATCGGCATCTAAGGCGGCACGGAAAGCGGGCGAGAAACTGCCAGAAGAGCTGACGATGCCTAGATTTCTAGCTCATATCTTCAAAGAGGAAGGAATGCAAGGACTGTTCAAGGGATGGGCAGCAAGATGTCTCAAGGTTGCTCCAGCATGTGCAATCATGATCAGCAGTTACGAGGTGGGAAAACGATGGGCCAGAACCATGAACGAAAAGAAGGTACATTCAGAGGAGGGGATTTGAGTGGAGCATTCTCATGCATTTGGGTGGCGTTTTCAGGTGGAAGTACAGTTCGCAAGCCGTGTATTACATACAAAACAGCATGGCAAGGCGTTCCAAAAACAGCGCTCAGCGAACCTCATTCAGCTGGGCAACCCCTGTACCATACTTCTGGCGCACTACTCAGGCTTTTTGTTGTTGTACATAGCTATTGGTGGAATAGACACCATCTCTCTATCGAAGAGTGACAGTGTTCGATCTTTGTGCACATCATCCTCCTCTGCTATGTGCAAAAAACACGCGTGTGACAACGCGTCATTGCTCTCCAATTCCTCCAATTTTAAGTTGAGAATTTGGTCCACGACAGCCTCTTGGGACCTAAGCAAGCGAAGAGTCTAACATGGCCAACCCTTAGATTCAGAGCAAGGACTTGCATCCCACATGATGCTGAGCCTCGTCGCCTCCAACAAAGGTGGATTAACATTCTAACATAGTGGCACGAGAGTATCGAACCTCGTCAACGCCCGCGCCATTCGCCCCATCACCCTAGAGGAGAACTTTGAAGAAGAACCTTCTCCATCACCGTTGCTGCTCGACATCGAAATGCCCATCAACATCCTCCGCCTGAACCACGCCCCGTCCTCCCATCCCAACCCTCTCATCGCCTTCATCAAACCCCTCNTCTCTCTACTGAACAAAGCCACGCCGACACCTTCCTCCGCGCCATCGCCGCCCAATGCCTCCCCGTCATGAAACGCCACCACCTGTCCATCACCACCCTCGAAGAACACGAGCCCAACCGCGAATTCATCGGTCGCAATTTCAACAACGGCGAGGTCATCCAACTAGTCCTTCAACGACGCGATGGGAGTTGGATGTCCTTTCGCCAGGTCCAGATGGTGATGATGCATGAACTGGCGCATAACGTGCAGATGAACCATGGGCGGGCGTTTTGGGCTGAGAGGAACAGGTTTGCGGCGGAGATGAAGGGGTTGTGGGAGCGCGGGTATACCGGGGAGGGGTTTTGGGGGGCGGGGAGGGTGGTGGACGGTTTGAGAAGGCATGAAGGGAATTTGGTCGATGTGGGTGAGGGGAGGGAGGTGGAGGGGCTTTGTGGTGGGACGTACAGGAGTAGGAGGGGGAGGAAGAGGAAGAGGGAAGGAGAGGTTTTGGCCTGGAAAGAGCAGAAGGAGAGGAGGATCGAGAAGAAGTTTGGCAAGAATGGTGTGGCTTTGGGTGAGGATGAAGATGCGAGGATTAAGTTGGAGATTGGGAGGAGAGGGACGGTAGGAGGGAAGCCAAGAGTTGCTGGAAGTAAGAGAGGTCGGGAGCTCAGAGCTGCAGCTGCATTGGCGAGGTTCGAGGTTGGGAAAGAGGAGGAGAAGATGAAGAGTGAAAAAGAAGAAGAAAAAGAAGATCCAGCTGAGTATGACTCCGGTACTGATGAAGATGGTACGCCGAGCGGAAAAGACGCAGTCGACGCCAACGGCAACCGCCTACTCGACAGCATGGGCTTCGGCATGATCAAAGTCTGCGGTGATGAAGACGTCGACGATGTGAATGTGAAGCAAGAGATGGAAGACTTTGATTCGCTGCAATGCCTGCCATCATACACAGAGCAGCAACCGCGTTTTCCGTCGGAACCATCAGAGACAGCATTCAGAAGAACCGAGTCTCCCCCAGCAAAATCAGTACCAACGCCCGCTCTGAATAGCTTAGACTCATCGAAAATTGACCGCCAACGGAAATTACTGTACAGCATACCACACCATCAACCCTCCCCACCGCCATCACCCCCTCGCTCAACATCCTCAGCAATCTTGCCAGAGAAGTCAACCGCCGCTGCCGCAAAACCCGCCCCTTCATCTTCATCTTCATCACTACCACCACCAATAACAACACACTCAACAACCAACTGCCCCGTCTGCACAACCTCCCACCCCTCCACTAATCTCACCCTCACATGCACAACATGCGCCCACGTCCTCGACAAGCGGAAAGATCCCCATGCCTGGAAATGTGCTAGTACGAGCTGTAAGGGGAGTGAGTATGTCAATGCCGGCGATGCGGGACGATGTGGCGCTTGCGGTGACCCGAAAGGATAGGAAGGGAAGTGAGGAAGGGGTTGGAAACTTGATGCAGCATTGGTTTAGTTTATGGCTGTGTGGTGTGTGAGTAGAGGGGGGGGAAATTGGATCTTCAGCATTGATTGTATTGATTGTGGTGACGTGGTGTATGATTACAAGGTTGTGAGGAATGTCAATATGCTGGGCTGTGCATGAATGACTATGCGTGTCATTTTCTTATGGGGTTTGGTTTTGAGCATGTCTGTGCTAGGAGGCATGAGTGCTGTGGGATGGGGCACAATGGGTAAGTACCAGATAGGGGGAGGGGCAGTGGGAGTGGGAGTGGGAGTGGGAGTGGAATTGAAGCGGGAGCTTTATTCCAAGCTTGACGTAAACATCGACAGCCGTACCCTCGGGGATTCGAGCCTAGAGCCTAGACAGATAGCCCCCGGACAAGTAGAGAATGAGTATCTTACACTGGAGGCCATCTGATGAACATATGGGCACAATGGCTGCTAAGTAGTAGCCATCGTTGTTCATTCAACCTTGTGAGACTCTAAGTCATAAACCCCCCCGCTCGCACACTACAGCGTCCTCTTACGTTTGACCGGTATCCTCCCTGCCGGCCTCGTGGACCGTGCTCTCTATTCCTGCCTGACGTTGTCTCCGTGAGAGCTGGTGTTAAGGCAGCTAGTAGCTCAAGGCAGCCAAGCTTAAGCTGTCCGGGAAACATAGCATAGCCTGCACCCCATCCCATGTGCTTACATTGGATGACTGTCGCTTAGCTTAGCTTAGCTTAGCTTCATATTGTCTCGCAGCTTGCCCAAGTGGTGGTCTGCTGCCGGCGTAAATGGCCTTCGTGGCTCCTTGGTGTTGTCTGCTCGAGTGCGCAGGCGTAATGACAGGGGATGCCCTTTTGCTGCTCCCAGCCCCCAGCCGTGCCATCCGAAGGTCTCATCCCGAGGGTTTACCTCTTGGGTACTCAGCCATATACTCATTCACCATCTTCGCGTCGATGTGGTCCAAAAGGCAGTCCCTTAAGTTGGGAAATTTTTCCAAGTGGCAAGAGGGAGACTGAGAAGGAGTAATTGTTGTCCCGGCCTCTATATTTTCTCGAACCCATTTAGAGACCAGCAAAGAGCTTATGACATTGTCCTATCAGCTGGATGGGAAGTATCGTGAGCAAATGAAACTGCATGCGCTCCTCACATTGGTTCGGCATCAGCTCCACTCCCTGGACTCGTGCCGATCCCTTCATCAGAATTCCCAGTCTGAGATCTCAGCGGACTGCTCGTCCTCTCTTCTCTCCTCTTCAACCAATTTTTGCGGTCCTTGCCCTTACCAGGTGAGGCGGGAAGAGAAGATGGCGTCTTCACATCCGAGAACCCCGTCATCGACCTCGTCTGTATACTTGGCGGTGTCCATCCTGCACCATTTTGCTGGAACCTAGCTGCCTCCGGACTACTACTCCAACGTGGGTTACCGGACCTGGATTGCCACTCTTCACCATCACGAACCCCAACCTGGTATTGATATTCCTCGCCTCGTCTTTTCACAGGGCTCTCGTCATACGGATCAAAACCGACCCTTCTTCTGGCGTCGGCCCTAACCCGTTGTCTGGCATTTTCGTCACCTTCTGCGCCAGTGGCTTTGCTCTCCTCGAGGAAGAAATTCAACCATTGATCATTGGCGGAGAGGTGGGATGTTTGAAGATACTCTGAGAGAGCGACGAGGCGGAGAAGGACTTCGAGTAGAGACAGGGAGGTTTGCACGTTGGACATCCAAGATGGTGGCCGACTAGTGGTGAGGCCGTGGGTATTTTGAGTAAATCTGCTGTTGGCCAACGGACTTGGTAAGGGAGATGGCTCACCGTTGAGCTTTAGATTAGCCATCGAGCTTGCAAGCTGTGGGTCTACGGATGGCGATCGAGTACTTTGCCGCGGCCTCGGAGATCCTTCATCTGGTTCAGATTCGTCCTCGGAATCCTCGATTTCGTTGTAGATCTCCAAGGCTATCCACTCTGGATCCAAGCCAGGTGGTAGTGACCAAGGATCTGTTCCACTTGTACTCTGCACCTCGCCTGGTCCGTCTCCATTCACAGTCCCCTCCGCCTCGTGTCCATTGGCTAGCTCTTCTTTGCGCATAATTGACCGCGGTGGCTGCGCATTCAGGTCCCTCTTGAGAAGAAGCACAGGGCTGTTGCTCTCCTCGGAACCGATATTAAGCACCTTGCCAGTGTCAGCGTAGAATATTTTGCCAATTTGAAAGACAGGGAAGGTTTCTCTGATTCCAGCTTTTTCTACGTCATCAAATGGCCCTGGCCGGATATCATCTTCCTCCGTTGTATGGAATCGGTCATCATCGAGGTCTTCGATCAGCATCATTTGGTATGCGTATTCATCCACGCTTGCTGCATCTCGTATCTGTAATGCCAAGGAGTCATCTACAGTACTTGATGGATTGGTCGAGGAGTCAGACACTCGACGCAGTTGTGGCTGTACAAGGTGCATAGGTACTCGACGAAGCTTGACTCTAGCTTTGTGCATCACCTCCTTCCAAGTCGTCTCGCGAATACTGGCTTCATCGTGTGGTCGAACATGCCCAGAAAAGAGCATGTACACCGTCAGCGTGAATGAAGGGCCAATCTGAACAGCTTCTTCCGGCGTCATGCAATACTGCATATCTCCAGCATTGAGCAACGTACTTGCCTGTAAGAGACGTGATGGAGAAACTGTAGGAGGAAGTCTAGAAGAGAGGCTTGCTCCAGAGGTGGTGATGGCAAGACTGATCAAAGGTACTGCATCCTCGATACGACCCAGCAGCTTCTTCATGCTGGCAATCACGAGTTTGATCTCTGCTTCACTTTTGGCTTTTGCTTGAGCACTTCTGTTGGATCCTTGAGCGGCTTCCTCGGTCGCAGCTACGGATGCCATGCGCTGTCCGAAAGATTGTATTTCCCATCTGAGTTCTTTCGTCAGTGCCACTGCAGACTCGAGCGACGTGTTGCCACGAGCAGCGATGAGCTCTATCATGTCAATAGCGGGAGAGATGATGCTGATTTTGCCTTGCAGGCGTTGCTGTAGATGCTGGAGCTGGTCATGGTCATTGCTTTTCGGCACATTTTGCAACAGACGTGCTGATTGTTTGATGGCATAAGTTGCTGTGAGCGTCACTCCAGACCGAATTGCATAATTCATCGCCTGCTGGGTCACCTTCGAGAGTAGGATGTCCATGATAATCGTTTAGCTTGTGCTGGCAAGTATTACAATTAAGCTGTCAGCATTGGTATTTTGGAGATGTCCAATATTTAAGCATGGATGTATAATGAGCCTCACCAGCTCAGTCACTCCTTTATCTACATCATTCATTCTAGAAGGATGACTTCAAATGGCAGGAGGACAAGTAGAAATTTGTGTTCGGGAAGTGTTTGTGATGGTCAAAACATCTCGAAGGATGACTCAGCTGGCATCTTGAACGCTGAAGGTGCGCTAACTTAGCTTAAACAAATCGGGCTTGGAGGGGGGACAAGGCTTACCGTTAACTGTCACTGCAGAAAAGTCAAAGCTACATCAGAGTACTGACGCACTTCAAGAAGCTCGGTGGTTCGTAGGCATTTCTTGTCCCCATATTCAGAAGACTCGAAACTGTTGAAATTCCCAGCGAAGGGCCCTTCCAGTGTGCTCTTGATCCTTGCGGCAACCGTCTACCAATCCCAGGTCTTGGCCAGAAGAGAGAAAATTAGAAGACTTTGTTCACAAGAACTTTCGTCATGTCTGGTCTAGAGTCTTGGGAGGATGACCCTTCTGCTCAGGATGAAAATCTCTCCAAACGAGCCCAAGAAAGCCTCCAGCTAAACGGTCAAGCCAACACATTCAGACCAGGAGCCAATTCCTTTCAACCAGGCGCAGCATCATTTCAACCTGGGCAGCAGTATCAACAGTACGGAGGCTATAATCAACAATACGGATATGGGCAACAACCAGGGTATGGGGGTTATCCTCAGTATGGGCAGCAAGGCTACAACCAATACAACCAGTCGCAACAGCAGCAGCAACCGCAACCGCAGGGCGGGTACAATCATAATTATGGAGGTCAATTTGCAGCATACAACCAGGGCCCTGGAAGTTTTCAGCCACAGCAGCAACAAAGACAAGCACCCATCAGTATTGCGAAAAGACCAACAGGTGACGCTTCGCAGCAGCCTCCAGCCGCCCCAGCACAACCAGCCGCCTCCACTACATCTTCCGGCGCCCCTTCTGCTACACAAACAGCTAAGATCCTTTCTATAGGGACTGAAACAACGCAGCCTAAGGCAAAAGTAATGTCACTTGATGTCCCAGCTGCTCCCGCTCCTCCGTCTAGCAAAATAGACTCGCCTACATCCAAAGATGCGCCGGCTGTTGACGAGGGCTTAAAGGTGACAGCGGCAAAGGCCATTGAAAAGACAAAAGAAAAGCCCGCTTCGTCATCCGAGAAGACCTCTCCATCACCGTCAGGAAAGTCATCACCTACCCCAGCCGAGAGGAAGGCTGAGAAGCGGGATGCGGATGCTGTGCTGAAAGAGCAGGCAGCTGACGTTGATGAGGAGACTTTGCAGGAAGTGTATGGCAAAGAACATGTGAATCTGATATTTATTGGTCACGTTGATGCTGGCAAGTCTACACTTGGAGGGTCAATATTGTACGCCACAGGAATGGTTGACGAGCGCACGATGGAAAAATATAAGAAAGAAGCTAAAGACGCAGGACGAGAAACGTGGTATCTATCATGGGCACTAGATCTGACCAAAGAGGAAAGAGCAAAAGGAAAGACAGTCGAAGTTGGAAGAGGATTTTTTGAGACCGAGAAAAGACGATATACAATTCTGGACGCTCCAGGACATAAAACATTTGTCCCTAACATGATCGGAGGTGCTTCGCAAGCTGACGTGGGGATCCTCGTCATATCAGCCCGAAAAGGCGAGTACGAAACGGGATTTGAAAAGGGAGGTCAAACAAGAGAACACGCTATGCTAGCCAAGACGCAGGGAGTTGGCAAGCTCGTCGTCGCGGTCAACAAAATGGACGATCCAACCGTGGAATGGTCGAAAGCTCGATACGACGAGTGTACCACGAAGCTTGGTCTATTTTTAAAAGGCGTCGGCTACAACCCAAAAACAGACATCGTGTTCATGCCAATATCCGCCCAAACCACAGTCGGCATCAAAGACCGCGTCCCCAACTCCCTAGCACCATGGTACAATGGTCCTTCTCTTCTTGAATACCTCGACAACATGGACAAACTGGAACGAAAGATCAACGCTCCCTTCATGATGCCCGTTGGCGGGAAGTACAGGGATATGGGTACGATTATCGAAGGACGTATCGAGTCCGGGGTCATCAAGAAGGGCAGCAACTACGTGATGATGCCAAACCGAGAAGATATCTCCGTCGCCGCTTTGTACGGCGAAACAGAAGAAGAGATCCAAATAGCGACGTGCGGCGACCAAGTTCGGATTCGCCTCCGCGGTATCGAGGAGGAAGATATCCTACCGGGCTTTGTGCTCTGCTCGCCTAGAAGGCCAGTCCATTGCGTCAGCGCCTTTGAAGCACAGATTGTCATTCTCGAACTCAAATCTATCCTCTCCGCAGGCTTCAACTGCGTATTACACGTACATTCGGCCATTGAAGAAGTAACCTTTGCCGCATTGCTGCATAAATTGGAGAAAGGGACGAATCGACGGAGCAAGAAACCACCGCCATTTGCGGCGAAGGGACAGAGCATCATTGCCAGGTTGGAGGTGCTCGGTGGTGCGGGTAGAGTCTGTGTGGAGAGATTCGAAGATTATCCGCAGCTGGGGCGGTTTACTTTGAGGGATCAGGTGAGTAATTGCCTGCGCATCAACATCGGCGTGCTCCAAACGGAGAACGTGCTGACTTCATGAATCAGGGCCAAACCATCGCCATCGGCAAAATCACCAAGTTGATCACGGATTCAGACGCGGCGGCTTAAGTTAGCCTCAGACCCTTTCCAGCAGAAATGGTGGTCTACTAGTAGGTGCAGGGCCTTGAAGATGCCAAGCATGAAAGGGAAGGGAAAAGACACAGAGGACGTGATGTTCGCCGCCGCATCAGACAAGGGAGAGAACAGCGTGACCTAGAAATCTAAGGAATTTCCAACAGCTTGTTAAAAGATTAGCTATGGTTTCGGGCTCGGGCTCTATCCACCTCTCTATCTAGCCCCTGCTAGTACCGCACGATGTAGACACCAGCTTGATTTGTAGCTTGAAAGGAAATCCACTTCCCACGGCAGCACATGCCATGAGTGACGATCCTCCTAAACAAATGCAACTTAGGGGTTCTGGTACCCCCAGCCCAGCTCTTTTGTGTACTCCTATCAAAAGACCAATGTAAAAAGCCTAAGAAAACAAAGCTCTGCACAACGCACAGATCAACTCCACAACCAACCAATTGACCTTCCAGCCTTCCAGTGTAGTGAAAGAGCCGATCAGAAACACGTCGTGCCCCCATCAACAAGCACATCCGCACCGGTGATATACCCGCCTGCGCGCTCGGAGCAGAGCAACACCACCACGCCCGTCAACTCCTCCACATCGCCCATCCTTCCCATCGGGCAGCGACTCGCCCACAGATCCCTGACCGCTTTCAGATTGTCGCCCGCATTCAGCACCGTGTCCATATACCCGGGGCTGATGCTGTTGACGCGGATGCCGTATTGCGCCCACTCGGTCGCGAGGCTGTTCTTCAGGTGCAGGAGCGCGGCTTTGGACGTGTTGTAGGCGGCCTGAGGTTGTGGGAAGTTGACGATGTGGCCGGACATGGAGGAGATGAAGATGATGCGGCCGCCCGGGAGCTCTGGATTGAGAGAGCCGTCGTTGTAGTTTTGGTCGGGAGGTGGCATCATGTATTTGGCGGCGGATTGCGCGCACAGGAACGCGCCGTTCAGGTTTACATCCATGATTTTGCGCCATTGGCTGGATGACATGGAGATGGTGGGCACGCAGCCGACCATGCCGGCGAAGCAGAGGAGCATGGATATTCTGGGGTTGGCACATTCGGACGAGGATGGATCTACATCGCCTTGGGGCGTGTTGAGAGCGACGACGGCGTCCCGTATGATAAGAGGTACATTTTCCGAGGTGACATCGCAAGGTAGATCGACAATACGGGCAGCAGGGAAGTCGGAGCGGAGAAGCTGAATGGCAGGTTGGGACTTTGCGAGAGTGGTTTCGAGGTCGAGGAGGGCAACGCCCCTTGCCCCATGCTCAAGGAGAGCGCGAGCAGAGGCTAGAGCGAGAACTCCAGCGCCGCCGGTGATGATGGCATTACCTTTGACGGCAAAGCGGGCGAGAGCGCGGTCGGCGGCAGAAAGGGTGGGGTAGAGTGACGGAGGGGCTGCTGTGAGCGGATTGGAGGGATAGGACAATGTCATTGCTGGGAGAGTCCGAAGAGCAAGAGCCTCGCGCTCCGGGAGCGTGCCGATGTCACCCATCTCTCTTTGATCCTCGCGGTATGGTAACGTCTTGGTGTATATCTACGCAATGCTTGGGACAGGCTTTATCTCGAAGGTTGACAAAGGAAACAATGAAATGTATTTTTTGATGTTAGAGATAACAGAAGATAAAGATCAGAAGTGAACAACAAGGTTGGGCGAGGGCTCTATATTATCTCAAAGGGTTTCCAGTATACTGCATAGCGTTTGCATCGTCCCATGCTGGCGTTAGAACGGATATCAGATGACTGACGACGGGCTGCACGAAGGAGGGACATGGCCCGAAGGACAGCAGGCACTCTGCGGAAAGCGGTGAAGATGCCGCAGCCTAACTGTATAGAGCAACAATTGAGAGGTCTATTGGGCAATGTCATGTGGGTAGTGGATCTATGTCTCCATAGATCTTCCTGTGGGATTCCTGGGACGAAAATAATGATTTGAACCGGAGGACGATCGGGGGTCGGGGTGCAGTGACATGCCGTGATCGCAGTGAGCTGGCCGCTTGCCAAGCCTGCAGGAACCGCTCGGGCTGCAAAGTGGCAAACCCGGAGGAGCGGAAGATCTTGTTCTTCTTTTGCTGTTTCGGCCCGTTAGGCCGCCGAGGTATCCTTGTCAATTTCTGGCCGCCCTCCTCGTCTCAGGCAGTTTGATCCATTGAAAAATGAAGTGAAGCCGTCACCTGCCCCGCGACTTCAAGCTGTGGTCTCTATTGTCTAAAGTCGTGCGCTTTTGGGCATTAGCCCACTGACATGTCAGCCATAGAAGACCCCCGCACTGCACCTGCCAGCTCGTCTGGCTCTGCACAAACAGCCGCCAAAATCGACCTTCTGATTTCATTGCACTTGCATTCTTGGCCTGCCCTCACCTTGGCGATCCAGAACAATTGGGGTGGTCCGACATCGAACGACAAAGGAGACTGGTTCGCAGGTGCTATCTCCGAGCTGTTCTCCAATGGCGATGTGATCGATGCGGACGACCTGGAAGAAGTCTTGATACAAGTTATGCTCGATGAATTTGAGGTGGTTGTTGATGATGACAGTCCAGCAGAAGTGGCTGCCAGCATCTTCAAAGGCCGTCAGCGTATACTACAAGGAGACTATTCGGAAGTAGATCAAATGCTTGTGCGTTGGGAGGAAAAGCAGAAGAAGGGCCCGGAGAAATTGCCCTTCAAGAGGGTGGAGGAAGACGATGACGGTCAGGAGACAGACTGGGAGAGCAGTCTTTCAGACGAAGACGATATCGTGATGGACGAAGCACCGCAGTTGGTGCATGCCACCGGGCAGGAAAAGCCAGCACCAGAGATCGACGAAGACGGCTTCACGAAAGTGGTTGGGAAGAAGAAGCGTTGAGGGACAATAGCGGCTATGATCGGAAATGGTAATGCTACCGCGAAGGGTGGATTGAATTCCACCAAGCAAAATACATGCTGGTCGTCGCGAATAACGAGCAACCGCCTAAAGTGCCTTACAAGCCATGATGGGGAATTATTCTCCTTCAACCAAACCCATCTTTTCGTTCTCCGCCTTGCTTCTCCGAGCCCACTCTGGCGGCACATCGATTCCATCCTCTTCCTCCTTGTCTCCCTCCTCCTTTGTCTGGTGCACTGTTGTCGGCTTGTGCTCGGCCTGTGAATACACAGTATACAAGATCAACGGCGTTGGACCAGTATTGATGAATTGATGCTGGGTTCCTGCTGGGACGATGATCAAGTCTCCTGCCTTGACATCCTGATCTTTGCCTGCAATGGTCGCTTTGCCAATACCGGATGTAAAAGTCAAGATCTGGTCAACTGTGTGTTTCTAGCAGATCGAATTAGTGAGGCTGGATTTAGCGAGGGAATCGAGTGAGGTGGGACCTCGTCACCAATTTCTCCATCCACTGGTACTGTCATAAGCACTAGCTGAGAGTACAAGCCTGTCCAGAGTACTCGACGGAATTCTCCGGACTCTGAAGGGAGGGCTGTGGTCATGTTTGGGAAGTACTGCATTTCATGTTTGGGAGGATCCGAGGAGGGAGTTTTAAACGACATGGTAGTTGTGAATGCTCTTGTGGGCTTCAATGGACGTAAAACTTGAAGACTGCAATTATATGGGAGACTTAGGCGGTTTTGCAAACGGATAGACTTGGTGATAGATCTTAGAAGAAGAAAAGACATATGCGCTTCATTCTCAGCTGTGTAGTATTTAAACAATCAGACTTACTCCAGAGAGCAGCCAAATGGCAGCATTTACAACATGTTTGATGTGAGTGGTCCAGCTAATTATAGTACCATACGTCATCATTGGCATGGAGATTGAATTTGCAGTACTACGTAGGTATGGAGAGGGTTAGTAAGCTGCATGTGAACGATACTACCAAAGACTAACTACATTATCCACCATTCTGGCGTAAAATCGGCCTATTTTCTAATTCGCTAACATAACCGCTAGCGTCTACTCAAATTGACATTAGGTTCTAAAACATACTTCTCATTAGATGGCGCCTGTTTAAGGTGCGCTTGCGGCTGTAGTAACCAATTAGAAAATAGGCCGATTTTACGCCAGAATGGTGGATATCCTACATCAGTTCGGATCATTCTCTTTGTTCATGTTTTCTCCGTGGTCTCTGAAGCCTGAAGAGGTCGAAGACATCAGCGTGCCCCAGCCTTCTTTGCAGGGCTGGTGGCTTCCTCCACCGGTGACGCGTTTTCCAAATAGATTGAGCCCAAGACGAAGTCCCATTTGATTCGCTCCTTTATCTCAATCTGCGGTTGCTGTGATGCACCCCATTCGTGCATTAGCGCGCCTTGTTGAATGCCCATATGATGATTACATAATTTAAGACATCGGAGCGGGTAAAGACGAGTAGCTCGTTAGTCGCGCAGCTTGTTACATAGTAGACGTGCATGCTGTAGTGAGATGAGTGTGACGCAGATTTCTGTCGTCTTGTCGCGAGCATCTCGAGTACCCTGGTTTTTCAGGCGGTCTAGAGAATATGCGCAGATGCTTTGCCACTACTTCAAGATGCCTCAGTCATGAGAATCCTCTAGTAGGTGAAATGGGCATCCTCTGAGGCGCCTCGCTAATGATCTAGGGTCTTCCGCGGAAAGGCGCACCACCAACCCTTCCAAGAGCTCAACGCGGTCTGCCCACAAAGCGCAAGATTCCAAAAGTGTCGAAGATAGTTGCTGTATCCTCAGCAAAGGGCGGGGTGGGCAAGAGCACAATAGCTGGTTCGGCATGATCACCTAGAGGGGACAAATTCCTACTGGAACATGATCTCTGACATCGAAGCAACTTCATAGCAAATCTTGCCCTTTCTTTCGTGCGTCATAATCTTCGAACCGGTATCCTTGACACCGACATCTTTGGTCCTTCGATACCAACTCTACTGAACCTACACGATGCTCAGCCACCGGAATTGACTCCCTCCAATTTCCTCGTACCACTACAGAATTATGGGCTCAAATCCATGTCGATGGGTTATCTCCTCCCAGCCGAGTCCGCTCCTGTAGCATGGCGTGGTCTCATGGTCATGAAAGCTCTGCAACAACTCCTGCATGAAGTGGATTGGTCTCCTGGGCTGGACGTTCTCGTTCTTGACCTGCCCCCTGGTACAGGCGATGTCCAGTTGAGTATCGGCCAGCAACTGGAGGTTGATGGTGCTATTATTGTTAGTACGCCTCAAGACATCGCTTTAAAGGATGCCGTGAAAGGTGTCAACATGTTCAAGAAGATGGGAATCAATGTGTTGGGAATGGTACAGAACATGAGCGTGTTCATCTGTCCCAAATGTGGCGAAGGGACGAGAATTTTTTCGCATGCTGCAGAAGAGGTCGCTGACGGAGGAGTACAAGGAAAATGTAAGGAAATGGGTATCGACTTCCTTGGAGATGTGCCACTGGATGCGGACATCTGTAGAGATGCCGATAGAGGTAAGCCGACCATTGTTGCTGAGGAAGCGGTGGGAGAACGTACGAGGTCACCATACTTTGAGAGTATAGCTGCTAATGTAGCGAGGAAAATTGGTCTTCAATGGCAGTGAAGGGTACAAATACTACCATCATCTTCGGCACTTCTCCCGTCTGATGTGGCTGCCTGAAGCAAACAGTTTCAAAAACTATTCCATCTTAACCAGGTTATTTATGTATGCCACTGCATAGCTGTTTCAAGGCAGGTGCAGCTGTCAACATTTGAAGAATGTCGCTTCCCCTTGCTAAATCGTTTATCCTTGGCCTCTGCATTGACTTGTTTGCTGCTTGCTGTTGTACTAACATTCTCACCACTCCAGTCGTACTTCGCATCTTGTTTGAATTCTACATGATTAGGGTTAGTATTCCTCTGGCTTTTCGTCTTCCTCGGAATGCCAATCATTAATATATCTCCCCACAAGAAGCGTGGAAGATCATCATGGGTCTTCTTCCCAAGTCAGAAAGTCCGTATACTCGACCAAGCTAATTTCGATGGTACCACCTCAACCCATGATGGCATCAAAGCGCGCTTTCGACGCCAAAGCTCTCGTGTGATGTCTCGTCTCGGTATCTCATCCAAGGACGATTGTGGAGATGACAATGGGAACCACCAACTGATTGCGGACCACAACAGTTTTGAGCGGGACGACACCTCGAGCACGATCATCAGGTCTCGGAGCCATCATAGCCGCCGTCATTCTTCCAGTGTGCCAGGCATGGCCCATCGTTTGTCACATAAATTCTCTTCTACCTTTGGGTACCCAACCGTTGTCCACCGTACAAGCCTACGTTCAAGGCCCAGCGTTCGCTCTGTCAGGGGAAGCGTCGAGCCCATGCAGTTAGAGAGCCCTACGAGTCCTCTAGATGTCTCCGCTGCGTCTACCTACAACAGTCGCAGCGGTTCTTCGCCTGCGCAGCTCTCCACAAATCCAACGTCGGATGGCCTCAGTACCTCCCCTATCCGCTCTACAGCCCGTAACGTACCTTTCACTGAAAACTCTCGAATGCTCACCTTCACTCGCGATTTTTCTGCAACTAGGCTAGCGCCAATCCGCGAGACACCCAGTATTGTGGTTCCGTCCATTGTTACCGTGGAGGCCACTGCTACTGCCAAAATCTTCTTCGAAACTCACTTCAGGCAAATCCTGTCCAGCCACAAGCCAAGATCGCAGCGCAGAAAAGACCTTGAGACTGTCCTCGAAAGTTGTAACTACACCCACGCCAAGCGTCATAAGGCTCGTGCCGCCTTCATACGTCAAGAAAACGAATTCCTGCGGCAGGACCGAGTACTGAAAACCAGAGCCAATGCAATGAAGAGGACAAAGGGCGTTTCGATTGCCGGATATGAAGTCATCAAAGTCCTCGGTAAAGGCAGCTTTGGCGTGGTCAGACTCGTGAAAGAAAAGCAGTTACAACCAGAATCTCAAACTTTGACCAGTTTTGAGCCTACCAAGAGAGCGTCCACGACCGACCTAGCAAAGCTCAAGTTAACAGCCAGAGGAGCTTTTCCTCTTCTTGGGTATAGGAAAAGGGAGGTCACTAAAGTAAAGAAAGAAGTTTATGCGATGAAAGTTATCCGCAAATCAGAGATGATCCGCAACAGTCAAGAGGGTCATCTCAGAGCTGAAAGAGATTTTCTGGTGGCGTCTGAGAATTCTCGCTGGATCGTTCCTCTTATTGCTGCGTTTCAAGACAACAAGAATCTGTACCTAGTCATGGACTATTGTGTTGGTGGTGACTTTCTGGGTCTGCTCATCCGGAAAAACACCTTGTCCGAAGATGTTACACGTTGGTACATTGCTGAGATGATTCTTTGCGTTGAAGAAGCACATAGTCTGCGATGGATCCACCGAGACGTCAAGCCGGACAACTTCCTGATCGGCGCTGATGGACACCTCAAGATTTCTGATTTCGGACTTGCCTTTGATGGAGATTGGGCTCACGACCAAGCCTTCTTTCACAACCACAGACACTCGCTGCTGGAGAAATTGGGAATCGAAGTACAAGGAGATGAGCAAGATAAGACTGAAGCTGAGACTGCCAAAGTGAGCCAAAATATTGGAAAAGTCATGGCGCGTCCAGGTGAGTCATCTGGAAAGGAGAAGAAGACGAAAGCCGTTGGAGAACCTGCGGACGACGAACCTGTTGTCGATTGGAGAGACAAAAATCAGCGCCGCAAACTTGCCCGTTCTGTTGTTGGTACAAGTCAATACATGGCGCCGGAAGTCATTCGTGGGGATTTATATGATGGGAGATGTGATTGGTGGTCTATTGGGATCATTCTTTACGAATGCCTTTTCGGCTTTACCCCTTTCGCCTGCGAGAATCGCCAGGAAACAAAACTCAAAATCCTAAAGCACAGAGCTGCTCTTCGCTTCCCAGATGATCAATACGGCTATCCTTCCATCAGCGGCGAAGTGCTTGATCTCATGAGAAGAATGTTAAGCGAGAAAGAGGACAGACTCTCCAGTCCGAAATATTACCTTAACGACTATGCCTACAGCCAGGCGGAAGACCCAAATACCTACCACATTCATGGCCCAGCCGATAAATCCAGCAAGAGTTATCAGGGCAGACACGTTTATTCCGATGATGCCGATGACATCAAGGCTCATCCTTGGTTTAAAGGCACCGACTGGACCCAGATCCACAAGAAGAAGCCGCCTTTCATCCCGAAAGTCAAAAGTTGGGAAGACACCAAATACTTCGATGACGATGAATCGGTCAGTGACACGGAGAGCTCGTCTTCTGAAGAAGATGATGCGGAACCTACTCCTGTTCCAGAAAAGGAGGACATGCTCGGGGTAGGAAATGCCAAGCAAGACCCGCAAGTCTTTGAGAACGCTGTAGCTGCAGCGGCGAACATGGACCATCACCAGCTCAATGGCCACCAGCATGAGAACCAACACATTATCCCCTCTAACACCACTAGAATTAACGACCTCATCCGCGAGCAAAACCAGAAAATGCTCGCCGCTATCCAACAGGGTCGGTCCCGGATTCCCAGTCTCAGCAGTCTTACGCAACAGAACAGCACAACAATCCATCAGCCGCAGTTCGACGGCGACGCAGGCGCACTAGGCCCTGCAGCCGTCGGTGAGGACAAAAAGTCCAAAAGGCCCAAAAAGGAGAAAAAACGTCCTCGAGATAAGATCCTACGGGACCCGCTGACGGCCAAGATTGCGCTGGAGATGAGGCGTAAGGGTGCGTTTCTGGGTTATGCGTATCGACGGCCAAAGGATGTGCAGAGTGTACTTGAGAGGGTGGAGAATGAGGTTGAGATTGGAAGGGCTGAGATTGGGTGTCGGGGGTGTGGTGAGGTACATCCTTGCACTCAACGTGGACGAAGGGGTAACGGATACACAAATAAATGTGGCAATGGTTTTGGTACTGCTGGTGGTGGGGTTCCTTGTGGTGGTGTGGATGGCAGGAGGGATAGCGCGATTTCCGGGATTGTTGGGTTAGGTTCTGGCATTGGAACTCGCGAAAGAGCGGGAGAGCGAGCGCGAGAGGTCGAGGCATCGAAGAGTGCTAGGGAGCGAGCAGTGGAGACAGCAAAGGGCGGAGGCAGGCGTGGTGCCCATACCCCGAGTCCGAGATGTATTACTCCGGTGGAGAATGTGGGGACTGGTTTAGGAACTAGGAGGGGAGGATGGACACGGTTCCCAGATGTGGCATGATTTGAACTCCACCACCAGCGTCGATGGATTGATTCATAGCAGTTCTGGCCGGTGATGGACAGTGACTACCTGGAAAGCATGGGGCAGGCTGTGAGCGTGTGGTCACAAAGTCCTTCGTTCATTATTCAAGCAAGTAACCTCTACTCTGCATGTCAGTGGACAGGGAGTGTAAAATCAACTGGTTGAAACGCGGGCCCCAAGAATCGTGCTGTTTCTGCATTACAAAGAGCCCTAACTTACGGAGTACTGTATACACATACTATGGTATGAGAGATAAATAGTGCAAACACGCTCTAATAACAGCTTGTAACACTAAGATAAACTACCATAAAATCGCTCTATCAGGACTAGCCTGATACATATCTAATATCAATCATGCTCCCATTGGCATCAACAACTGCCTGGCATCTCTTGGGCATAGATTCGAGCAGCTCTAAGAGACAGGCCGCAGGTACAACGTTCTGAGGTGAGAATTAGGAGAATAAAGTTGAATATGTTGAATGCGTTGAAAGATGGAGGGGAGGGGTACGTCATTTATGCAAGAGCAACAGGGGTAATCTGTATGAGCACTGTCAATAATAGTTCTACTACGGTAGGAGGCATAGGTATTGTTGGGCTCCGAGCTAGGAATTTTGTATGTGACACACAGGATTGACGAAGGTAGATCTTACTAAAAATGTAGTAGTTCATTTAGTCCCTAGGCTAGTGCCAATCATTTACTACGTATCGTCACTGGAGGGTCAAGACTTACTGGTGCTTTGGGGGACGCCAGGCCCTTGTACCAAAAATTAGCTAATCCACACTTACAATAATTATGCCTCCTACCGGAGTACATCCATACCATACATTAATGGCTCTATTGACATTGTTTTGAGGGAAAGTCTTTCTGCTGAGTGATTCAGTAGGAGATAAGACGGACTAGCTACATTACCCTGGACATCGGAGAAGAAAATTCCACAAGGATTCAAAGAGCAGTTGATGAACTGTGCTGACTAATCAATGGATCAGTGTGGAAATAGCAAGTTGTTCTATCTAATTCAGTGCGAGGAGCGCGCATTTATCGTACAAAGTTGCTATCCACCACTCTGTCGTAAAATGCAACATTTTTTTGATTGGTCAACGGAGCGGGTGCCAAGAGAACTTTATTATAATTTGCACTAAGCCTAATTAGGAAGTAGCAACACCAAAATAAATAGAATTTGCTATCTCTGCTACAGAGAGGGTAAATGACGCGCCCAGCAGTGCGAATTGTGGCAGATTGAGATGTTACACTTGCTGCAAGACCATAGGCTCTTATGGATACCCTTTTGGCTTCTTTTGGCGTTATTAGAGGCGTTGGTAGGAAGTTCCTGGAGTGCTTTCCGCGGCCTGCCTCTTTTGGGAGTAGGATTGCACGATTGACAGCGGCGCCAGCGATCTCCTTTGACCCACGAATGCCCTTTGTAGCTATCTTTTGGTACTGATTTAGTACGGAGATTGCAGCTAGCTTGGGGAGGGCGTGGTGGCCGTTGCCGCAGAATAGCTCCAGGTCCTCGAAGTAGACTTTTTGCAATTTCTTCTTGAAATTGAGCGTGTGAGAGCTTTTTGCTTTTTACGCCTAGCTTATAGAGGTTATACGCGTTGGTAACAGCTGCGTCAATAAGCAAAAAGAATAAGGGTAGCCAGTTGCGTCGATGATAGTGTCGGCTTACTGAATAGTACGAATTCAATTTTGCGTGGTTATCAGAGCCACCCATCTCTTGATTATATCGATCAAGGGCATATAACTTTCGTAGATATTGTGGCTTGTTTTCAGAATTTGCAGGAGGCGCAGGGAGCACAGAATTTGCAGGAGGCGCAGGGAGCGGACGCGGGGATGTCTTGTGGGAGGAAGTCGCTGACCCAGCATTGGCCGTCTCTTGGTCTCCAGGTTGTGTCAGGGTTCGAGCCTAGGCCGTGGACGAAAATAATGCTAGACAGTTACATTTAGTAGACAGCTACATTTAGTAGACGGCCTTTTCAGGTCGTGAGGACCTGTGAACTTACTCGATTCCATGAGCGCTTGCATGCGAGCTAAGCTTGTCCGCTCTGACGAGACCGAATGCGCTCCTGGGCGCCTCTTCGGCTCGCAATCGTGACGGGATCCTCTTCGTGAGCTGATCGTACAGCACAGCCGCTGATGCGATGAGGATACAGAGGGATAACGCGGTCCACATCGGAGTCTTCGTCTCTAGCGCGAGTGCAGCCCGATCCGAGAAGAGCAGGGCTTAGGACAATCAGGAGCGCGCAGGCCTTGAGTGGATGAATATCTTAAAGTCGCGGAGGAGAAGCGAAATAGCAGTGGCATTGCAGGCACAACTGCAGGAGTATATCTCCTCTGCCGGTCACAAGGCTGGCCGAGGCAGGCTGGAGCTGAGCCCCGGAGGCCGTCTTGGAGGCGACACGTCGCTTTTCAAGCCCCAGCTGAGAGGACTAACCAATCTAACTAGGTATATCTCTCCATCCCTCGCCCGTCGACCCAATTGTCAGCAGCACACATACCTGAAGCATACTATTCAACATCGGCATTCTCTATGGCTGATTTGCGGCCCCTCTTACCACCCTTCTCTGAGCTGAGTGCTCTTTGCAAGCAGCGTTTGACCCCTCTACAAAGCCATGGACAGCCGAGTTCTCGCGGAAAGTCACGGTCTCCGCCAGACAATAATCCGGATCCGGATCAGCCTATCACCCACGCTCCAGGAGAACCTAGCATAAGCCTCACCCAAACCGCCGTCTGCGACTTTCTCACGTCAGAGCTTAGCACTCCACTCCTTGATGAGCTCTACGATGGTCTATGGCTGGTTGCGCGAAAGTGTGGCAAGAGCATTGACCCCCTGCACAGACAATTTGGGGGTAAGAGATTTAAGGTTAAGGTTACGGAAACTAACCTAATCTGGCTAATGTAGTGACTGGTGCTGACCAATCAAAAAAATGTTGCATTTTACGACAGAGTGGTGGATATCAAGCGAAATAGCGCGAAACGCAGATACCAAAAATACATGCGTGGCTGATGCAAAATGCGTATCAAATCTGTAACAAAACGCTGGTGACACACGTAGCAAAATAGCGCAAACTGTTTTTTTGAGTTCAACAGCAGTCACTATTATTAAAATGACCAGCTCTATACTACCGTCTTCCCTTCTTAACAAAAAGTTTTGAACTTCCCAAAAACCCTTCTCCGAAATCGACATGACAAATACGTTATGCCAGGAGGAAGATGCAACTGAGCTTGAGGCTCAAGCTGGAGCTCCGGCAACGCCAAACCTCCCAACAGTACCATACACCGTCTTCTCACGATCTACAATCCGACTCTTGACGGCTCTGATTGGGACGGCGAGCATTTTTTCGTCGCTGTCAGCAAACATTTATTTTCCTTCGATCTCGGCTCTTAGCCGGTCTCTGCACACGTCCATACAAAAGATCAATCTTACTATCACCTTGTACATTGTTGTGCAGGCCATTTCTCCAGCTTTGTTAGGTGGTTTAGCAGACAATATTGGGCGCCGCCTCATCTATCTCATCAGCTTTTCCGTGTACGTGTTTGCCAACCTAGGTCTGGCCCTACAAAATGAGTATCCGGCGCTGCTTGTTCTGCGGATGCTCCAAAGTTTCGGATGCTCCGCTGCGATCGCCATTGGCTTTGGTGTGGCCGCTGATGTTGCTGTGCCTGTCGAAAGGGGCGGTATGTTGGGACCTGCAAGCATTGCAATGAATCTAGGCACATGTCTTGGTCCATTGTTAGGAGGCCTACTAGTGAAGAACGCAGGATGGCGATGGATGTTCTGGGTGTTACTTATTTTTGGCGCTTTATTTCTCCTCATCCTTTCTGCGCTCCTACCCGAGACGGCCAGGTCTGTGGTGGGAAATGGCGAGATTGAAGCGCCGGGCTGGAACCGACCCTTGCTGCCTCACGCAAAGTTCAAGACCGGGAAAAGTACCCGACAGCCATCAAACTCATTCGGGCATTCGAGCGAGGGGCTGAGAACCCGGGATCTGTGCAGGGCTGCAAACCCATTTAGATCGCTAAGGCTACTCCTTCATCGGGACATTGGGCTCGTGGTCTGGTCAAGCGCAATTGTATACGCTGCTTACTATGTCATTCAGGCTTCTATGCCACAGATTCTGGAGAACACATATGGATTCAATGAGCAAGAGGTCGGACTTTCATATCTAGCTATCGGGGAAGGAGTGGTTTGGAGGTTATGCGAACGGTACGGTCTTTCTATCATTGTTTCGTCACAGCGTTGCGAGCTATGTACGGAGCAGCCTAATATCAAGGACAAGTTTCTCAATTCCGGGGCCTCATATCTTTTGGCAACCTTGCCGCTGAAGCTTCTCCTCAAGCAGTCGACTGTCCTTTCCACTCCCCGCGCACTGGACAAAGGGCTATCGCTGATGCGTTTGTGACTAGGCAAGCTTCTAGATTTAAACTATCGAAAGACAGCCAAAACATTGGGAATCACCCCAGATGTAGTCACTGGAGACGACATGTCCTCCTTCCCAATTGAGAAGGCGAGAACCCGGATGTCATATGCTATGATCCTCCTTGACACTCTTCTGCTCTTGGGATATGGTTGGACGTTGAAGGGGAAAACAGTATGTGCTGTACGCTGAGTCTTCTTCAAAGGCAGCTGGAGCCCGCCATGAACTGCTACTCTACTCCCTTTCCCGTAGTTGATTGGAACATTTTACTGAATACAAGAACGTTCATTCGAATAGCACGTTAGTGGGGCTCTTATGTTCCAGTTTCTTCTCGGTGTTATCATGACGATCATCGTTCAGGTACGTCTCCCGTTCCCTCGGTTCTGTTCTTAGAGCGCAGACATTTACTCAATACCTCAAGTACTGACAACAGCTTTTGCCCGTGTTCATGAAGACCTTCAACGCACTACTCGTCGACATCAACCCCAGAAATCCAAGCGCTGCCGCGGCCTCCGGAAATATTGGCCGCTGCACACTTGCAGCCGGCAGTGTGGCAGCTATGCAACCCTTGTTAGATAGCATTGGGACCGGTTGGTTTTTCACCCTTGTTGGTCTCGTAACTGGGGTAGGTGGAATCGTAGCAATTGGGCTGATAAGGTGGAAGGGAATGGCGTGGAGACAGCAAAGGACTGAATCGGATAGATGATGGAAATACCATGGTTTTATAGAGATGTCTGCGATGTAAGGATTGGCTCTTAAGTATTCGACTATGAAATGACCCGACTGTCACGGGAAATAGGTCGTCCAGAAAACCTACTTCTATCACTAGACCTGAAAACGAACCTCTATATCTGTTAGAGGCACCTATTCTATCGCCATAAATTGGGTTGCTTGTACGGTCACCTGCTTTCGTGAAAATCGGCAATCCCGTTCGGATACTTAGCCACAAGTCTTCGCATCTCTTCCCGGGCCCTAAATCAAGTGCTGTGATTAACAATACGCTTTGAGAGAAATTACATAGATTTGGTAGATGAAAGGTGTTTTGTTGATGGTAACGAGTGTTAGATGATGGCGCTGTGACCCAGTCAAGTGAGATGATACTTACAACTCTCGAGTTTGCTTGTTCGCTGACCAATTACTGGAGACGGTGAGGTCGTTGAATCTGCGCCAGATCATAAGGTTCAGAAAGAGTTGAATGAGAGGCTCGTGGAAGAAATGAAAGACGTCACATACACGCCATACAGGGCATTGCGATCATCATGATCCTCTTCGGGTGCTGAGGGTTCGACTAGGCGCCGGTAAGCCTTCTGGTGCGTGCGATTTATTCTGTATCTTGTCGCGCGCCATGGATGCATTTCAACTACCGTCAGGCCGGTGATTAGCTTTCGAGGAGTCTGCAGGGAGGCTTAACATATCAGTCCGCAGTGCCTACACTCATTATGTCCGTAGAGCGAACAGAAGTCATAGAGCATTGGCTCGTCGGTGGCAAGATCAATGCCTACGTTACCGTGCCAGAGGTCGCCGTGCAGAAGACAAGGCTTCAATTTTCGGCCTCCTGATTCCATCGGTCTCAGTAACCGCGGTATCACCTTATTGATCATTGCTTCGCCAAGCTCAGTCATCTCATAATCGTGCCCCTGAATGGCCTCTTCTCCTTTCAAAGAATTTTGAAAGGTCCTCGTGAAGAACTCTTCCCAGGTGTCGGTCCATGAGGTGTCGATGGGCTGACAACCACCATATATTCCTACATGGAATCCGAATTTCCCATTGGGGGACAAGGTTTCTTGATGCAGTTTCGCGATTACCGAAACAAGCTCGGAGGTGTGAGGCATTTCATCTTCGATGTCGTGGAAGTCTAAGAGCAAGAAATGCTTGTTAGGGTCGGACTCGTATGTGCCCTGTCAGAGTATGAACAGTCTCGTATCGCAGACGTGAGAAGTCTGAGAATGAATTACCCAGCCTATTGCGCCGGATGTGTTTCTCGGCAAGGCTGCGTGAACAGCAGCTGTGCCTTCAAATTCAGCCTCAGCCATCCGCTTTCCCACATCGGAGGAATAGATCTGCGTGAAGCACGTAAGAATGATGTTACAGCAAAGCAGTGGAATATGTCTCCAAACTTTCAAGAAGTAGCTTTTGTCGCTTCCGTCTGGTAGGGCTACCTCCACCTTCTTTGCTATTGCCCAGAAACTAGCTCCATGAGTTGTGACTATCTTGACGGTTGATCCACGAGGCAGGGCTAACATTGTAATTGTTACTCTCTCTAATTATCTCTCGGCAAATGAGTATCTAGAAGCTTACCAGCACGAACTACAGGGTCCACCTCAGCTGTCGGGGCCTTGTCTTCCTCGGGGATCTGGGCTGGTGTGAAACTGGCATCGATGTCGGTTCGCATGGCGTGACAAGGAAGGAAGCTGCTACTTTGAGAAGGTCGCAAGATCTCGACGGAGTTGCGCGAGGACAGTTTTACGCTTGATGTTGACTTTTGCGGCAGCAGGCCTCCGACAAACCAGTGTCAGGTTGAAGCGAGCGTTGGCCCGCTGCCCAAATCATCCACGATGCCCTAGGAGGGGTGGGGGCAGCCATGTCCAATAATGAACCCTGAAAAAAGCCTCCACAACCTGGCATTGACTACTGGAAGCCTGATTGACAATGGTCATAGCAGGCTGGATCGTGCAAACTACTGGTTACTACACGAGATATGACGATAAATCCTCTTTCAAGAGCACCAGGGAGCGGTGACCAGGCTGGGTCTGCACTAATTATGGGAGCATAGGACCAGAGCGAGCAGGCTTTTGAAGCTCAACGGCACAGGTACATGAAGAGCTACCGCCAGGCAGTGGGATCGTAACCATGGTACTGTGGCTCCAGCTCACTTTCCTCTGAAACCTGAACACTTTAACACGACAGCGTCCCGTTCTGACAAACTCTGTGCACCATCTAGGCCGCCGACCAAGAGAATCCGCAGGAGATTGAAAGACGACGATCTAGTGGCACCTCTTCCCTTCTCTCGCTCTCATGGAGAACTTCTACCGACGAAATTGGCCCGTACGGGCTCACCACCCTGTACTGCCCTCGCGAACCACTCGTCGATTTTGTCTTTGTTCATGGTCTTCGCGGAGGATCATATAAGACCTGGCAGAAGTATCGCGAACCCAGTTACCTATGGCCTCAGGCTTGGTTGCCTTGTGAGGCCGGTCTGGAAAATGTGCGCATTCATACCTTTGGCTACAATTCAGACTGGAGCGAACGAAAAGATAGCATCCTCAACATCTATGACTTTGGAAGAAGTCTTCTGGCCGAGATGAGGTCTTGCCCGGATCTGAGGAAGGATAAACAGGTGTGTACTGGAGGACCAAAGGCGTCGCGAGTGGAAGAAGCCTGATTTAACTGACGTTCAAATCCCTCGAAAAGACACCTATAATAATGATTGGCCATTCTATGGGAGGCCTTGTCATCAAAAAGGTTACATTCTTCGGCATGGTCCTTTGTCGCTGGGTTGCTAACCCGTGCAGGCATATATCTTGTCCCGTCAAGAATCCGCAACGTCGGACCTAGCTAAACGTATTCGAAGCATTTTCTTCCTAGCCACACCTCATAGAGGATCAGACTCGGCAAATTTGCTGAATAACATCATTCGTGCCACCGGAACCATGACCACTCGGCCATATGTCAAAGACTTATCCAAGAATTCGCTGTCACTTCAAATAATCAATGATGAGTTCCGCCATTTCTCAGAGGATGTGCGCTTGTGGTCTTTCTATGAAACCATGAAGACGAACATTGGGCTGACCTCAACATTGATTGTGGAAAGGGATTCCTCTGTTCTTGGATACAAGGATGAGATGATTTACCCCATGAACGCCAACCATCGAGAGGTTTGTAAATTTGACAGTCCAACAGATCCCAACTATCGGACTGTGAGGAACGCCTTAGTGTTGGCTGTGGAAGACATCTTACAGGATAGTTAGTGTGAAGTGTCCCAAGTTTTCCCTTTACTTTTTAGTACTGATGAGGAGTAGACTCCTCTTCTCGGGAAGATGCGAAGAGAATACAGATGCAACACCTAGGCGATTTTCTAGGCATTCATGGACCACCTCTGGACGATTTGCAAGATCTCCAAGAGCTGGTGGCGCCAGGATCTTGTCGTTGGTTTCTCGAGAGCCCTCTGTTCCAGAAATGGCTTCAAGAAGACTCTGAGTATGCTAGGATTTATTGGCTCACTTCTAAGCCCGCTGCTGGTAAATCAGTCCTTGCCGCTCATGTTGTTTCTCATCTGCAAGGGCTTGGACTAGACTGCTCTTATTACTTTTTCAAGCATGGAGACAAGACTAAACAGCTAGCAAGTGGCTTGCTACGGTCTTTGGCCTATCAATGTGCTTCTTCAAGCGATGACTTCAGGCGGCTGTTAAATCTGCTTCAAGAAGATAGCATCCAATTCGACCTGGACGATGAACGTGCAATCTGGAGGAAAGTCTTCATGAATTGCCTCCTCAGAGCCCCCGTCTCTGGACTCCAATTCTGGGTCATCGACGCCCTCGATGAATGTGTGAACACAGCAAGATTCATACCGTTCTTAGCTAAGATCGAGTCTGCCTTCAGAATACGGATACTGGTCACCTGCAGGCCAACAACCGAGTTAGATCGACATTTCACTAGTTGGGGCTTCAGACTGGTAAGGAGTGAGATCTCTATAGAAGATTCCTTGAAGGACATACGACTATATCTACAAAATGAAGCAGACTGTCTTCCTATCTCTGACCTTGAGAAGCGGCAAAGTCTCATTGAGAAGATAATTTCAAAGTCCGCTGGCTGTTTTCTCTGGATCAGAGTTGTGCTTCAGGAGCTGGAGCGTGCTTGGAGCGAACAACAAATTGAGGACATTCTCGATGAAGTTCCACCGGAGATGGAGCCTCTCTATGACAGGGCCGTAGAGATAATCTCCAGAAATGCGCAAAGCAAGCACATTGCACATGCAATTCTCACGTGGGTTTTATGTGCTGTCCGTCCGTTGAAGACTGCCGAGCTGCAAGATGCTCTTGAACGCGGAATGAACATGAAAATGTTTCGCTTCGATAAATCGGTGGAGACACTTTGTGGTCATTTAATTTCCATCCAGAAATCTGGAAGCATCACTATGGTGCATACAACTGCTCGAGAATACTTGTTGCATCGGGTCCACAGTTCCGGTTTCATAGTGGACAAGGCCTTGAGCCATCAGAAGATGGCGATGACCTGTCTGGAGTATCTAGCCGGAGAAGAGATGCGGCCACCACGTCTTGGTGGCAAGGCGTATAACTCACGCCGGCTCGATCGGTCTTTGTTCGCAGATTATGCATGCACAGCGTTTTCTGAGCACATAGCGAACGCCCCATCCGCCTTCAACGAGTTGATGATCCTGCTGCACAAATTTCTGCGAACGAATGTCTCTACATGGATTGAGTACATTGCTCAGAATCATGACCTTTATTATTTGATGCGAACGGCCAAAAACCTGCGACAATACCTTAAGAGGCGGGCAAAGCATGTCTCACCTCTAGGCGTAGAGTTTCAAAGAGTCGACGGCTGGTCGACTGATTTGATGCGCGTGCCAGCGAAGTTTGGAAGGCGTCTCACGAGTATACCGAGCTCGATATACTTTTTGATACCTCCGTTCTGCCCGAAAGACTCGATGATACGTCAACAGGGCGACCTTGGTCCAAACAGAATCCGAGTCAGTGGCCTGTCCAACAGCACGTGGGAGGATTGTGTAGCTTGGATTGAATATAAGTCCACTTGGGCAACGGCAATGGCATGTGGAGATAATTTCCTGGCCTTGGGAATGAAATCTGGCGCTGTCAACCTATATAATCAATTCACCTGCCAGGAGAAGCATGTTTTTCAGCACGGTGAGCCAGTCAAAATCTTGAAATTCGATGGCACCTCTCGGCGTCTGATTTCTGCTGGTGCAAGGCACTTGCGATTGTGGACGATCAATGGCGAGTTAACTTGGACAAGTAAGCTGAAACAGCCCTGCGTCACTGTGTCATTTGCCGAAGATGACAGTGTCATTCTCGTTGCGACACGTTCTAACGAAGGACTCTCATTAGCGGTGGCTGATGGTTCTGTCTTACGAAAGCATAACTTTATCGATTCCAAAACGCCCTTGGCCGCGACTGGCTGGACAGACTCCTCTGGCCGCTACCATCTCCGCGGATGCGAAAACGCTTGCACTGGTTTATCGCGGTCGACCAGTTCACCTTTGGAGTGTAGAAGATGACTACCTTTTCGCGTTCTGTGGAAGAGACGCAGGAAAACAGAACTCCAATATCTCCCCAGCCACGGCACTATTTAACCCAAACTCAAAAGTTAGCCTCCTTGCCATCGGATATCAAGACTGTTTCCTCGGGATATATGATACTGAGACCCAAGAGGAACGGAATATAGTTTCGGGCGGAGGCATGGCTCTAGCCGCGACACCCGACGGTCGTACTCTAGGGACGAGTGATGCGGCCGGAAATCTGTGCCTTTGGGATTTCGAGACCCTAACGTTATTATATCGAGTGAGATCATGCGATGAAGGGCTGAAGTCTCTCTCTTTCAGCGGTGATGGGCTCCGGATTTTTGACATTCGGGACACCATTACCGAATTTTGGGAGCCTCTTGCACTGGTTCGAAAGAATTTGGATGAGGATTCCAGTGTTAGCGACTCCGTACATGTTGCTCCTGCTACTGAGAGATTTGAAGCTGAAAGAGCGATGGAGATCACGGCTTTGATGTCCCTTCCATCATGCGATACACTCTTGGTTGCCAAGGAGGATGGCAGCGTAGTCTGCTATGACTCTATTTCAGGTGTAGAGGGTCACAAGCTCTTTTCACATACAAAGGATATCTTCGTCACAACGATGACTTGGTGTGATCAAGGAAATATGTTGGCGACAGCGGACGTAGGAGGCAGAGTCTTAATTTGGCAGCTGGCAGATGCACAAGGTTGGCAAGCGTCCAAATTACTTCTCGATTGCCATCCGCGGCAGTCTGTTCGACAATTACTGCTGAGTCCGAAAGGAGATCGTCTCATCGTATCAACTGTGACACGTGACACTCTCTGGTCAATATCGAAGGACTCTGAGTCCACCAGGCAACTCGCGACGTTAGAACATCCCTCTCGAGCTACCTGGAGATGGACGGTGTCTCATCGCAACGACGATGAAGTAATTCTGATGCTTGATTATGACATTTCCTTTTACACCTGGGCTGATTTGAAGAAGACAGCAGACCTTGGTGTGTCTTTGGACTTTCCCGGAAACAGCCTCCTTGAGGCGGAATCTACTGAACTGCAGACTTTCCACGTGTCGTCTGACAAGTCGGCACTTTTGGCCAATTTCACTCAGGTGCGCCGCGACCGGTCAAGTGCAGCATTCTTGATATGGGCAAGTACAAGTATGGACGATGGCTTAGGACGATCGAATAACTGTCCGGTAAAAATCAAACCGTTCCTCTTCCAGAGTGTGAAATACTTCATCGGCATCGCGGGCTCCTCTTTGCTCGTCTTCCTAGATAACGACCTATTCCTTTGCTCGTGCGACATCTCGTGTCTTGTTCCAGCTGCGGGGACGAAGAATCATGATGCTAAGCCTCGATATACCCGACACTATTTCATACCAAATGATTTCGTCACACGAACACGAGGGTCTATGGCTGCTGTCACAGCCAAGGGTGACGTTGCTTTTGTCAAAGATGGAGAGATCGCTGTGGTCAGTTGTCCTTTAGAGTCTTTCATTACCCAGCGAATGTAAGCTTCACGTCACGTTACGTTTCGAGCGGCTTCGCCGAAGCAGACAATGAGGAAGTCTCGAGAATCTACGAAGCGGTCCTACCTAATATACCGAGCTCGGGATTGGGAATAAGGCTAGACACCAATCCTTTTCCTCAAAAGGCGTCTCTGGCACCTCTCACATTGCTGACAAGACAGGTGTCATGTGTGAAATATCCGGGACGTCCTGCAGTCGGCTTGCCTGAGGCTACACCGTTCTGTCTACCTTCTGGGCCGATTCCTGACCGGGGAACATCTTGAGTATTCTGCACGGTTCAGACATCCCTGAGTCTCAATGATACTTCAAGCATCGAATCCAGCCTCTAGTTTCTAAGCGATGACTTTAGATTAGCTTTTCAACTCTGTTCCTAAGACACCTGATATGACAGAAACTGACAGTCTAGGTTGGCAATTCCGTAGCAATAGACAGTTGAGGAACGAGGAAATTTAGCTTCCTCGTTCGGGAAGTTGTTTCGAAACTAAGTGTTGAAGTCAAAAACACAATTTGCGCTATTTTGCTACTTGTATCACTAGCATTTTGTTCCAGAATTGATACACGTTTCGCCTCAGCCCCGCATGTATTTTTGGTATGTACATTTCGCGCTATTTCGATTGGTATCCCCTCCGTACCCGAACAGGGGTGTAGAATGTGCCAATTAGCGCTGTCGATCACTGCGGGGAGGCTCAAAATGTCAATAAACACCCTATTTGAGCTATTTGAGGCCGTTCTATCTAGCAATTGACTCCAATTGAGTGGTGATATTGTGCCCAGCACTCTCCTTCGATACAGAGCCAAATCTGGCATTTTGAGCACTCATAATGAGTGTGTGAGCCTCCTAAAATAGCTGTAGAAATGCCATTATTGGTTGAGCGTGTAGTATCTGTTCCAAATGCGCGTTTTGATGCCCTTTTGCGTGTACAACCTGGCGGATGAAGCTTTCCCCATTGGCACCGTCCGCCGGACTTCTTTTGTATGGGTTTATGGTGTCTTTGAAGTACTACAGTTGGTAGAGATTGTGAATCTTCCTTTTCCTTGGTTTTATCATTCGAATGTAGTAATT